CCCTAACCCTAACCCTAACCCTAACCCTAACCCTAACCCTAACCCTAACCCTAACCCTAACCCTAAGCATCCTGTTTCCGGCACATGGAACCCTAAGTCTAAAGTTCCATCTTTCAATTTTCTAAGTCCGGTTCAAATCTGTGCATCATTTTTTCGTCGATTCTGAACATTATTTTTTTCAAACATGAAACCGGGTCGTATTTTGTATTCGCAACGCAAAGGTGAATGTGGATACATGACGCAGAAACCACAGCAAGATACGATGAGCAGACCGGATTCTCGATGGGCGCATCGGCAAACGTCGGCACGACGGTCGAAGCTATGGCTTGCGCTGAAGCTGGGGCACGCGCGTCATCTTGAGTCCTTTTTCGAGCCATTCCAGCTGCGTCTCTTGGCGGATCGTGCCGTCCTCGTTGCGTTCGGGCTCGGTGAACTTGAGCGTGTATCCAAACGCTTCCATCTCGGGCACGTGTTGTTCCTCGTCGGGCGTGAACAATGCAGAACAGCCGCCGACGCCTTGGTCCATGTAGCTGTTGCCGTCGAGTCGGATCGCCGCGGGCGGGATGTGGAAGACGTTGGTGTCCACTTGACCCTCCTCTTGCACGGGCCAGAGTCCAACTCGGTAGCTCGATGTCGCTCCAGTGCGCCAGTCCTTGCAGCTGCATCGGCTGTCGTCCTCGCCAACGCGGGGACGATAGCAGTCGGCAACTTGATCTTGGGACCATTTGCACGTCCACCCTGCGAAGAAGTCGGCTGTGCCACCGACGTTGTACTTCTTCAGCACAGACACGGACCCATTGGACTTGTCCGTGGTGAGCTGGTCCGCAGAGAAGGGCACTTGGGCGGACGCCGATGAAGGACGCGCCCTGACCGGCGCATACTCGATCCTGGTGATCCAGGGAACCGCGTCCTCCATCCCGACGTCGACCTCGACCCATTCAAAGCTCGCAGGAGACGAGTTGGCCGTCGAGTGATTGGACAGGCCGGACTCGTATCTGTAAGTGCCTGCTAACGAGGCTCTGTCGCGTTCCTCCAATCGCCAAGTGATGTCGAGAAGGACGGAAGGGACGCTCTGCAGGAGCCAATCCCACGGACTCTGGCTTTTGGATTCTTGGAGCAGCTGGCAGTCCTTCCCCTCCTGAGTTTCGTCGTGATCAAGGGCCAGCCGGGCTAGGGTACTGACGATGAGGCCCCTCTCGAGATCCAGAGCAATGTCCAGCTCGTGATCGCCATACACTTCGTGAAGGACGTAGAGCTGAAAAGGCTTGTTCCTCTGCTGCAATCGCAACGCGTTGCCAAAGTTGAGGTGGCCGACGGCCGAGAGAGCAGTGTAGCGTCGAGGCAGGTCTTTTCGGACGAGGTCAAAGGGAGAGTGGGTGCTGCCTGTGGAGCTGTCGGTGGAGAGTTCGTGGATGGTGAAAAAGTGGTGGATGACGGCGTCGTTGAGGAAGGTCTCGGCTGGTTGCTCGAGGCCGTAATAGATGGCAAGGAGAGACTGTACAAACTTTTGTGCGTCCAAGATGGTAGTTTGCAGCGCTTCTGTTTGGTTGTGGCTGCTTCCGCGACTGTGGCGATGAGCTTCTCTGACGATGCGGGTGTGATCCAGGCGCAGGGCTTGTAGCATCTGTTCTGGCATGATGCCGTCGTTGGCGTACAAGGAGGCTGCCCAGGCGAGCTGCTGCACTGCTTGCCAGAGCTTGCGGCTGCGGAAGACTTGATGGTCTGTAGTGTTGGCGCCTGGGTGGAGAGATGAAGAGGACGAGCATTCTGTGGCTTTGCGGGTATAGAACGGCGCGCCTTGAGCGATGGACATGACGAGATCCATGGTTTCGCGGCGTCGCTTGGCCGCTTCGCGCACGGTGGTTCCCGCGAGCTTGTCAAAGTCGCTACCGAGCGAGCTGTGCCACGGAGAAGCTTGTATGCACGGCCATCCAGTGCTGCGTCGTTCAAAGCCATCCACGTTGATGCGGTCAATGTCAAAGTGGAGGCTTCCGTTCGGCTGCTCTGTTTGTACGTCGTTGAGTTGGAGAATTCCGACTTTGGGGTGGCAGAAAGGCTGGTTGGATAGCCTGTTCTGGGCTTCGTAAAAGTCGTTGCCGAGGGGCGCGCGGTTGCCCGGACGCTTTGACCAAGGCCAGCGTATGTCGTTGCCTGGCCAGTCGCCGCTAAAGATGAGGGCGACAAAGGTCCAGAAGACGAAAAAGAGGGTGACGGAAACGATAAAGTGGAAGCGAGTCTTGAACACAAGCCTCTCGAGCCAGTGCCAGTCGTCCCTGGAGTCTTTGTTGGCATGCCTGTGCGGTGGAACGTCCGAGTGCTGTAAAGGTTGATCGTCAATGTCATGGTCAGTGTCGGAGAGCAAAGGCAGCTGGGCCTCGTCCGGGTCTGCGGATCGCTGTCGACCAGCAGTGTGGCTAGGTGCACGCGGGTCGGCTGCGCCTTGGTTAGATGCGTGGTCGGCCATGTTTAGGAACAAGAGGGCAGCGCAGCTGGTGCCATCGAGATGGGAGAGGGGAGAGGGAAAGGATGCCACGCAATCGGGGGACAATGTCCTCCTATCTCCCGCGCAGGTCCGAGCGCACAGGCGGGCAAGGCTCACGCGCGGTGGGGACGCTGGATTTTTAAAAAAAAAAAAATCCCAGCGATACAGTAGCAGGCAGATTGAAGGCGGATGCAAATTGTCATGGGCTGTGGACCGAGATACTGTGGTGACTGTAAGGGCCGGCCTTATTGTTCCTGACACTGCCACAGTAACGTCGTGAAGTGGTGGTGGTGGCGGTGGTCCGAGCGGTGAAGGTGTTGAACTCATTCCCTACTCGACGGAGTACCGCGTACGAAAATCGGGACAGGAAAATGTGGAGAGTTGTTGCTGGTCGGCTGATCTTCCTTGCTATCTGCTGGCTTTTTTTTTTTTTTTTTTTTTCTCTTTTTTTTTTTTTTTTTTTCTTTTTCTTTTCGACGTGCTGTCTTTCCTCCACACCGTCACCACTGACTGCGCATTTCGACGATGACGGCGGACGAACACCACGAGGACAACGAGCTGCCACCAGCCGGCAACCCAGCCGAGGCCAGCAACAAGGACGTGCCACCTGCCATCGCCGCGTTTGTCGAGCGATTCTACAAGCTCTCGGACACGCCCGAGATCCACGAGCAGTACGCCGACGAATGCTTCATCCACGACGAAGAGCGTCTGCGCTTCCAGATCGGACCGATGCAGCCGACCAATACGCGCGGTGGCATCGTCGCCTGGCGTCAGAAAGGATGGGAGGGTGTGACACGCCGCAAGCACGTCGTCAACGGCATCTTTATCAGCCCCAAGTGGGACAACGAGATCATGCTCGACGGCAGCGTCGAGATGGAAAAGAACGGATCTACACTCAAGTTCAACTGGGCCGGCAGGATGGAATTCGACGCAAAGAGCCTCGAGCAAGGTGCTCCCAAGATCGAGACGTACAAGGTCTGGCTGGTAAGTAGCTGCGCTCCAGCTCCATTCTGTCTTTGCGTACGGTGTGTTCGGCGATGCTAACCTTGCACCTGTACGATGGTCATGTTCAGAGCTCTGATTGAGAGGCAGCTGCCATCAGCCTTGTATCGAGGCAGCGTGCGACACATCCGTCGTGGCAATAAAATGCACTGTCTGGTTGGATCCAAGCGCTTGATGTCTTGCTGTCAGAGAGGGAGAGCGCTGTCTGTCATGTGCCTCACGCTTCTGTCGACTTCGCTTCGAATGGATCCCCCGGACCAACTCCGAACGGCACTGAGAATAATTTACCAAAATGGCAAAAGCAGACGCAGAGCGAGGACTCTGAACGAGGCCCGAGCGCGAGAGAGAGAAACTCACCTTTTGGTTTTCGGAATTTCGGCTGGCGAACCCTTCGGGTGGAGTGGGCCTGTGCGTCCAGCTGTGCGTCGAGCAGGAGCGGCAACGGCAACGCCCCGCGGCCGGGCACCGGACATGCCCCGCCAAGGTGGAGCAGCTTCTGGGCTGGTCCGCCTCGGCTATCAAAAGCTCCACTTTTGCATGCATCCCTTGGCTGTTTGTGGGGTAGCGCGGGTGCTCTCCCTCGCCCTCACCGCGAACACGCCCCCGCGACTGCCCAGGAGTCAACCGGTTCGTCGGCCGTAGCCAGACATGAGTCCGATGCACTGGCAGCCCCGGCAGCCCCAGCTCGTGTCTCGAAGATAGGCGCGGACTTGAACAGCAGTGCGAGCGAGCGACGTGCGAGCGCGCACAAGATACAGAACCTGTGGAATCACCGCCGTCGGACGGCACGCGAGCTCAACGGACCTCGCCCGAAGAAGCAACTTGCCCGGTCCGCTTGCCCCACCCTGGCAGCGTCTGCCGTCTTTGCCGGGGTTGAGACTGATACGATGTATAAGTAGCTCGACCTTTCTCGCCCTCGCTGGGGAAGGCCCAACTGTCATTGCGTCCCCCTGTATTCCGCACATCACCACCAACCTTTGGCATCACGTCCACCATGTCTTTGATCGCCCTCGAAGAAGCCTTCAACATCCCCTCGCTGGCGGAGCAGTCGGCCTACCAGGCGCGCCTCTTCGTCGCCGACGGAAACGGCCAAGCGCATGCAGACCGCCTCGTGGACATCCACGGCGAGCGCCTCGCCAAGATGGACAAGCACGGCGTTGCTCACACCATCCTCTCGCTCACCGCCCCCGGCATCCAGGACTTTGACGAGCCCAAGGCGGCCGCCGCTGCCGCCCGCGAGGTCAACGACTGGGTCCACCAGCAGGTGCAGAAGAACCCCAAGCGCTTCAGCGCCTTTGCCAGCTTGTCCATGCACAACTCCAAGGACGCCAGCGACGAGCTCAGGCGCTGCGTCAAGGAGCTCGGCTTTGTCGGCGCGCTCGTCAACGACAACCAGCGTCTGCCCAACGACGAGGCGGCGTGGTACGACCTGCCCGAGTGGGACGACTTCTGGTCCACCGTGACCGAGCTCGACGTGCCCTTCTACCTCCATCCCATCGCACCCAAGGGCGAGATCCACCGCCGCATCTACAAGGACCGCGCCGCGCTCATCGGGCCCGTCCTCTCCTTCGCCAACAACGTCTCGGCGCACCTCCTCGGCATGATCGTCAATGGCGTCTTTGACCGACACCCCAAGCTCAAGATCATCGTCGGTCACCTCGGAGAGCACATTCCGTTCGACCTGTGGCGCATCAACCACTGGCTCGAGGATGTGCACAAGCCTCGTGGCGCCGTATCCATGAAGAAGACGATCCGCGACTACTTCAACGAGAATATCTGGGTCACCACCTCGGGCCACTTTTCCACGCTCACGCTCAAGTATGTGCAGGACGAGATCGGCGTCGACCGCATCCTCTTCTCCATCGACTACCCCTACGAGAAGTTTGAGGACGCGTGCGATTGGTTCAAGACGCTCGACGGCAAGTTCTCGGCAGAGGATCTCGCCAAGATCAGCCACAAAAACTCGCAAAAGCTCTTCCCCCACCTGCGTTCGTGATAGACGGGGCCATCGCAGATCGATCCCTCAGCATGGTTACTTGTTCCCGTCGGATTCATCTTATTATCACATCTGCCGTGCCACAATGTGTGCATGCTACTGCTTTTCGCTTGAGCCGGTCTGATCGTTGGCGAGCAGCTTCTCCATGCAGATGGAAGTGTCGACGCCGGCGTAGTATCCAAAGTTGGGGATGATCTTGTAGCCGTTTCGGGTGTAGAAGCGGTGTGCCTCTGCGAGCTTATCGCCAGTCTCGAGCAGCAGACGATGTATGCCCAGCTCTAGTGACTTGTTCTCGAGAAAGGCAAGCACGGCATTGGCGGCGCCCTTTCCGCGAGCGCTTCTGGCGACAAACATGCGTTTGATCTCTGCCGAGTCGGCATCCAGCCTTCGGAGACCGCCGCATCCGACGGGCTGCTTGTCCTGGTAGACGACGCAAAAGCAGGTGATGTCTTGCGCGGTCGGAGGTGTTCCAGGCTCCGAGTCTACGCGCTCGTAAAGCGCTGCGATATCTTTGCGCTGCTCCTTTCGCATTTCGATGGCATCCGCATGGTCCCAGGACACCTCCTCGACTTTCAATCCTGGCGGCGGTGTGACCGAGCAGTCAGTCGAAGCAGATATGGAGCACGGCACGATCCCGTTCGCAGTTGCACATACCCGGCATCATGAGCTTGTGACCGTCCTAGTGTAGCACGAGATCAAGAAGAAGCCCCGCGGGTTGCCCGGCGGAAAAGAGGCATTCGCTGCAAGAGCGGAGCGAGTCACTTTGGAAGGGTCTCGGTCTTTTGAGCGGCTACTAGCTCGCAGCGCAGCCTCGATTTTTTCGACACTGTCTAGTGCGACCGACCTCACAAGCTCTGGATTTCGTGCGTCCTCGGCGAGATGGCGCTGTTTTCTGTGGCGAGACCGGTATAAAACTTCGTCCGTGCTGCAGCAATCTGGCTCGCGCCTGCAGTCGAGTTGAGCCGATTTCGCGCGTCTTCCCGAATCGCACTGAACCCTCGCCACCAGCTGTCACGGCCAAGTTGCTTGAGCCGCTTGCATCGCCACCACCACTTCATCTTATCGCCTTCGAACAATCGACCATGAGCTTCACTCCCCGCTACGGTTCGTCCGTAACGAGGGACTACACGCTGCTCCAAGGCCATCCCAGCTCTTATCACCACTTTGGCGCCCTCGGCGGCGCCCCCACCGCCGCCCAATCGCGCGCAGCTCACAACGACGAAGCAGACGCACAGAGCGTGTCGGAAGACCACGATGCCGACGATACCGATGCTGCTGCCTCGGTCTCCTCGATCCACCAAGACGACTCGACCGACACTGGTCTCAGCAACATCTCGCTGCCTACCAACCATCTGGCCGTCGCAAGCTCGCCTGCCTTCGGCCGCGGCAATCGTCTCGCCTCGACGCCCGCGCCCATCATCTCGCCCCGCAATCGCCGTCCAAGCGTGAATGCATACCCGCAGGTCGCTGGTATTCCATCCGAGTATCTTCTCGGCGGTTCGGCCGTGCCGCCAACCCACCATGCCGGCGGCGCCGCCTCGAACCTTTCCCTAGGAGCTCCCGCAGTCCCACCTCTGTCCCCCGCCGCTCCTCACAAGCCGCCAAGGCGCACCGAGAACGACAACGCAGGGCAGAACGACGACGACACCGACGCTTCCGAGTCTACCGCGCTTCTTCATCACAACCGCTCCTCGCACCAGCTCCCCGGCTCCAGCGCTGCCCCCTCCTCGTACGGCGCAGTCCGCAGATCCTCGTTCGATGGCGCAAGCATCATCAGCGGCGGTCCCGGCGTCAGCGGATGGGCCGCCGCAAACCTCATGCGCGAGGCTCCTCTCCCCGGCGTCGAGCAGATCGAGGCCATCGCTCTCGAATCACACGACCACGTCGCCTGGCGCGAAGCACGCGTCTTGATCGGCTACACCATCCCCATCTTTGCCACCCACATCCTCGAATTGTCGCTCTCGGTGGCGTCGGTATTCTCGCTCGGCCATCTCGGCACCGTCGAGCTCGCTGCAGCCTCCCTCTCCAGCATGACCGCCAACGTTTCAGGCTACAGCGTTCTCTCCGGCTTCATCTCGGCCCTCGACACTCTCCTTCCTTCGGCCTACACTCAGCAACCCAAGTCGGTCGGGCTGTGGACCCAGCGAATGGGCGTCATCCTCATCGGTATCCTCCCAATCATCCTTGCCATCTGGCTCAACGCAGAGGTCATCCTCATCCACATCGGCCAAGACCCGGAGGTGGCGTATCTTGCGGGCCGCTACCTTGCCGTGCTTGCCTACGGCCTTCCAGGCTACGCGCTCTTCGAAGTCTGCCGACGCTACTTGCAGGCGCAGGGACTCATGCACGCTCCAACCATCGTGCTCATCTTCGTCTCGCCTCTCAACGCCATCGCAAACTACCTGCTTGTCTGGGGTCCAGACTCCATCCGGCTTGGCTTCATCGGCGCCCCTATCGCTTCCGCCGTCTCCATGTGGCTCATGGCCGTGCTCTGCTTCTTCCAGTGCGTCCTCGCTCCGCGCGACGCCTGGGACGGCTTCACCACCGCCGCTTTCAAGTGGGACGGCATCAGACCCGTCCTCTACCTCGGCTTCGCCGGCATGGTCAGCCTGGCTGCCGAGTGGTGGGCGTGGGAGATCGTCGGCTTAGTCACCAGCCAGCTCGGCGTAGTCGCTCTCGCAGCTCAGTCGGTGTTGCTCGTCAGCTCTTCGGTGACGTACCAGCTTCCCTTTGGTGCCTCGGTCGCCACCGCCGTGCGCATCGGCAACCTCCTCGGCGCAAATCGACCGGAGGAGGCCAAGATCTCGAGCAGAGTCGCTCTCATCCTCTCCCTCGCCATGGGCGGTTTGAACTCGGCCCTCTTCCTCATCTTCCGCAAGCAGTGGGGATGGCTCTTCAGCTCTGATATCGAAGTCATCAAGCTCGTCGAGTACATCTTGCCGCTGCTTGCCTTCTTCCAAGTGGCTGACGGCATCTGCGGTATTGCTGGTGGAGTGCTCCGAGGCACGGGCAGGCAAGCGGCCGGCGCAGGCATCAACATGGTCTCCTACTACATCATCGGCATCCCCGTCGGACTCGTCCTCACCTTCACGCGAATCAACCTTGGCTTGGCCGGCCTCTGGTGGGGATTGACGATCGCGCTGCTCTTCGGATCGGCCGGCATGATCTGGCTCATCGGCATCACCGACTGGGACTGGGAGGTGAAGAAAGTGCAACTGCGCATGGCCGTAGACGACCCGTCCGATCCCGCTCTCAACGCTGCGGTCTCCACCTCGCAGGGCGCTGCCAAGCCCGATGTCGAGGCGGCGTCGCATCCACGACTGGCGCAGACCTCGTCTGCCGTCGAAGCAATTAACAGTCGAGACCCCGCGCTCAGCCCTCTCGGCATGCGTCCATCCTCCATTGCCGGATCCGTCATCGAGGAGGAGGACGAAGTCTCCATCTAGCACTCCACAGAGCGTTTCACGGATCATCTCTGTGCTTGGTCGTTACTTCCAATTTACATAGCTCCCTTTCACTGTCTTTACTCCACTTGCATATGACCTGTACCTTTCAATATCACGCATACCAGTCGCACGTGTCTGTTCGATGGGTGTGACGCGCGTCAGCGGTACAGAATGGACGAGACGAGCTGCATCGACAGGAACGATCTCGTTGTGGCACGAGCACTGTTGATCGTCGCATCGACCTCGCTCGGTGATCCATTCGGTCCGCTACGTACATTCTACGTACATTAGAAGATTTGCAAGTCTGTTGGATCTCAACACAGAGAAAGAGTCTCGCTCTCTCAGGTGAAACGAGTCGATTCAGTGACGATCGTGTATTCAGAAGCAACATTGGGGGGATCTACAGACGGGCTTGGCTCTCTCCACCCTCCGAACGAAGCTGGAGAGGCTCGACGGCGCCAATGTCGCGGGCGACGTTGCGGGCGACGCCGCGGGCGGTGGCCATGGTGGTGATCATGGGGTTCACACCACTGGACTCGGGCATGGCGGAAGCATCGGCGACCCAGAGATTCTTGGCGCCCCAGACGCGGCCCTCGGGGTCGAGAGCCGAGATCTTGGGGTTGCCGCCCATGCGGCAAGACGCCATCTGATGCGCCGAGCCGATCGAGCAGATGTACGGCTTGGCTCCAGTCGAGACGATCTTCTGCTGCCATGCCTTGTAGGCAGGGTTGTTGAGGTCGCGAGGCACCGTCTGGACGGGCGTCCAGGTGGCGGGCACCTGGGTGGTCTCGGTGTAGATGCTGTCACTGCTGGGAGGGGCAGGAGCGGGAGCACCGGACGACGGAGGCTGGACCGAGCCGAGGGAGGCGGCTTCAAAGGCAGGCACGCCGGTCTGCACGGTCGAGATGGCCTCGGCACCAGCCATGAGATGCGCGTCGGCACCGCGGAGGATGCCTTGGATGAGCGAGCGCTGGTCGAAGGGCGAGATGGTGTATTCGACTCGCGCCTTGCCTTGGTCGTCGAGGACGATGCGGCCGCTGTCACGGTCACGGCAGATGATGACCATGGTGTAGCTATGGCTGTATCGGAGCATGCGAGACTTGTGGTCCTTGGCGCTTGAAAAGTTGCTGAAAGCCGCGTGAATCGAGGGGGACGAAGCGATGACCTCGATCTTGCAACCCCAGCCGTCCTTGTCGACCATCTCGGCGGAGTTGTCCACCATGGTGAGCAGTCCACCCTCCCAAGGCTTGATGGGGAAGTTGTAGTAGCCGGTCACAACGGTCGCTGGGTGCAGACGGAGGGTCTGGCCGATCATCTTGTTGCTCTTGAGCTCGGGCGATCGGAGGAGGAGCGCGGGCGTCTGCAGCGAGCCGGACGAGACGACGACGCCCTTGGCGGCCAGGATCTTGACCTTGCGTCCGTCGACGGTGGCGAGCGCACCAACGGCGCGCTTGTTCTTATCGAAAAGGATCCTCTCGACGTAGCAGTTGGTCATGAAGGCGGCGCCGGCCTCGGCGGCATCGCGGAGCCAAGAGACAACGCCGCCCTGCTTGTGACCCGAGATGCATCCGAGCTGACACTTTCCGCAGTAGTGGGTGTGTCCGCCGCTGTTCTGGGGGACGGGCTCGACGGGGTGACCGGCGCGTTGAGCGCCGAGGGCAAGGAGCGAGTTGCCGACGTTGTGACGGATGGGTGCAACGGCGACACCCATGCGGGTGCAGACGGCGTTGAGATCCGAGGTAAAGTAGGGGCTGTTGTAGTAAGGGACGCCGTACTTGTCGGACCAAGCCTTGCGAACAAAGTGACGAGGCTTGAGCGAGGCGGACCAGTTGATGGAAGAGCCGCCGCCAAAGGTGGAGCCGGCGAGGATGTTGATGGAGCCGTCTTCGGAGGGCATGATGCCCTCGCCTTCGTAGAGGAGGCCGTATCCCTGGTCCTCCCTGCCGACGACCTTGTCCGGGTGGAGGTAGATGCCCTTGTCGACGATCAAAGTGCGGACGCCGCGCTGGGCTAGATAGCTGCCAGCAACTCCGCCCCCGGAACCGGAGCCGATGACGAGCACCTCGGTGTCGACGATGATCTCGGAGCCCGAGGGCTGTGCGGCGATCTTTTCGTTTTCAAACTTGTAGTCGTACACGGGGACGGCAGGCGAAGCCTCGCCGCCCTGGGAAGGACGGGTCCAGTCGTCGGGTCGGCCATCCGGGTAGCCGATGGCCTCCCAAGCGGGCTGATGGTTGCGGTAGTAGACGAGGAGGGTGATTCCCTTGAGACCTGCGGAGGCCTTTCGCAGCAAGGTGAGGCGAGAGGTGAACCAGCCTAAGATGATCTTTTCGCGCGTGTCGCGGTCGAGCTGCGCGAAAGGGCCGATGTAGCCCGTGAGGGCGAGGCAGCCAGGGCGGGTGGAGAGGAGAGTGAGGAAGAGGTTGATGTCGCCGGCGACCTTGGGGGAGAGCGAAGCCTTGACCTGCTGGGCTGCGCAGTCGAGCAGGCGTGGGGTCGACTTGAAGCCTTCCCTTGCGAAGCGTGGCGCGAGTTCGCGCTGGCGGTCCGAGGCCTCGATGGGGAGGTGGGAGAGGACGTCTGCGGCCTCGACTCCATCGAGCTCGGGAACGATGGCGTCAGCGAAGGCGAGGAAGGCCTCCCTCTGTCCGGGATTCCAGTACTCCTCGGCCTTCATGATCTGAGGCATGGGAATGGTGCCTGTCGTGGCGACGGACATGGCGGGGCGCGGAAGGTGGGGTTAACGAAACTGTTGCTGACGGTGCTGAACGGGACGAACGAAGGTTTTAAGTATGGGAAGCGACAAGATGGGGTGTCGGATCGAGGCAGGACGGTCAGATTGATGTGTGCAGAGCAGAGCAGCGTTGGACACGAGCGTGTGTGGCGAGCCGGAAGGGCTCGAGGTTCCTCTGGGATGGGAAAGGCAAAGGCGGGCACGGATCAGGCTGGCCGATGCGGGGAAGCGGCCAGAGTGGCGAGCATGCGAGCGAGCGGTAACCGTTGGCGAGCGCGGCTCAACGCCTGCTCCACCGCTCGCATACGAGTTTCACGCGACGAAGATCCAAGGCGGCGGCGGAGCAGGAAAAAAAAAATGCGGGGGAATCTCAGTGCACGCTTCGTTGTACAAGCAACGCCTTGTTGTGCACCAGCTCACCAAGCTGACTTTGGCTTCGAAATCCGCTCTTTGCAGACGTCTTGGCTCGATGAATCCCGACTGGACGAGGTACGGCTCTACGGTATCGACCTAGTTTGGCGGAGGAGCGGGTTTTGGGGGAACGACCAAGCGGATCACGTAAGGCACGGCGGTGCCAGTGCGGCTCACGACAGCGCCGCAAACGAACCGCAGCGCGCAGCGAATCCGCGCAGGAAACACTGGAACCGAAATTTTCGCACGCTCGAGCCTTCACACAGCCGCTTTGGCCTCGCTGCTCGTCTTCTCCGAACCTTACGGCGCGTCGACATCACCAGCAGCACAATGTAGCGCCACCGCTCGAGACCAAAGCTCGGCGGTAACCACTCCGGGCACCCGTGGCACGCGCCCCCGGATTGCGCTTCCCGCCAGCCGAACCTCGTTTTCGCATTCCGCGGCATCAGCATTGTCCTCACGTCTTACAGCTCCCACACGCACCAAAAAACAGGTCGTACTGGGATTCGAACCCAGGGCAAGAGAAATCAAACCACGTTGCTACCTCGGAAAAGGCGCTCAGTCAGAATCTCCTAAGTTAACCAACTACTCCATACAACCTTGGATGCTGCCGAGGCGAAAATTCTGCGTACATATTTGGTTAAGCGCCGTCCCGGTTCGGTGACGACCGCAAGGTGGCTTGTTCGAGGCGCCACTGCATCTCCCACACACTATCCACGATCCCGCTCGTAGACACATGCCTCTGCATGGGCGGTAGGCTGCGGCAAGCACACCGACTCTTGCAAGAGAAATTCTCTGATCACCGTTCCAATCCCCTGCCAAACTGCCGATGACACTCATGGTCGTCGCTTTGAAGAAATGTGTACCTCAGTTCACGTCGCTCGACACACGCCGAAAATTGCAAAGACCAAGGTATCAACTCTGCACTCGGATGCTTTCAGACTGCTCCAGCTCATCACGGTCGCCATCTCGCTGGGAGCCAACCATGTCAGCCCGAGGCAGCCTCTCAACCCAGCAAAAAGCCATAGGTAGACGTCCGCTTTGCAGGGGAAAGACGGGAAAAAAAAGGTCGTACTGGGATTCGAACCCAGGGCAAGAGAAGTCGAATCGTATCCGCAAGCTTCCTGGGAAACTCGCCTGATCAGAATCTCCTAAGTTAACCAACTACTCCATACAACCGTGCTGAAGCGGCTCAAATGTTGCATATATATTCTCACGCTGAGATTTTGGCCTCCGCGTTCAATTCGGAAGCTGAGGGTGTTATCGACAGAATGGATTGCGGCTCGACTGAGATGCGATTGCATTGTCTGCATCAGAAGAGCTGGTCTATGTCTCTGAGGAAGGCCTCGAGATCAAAAGGGATTCCAGCGTCGATGCTAGCGTCCGACTGTGTGCTGTACATCAGGTCGGAGAGTGGCACGGCTGAACTGATCGACGCCGGCAAGGCTAGCAGGGCACTGTTGTCGTGCAACTTCCAGCTGGGCGCTTCTCCGCCATGCTGCAGGGGTTCGATAGTTGGAACGGCGGAGAATGCTGCAGCATCGTAGGCTCTCCCGTCCGCAGCTTCGTGGACCGCAGAGGGCGATCCGGCAGTCGCCATTCGAGGTTGGCTGGCTCTCTGGGCTCGAGTCTGTAGCGGCCCCATGGAAGTCTGAGCTGAAGCGGCTGCGGAGCGAGCTGACGTGGTGATTTCCGTCTGTACTTCCACCGTCGGCTCATGCTGATGCCGATGTGGGGCTGGGAGCGAATTCGGCACCTCTTGCTGTTCCTCTGCCGTGAAAGCTGTTCCTTCGGTCGCCACGGGCCGGCGAAAGGGTCGGTAGACTCGATAATACAGCTGCCAGACCTGGGCCGTATTGACCATTTCGAGAAGGTACTCGGAGGCCACCTCCGCCACGGTCTCGACATCGTTCTGCGACGACTGCGGAGTCAGCTTGCTGACCCGACCAGCTGCAGCCTCGATGAGCGTCAGAGCCGTTGCGAAGTAGGAAGGAGCGCCGCCCCAGGTAACGAACACGAAGGCCATGCTCTCGAAGGAGCTCCTTGCCGTGTCCACCGCCAATGCGCTCACCAGCAGCGCTGGCATCTGGTGCAGGTAGCCGGATGCATTGCCGCCAGCAGCCATCCGCTTGCGTAGAGCGGGTTGGCGATCCAGATGAGATATCGATGCAAGCACGTCATGGCTGAAGTCCACCCCTGAACGTCCCATCTTCGAGACAAGCTGCACCACGCCAGGCTTGTCTTGGTGGAGCCTGTCTCGAATGCTGCGGATCATATCTTCAACCTCGACGTGACCATTCAGTTTGCCCGTATACAGTGCCGAGGTGCAGTACCTGCTAAAGACGGTACAGGCGTACGAGCATTCGATGTGCAAGAGCTGTTCCCACAGACGAACGATGCGCTGCTCCGAGTAGGCGCCTTGCGATGATGAAATAGAAGCGTTCTCTTGAGTTAGGAGGCATCGTCTGGACATGCATTGCGCAGAGTGTACTTCGAACTTACCCAATTGACAATCTCCGTCTCGGATCGCCAGAATCGCAGAGGTGTTGCTTTCATACAAGTCTGATATGCACATCTGCTTCTCACGCAGCTCCAGGTCTGGGTCAGATAGCACTTCTTCCACTCGACGGACAGAAGCAGTGAGAAGGCAGAACGCTTGCATGCGGAGGCAGATAACCGTACGGCCCGCGGAACGCAAGACCCCATCCTTCCCTATCCGCCTCTCCATTTGGGCTGCGTATGTTCGCACGTTGTGGTGTAGGGTGCTGGCCGAGCCTAAAGAGTCCTGAAGTCCAGGCAGCTCCGGCAACTTTTTCCCGTGGTCGTCGACGCTATGCAGGACCTCGCGGATCTCCGATGCTAGCTTGGCATCTAGACCGTCGGGAAAGCGAGCACGTTTGGCGATGAGGCAAAAGAGGCTTTCCCAGACGCGGAGGCAGGACCAAAGGCTGACCTCTGTTAGCATGGACGCTGGATCCGGCTGGTCGATGTGCGCGTGATCCAGGCCCAGCTCCTTTGCGATCTGAATCGCGCAAGTCAGCAGGTTTTCGGAAGCCAAGCCCAGGCCCCGTCCCTGCGGCTCGAATTGAGAGGCGGCAGTACCGACAAGACCGGGCTCGTGCGATATGAGCAGCTCGAATGCCATGACCAAGTGGATGTCCTGAGGCGAAGATAAAAGCATCTGTGTGCCTAGACGATCCACATAATTCGACAGAGCGCGGATGTCGGTCGAACCCAAGGCGTCTTCGAATCCTTTGAGGCCTAGCAGCGTCATGGTAGCAAGAAGCAGAGCTCGAGGACGAGTAGGGTTCTGCGACTGCTCAGAGTGAAGTTGCGAGAGAGATGGAAGATAAGGGTGACCCACGAGATAGACTTGAAGTTCACCTTCGAGCCGTGCCGCCTTGTCAGGATGGAGGAACGCGAGAATGTCTGGCGTTGAAGGAGGAGCGTCAATGCGGAGGCTCAGATACCTCGAATACTTTTCGCTCGAGTCAAGTCGCCCAATTAGGGTGAGAAGATTCTTTGAGACGGTCCTCCATCCCTTCTGGCTTCCCAGCAGGAGTCGCTGATCACGCATGACGTCCGATGCTCCGAGCTGCTCGATGTCGATGTTTTGGGGCGCTGCGACTCGCGTGGCAGCAGCAAAAGGGCTTTCCGAGCTCTTTGAGCTCGATGTATCCGAAGCTCGGTCAAGACGACCTGTAGGATTGGGGCTTTGCCCATCGGACAAGGGTCTGCGTTGTGATGAATGTGAAGACGTTGCAGTCTCTTGGTGCGCAGAGCTGCTGGCGGGAGATTCGGCGAGTCGTTCCAGTCTGGGTTTGCGCTTTCGATCTCCATCCCAGACGACGCAGTCGATGCCGAGGACGTTGCAGCGGTGGCATCGCTTCTCGGCGGGCAGAGGGGTCTTTGCGCTGTCGACGTAGACGTCTGGAAGCTCGCATCTGGCCTTTTTTTCGCGGCACTTGAGACAGCTCCGTCGCGCCAATGGGCGTTTCCGTGGCGCAGCCGCCGACACCGACCGATCGGCCCTCATCGAGGGTGGAGATATGGTGTCACTTAGCGACAACAACCTCGCCGCGAGGATCTGTGGTGAAGGCAAGACGGACCGAAGCTCCTCCACGCGAATTTGGCCATGTCTGTGAGTTTGGCAGGTTACGCCCAGCTCCGGAGAATCCGAGGCTGAGTCCGTGTGAGGCGCGCCCCTTTTTGACGCGTCGAAACAACTCCGTCGGACCTGTCAAGGCTCGCCCACTCACGACCGCTGTTGGCACGCGGCAAGTCCGCCGGACTTGGCACTCCACTCGGCACCAAGCACAGCCGCCCTCCGCCGTCCGAGTCCGCCGGAGCCCTTCCAGAAGACATGCACTCGACAAACTCACTCGACAGTTCTCTTCGCAGATCAAGCGAGATAACATGCTCGAGCATCGCCACAAAGATCTTCCAGCTTGATGGCTCGAATCCGCGGACATGGATCATCGACACGGAAGAGAGACTTGGGACGTACATAAAAGAGCAACCATCGGCCTCCTGTTCCAACTCGCTGGTCCCTCATCGGTCTTCTTGTCCTGTCCCTGGTTTTTGTACCGTTCTTTCTGGTCTCAACATGATCGACGCTCTCCTTTTTGCAAGCCTTGCCATCGGCGGAGGAGCTGCTGCCTCGGTGGGGCCGACCCCAACTGCAGCGGCCGAGGGTGGCAGTAAGGTTGCTCGGGCTATCGCCGCTGCCTCGCCGAGTCCGACTGGCATTCTCAAGTACGAGCCAAGCATTGGAGGCAACTACGTCGTCGGCGGCCTCTATGCGCTGTACAGCTTGATCCTCTTCTACTACGTCTTTCGAAGGAAAGAACGGTGGGCGCTCTGCCTGCCTATCGGATGCTTTTTCTCGGCAGTTGGCTTCTTTGTCCGTCCGTCCATCGATCCCTTCGACGTCAGCCTCGGTCTCTACATCATTCAGAGCATGTTCGTCGTGATCTCGCCCGCCGCCTTTCTGGCCTTCAACTACCTCCTCTACGGACGAATGATCCTCGCTGTGGATCAAGACTTTGGACGGTCCACGTTGGATGTGCAGGAGCTCGAAAGCCAGCCTCTGAACACGGCACAGAAGCTCACCATGCTGCACAAGGCCGGAGGTCCCAAGCGGGAAAAGTCGCGTTTCTCGTTTATCCCTCCCCGCATCGTCGGACGCGTCTTTGTCTGGAGCGACGTTATCACTTTTATCGTGCAGGTTGGGGCTGGCGGCCTGCAGGCTTCCGGCGGCTCGGGCGATGCAAAGATGGCGGAGCTCGGAGACCACCTCTTCCTGGCAGGTGTGATCCTCCAGGGCGTGTCGTACATGCTCTTCACGCTGCTCCTGACCTACGCCACGCTTTTGGTGATCCGGGAAGGCGCCCGCAATCCGGCAGCCATGGCACATGCACGCACGATCATGGGTCTGGAAGCTCCTGTCTTTGCTCTCGTCGCCGGTCTCTACTTTTCCTCGGTCTTTGTGATCGTAAGTCGAAGTGCTTCCTTCCGAAAAAGAGCTGCCAACAACTGACCATCATCGCCCTTCTTCACATATTCCCTCACCACAGATCAGGTCCATCTATCGTATCATCGAGTTCTCTCAGGGTTACAGCGGCTACCTGGTGTCCCACGAAAGTAAGTCAACGTCTGCAGGCCAAATACATTGCTGTCGCTGAGCTCCACGCTGATCACCACATCTTTCGCTGGATTGTTGTCGTTGCGATCATCTGTGCGCCACAGTCTACCTGTTCATTCTGGACGCTGCGCCGCTTCTGCTCGCCGTTGGTGTTTGGGTGGTCATGTGGCCGTCTACGCTTCTGGAAAAGGTGTTTGAAAAAAGATTTTCCAGGTACGGCGGCCACTACTTGGCAAAGACTTCGTCTTAGAACGTCTTGTCCTGGCATGCTTCTCATCGTCAGCATCCCTATGCTTCATGACTCAATGCAAAAGAGATGTTGGAGAAACGTTCGTGGCGTGGTGCGGTTGGAGATGTGCGAGCGTTGCGTTCGTAGAGGCGGCTAATGTTACAAATGTCGAGACGATATGGATGCGATGCCGAGCAGAGTCAAAAGGTGCAAAGGGTGCGGGCGGGATGAAAGGAATCAGCCCATCTGTGCAAATTCACCGACGCGCTGGAAAGAGCTGGTATCTTGGGAGTCGGACGTGGTGGTGTCCATGTCGGCGGCGGTGTCGGCCGAGCTTGCGTCTTGCTGCTGCTTCAGCTCAAGCTGCAAGAGCTTGTGGTTGCCAGGATGCATGAGCTTGGACTGTTCACTGTTGTTGAGGAAAGAGACGTCCGGGTGAGTGAGGCTGAAGTACGTACGGGAGCCAGCTCGTCTCTAGTGGGGCTGAAAGAGTTGTACACTTACGGGTATCTGGCGCTGATGCGCACCATACGGAAGAGGGGCAAAGCCTGCGGGTCGCCCTGCCAGTCGCGCAGCAATTTGACGTTTGTGGCGCTGGTGAGGTCGGGGAGCTCGAAGCCCTCGAGGTATTCCTGGTTCTCCTTTGCCATGAGCTCCTTGATCTCGAGCTCGCGCTTGTGTGGGGGGCGACCCGGCCTGCGCTCTGCTTTGAGTTCTTGGAGCTCGTCCTCGTGGCGTGTGAGGAAGGTGTCTGCGACGAAAGCATGGACGGCAGCCAGATCAGGCAACGCATCGAGCTCGTCGGGAAGCATGAGGATGAGGGTGGAGAGGCGGTCGACCTTTGCGTTGGACGAGCGACCGCGGATAGCCTTGGCGGTGTTGAGCTTGTCCTTGCGATGCGCCACCCTAGCTAGCTGCGTGGCTCTTCGCGAGTACGGGTGCGTGGGACCCGACTTTTTCTTTATCGAACGCTCCGAGATCTGTCGAGGCAGGTAGCTCAGAAAGTGGTCAGCGCGCTGCATTCCTGAGAGAGACTAGCGTTACTTTGTATCCATACCTTTTTGCCACCCATCTTGATGTGCTAGTAGATATGTTGCCGGTGATGGTGTCGGAAATGTGAGCAGCAGACGAGGATGTCGAGCTCCTCCTGGCTTTGCGTGGACCCTGGCCAAGCTCCGAGCAGGGCAGGAAAAAAATCCCAGGCGAGAGGGGGAAAATTCAGCGCCTTCGAATTGCCGACTCCCGACGATGCTGGTGAGATTGACAAATCGGTGATGAGATCCCCCGATGGATACGACTGACTTTGACTTCTTTTGCGATTGCCACCCTTTTCGGGAGTGACATTGCTTTGACAGATGTGAGCACGGCTCATCCCGAAGCAGGGCCCGAGCTTGTTTAGACGCCGATGGCTAAACCTTGTCGGTGTTTTGCGGATGCCGGCTGGCAGGGGGACAGCTGCATGTAGGCGAGGTGGACGGCGGCTGCGTGGTCGCCTGCAAGATGATCGACACTATTGCGTCGAGGGGTGTGGAATTTTCTGCACCCTTGTGGGCGCACGCACAGCGAGCATTTGCGTGTTGCACCGGAGCGATGCAAGCAATGCGTGCGAAGAAACGAGGCCCGCCCCACTGAAGCTCGGCGATGTCGCGCGCGCCCAAGAGAGCGAGGTTTCTCTGGGATTTTTCCTGTCTGCCTCCTGTCTCCTCTGCTTGTTCGCTGGGCCTTGCAGAGTCGGCAGAAATCCACAGACCCCTTTTTAGCCCGTCGCGTGCACAGCCTCGAACCAGCGCTGGTTCACAATTTGGATCTCGACGGATGCCGAGCGGCTTTGCGAAGCTTGGCAGCCCTTCACAATGCACGCACGACATGCTGCCAGCTCGAGGCGCGACAGGCGTGAGCTGGGCGGGAGAGGTGCATCGTCTGACGTGCGGGTCAGCCTTGACTGCTGCGTGGGGCCGGCTGCACCGACATCCCGAAGAAACGAAAAGCATGCCTGCAGGCTGGGGTGCATCAATGCGCCCAAGCACGCCGATCTTTGCGCACGGGTGACCACACGGCCGTGGTGGACGCCGTCGGTCGAGTCCAGCCCATCATCTCGCACGTCAGCCGACGATCGAGTCCAGCATGCACCGTATGCATGAGTGACGCCGACAGTGCGGCCGTAGTTTCGAGGGTCGCGCAAGGTTTCAACCAGAATGGCGGCGGCGGCAGCCTGCAACTGAATTTAGAAGCAGGCACGCGCCGAGACGGTCACGATCCGAGGCTCAGGAGTGGGCACGAACGACACTCTCGCGCGCGGCATGGCAGACAAGGGCAGAGTGGGCGAGGAAAATTCAGCACCCGCTCCGAGGTTTTCTTGGGCAATCGCAGATGCGCTGCAGAAGTGCAGTGGCGTTGCAGCTGAGTGCAGCTGGAAGCAGCTCAGTGGACCTCACACACCTTCGCCTGTCAGATGCCAGCAGGTGCGAGTCAGTCTCACCAATCGCACCCTCAAGCTCGGTGCGCATTTGGATGTCACGCGTCGGACACCGCCTCAACGCAGCTCGAAATCTCGGCTCGGCATGAGTGAGAGAGGATGGAGCTGCTTTGCTCGGCATCCGCTGCCGTCCAACTTGCACGGCATGCTCCGCACCCGTCGCTCTGCTGCCTCCCTTGCAACCGCTCCTGGAAGCCCCCCCCTTCTGCACCCCCCTGAGCCTGCCGTCCTGAGACAACCACGCCTTTTGCACCCGCTCGTGTGTTGGGTGCCTTCGAACGGGCCCAACTTGTCGCCCTAGCCGTAGACGCCATCCATTCTCCCTTCCATCATCTCGGATCACCTTTACCCTTTCGGACCACGGAAACGCATTTCCCCCCATCACCATGGTCAAGTTCTCGCTCGCTGCTGCCGTGCCCCTCGCACTCGCAGCCGTTGCTGCCGCCAAACCCGACTTTGAGCGCCGCCAGGCCGCCTCGGGCTCGGGCACGCGCTCGTCGGCGTCGGGCACCGCATCCGCCGCTGGCGCTGCTGCTCCTACGTCCACCTTCACCGGCACGCTTCCAGCCTCCGTCTCGTCGCTTCTCGCCGGCGTCTCGTCGGGCCCGGGCGTCACCACCTCCACCACCTCGCTCTTCACCACCTATGCCGCCGGTGCCAAGAACCCGCAGGTGACCGGCGCTCCCGGTCTGCCGGACGTCAACACCATCGCGCCTTCGAGCTTCCCTGCGCTCGACGTCATTCCCCCGACCGACTCGGCGCAGGTGCAGAGGTGGATCTCGCAGATCGACTGGTCCAAGGTGCCCAACGTCACCACCACCGTCGACTCGGCCTCGTGCAGCGGCAACCCCACCAACCTCGCACAGGCCGGCGCCAACGGCAACTGCTGGTGGACGTGCGGCCAGTGCACGCGTTCCACCGACATCACCACCTGCCCCGACGTCAACACCTGGGGTCTCTCGTACGACGACGGCCCGTCGCCCTACACGCCCACTCTGCTCCAGTACCTCAACCAGAACAACCTCAAATCGACCTTCTTCGTGGTGGGCTCTCGCGTGATTTCGCGTCCTCAGATGCTCCAGACCGAGTTCCAGCAAGGCCACCAGATCTCGGTGCACACCTGGTCGCACCACGCGCTCACCACGCTCACCAACGAGCAGATCGTCGCCGAGCTTGGCTGGAGCAAGGAGGTGATCCGCTCGGTCATCGGCGTCACGCCCAACACCATGCGCCCTCCCTACGGCGACATTGACGACCGTGTGCGTGCCATCTCGCTCCAGATGGGCCTCACGCCGATCATCTGGACCACTCCCCCCGGCGGCAACCCGTACGACACCAACGACTGGAAGATCGCCGCCGGCGTCGTCTCGCCCGCCGAGGTGGTGTACAACTTTGAGTCGATCATCAAGAACGCCTCGTCGCTCTCCACCGGCTACATTGTGCTTGCGCACGACCTCTACCAGCAGGCCGTCGACATTGCCGTCAACATTGTGCTGCCTGCCGCGCAGCAGATGAGCCCCAAGCAGAACCTCATGCCAATTGTGCAGTGCCTCAAGAAGCCCGCCTCGGACGCCTACGTTGAGACGTACGCCAACAGCTCGGGTTCGCTGCCTAACGAGGTAGGCACTTCGGGCACCCACTCACTCACCGCCACCCAGGCTGCTGCCGGCTCGCTCGCCACCGCCACTGGCGGCAGCTCGGGCTCGGGCTCGGGCTCGGGCTCCTCGGGCGCGTCGATGGGTTCGGTCCCCTCGTTCGTGCTGCCGACCGCTGTGCTCGGTCTGGTGATGCTCAGCTTTGGCCTGCTCGTCTAAGCTCGACTTGGCGTTCCTTTTCTCCCCGGATAGATCCACCCGAGTTCGGCATCAGGACCGGAACATTTGCTACCCTCATCGGACAATCTCCTCTTTTCCTTGCGCGTTTGCGCAACCCCTCATCGCAGTAGAGGATTCGTGCCTGGCGTCGATCCTTGTGTTGCGGTGGCAGGCGTTGCACCCGAGCCAAAGCTTTCCACTCGGCTGAATGCTAGTTGATTTGCTTCTGACAGTCAGTGTCTGTGCCTGTGCCCTTGTCCGCCTCAAGCGAAAGTCAGTGAAGGCAGACCGGCATATAGGCATATGAAAAAACGGAAGCGTGTTAGCCCTTGGCCGTCCACATAGTGCGCGAAATTTTGGGCCCAGCCTCCACTTTGTTGGTTGTGTGGTGGATGCATTGGCCAACACTCGGCGACGCGACCTTTTTTCTGGAAATGGGCTCATTTCATGCAGCCAAATATGCGCTCGGCCCCTAGCAGAGAGGGTCAAGTGTCCACTGGCAGCAGAGAAGCGGCACTGATGCTCCTGTGGCTCGCAACTCGAGCCTCTTGCCTACACTCCTATCTTTCAACCTCGTCTCCGCCGCCCGATACGTCGCGACCGGTCACGCTTCGATACTCGCCTCGTCCGCGTCGGCTTGACGCAGCTGCCACCATGTTCAAGGCCATCTTCTCCTCGTCGAGCAGCTCCAAGGAGCAGAAAAGCAAGAGCGACTCGAGCTCGCGACCCTCGTCGGCCTCCTCGTCCAAACACAAGCAAAGCTCATCGCCTTCATCCTCGCCCACCATGGACTCGCTGCCGCTCCTACCTTCGCGTGCCTCGAGCTCGACAATGGCTGCTTGGACCATTCCGCCCTTTCCACATCCGCTTCCCGAGCGTCGCATCGGCGTATTGCCTACGGGGCAAGGGCTGCTAGTCTATCCACGCAGCTCCACACATGTCACCGGCCATCGCCATCATCCTACCCACCACGTCAAGGCAAGCACCTCGGCTGCTCCCGTCGCCAACTCGTCCAATCGGCCGTACGGCTCAGGCGACGGCTTCAAGGTCGCCACCATCGGGGCTTCCCATGCGCCTTCGTCTAGCACCTCGGCCGCCCCAGTAGCAGTTACTGGTGGACTTCCCACTCTCACTTCGCTCGATGTCGGCTTCCTCATCGACTGGACCAAGGAAGCCAAGATCACTCCGCTGGCCCCCCCTGCCTGGTCATCCCTCTTGGACAGCGCCTCCTCCGACGAGCCCACACTGGAGTGCTCAGGCATCATCGGTCTTTCCCGCTTCTTCAGCAGCAGCTATCTGTTTGTCATCACCGACTCCAAGCTGATCGGCCACTACTTTCACGATACTCGCCCCATCTATTGCTGCACCGGCGTGCTTGCCATCCCGCTGCTGCAGCAGGAAGCTACGCAAGCCATTCGTGCTCAGTTGGCAAAGCAAGGCGACCCACCCAATCAATCCGCCCAATCCTCGTCGCACAAGGATGATGCCGATGTCTCTGACTCGAAGGATCAATCGAGCTCCGAGAGCGAGGGCGAGGCCGAGTCGAGCGAATCCGACTATGACGACGTTGAAACTCCGGCTGCTATCCCGAGGGAGCCGTTCTTCTCGTCGCTCCCGGCATCGCAACGCAGCGACACTTTGCGCATGCCCAAGTCACGGCCCTGGCTTACGCGTGCTGCTCGAGCCGTCTCGGATGGCCGCATCGAGACCATCTCCGAGGATGCAAATACGCAAGCCAAGTTGGCAGACGCTTCCGTCCACGACGTCGACGTGACTGACGAGCCGGAAGTCATCCCAATCCCAGACCCCGTTGTCGACGCAGAAGTTAACAACACGGCAGTTGTCGCTGCCACCCCCGACGAACAGTGGCATGCCGCCAAGCAAGCTGAGCTCGAGGACAAGGCTGTCAGAGAGACAGCCAAGTACTGGGCTCGCGGCGAGTTCTGGTTCAGTTACGACTTTGATCTCACCACTTCGCTGCAGAACAAGCGGCGTGCGCTCGACAAGTCAGTACGCTCTGATTCAGGCGCCGCGCTGCGCTCGATGCCACGGCCGCTGCATCCCACGCCGGGCTCAGCCAGCGACGCTTCCGACTCGACCAGTCTGACGCACTTCCCTTTGCTTGCCGAGCCTTATCCGAACCTTCCGCTTTGGCGCAGAGCAGATCGACGTTTCTGGCACAACGAGCACATGTCCAAAGATTTCGTCCACGCCGGCCTGCATGCCTACATCCTTCCGGTCATGCAAGGCTATCTGCAAACGGTCAATCTACCGGTGCGCCCGCAGGATGGGCCCGAAGCAGATACAGCGTCGATCGAGGCCAAGGACGACGAGCCGGTGGTGCGCTGTCAATTGATGGTCATCTCGCGCCGCTCGAAGGAGAGGGCAGGCCTGCGCTATCAACGCAGAGGCATCAACGAGGCGGGCCAGGTGGCCAACTTTGTCGAGACGGAGCAGCTGGTGTACGTGCTACGCAGTCGTGCAGGTGCGACATCTGCTAGCGAAGTGGTCGCGGATGCTCTTTCGTTTGTGCAGATCCGAGGCTCGATCCCGCTCTACTGGTCTCAGAGCCCCTTTTCGCTCAAGCCGCCGCCGGTGCTCGAGCGCACCGAGGCGGAGAACATCGACGCGAGCCGAAAGCACTTTGGCGTGCAGGTCGACCGATACGGCTCCATCACGTGCATCAACCTGGCAGAACAGGGCGGCAAGGAAGGTGCCATCTCGAAAGCATATCGAGCTGCAGCGGAGAAGTTGCGGGACGAAGACGTGGCCGAGGGCAGCACCAAGACGTGGGACCGCAAGCAGCTCCACTATGTCGACTTTGACTTCCACAAGGAGTGCTCGGGCATGCGTTTCGAGAACGTCGCCAAGCTCATTGCGCAGATGGAGCCGACGCTGGCACAGATGAAGTATTACCATCATCGCAGCGTCGGTGCCGCCAAAGCCGAGGTGGAGGTGCTCAACACGCAGACGGGAGTGTTCCGCGTTTCGTGCCTCGACTGCCTGGACCGCACCAACGTTGTGCAGTCCGCCTTTGCCAGGCATGTGCTGACCGGTCAACTTGCGAAGCTCGGCATTCGAGTGGGCGAGCCCGCTTCCTCGTCTGCGTCTGCCGCCGAGATGGCAGCGGAGTGAAGCGATCATCTGGTCACTTTTTTGGAATGATCTTCAGACCTGTCACAAGAATGATACCCCTTCATCACGGCTTCGAAGCTGCAGTGTGGCCATGTGTAAGCATCGCGCTCCTGAGCCAAACACAGAGTCGGGGAACAGCGTTTCGCAAATGAGCTGAATGTCCGATTTCGCGAAGAGTGTCAGACAGGATCGGGTATACAATGCGTAGCAACAAGGGCGAATGGTGTTGGCTAGAGCCAGAGTCGGCGCTTGAGGCCTTCAATCAGCGGTCCGAAGAGAGGCATCATAGCCTTGGCTTCGTCCAGACTGTAAGGCAGGAAAGAAGTGTGTCAGTATCTTGCCCTCGATGTCAAATGGAGATGAGTTTGGTGCGCACCTCTGAATGGTCTTGCTCGTGACGAACGGTTCCTCCTCTTCCTCTTGGTCCGGATCAAAGGCGCCTGCGTCTGCACAGCATTCGCACAGCAGCTCTACAATCCTCGCCACTTTGCGTTTGGACGAGACAGGCCCATCGTCGTCGTCATCCGCGGCAGCTGCGGCAGTGCTGCGGTTGCTCGGCGCCGAGCCCAACGAGCCGCCTTTGACCGTGTGGTAAAGATGGCGCGAACGCATGGTTGCGCTCGAGGCTGCTGCTGCCGCATCCTCGACCTCGTCCGAGATGGCGCGGAACGCAAAGATGCGTCTGGCAGCGTCGGCAGCGTGTGCGGACGAAGCGGTCGCCGCTGTGGTGGTGAGGTTCTTGATGGACGCCGTCGTGTTGCTCCGAGAGATCGAGTTCAGGTACGTCACCACGACGCCCCAGTTGTCTTCGGGATGCGAAGACTCGTGCGGCGACGTCACATACAGCCCTGTAATATGAACGCAAATCAATGGTCAGAGCCGAACTCTGCAAGCGTGCAATGGTGTGACGGGGCAGCTGGGCGGACTCACCTTCCTGGATGCCAACGATGTCGCCCACAAGTACTTTGGTGAACTCGTTGAGCTTCTCGCTGCCAAAGTCGTAGCTGCACACGTAAAGAGCCTTGGAAGTGAGCAAAGCGACCTTTTCCTCGAGCTTGAGCGCCTGCACCGTATTGGGCTGAAGCGGGGAGCAAAGTGTCCAGCCACCAATGAGCGGCTCGATATCCGGTACCACTTCGCGCCGGCAGCTTTCGATGGCGGAGGTGCGCACACGGGCGAGCCGGATGGACTCGGACGGATCGCGGCTATTGAGATCGTCGTAGTAGCGCTCGAGGCCGTGAAGGCCGATGGAACCATATGTGAAGTCGAGCACAGTCTGGCGGAAGAAGTCCGTCACTGCGCCTTGAACCATTCTGTAGACGGAGTTGGTTGCATCGTCTGTGGAAAGTCGAGGGGGAAGATCGCGTCAGCAGGTTGTTTGTCGATTGCCGATCGAAAGGCAACGTACTGATCATGCCCAAAAAACTCCTCTTGCCAGTGCGGGTAAAGTCGACCTTGAGCGCATCGGTGTTGGAGTAGCAGTGCGAGATTGCGTTCGCATTGTTGGCCCAGACGTCGTTGAAGGCATCGTCGAGCGCCTTGTCGGTGAGCACGAAGCGGACGGCAGGAGTCTCCTCGGCCCTGGCCGCAACATCGGTTCGGGCTGCGCTTGGCGGCGCCACAGCCGTAGCAACCTTTTCCTTAGTCGAAGCCGCTGGCGGCTCATGTTGAGCCGACATGGTTCAGAGACTGATGCGGCGGTACTCGGGGCAGCAAGGTCGATGAGATGCAGGAAGTGAGAGCCAAGCAGCGATTGCCAAGTTTGATCTGCATGATGCAGCCGCACGCCCCTGAACCGACCTTTCTTGGGACTTTTTGCGGCTGTTGCTCGAGCCCCTCGCAAACTCCACATTTTGGGCGCGTCGAGAAAAGCAACACAAAAACGCGCTCTCTCCGCATCAGCAACTTTTCTAGCTTATACCGTTCTTTGAAGCGGAGCAACGATCCCCACAGGAGCTGACGAGGCTAAGTGAATACCTGAAATTCAGCGAGGTTGTGGTCGGGGAGACTATTCGAGCACCAGATCCTCCGAAGCCGCACGTTGGCGTGGATTTTGACGTACGAGATCGAGTCGAATTCGCCGAAAGGATCGAGATGCGAGGGGCGAGGGTCTCGAGGGATGGCGGGCAGCAACGAGCTGTCGGATAGTGACCGAGCAATGCGGTCAAGAGGCAGCGTCACGACCTGCCATGCTGTGAGCGTCGCTTCGTCTTGATCGGGTGTTGGTGCCATTGTCAGGGGAAGATGCAGCAACGGCCGGGATTGCCGACTCTTCATTGGCTCGGAAGGCCCGGCTGTTGCGCTGCTCGCAAGAGGCAAGTAAAGCTTCGGCTTCGTCTGAAAGCTGCTGAGGCGGACAATGCCGCTGCGTCCGATTCGGTCCTTGATACCCACTTCGAACGCGAAAGGCCGAGCGTTGCCGATGGATCGAAACTGGAACGAGATATGCGGCAGCTTGACCCCCAGCTCTGCTTCCAGTGACCGAGGACTGCGAATGAAGGTGTTGCGGATCGCTGGCGACTGGATGTGTAGGATCGTTTCGATGCTGGTGCCTCTGGACACAGGCTCCACACGCAGCTTGAATGCAGACGACGCCTCTTCCGGGTCTGACGAAGCTACTGCGTGGGTCGCATCCGCCAAGACTTGTATGCCCGAGTCTTCCTCCAATTCAGGATCACGATGGAGTATCCATAGCGCCAATGGGTCGGAGGAGGTGGACGAGAACAGACTCAGAGACTCGGGCTGCACAGTGTCGCCGAACAGGCTGTGCGAGGCAGGCGCGGATGGCATCAGAGTGGCCACTGGAGCAGACCTTGCGACGGCCAGACGTAGAGTGCCATCCCCGCTAGATGGAATGTCCGCGCTGATGGCGTGGCGGAAGGAAGACGGCATTGGGTGTGGAGGTTTGACTTGGTCGCGAGTTACCGCCGAAAGATCACACGGCGGAATTCAATGCTCAAGCTCGCGGCTTGTGGGAATTGCGGCAACCTGGACGGAGCATCCGGGCCGCTCGATCTCCTTCCTTCCATCGCTCCCTCTCCACCTTGCCGGCTCGAACGTGTGACCAACTCTCCCTTCTTTCCTCCTCTCTGCCCTGCACTCGGCACATCCGAAGCTTGACCGACACTGCGATGGATCAACTCAAGCAGCGCCTCTTCGGGCCGCCCGAAACGTCCTCAGCGCTCGACACGCTGCAAAGCTTGGCCGAGTCCATCTACACGAATCCGCTCAACATCGCCCTCTTCCTCGCCGTGCTCTACGTCGTCGTGCCGCTCATTCGACCGCCTTCGCCCAACTCATCCCGCTGGACGCCCACCGTGGCTGAGGCGCGCTCCCATCAGTCCGCACCTTCCGATCGCTACACTTACCTGCCCCCCAACCATCCCGACACTGTCGAGTGGACAAAGTATACGCCGCGCACGCTCGCGGTTTACGACGGCACAGGCACCAGCGCCTCGGAGCAGGACGGCTCGCGCATCCTCCTTGCCATCAATCGAAAGGTCTTCGACGTCACCAAGGGCAAGAACTTCTACGGGCCCGGCGGTCCGTACGGCAACTTTGCCGGCAGAGATGCTAGCAGAGGCATGGCAAAGCAGAGCTTCGACCTCGAGATGCTCACGCCCCTCGACAAGCCCATCGACCAGCTCCAAGACCTCACTCCGAGCGAAGTGTAAGTGCCCTGCCCTCTCCCGCTCATTCCGATCGAGGCTCGCCTTGGACGTCCTGCTAACACGGCCCTCTGACCATTCGCAGCAAAAACATGAAGGAGTGGGAATCCCACTTCACCGGCAAGTACGGCGTCGTCGGTGAGCTCATTGACGAGGCGGAAGCATGAATTTGAACAGCACGACCAATTACAATGCAATCCTTGCGATTCTAAAGAGGTTGCATGGACCGTTCGGACGGTAGAGTGGAGTGCCTTCCCATTGCGAAGCTATCGCGCCAGGTCATCGCGAGCCGGTGCCCCAGAATCGGTCACCAATGGATCCGCAGCCGGGCGTGATGGCAAAGACGACGCGACTGCCCTTGGCTGGCGACTGCGTGGTGCTCGGCTGCCTCTGCACGCTGGCGCTCGACCCCCGCGCTGCGCCCCTCTCATCCCGGCTGCCGAAACGACCATCGATGCTGAGCAACGGCGGTGACGCAAGCAGGTGCAGATCGCTGCGTCTGTTGAGTCCGGGCGACAGATCATCTTCGTCGACAGGAGCATTGTCTGCGAAGCTGCGCATCGCCTCGCCGGACTCGGTGCGCTGGTGCTTGGCCGCCGCGCTGCTGCTTGCCGATGTTTGCCAAGGAATGCGCAGCTTCTGCAGGCCTGGGTCGACGCCCGCCACCACGATGCGCACGCGCGGGAAGGCACGATTGAGCGCATGGATGCCGCCCTGTGAGCTCGCCAGCAGCGTGAGGAAGATGATCTGATGCTCGGGCACCGAGTGATCCAGCAGCACACGGATCGCCATGAACGCCGCTGCGCCCGTGCCGATCTGCGCATCCAGCAGGAACACCCACGACTGCTCGGCGGTCTCGCGCCGACGGATGAACGACGGTAGCGAAACATCGTACAGGTGCGGCTCGCCGTCGTCCTCGTTCGACTGGATCAGCAGGCTGCCCAGCGACATGGCCGGGAAAGCGCGCCGCAGCGAGGGCTCGAGCACCGCACCGGAACGTAGGATCGAGACCGAGCAGAGACTCGAAACGTTGAGCTCGTGCCCAATGTGCTTGCGTCCGCCGTGGATGGTGATCTCCTTGAGCTTGTAGGGAAGCAGCGTGGTGGCTAGCTCCACCACAAGCGTGCCAACGCGCTTGCAGGCGAAGGTGAATTCGGACGTCGGGGTGGATCGGTCGTGCAGGATGCTGAGAAGGCCTTGCAGCTGCGGCTTCTGCGCCAGCATAATCACGTTGGGTGGCAGGCTTGTATCGTCGGCCACTGACATGCTAGAAAGGCCGCGCACGAGCTGCGGCGCCGAGAGGCCGAACGATTCGTTGCGATTCAGCAGTGGCTTCATCGGCGTAGCACTCGCGCGTCGCTCGTGCGGCGACCCCAGGCCGTCGTACGGACTCATGGCAACAGCCTGAGCGGACACTTGTGTCGCAGTGGTCTTGTAGAACTCAGCACGCAGCTTACGCGATCGGTTGCGCAGCTGCTTCTCCATGTGCTGGCTGATCACCTCGATGGCCACCTCGTTGTGCGAGCCGGGCACGATCATGTCGGCGTGGCGAGCGGTGGCCGAGACGAACGTATCGAAGGCGGGCTTGACGAAGCGCAGGTACTGGTCGAGCACCGAGTTGACCGAGCGGCCTCGCTCGACAATGTCGCGTTTGATCCTGCGCGCCAGCATGAGGTCCGAATCGGCCTGAACGTACACCTTGAGGTCGAACAGGTCTCGAATCTCGGGATCGTGGAGCACAAAGATGCCCTCCACGATGAGCACGGCGGGGCCGTAGAGGTAGTTGGTCTCCGAGGTCCTCTGATGCTTGACAAAGCTGTATACGGGGATCTCGACCGCTTTGCTCTGACGAAGGTCCTTGATGCACTGCTTGAGGATGTCGTAGTCGAAGGCGTCCGGGTGGTCAAAGTCGTACTGCTCCTGGAACGCCAGCTTGGACTGCTCGGGCGTGAGCGACTTGTAATACGCGTCCTGGCTCACGATGGCGACCCAGGGCACGTTGGGCAGTCGCTTCAGGATTTCGCGAGCGACGGAGGTCTTTCCACTCGCCGAGCCGCCAGCGATACCGACAACGTAGGCCGGCACCGGCTCTCCGACCGAGTTGTACCACGGCGCACGACCAGCATCGGTGAGCACGATGGTTTTAGAGCGAGTAGCAGCGGATGTGCCTGAACCCGAGGGCTTTGCCGATGGCGTCGCTGCACTAAGCGAGGCAGTGGAAGACATCATCGACGGCGAGGGATCCGCTGCAGCAGCAGCGGCGGCGGCGGCAGCAGCGAGTACGCTGTGGGACGAGCCGGACCCCGGCTTGTCTCCGGGCGTGACGGGCTGCAAGATGGGCGTGCCATTGCCCGAAGGCCGCTGGACGATCTTTGCCGCCTGCATGGCTGCGACGAGGCTGTATGGCGGTGGTCAAGGTACGAAGGACGGCGCAGACGCTCTCTTTGAAGCTGGGGTCAAGAGCGCATGTGGAGCGTCAAAAGCCGTGGTCGAGCTCTGCAGTTGAGAAAAAAAAAATCCGCACCTCTCGCTCGACCGGGCCGATTGGACGGACCAGCAACATCTGCACACGGACCGCCTTTTGAGCCTTTTTTGGTACGCACCAAAATCCAGCTTTGAACTCAGGGTCTCGACCAAGCAAGGGAGGTGGAGTTCGGCTGCTCGGAGCACACGGCCGTCGTGCTACCACAAGTCATCGTACTGAATACGGCCAATTCTGACGAGGCAAGGTAAGGGGGAAGCAGCGGAATGGCGGACCCCGACGCACCATGCACGAGCCAGGCGGGTGACGATCTCTTGCGGCCGTACATCTCCTTGGACGCGCCCCGGCTAGTGCTGGATCTCCGGCCAGACGCAGCCTTTCATCGCGAGCATCTGGTCGAGTCGTACCACATCGCGCCGGTCTCGGAGCTCAAGTCTCGCTACAGCTATCTGCCACCGCGCAACGTGTCTTTCCTAGTGCTCGCCGACGCTCTGCAGCGAGACGACGTGATCGAGGCTTTCGCTATGATCTCGTCTGCGCGGATCGTCCTTCTCTGTGATGGAGATGTCCGTGACCAGGGCGCGGCTCCACCAGGCGGCGTACAGCTTCGTAGCTCGTCCTCATTCTTCGACTCCGCTCGACAGCTAGGACTAGTACGCAGCTCCACGGGCCACCAACAACGTATCGCTGCCGACGATAAGCAAGACGTTCCAGCGCTACTCTTCCGTCCCTCGAATGCCGTGCGCCGGACGGTGCTGCAGCTCGAAGCCAAGCCGCAAGTCGACTCGAGCCCGCGGAGGGTGCTGGATCTAGGCTGTGGTGCTGCGCGTGATCTGGCGTGGATCTTGCACGGCTCGCGTACACGCAATGCCGCCGCTTCGAGCCGCGTCGCTTGGACCGGCGTCGCCATCGACAACTGGAAAGCTGCGCTACGTCGAGGCGAGCAACTCATGGACGACCTCCACCTCGACCCATCTGCCTCGCAGCCACAGCCGGCTACACAGTCCAGCCCGATATGCGAAAAGCTGCTGTGGGCCAAATGCACCGACCTCGGCGAACTCGAGCCTCTGGTAGGCACGGGCAAAGGACGTTCTATTCGCTCTGCGGCCGAAGATGCAGATTTGTGGAACGAGTACGTCCAGGTGGGCCTTGGGCCTCTGCTGCCTTCTGGCGATGGCATCGACAAGGACAACCCGCAGGCGCAATTCGACCTGATTCTATGTGTGCGCTTCCACCCGCGCGCTCTGCTTCCTCGACTAGACCGTCTAGTCCGCCCGGGCGGAGTGATCCTGCTCAGCCATTTTGTCACGCTGTCCGACGCAGAGCGCGATGTTGCCATGCAGGCGCACCCGCATGCGACGCTCGACTACGACTCTCCGCCACACGAGGGCCGCATCCAGCCCGGCGAGGCGGAGGCCCTAGTCGATGCGTGGAACCGATTGGCAGATTCTCCATATACGTGGACAGTAGCCGAGAGCGTGTTGGAACCCATCGAAGATGGCAGGATCATCAAGAGTCTCGCTCTATGCAAGACACGGCGGGCGTCCGCATAGCTGCCGGCATCGTAAATGTACTTGTATCTTGTCTTGGTTTCGTTGTGCGCGTGCGAGGGCTCGAGATCATCGCCAGGATGGATCATCGATGCTCGTCACCACCGTGTATGGCGCCAGCAAATGCGACATGAGCCAATCGCCGTTGGGCAGATCGTTGTTGTCCGCTACAGATGTGGGTGAATCGATAGTCAGCTGCGTACAATCTTGACCGCCTGCATCGAGCTCGCTTACCTCTCCAGATCGCCTCTTCCGTGTCCTTGGCTACGCCGGTGGCGACGTGTCTTGTGATCAGACGTGTCTTTGCGTCCTGTTTGGAGATCTCGAACACGAGCCTGACATCAAACTGCTCTGCTGCGCGCTTCCATTCGCCCACATCGCAGTTGCAATACAGTCCTTCGAACACTACGACGCGATGGCTGGGCAGCACGGCCACGTCGTCTTCCAACGGATCCTTCTTGGCATGGTCGAACGAAGGCGCGTACAGCGGGGTCGAAGCGGTGCTCTTGACCGTCACGACAAAGTCTGCAAAGCGCTTGGCGTCGAATGTCCACTCGGCACCGCGTCGATCGAAAGCCTCTTGAGCGTTAGGGAAGGTGGACAGCACCGAACGAGGATAGTGCCACCCATCCATGCCTACGCAGATCGCCACATCCTCACCCGAGGCCACCTCTAGGCGTGATTGCCACGCAGAATTGAGAGCTCTGACCAGATTGACGGCAAGAAGCGACTTTCCCGATCCCGGAATGCCAGATATCCCCACCAGAACTCGCCGTCCCCCCTCGAGCCTACCCAGACCGAGCAGAGTTAGAACATCGCCAAAAACCAAATTGCAGCACGTTGCGCAGCTCACCTCTTGACTTGCTCGAGCAGATTGCTGACCAGCCGATCTACTTGGTCTTGCATCTCTGTATCTCGCTCGAGTCGCCGGCTCGACAGGAATTGTCTGCTGATGGTGGTCAGCAATGAAACCCTGAATCGCACGGTCCACTCTTCGGCCAAATTCTCCACATCGGCTTGCTTTTCGAAAATGGCCGACCGAAATTGGGGTACACAAAAACATGAAAATCATCAATCGTTAAGAAGAAATCTTCGGCTTCTGTTCTGAGTGTCCTTCCATCTGCCAAGGCCACATCCACAGCCGTCTCAGGACCAGCTCGCATTTCGCAGTTCAGAAAGCCATTGCGATCAGATTGAAGCATATCCAGTGCAGTTCCATGGGGTATAACGATCGAGATGTCCCGAGAGTAAAGCCTAGCATACTTTCGCACCAGCTGTTGACAAACCAGAGAGTGCAAAATAGACACGTCAGCGATCGTTCAGCAGCGTAGGCTGTCAGCTGGAAGCTACTTACCATTAGTAGAGACGGCGAGGATCAGATTGAATGCCTCGTCGCGATGCTGGACGTTGGCGAGAAGCAGCGGCGCCTTGCCGTTGTTGCGCACGATCTTGAGTCCCAAAGAGCTCCACACCATGAGGCGGATGCTCTTGGTCTTGATGAGCGACTCGATCGCCACGACAGGCGTGCGACCTCGCTTGAGCGAGGGCGAGTGCAGCGGCGTGAAGTAGAGATACTTGGTGTTGACGTGCAGCCGGCCGGGCAAGCCCTTGTACTGGCAGAAGAAGCTGCCGAGCTTGCGCGGCTTGAGCGTCGCATCCTTGGTCGTCTCGACATAGTCAAAGCTGGCGCGCGAAGGATCCTCAATGTCGCCATACGCGATGCCCTCCTCGCGGCGATCAGGCCGTGGCTTGAGCTTCGAGGCGCCGGGAGAACGCACGGCGCGCCGCACATCTTCGGCCGTGCTGAGCTGACCTGCGAATCGGTCAATGTCAAGGTGACGCTTGCGCAGCAGCTGGACCGCGAACTGCGCATCCGTCGGAGCGCCAAATGTAGCCCACCAGAGCGGCGAGAGGGCCTTGCGATGAGAGGGAAAGTAGCTCTGCAGCGGCAGAAGGCAGAAGAACGTGATGCCGAGGAAAAAGAAGATGGCCTTGGACACGTACTGCGACGGTGCAAAGGTCACAAAGAGGTTGAGAACGCCGAAGAGGATGAGCGTCCTTCGCGTCGCCGCCGAGTTACGCCAGAGGATGAGGTTCTTGACCTTTTCGTGAAAGTCGGCCACGAGGCCCATGGCCTCCTGCGTGGGCGCACCAAAGGTGACGATCCATCTCTTGTAGATGTTGAGGATGTCGAGTCGGCTGCGTCGTCGCAGCTTCTCTGACAACGTGTTGGCTGCTTTGCCTCGAGCCATGCGCATCATGACCTTCTCGTGGAGGTAGCTTTCCGAGGGCGGAAAGTACTTGAAGCGCATAATGTAGAACATGATCGTCAGGATGAAGGCTGTCGGGATCATGTTGGTGTACCACAAGACGAAGTAAATCATGGCTGCGGCTGCGGTAGTTTTGGGATCCTCCCATCGGTAGAGTCGACGTAAGCGGAAGGCGAGGTTCTCCCAGAAGGGCGCGATGGTGTAGAGACGCTCGAGATGCGAGCGAATGAGGCCTTCGCGGTAGCCTCGGTCGGGGTGATGGTCGATCTCCTCGGGAGCGAGCTTTTCGACGAGCGCGAGGATGTAGGCGATGCAGAAGGCGACGCCATCGACGCCCTCGTCTTCGGCATTGACTCGCAATTCGTCGCGTAGAGACATGGCGTGTCGTGCGTCGTCGCCGGAAGACGGCACGACAAGATCCCAGTCTTCATCCTCCTCCTCATCCACCGTGTAGGCACTGGACGCCTTGCCTTTGGAGGAGTGCTGCTTATTGAGCTTCTTCGACTTGTCCTTTTTCTTATTCGGCGAAGAAGTGTGGCTTGGTTGGGAATGTAAGGCGGTGTCGAGGTCGTCATCTGCCGACCGAGATCGCGGCACGGAGCCTGTGCCCGATGGTGTTCGGCCTTCCCCTGTCAGCTTTGCGCCCGCTTTGGCGATGGACGATGCCTCGAGACTCTCCGAGAGATGGTGCAGACCACGATCGACGCGCGTGAGCATGGAGGGACGCTTTCTGTCCGGCACTGCTGCGCTCTCGTCGTTGGGAGAGACTCGAAAGTCTGACCACTTTGGCATCCTGTACTTTTGGTTTCCGGAAGGGCGTGTAACGGTAACCTCGCGGGTGTGTCGTGCGAAGTTTTGCAGGAAAGTCTCGAGCTCGATGTCCTCGAGCTCGAGCAAAGGTTGGCTGAGCGCTTTGGAGGCGCCACCGCTGTAGGCACTAAAGCCGCTTTGCGCGTCCTTGTTTTCGCTGAGCGAGCGTTCTTTCTCGCGAGCGGCATGGAGCAAGTCGTAGTCGAGACCTGCTGCGACTTCGCCTTTGGTATTGAAGCGGAGACTGTCGTAGCCGTCGGCCTCGCGGATGAGATGCGCAATGGTGTCGTCTGAACCGTCCGAGTCGTAGTCCTGGTGGTGGTCCGCCAAGAAGAGATCGTCGTGTCCGTCTCCTCCATCTCCTACGGGGGCGAAGACGTCGAGATCCGGATCCTCAAGGGATGTGGGTGCGTGCAGTGGTGCGGAGGTTGCCTGAGAGCGCCGCGGATCCTCGGGCGGAGTGTCGCGACTGACGTCGTAGAGGCCACCAGGAAAATGACGGGTTGCGTCGCTTCTCACGAGGTCAAGGTTGGCTGGCTGAGAGGACAGATAGTGCGGAGCTGCCTCCGACTCGGAATGCTCATCGTGGCTCTCGATATCCGAGTCCTGAAGCGGCACTTTCGATTTGCGCGACCCGAAGATTTTGCGCTGTCGGATCCCGTCAATGCTGCCGAAGGAGGCCTGCTTTGACTTGGAGCGACGATGCTGTTCAAGGGCTAGAGCCTGCTCCAGGTTCTCTGGTCGGAATGGTTTCTTGGTTTCAGAGGCCCACGGAGAGCGGCTGGGCGTCTGAGAGCCGCTGGCGACTTGGGATCGGGGAGCAGAGGAGGGGATGTGCTCGTGCTTGTCATCCGAGGAATGATGCCTGAACTTGGAGAGGAGTTTGGAACCGATCGACTTTCGCTTTGTGTCGGATTCGAGCGTGTCATCAGTACCGTTGGTGGCGCGTTGGCTTTGTCGAGGGATGACCGGATGCTTGACCGAAGCCAGTTCGTGGCGTGGGGATGAAGCTGCGGCGGGAGGGTCGACGGCGGGTCTTCCGCTGCTGTGTGGATGCTGCGGAACAGCCGAAAGGGACGGATCGGCCGCGGAGGTTCTCGACGAGGCATGGCTATCTGAGTCTTCTCGCACAGGCTCTGACGAGCCGGGCACGCGAAAGGACGACATGCTGTGTTGCGTCGCACGCTGTCCTAGCGTCAATGTGGAGGATTTGGGTAGGATGATGGATGGGTTCGGACGAGCCGAAACGGCCTTCGTGACGTGAGTCTAGAGATGCGCCATCACTTTGACTGCTGCGATACGGTGGCGTGAGACCGACACTGATGCGATCGGATGGGCCGTGCCTTTGAAATGAGTGTGATGGCGGTGAGAGGTGTAGGCCGCGGTCAATCGAGCATGAACACCAAAACTATCGATGCGGGCGCCATTCGGACCGCGGATGCACTTCGATGATCCATTCACCGGCGGGCCTCTTCGCCGCCACTATTTTTGCAGACACCTCGGCAGGAATCATGAGGAGCATCGAGGGGGTTGTGCCGTCGTAACTTACGGCGAGAGGCTTGGACCCAGGGTCTTTGCCCAAAACACCTTCCTGTGCGGGGAAGCTCCGGGGCTCGCACAGTCACGTAATTGTGAATGTGCGGAAATGAACGTGGAAGCGCGCGCACCCACGCGGAAACATGCCCGATGTAACACTGCCACCATTTTGCGCTCGCCGCAGCCATTTATACTTGCCTTGAAGCGGATGCCAGCCCACCTTCATCTGCAACATCAATCGACCTCGTTGGACCGACGAATCTGCACCTGGAGAGCGAGCGAATGCGAGATTACTTGCCGATTCCGTTCGTTCTGTGATGTGTCCCAAAGACACCGTTGTCAAGCCGGTGCCTCTTCACACCCGGGCTCGCCAGGTCAGACTAATCGGCGACGGCGAACGACTGTCTTCAAAATCTTCCATTTGAGCATGATTCTGGAGAGCCGTTGCTGAAACTAAGGGTCGCAACGAGCAAGACTCTGACACACACCTGGCAGCAATATCTCGTGGGCTTCCGGCACCGACGCACTTGAGAGCGCCTGCGATGGCTGCCCCATCGGAGTCGGCTCGGTCTGTGCCTGTCTTGCCTTGAGCGGCTGCGTTGCACTGTCGTACCCACTTTCGGTCTACGGCAACTCCTCCTGGTCCACCGCACCAACCCACTCGGGGTCTCATTTCTGCGCAGCGCACCTCCTGCATCACTCGTTCAGGCTTGCTTTCCGAAGAAACCTCGCTCTCGAGCACAGCGAACCTCCCTCCATCTAGCGCAAGCTGTTCCTAGACTTACAAATGGCACACTGTATCCGTCCAACATCATTGAAGCTATCGTTGTGGGAGCAATGAAGCACGGTCATCGGACCGGTTTCCGCGATCCCACTTTCCAGGACGCCTCACTGGCTTGGACTTCATTTGACCGTTGTCCCCTCCGACGGAAAGGGCGCAGCGCAACGATCATGATGCGAGTGCCACCACATTGTAATCAGACGACTCCTCGCCATTCATGCCTACCCGCAAGTCTTCCTTCCTTGCAACCCCTCCTCTCACTTTCCTCCGCATTAACCCCTCCTTCCCCACTTGTTTCCATCACGACGGAAGAGACTTCACTCGCACACAACCCCGCTTCAACGCTTCTCGGACTCTGAGCTCGACCATGCTGCCCATTCTCGCACCATCCTAACTCATTCGTTCTTTCTGTTCCACTCCGATCGTCACGATGCGCCTCCTGACCTCGCGCCTACTCGTGGCGACCATTGTCCTGCTTCTCCTCGCTGCCTCGTGCCAGGCCTCTGTCAGTACGGGCCATCAGAGCCATGACATCTTCGACGTAGCTCCTTCCTCTCGCCATCTAAGTAAGAGAGTCGACGAGGAGACAGTCGCATCCGCGTGGTCCAAGGCACAGGTCCCCGAAAGGCTTCGAAACTGGAAGATTTTCCAGGATGGCGGTGGGTTCCGAGAGACGATTCGCAAAGGCTACATTGGCTTCCTACGCAAGCTCGACAAGCTGCACGAGCCATATCCAGAATTCCGGCACATCAAGAAGGAATGGATCTACGAAAAGGATCTGCGTCAACACTATGTGCTTCCTCGTGTGCTTCGGATTCCTGCCATTACTCAAGAGACCGCCATTCCCAATCTCAAACCCTTCGTAGCAGCCCTGAAGGATGCAGACTCCGAGCTCAAGCTCAATACGGAAGCGCGCGAGCGTGTGCCCAATCTTTCCGAGCACCTTGACGAGAAAGAGGCGGAGGCAACGGCGGCCGAGTCGGATGCACAGCCGTCCAACAAAAAGAATGCAGGTACGGACACGTCGCAAGACATCAGCGGGTCTCCGCAGCGCGGCTCGCGACGCCGAAAGCCGCGACGCTTCAACCGGCTGAATAGCTTCCAGCAGTTCCGTCCGGCGGAACCTTCAGCAGAACAACCTCCCCTGAGCCAGGCCTCGTCACTCCAGCGTTCAGAGATCCAGAGCGAGGCATCGTCAGCCAGGGGCAGCGTGGATCAGCCAGAGCGGGCCGCCACACCCGTCCAGGAAGAGGCAAACGCGGATCGCGAGGCTGACAAGCAGCCATCCGCAATGCGACGCTTTCGCGACTCGATCATGAAGTTCCAGGATCGATTCGAACGGATCAAGAAATTTCGAGATGACCAGATCGGCAAGGCGTCACTTCACTATCAAGCTCCGACGCAAGCATTCGCCCCTCACAGCGTACTTTCTCCCGAGGAGATCGGTCTGAATCCAGTCCGCCTTCCGACCATCCGTTCGGGTGATTCTAGTCTGGAGAACACGCCTCGTGTCGACGACGGCAAAGGCAACGAGGCCGATGTTTCGAACAGCGTCTCTCCGGCGCTTCGCAACAACGACCCCTTCGGACAGTCTTCGGGCTTGCATCGATCCGGCTCGGTTGAGTCGCAATGGAACGGCAAGACAGATCCGTCTCCACCGCTCTCGCCCTACCAAAGCTCCACGCCGAGATACGGTGGACGCACGGGCACTCAGACCCCAGGAGAGCCTGGCCTGCCGTACGACTACGCCGAGATTCTCCATGCCGCTCGCGTCAGGCACGGATTCGTCCAAAGAATGCATAACCCCGCCGATGCATCCAAGCAGTCGCTCTGGAGGGGAAGCGAAAGGGCCGGCTCAGGTAGTGAGACTGCGTCCGAAAGCGGCTTGGGGGATTCACCTTCTCGGTCGGCCATCCAGAGGATGCAAGAGGAGGCGGACAAGCACAACATCGGCTATGTTGTCTATGATGGACCTACGTCGCCAGGCGTCCGCACACCGAGGTCACCGGTCAGCGATGCAGAAGTGTTTCCGGCACGATCCGTCTCGCCCCAGCCTCAGCCGGCGGTGAATCCTCGAACGGACTCGCGGCCTCGAGTTGCTGCCGCTGGTCGGCGAGCGCGGACCAAAGGTATCGCCCGCCCTGCGAATCTCGGATCCTTGAGTGTGCCGCCACGCTTTGATACCGGCCAGAAGAGCTTGCCTGGTGTGGATCCCTTGCCTGGCGTGGAGTCGCCTTCAGCAGAGGGAGCGCCTGCAGCCAAGCGTAAGCGGCCAGACCCGCTGGGTGATCCATCCAGCTCGCCGTCTCCAAAGGGCTTTGTTGGGTTTGGACCGCCGCCTGGCGAGCTGCCGTCTCCGCAATTCCCCGGCTTCCGACGCTCCATCCCCGGCAAAGACCAGCCGAGCGTCGCAAGCAACGTCGCAAGCAACCGTCCAAACACCAGTCCCAATCCGATCATGGATCCCACGGTTCCCGCTTCGGTCGTCTTCCGCCGTCAACGCCTTCAGAATCTCGTGCGTACGGACCCCAACTATCTCTCCAAGCTTCGCGGCAGCACGGTCGCCGCGAGCGAGGCCAACATCCGAATGGCGCGCGAACCCAACGCCGCACGCTCCGGCCGGGACTCTCCCGATCTTAGCCGAGCACCCACGTTCCCCCCGAGAACCATGCCGACTCAGCAGGACTGAGATCTGGCTCATTCAACGCTCTCTTTACCGTCCCTCACCTCGTAATCTGGCGACCATGCGTCCGTCTTCCTGTCCCTCCTTTCTTGTCTCCTAGCTCTCTTTCAACCTCATTTCACCATCTGCCTCACTGCGCGCGTCAGCGAGACTCTGTAAGCATTGAATGTCTGTCAAAAAATGGAGGATAGGGCTAAGCCGACTGTGGACGGTTGGTGATGCCGCAAATAAGCTCGGCGAGAAGTTCGTCTCCGGAGCCAGAGGCGATGATGGCCTGCTGCTTCTTGATTTCCTCGTCGCTGCTCGCCGTGGCTCCCGCGCGCTTGCCGAGACGCTGGTTACGGAAGTAGTGCGAGAGCAAAAAGGCGACGTCCAACGACTGTTCAAAGTTGAGACGCGGGTCGCAGTGGCTCTTGTATCCGCGCTCGAGGTCCTTGGGATCCAATCGCATCGAGCCGCCAAAGCACTCGGTGACGTCCTTGTCGCCCGTCAGCTCGAGATGCACACCGCCGAGGTGGAGCGTGGGGAAGTCGGACGAGATGATTTGGAGGAATGCGAGGATCTCGGAGATGATGTCGCCGAACGAGCGCGTCTTGAGCGGCTGCGCATTGGGATCTGAGGATGCGGGCGGGTAGGGGCTCGTCTGAGTGTTGCCATGCATGGGGTCGCACAGAAGGATGATTGAGTCCTTGTGGTTGCTCGCCGCGATCGCCTCGAGCAGTGGGGGAAGGTGCGTGGCGACCTTGGCAGCGCCGAGACGGATGATGACCATGACACGTCCCTTTTCCTTGCCGTACACCACCTCGGGCGCACCACTGGGCGTGGTCCAACCGCTGGCACGAGCCGCGGTGGCAGCTGCCGGAATCGGAACGTCGGGATTGAGGATATCGAGAATGTCGATGAGCTCCTGGGGCTTCATGGAAGGGCCGACCTTGATGCCGACGGGGTTGCGGATGGAGGAGAAGAAGTCGACGTGTGCGCCGTCGAGCTGTCTTGTCCTGTCGCCGAGCCAGATGGTGTGAGCGGAGAGATCGTAGCGTTCGAGGGTCTCGTTGTCGAGAGCACCGCTGGCAAGATCCGACGCATGCACGTTGCGGGCTGGGCTGGGCTTGTCTGCGGTGGGCTTGCGCACGAGGCGGGTGAGCGCCTCTTCGTAGGCGAGCGAGAGACCCTCGTGGCTGATAAAGTAGTCGACCGAGTTGAGCACGCTGCTGGAGGAGAAGGTGCTTGTGTCTGCGCCGATGGTCTTCATGAAGTCGAGTGCGTCGGTGAGCGAATCGACGACCGATTCGAATTCGGCCTGGAGGGCGCTCGACTGAACGTGCTGGAACGACCACTGGCGCGGAGCGTGAAGGTCAGCCAGGCCGCTGGCGAGCTCGGAGCGGATGTGGTTGAGCGTAGCGGCGGAATGGAAGTAGGCCTGAAGCAGACGCTCTGGATCGGGAATGCGACCGCTGGCAGGCTCTGCGCTGAATGCGTTGATGTTGTCGCCGCGGAAGGAGATGATCTCGTGCTTGGTGGCCTCGCCAGTGGCCGGGTCGACCTTGGTGATGATTTCGGTTGGCTTGGAGCGGGGCTTGGCGTACTGACCGGCGATACGACCGATACGCACGACAGGCTTGCGTGCGCCCCAGATGAGGATGAGACTCATGAGGAGCGAGAGCTTAAGTTTGGCCTGGATCTGCTCTGGGTTGCAGTAGTCGAAGAGCTCGGCACAGTCACCGGTCTGAAGGAGGAAAGCGTTTCCCTCTGCGACCGAGGCGAGCTGAGTGCGGAGACGGTCGATCTCGTTGGGCGACACGAGGCCTGGAAGTCGGCCAATCTTTGCCATGACGGACTGAAACGCTTCAGCCGACGGATAGTCGACCTGCTGCGCCTCGTTCTTGGACTTCCAGGTGGGGTTAGCGTGGTATTCGGGGGCGGACACCGAGGCGCCGGCCGAGGGAAGGCGCGGAGTCGATGACATTGCAGGCAAAAAGCGGATGCGCAGGGTGTGCTCGGATGGTGGTCGTGGAGCTGGAAGCAGTGACGAGCGTCGAAGTATCCTGCACGAGTCACCAGAACTGTGGGTGCGGTGGAGCATGAACGAGAAAAAAAAGTGGGACCGCAAGGCCGGCTTGGAATGCTGTGTGGCTCCGCTGCACGGCTGCGCCTTCCAGGGTCTGTGCGAAGATCTTTGCTGCAGGATCAGAATCGATAGCCGCAGGGCCGTTTAGGCCGAATGCGCGGGACACAGCTTTGTTAGACCTTAGAGCACTTTGGCTATGTCAGACCGCTCGTGATTACAGTTTCAGCCAAAAAAAAAAAAAAAAAACGATTACAGAAGGCTCGGGTCACGGATCTGGCCTTATGACGACGAATGTGTGCGCCGTGTATGATTGGTCCGGACATCTGCGAGTCATGGGAGTTGGTGCTGATTCGTCCGATGATGCTGGTGAATGCGATGCACCTGCGCTGATGAGATGGAGCAAGCTCATTGGCTGCTGCAGATGCGGATTTATCGTCGTCGCATGGCAGGATCCATTGTCAGGCGGCACCTGCATCGAGCTCACGTTTGCAAGACCCTTGGCCCGCCTTGATCCACACGGCTATACCATGTCTGGACGTCCTTTCGGGTGTGGCTTCGGCATGGCCGTCTTGACCGAAAAGTGCGGGGGTGGCGGAGCATGCCAGGAACGTGAACACAACTCGGCTGTGTAGATGGGGATGCGGGGAGACGGCCGTGTGGGGAAACGAGCGAGGACAGTGGCCAAAGGTGAGGAGATGCGCGTCGCACCAGGAACGCCAAGACCGAAGGCTCGTCGGTACACACGGACGCCGAGCGACAGGTTGCGGGCGACACCACGCGACAGAGACAAGGACAAGGGGCGCAGGGCAGTGGCATGCAGTACCGGGTCGACCGGCTACTCAACGACGGTGACGGGGCGGGACCGGACGGGTCATCATTCGAAGCGATCATCATTGCTTGTGCGACCGAACACCCTGCCTGCCACTCCGCGGATTTGGCAGCCCAGCTTTGCAGTGCCCAGAGAGAAGCTGTCAACGCGGGGGTGGCGTGGAGAGGGTTGGAACTCAGACGCTCTTCTTTTGCAGCGAGTTACAATGGGTCTGGTCGGGTCACGAACGGCTAAACCGCGTCGTTTGCATGTCGCTTAGCGCCACCTCTGTTCATTTGCCGCGTCCGCTCAGGATTGCAATTTTGTACCACTTTGACTGCCTGACTCGACTTGGTCCAACCCCTCGCTTGCAGCCGTTCGGGCCCACCTCGCTTAGTCTTGTCTGTCTCATCACCGCTTGCACGCTCGACGTCCGGACTCCAAGGCACAAGGCCACATCCGGCTTAACCCGCGAAGCTCGAGTAGCCGCAGCACAACTGGTCTCCCCCGCCTTGAGAAGCGCGTGTGCTTTTCTTCCTAAATGCACGAAAATCACAGCGGGAACCGCGTCGCCACTGGGCTGACAGCTGCAGAGTCGACGTCTCATTTCGCAGTCAACCGCCCCTCCCCATCACATCCTTTAAAGGCAACGCTCAAGCCTGCCTCTCGACGTCCATCACCCTCTTGCCCTTTCCTCGATCATACCCCCCGCTGCAGCAAACTCGATCCAGAACTATGTCGGCACCAGCGGCACAGGCCGACCTCGCCCAGGCCCGCGAGGCCTCCTCTCCCGGCGACAGCATCCACGAGACCAAGCACGAGTCCATCGACAACCATGTCGACGACGATGACATCGACTCGCTCAGCCCCGAGCAGCGCGCCGCCCTCGAAAAGTCGCTCAAGAAGAAGCTCGACTGGCAGATCGTCCCCCTTTGCCTCATGCTCTACTTGCTCAGCTTCCTCGACAGGACCAACATCGGTCAAGCAAGACTCAACGGCCTCGAGCAGGACCTCAAGATGAGCAAGGACGGCCGCGACTACCGCATTGCCCTCACCATCCTCTACGTCCCCTACATCATCTTCGAGATTCCCTCTAATCTCGTCGTCAAGCGTTTCGGTCCCGCTCGTTGGATTCCTTTCCTTGTCGTTTGCTGGGGTCTCGTCTCGATGTTGCAGGGCATCGTCACCAGCAAGGTTGGTCTCTACATCAACCGCGCATTCTTGGGCACTACCGAAGCGGGTATCCTTCCTGCACTGGCGCTGTACCTCACCTTCTTCTATAAGCGCGAAGAGCTCGGATTGCGACAGGCCCTTTACTTCTCCGGTGCCTCTCTGTCCGGAACCTTTGGCGGCCTTCTCGCCACTGCGATTGGCTTGATCAAACGACCCCTCCCGGGGTGGGGTATGATTTTTCTCATAGAAGGGCTGTTCACTATCCTCTTCGGTATTGCCTGCTTGTTCATCCTGCCCAACGACATCTCCAAGCTCTGGTGGGTCACCCCGCAGGAGCGCAAGCTCGCCTACGCCCGTATGGCTCAGCCCGTGACCACCCGAGCGCCCGACGCAGAGAACGGAGTCGTGCCCGACGTCGCTGCTACGGCAGAGAAGCGTGTGGCTGCCGTCGCTGACGACGCTTCTCTCGAGTACACCGGCAAGTTCGTTATGCGCGAGGTCATGCGCACCTTCACCGACCCCATCGTTCTGCTCATGGCTGCCTCCGGCTATGCATACGCCACGCTGCTCTACTCGAACGCCTTCTTCAGTCCCACCATCATCAAGTCGCTTGGCATCGCAAAGTCCACCGCCGAGTCCCAGCTGCTCTCGGTCCCGCCCACCGCTGCCGCTTTCTTCGTCTCGATCACCGCTGCCGTCCTCTCAGACCGCTACAAGTGGCGCTGGATCTCCATCGTCGTTTTGATCCTCATCTCGATCGCCGGCATCGGTCTCGCGTATGGCTCCAAAGTTGCCTCGCAGCGCTACGGTGGTATCATCCTGCTCTCCTGCGGTACCTACTCCATCCCCCCGCTGGGTATCAGCTGGATGCTCAACAACACCGCCGGTCTGTACAAGCGTGCCACTGCCATTGCGCTCTACATTGTCTTCACCAACAGTGGCGGTATCACCTCTACCTGGCTCTTCTACAACAACGAGGCTCCCCGTTACAGCCGCGGTTTCCTCGTCAACCTCTGCCTCAATGCCGGTGCACTCGTCCTCGTCTCCGTTGCCGAGCTCTACATGATCTGGGAGGGCAAGCAGCGCAAGGCGGGCAAGCGCGACCACCGCGTCAACAAGCTCCGCGACCAGGGCTGGAGCGACGCAAAAATCCGCGAGTACCTCGGCGATCAGCACCCCGAGTTCGAGTACATGCTCTGATCCAAGCCTCGTCTGTAGTAGTATCCTAGCTCTCTTGTCACCCTGATCCGTCTCAAAAACTGGTCAATCAAGTTTAGATTGCCGGCGTAAAACTGTGTTTTGATTGCGTGTGGTTGCGGCCTTCGCTGCAATTTAGGCTGGGCTTATCTTCGCTGCTTGTGCTTCGAGTCTGGTTACGGAAAAGGACAGGGACGTGGTTGCGTACAGCCTATCTACAGAACACGGAGCGGAGCGAACTTGACACTCGGTGGACAGCAGGCCAGGTCGACGACGAGAAAGGCATCGTCGTCTGCCACTCCATACCAATTTCCTTGCGGCCTCTCCGGCGCAGACGCGACGTCAAAATTGAATGGAGCCTTCTTTGGCCCACACAGCGCCGCGACCAGCAGCGGTCTTCGAACAGCCGCTCCACATCATTTTGGCACACACATGTACTGATGTGGACTGAGTTGGAGGCATCTATGATTGCAAATCGTGACCCAGCCTCAAGCTTGCTTGGGAGCGTCGCTGAGCTGGACGAGGTACTCTTGCAGCAGCGCGAGTGCCTTGTATCGGTGCGAGAGCGTGTTCTTCTGCTTGGGATCCATCTCGGCGTACGTCAAGCCGGTGCCCTTGATCTCGAGGATGGGGTCCCAGCCAAAGAACGTCGGACCACGTGGGGATACGATGACGCCCTCGGTCTTGCCCTCGAACAGCTGGACTGGCTGATCAGGCCCCGGGCAGTAAGCGAAGGTGCAGATGGCATCGGCGGTGCGGTCCTCGAATCCGTCGAGCATCTTGTTGAGCCCGTCGTGGCCGATGGTCTTCATAAAGTCCTTGATATACGGTCCGGGCAATCCACCCAAGGCGCGAAAGCCCAGCGCAGTGTCTTCAGTAACGCATGGTCCACCAAGCGCTTTGGCAGCGGCCGAACACTTGGCCTGGGCGACATCGCGTGTGGTGCCTTGGATCTCGGGCAGGTCGAGGTCGCGATTTGTGAGTTCGTAGGGGAAGTTGGGCGAGAGCGCAAAGATCTGCTGCACTTCCCGCAGCTTGTTTGCGTTGCCGGTAACAAAAGTGAGCGTCGGCTTCGACATGGCGATGTGCGGGTGTGTGGTAGAAAGGAGCGAGGATTCGAGCGTTGGAAGAAAGAGAGCTTTACAGTACGCGCCGCGGTATTCGACTCAGCCGGCCCTGTCAACCGAGCCTTAAATTTCGCTGAGCTCCATCTGTTACCCGACTCCCGCATCGTATTTTCACTATCTCTCCGCGGGGTTTGAGAATCAATTATAATATCAGAATGGTGCATTGCGACGATGTGATCTGGACTCTACGCTTAGGCACCGAGACCAAGCGCCTTGGCACTGGAGACGAGGCCGGTGGAGAGGTCGGGCAGGGCGACGGCGAAAGGTGTGGTGCCCGTGGCGAGCTGGATGCCTGCAAAGTCGTCAAACGTCTTTGCGTAGGCGAGCTCCTTGGCGAGGTCACCGACGCCGTTTGAGGCGGGCAGAGGAGCAAACTGCAGCGTGCTGAGCACGCCGAATGCGTTGCCAGACTTGTCCATGAAGCCACTGCCGCTGTCACCGGGGATACCAGGCGAGACGGTGCCGACGTTGTGCGACCAGCCATCGCCCTGCTCCTGGATGTTGACGCCGTACTTGGGGCTGAGCAGTGTCACGCCGCCGCGAAGAATCGAGTTGCCATAGCTGTACACCTGCTCCAGGCTGGCCAGTCCGCTCGACCTCAGGCCGTTGGGGCCGCCAAAGGTAGGCACGGTGGGATTGACCTTGTCGTGGTCCGCAGGGTCGATGAGGACGAGCGCCAGGTCGTTGAACGCACACGTGTTGGCGTCGGTCTCGCCGCGCTGCTGCATGCGCTGCCACGACGAGTAGGCGAGGGTGCCTGGCTTGGAAGCACCCGTGATCTGAACTTGGGTGCCCTCGGGCAGCGAGCCCGACGTGCAGCCGTCAGTGTCGGTCGACTCGCCCGTGCTGGCACAGTGCGCCGCCTGGCCGATGTAGATATCGCTGCCCTGGTAGAAGATGAAGTTTGAAGTGCAGCTGCCAGCCGTGTTGGTGTTGACACCAGGGTGGATGGTCGCCGTGTTGCGGTCAGCCCAAGTGGGGGCGCGCTTGGTGGGAACAGGAGAGCCAGCAACGGAAGAAGCAGCGGCGAGCAGCGCGACGAGCGCCTTCATGGAAGTGGGCAGCATTTTCGAGGGCAGGTATGGAGTCGAGCTCGGAGAGGCTAGGGGAGAAATGGAGAGTTAGTGAGTGCAATGGACGCTGGGCGGAGAGGATGTGGTGGTCCTCGAGAAGACAAGTCGACCATAGCTCTTCTTATACTCTACGATCCATGCTATCTTTGTGGTTGCTCACGCCGGCTGTGAGCAGTTGTGCACCTCTCTGTGGCCCTACTTCGTTGGCGAGCAAGGTCGCTGTGCCGTATTCCCGGCTCATGGTGTTTCGCCGCCTGTTGCGAGGTCACGTCAAAGGAGAACAGTTCGCATCTACGCTTCGGGCAGTGCTGTTCAAGCGAGGCCGAGTTCGTCTAGATAGCCGTGGTTCGATGTTCGCCTATCGACGCGGGCGCAAACGTGATCGAACCACGCAGATGCACTGACACCCTACCCCCGCACTGATCCATGCAGCACCGCCTCGGCGTCATGCAAACGGTAAGAAGACGTTCGAAGTTGGAACTTTGTGGAGCGCCTGTCATTTCGTTTGACGTGGTGCGGGTGGATGCTGGCGGTCGAGCGGATCAGACTCGGTGCAGCGGGGCAAAAAAGTACGCCCGATGCTGCCAAGAGCAGACTGCAGCTCGGCTTGTGCTAAGCGGGTGGGCTCGGCTGTCAATCTGCGCCTGCACCCGAGATGGGTATGGGAACCTCGACAGCACCCTCGAAAAAGAAGCTACAGCAGATGGCGATATGGCGATAATGCGATCCGAGGCGAGCTTTTGGAATTCATCCGACCCCACCAGCTTTCACGCAGCGGGCGTTTCCAACGTTCCTTGCGCCCTCCCCAGCAAACAAAAGAACGAACGACACTTCCTCGGCGTCAAGCGCATTCATGCTGCCTCTTCATCAATGCTCCAAACAAGGAGCAGGCTGCAGTACGCAACGTGGTGGGAGCCGACGGAGCGGTAGCATGTTACCCCGCACGCTCCGCCTTGGTGCATATCCGCTCGGCCAATTGCGTGAAAAGCTTGCGGCTCATCGTCCGCGACTCGTGACATTCGTTCGGCGCAGTCCTCGCCGCACGCTAGCATGCTCTTGGCAACGGGCAACGATCGTGCCGAACATCAGCAGTCGAAGTAGCTCGTCGGCGACTTCGTGGTGCCTGGTTGTAGCGACACAAAGGTTAGGTTCACCCCAGAAGCTCGGATGATGCTGAACTTGACTTGTCGGGCTCCGTTTTCAGGGTGCGCAAGGCTGTCGTGCGACTTTTGCAAGGAATGGAGGCTTGTGGCGAGCTGCGAGGACGCCGAAGAGTAGCCGGGTCGTGTGAGGGTTTTCGAGCACGGTGTTCGTACCCGATCATCGGGATCGGGGTTTAGACTCAGCTCGATGGCTTCGGCCAAATTTACGGACCCTCAGGCCGGCGCTTCGGAAAACTTGCCGAATTCAATTTTGCGGAGACGGCGGGATGGCTTTGGCCACTTTTGCACCGCCGACAGCTTCCTTCCAAGCCTCCTTCCGCATCCACCATCACACGCAGCTCACCTTGGAACGATCACTCGACCTGCGCTTTTGAGGTACAAAGCAGCACATCTGAGCTCGCGATCAAGCCGCAAAGATCTGGCGGACGCGCCGCGCTGCCTCGCTTTGGCCCATCAAGCCTTGCGCCTCAGAGCAAGACTTCTTCTCTGCGCCGACTGACGGTCCATCTCAGCAGACGTTGCTGTGACCCGGCTAGCCCAGGATGGACCTCAAGATCCTCAGCACCACCGTCAACGACGTCTACCTCAGCCCGCAGGTGCGCTCCGAGAACGAGACGCCCGAGGACGCCGAGCCTGTCACCGTCCAGGTCATCATCCAGCTCAGCATTCCAGCCGGGCACAATCCACCATCAAAATTGCTCAACCTCACCGCAAGTCTCGTCGGATACGAGTCGATAGGCTTTCCGAAGGGCGGCTTTGAGCAGAATCAGCCTTACTACAACAAAAAGACGATCGAATCGGCAACCGACCTCAAGCTCGAGTCCGGCTCTATCTACCAATTCGAAGTGTCGTTCAGCGTCGACCACAGCACTGCGCCGTATCAGAGATGCAAGTACGGGAGACATCATCAAAAGGTGCAGGTCAAAGCCACTTTTCCGGGCCTTCTGGGCAAGAAGACACTCGTGGCCGAGAAGAATATGTTCTTCATTCAGACGGTCGCCGCCACCGGTTTCTTGCCGTACTACCACGTTCACCGCGGCGCAGAAGAGGGGCTCGGCCCCGTCTTCCTTGGAGTGCGCACGCAGCATCTCACCGTCGGAGGCTACCTGCGCATCACGTTCTCCCTCGACAGTCCGAGCCCGACGCTCCAGCTCCACTCGCTCAAGCTCGCACTTCTGCAACAGACGACGCTCAAGTCGCGCGTGCGCCGCAACTACATGGAGTTTCCACCCTCGGAGCGTTTTGTCTTTTTCGAGGCTGGTCCAGAAGAGCTCAAGCAGTGTCTGCAGCAGTCGAGCCATGATGGTCGGCTCGACGGTCTGTTGGCGCTTGCGCAGGAGCAACAGCAGCAGCAGCAGCGTCAGGAAGCCGGCGGCAGCTCGCATCCGTCGGCGTACTCGGCGCTCAAGGTGGGGCAGTGCAACTGGGTGGCGCGCATCCCTAATGACTCGGAGGCTCGCGCATCGACGTTGCCGGGCAGCGACTGTGCGATCGGGATGGCACACGCACTCGAGCTGACGATCCAGTACTCGGATCCGGCGTTGGGCAACTCGGACGTGCGCACCTACCGCAGCTCGTGGGGGCTCATCCTGCCGTCATGCGCGTGTCGCTGGCAGTCGATGCGTCTGCCGTCGTACACGCCCGAGGACGCCAACCCGGTGCCCAAGGTATCGCGAGACTTTTGGGCTGGGCGCAACGAGCACGAGTCGGTAGATCAGTGCGTATGCGGCGAGGAACTTTCGCATCTGCTCGAGATGGAGCAGCAGGCGGCAAGCGAGAGCGAGATCCAGGCGTCGTCGGAGCTGTGGCGCGACATGCTCAGCCACCGCCTGCAGCAGCGTCTGTTGCGCAACGGTTTTGGCGCACGCAGCTCGTCGTCGTCACCTGCAATCTCGCGCATCGTTTCGCGAAGAGGGAGCATCGACGAACCCTCAGCTTCGGCAGCTTCTGCCTCGGGGACGGCAGAGAGGGGACGCCCCACACGCACGCCACCGTCGCGATCCAACTCGGCCAATGTTGCTGCAGATGATGCAGCCTCGCTGGGCGAAGGAGTGCGGTTTGGACTCATCGAGGCGGACGACGAGATCGAGTTTGAAATGCAGGCGCGCGAGGTGCTGCACGACCTGCATCTGGACGAGGCCGACTACCAGCGCGAGTGGGACCGGTTGAACGACTTGCGCATGCGCAGGAACAAGGCGCGCAACGAGTACACCTCTGTACCCTCCCATGCGGCGCAGGAGAGAAGGCATCGTTCGCTGTCGGCCAATCCGGCTCTCCGGCTGTTTCAAAAACGTTCGGCCAGCAGCAACCCTAGCCGCGCCAATAGCAGGCCTTCCACACCCCCGAGCCCGCATGTACAGCTCGAAGGCTTGGACGAGCTTCGTCTCGACGAGAAGGAATAGCTAGGCTGTCACTCGTTCGATTATTCTTTGTTGTAATTGTATCGATTACTCGTTCTAGTTGGCTGTAAGAGGTGAGTCGTGTGGGATCTAGTGGCGCTAGCAGCTGAATCGTCTAATGCGCTTGAGGCGCGTTCTGCTGCTTGTACTTGACCGCCCACTCGATGAATGCGGGTACGTCGTGCGCAATCTCGCCGGGCATAGCCATCTCTTGCATCATGGTCGGGATGCGGCCGCGCGTGTCGGACTGCACCGCCATCTTCCAGTCGACCACCTTGCCGTCGCCGCCTTGAGCCGGAGCTTCCGACACGGCTTCGAACGACGAATACACCGCACGGACCTTGTGCGGGTCTGCTGGCACGTCAGGGTGATCGACGGGGAACTGGAGTACAACGAATGAGCGGTGGGCCGGCTCGGTCGTAGCGTCAGAGGGTATGAGCGCGCGCTGCGGATCGCGGATCCATGCAAGTGTAGCTGCTTCATGTTCCACCGAGAAGGGCTCAGCGTGCGCCGGCAGGTCGATGGTCAACAGCATCTCGACAAAGTCTCTATCCGCCGTGACGATCGGTAGTTTGTCTGCAGCAAAAACCTCAATGTCAGCGACAAGGTTCAAAGAAGCTTAGCGTTGGCGCTGGTCGAACTTACAGGCATTATGCCAGATCTCGGCCTCGTCCGGTTTGACCTTTGCGACGCAGTCGGTGAGCGTAATGTCTTCGATGTACTGCTTTTCGAAGAGCGTGTGCTCAAAGCGGATGTACTTGCGCCAGTCGTCGAAGGTCAAGCCGCAATCTGCGGCGTGCTGGGACTCGCGCAGGTGCCAACCCTTCTTGGCGATCTGGGAAACCTGGCTGGGCAGCACCTTGCACTGCACATTGCCGCCAGCGGCCGAGCTGAAGGACTTGGTCTTCTTCCAACCAGGCGTGTCGCGGACGAACTTGAACGCCGCCGTGAGGTAATGCGCGAGAAATTCGGCATACTCGGGCGTGTCTGATGGTGGAATCGAGGAGAAGGGGATCTCGACGGCTGCGAACGGCGCAAAGCCACCTGTGGTTCCGTTGGCCTCGCCCATGGTGCTGAGTGAGTGCGGATTGGATCTTGAAGATGGTGGTCCGAAAGCAGGAGCGAACGACGGCGAGGTGAATGCAGGTCGTGAAGAGTGAGAGGGCTGTGCGGCACCCGAAATGCAGGAGGATCGGCAAGCGTGCCGGTGTGGAGGAATGTGCGCGCCGGCGGCCGAACGAGACCCTGCTTGCATCGCATCGCAGCATTTAGCTGCACCCGGCCACAGTAGATTAGTGGGCTTTGCACGCACATTCAACTCGGGCCGAGCAAAGAGCCTCTGGCGAGCGTCGATCAAGCGCACAAGAACCACATAGTATTCGACTGCAACGGTGGTAGTAAAGCTTCAACACTCGCTTGAGACTGTAGCGAGATTGCTGATGCGGACATCGAGGCTCGAAGAGCTGCGAGTCCACGCAGGCACCACAGCCTCAAGCTTTGGCGGCAGCGACGGTCGGAAACGGATCGATCGGGAAATCGAAGCTTGAAATCGCTTCGATGCAGCAACCCCACGAGCCAAAGACCGGCAAGACGATGCGGGCAGCACCGCAGGCCAAATTAACCCCGACCCAACCAGCGCAGCAGAGGCCGTGCCAGACGCCGAGCGGAGTGGACGGCGACAGGGCCATCGTCGGAATAACGCAGCGTTAAAGAGGCAGAAGCCGGATTGCCAGCTCGGTTGCGGCAGGATCAGGCCATGTTTTGTGCTGGTCGAAGGTTGGAGCGTGTCCGGCCTGGCTCAAGGTTGCGGCGACCGCTTTGTTCTCGACCATGCCTCTACGGGATCGATTCTAGCCCACCGAAGTTCGGGCCTCCCAAGTGGTTGGAACAATGCGAACGCGATGGGACCTGGACGCGGGTGTCTGCGTGGGGCAAGGCGGTGGACGGAGAAACACGAGTATGCCCGTGTGCAAAGAGCGTCGACTGCTGAGGTGCCTGATGAGGTCCGCCTTAGCCGCTGCAAAGTGTGCCTAAAGGGGGCGACGCGAGACACAAATGCAGCGAGCTTCGACACTGCGAGTCGCTGGACCCTTTGCCAGCCCGACCGTGGTGCGAAGTGTGATGGCAACATCGTCCAACGAATCGTATGAGCATGGCTGTTGCGTGAGCCGAAGCTGTCACGACGTCGGAGATGGATGCTTCCCGGGTCGGCGCTCCTGCCCGTCGATCGGCTCCAATGCGAAGACGATGTACGGAGCCGCGAGCGTCGAGCTGGCGATGGTAGCGAGGCCTTCTCGAGCCAATTTACGCTCAAAAGCAGACGGCTGCCAGCGTGTGACTGGTTGGCCAGTTTAGCTAAGGCTGGCTGGCTGGCTGGCTGCGGTCGAGCGATTTCGGGAGGTTTTTCCCACGCGCCAGACCAGGCTGCGAGCTAAAATTAAAAACCGCGGAAACTCGGCTGTGCCTCGAGATCTGGCGCAGTGCAGAGAGGAGCGTGGCGACTCCCAGCAAATTGCCGGCCAACCCCTGCTGATCTGGAGAGGGCAGCAGAGCAGGGCGCGGGAAGTCGAAAACGAAAAAATCGAATCCCAGCTGCTCTGCCAGCCAAGCGCGAATGGAAAAGGGACGCGGCCAAGCTGCCCTGAGATCTCGCCTGAGAGCCACGCGGTAGGTGCGAGGCAAGATCACAACAACCAAATTCGAGCGCGGGCCCCCGACGGCGCGAGTGCACTCGCAGCGTAAGTTACCTGGCAAGCAGGGCGGTCCGTGTTTCATGCGATCTCCTCCTTGCCTGGCTTCCTGGCAGATGCATCGCCGAGCTACACCCACCGCACGCCTATGTGACCCTTTTCAACCCGCTGAAGCGACGTCCGATTCGAAGCGTTCTTGCTGACGCTCATCTCATTCTGAAGCTTTCATATTATTGTGATACTTGCAGTGATACCTGCAGTGATGGTCAGGTGGGAGTGGCAAGTGCACGAGAGCAGCGGCGGCTTTTCCGCTTGCGTCGATGCAGGCCGCCATGCGGCCATGCAGCGAGGCCCACCATTTTTCCCTCTGCAGCTGTGCCTGTCTGAAAAAAAGGCGAGAGCAAAGTCCTTGGAACCCCGAACGATGCAGCTTCCAACTCCGGCCTCGACCCTCGTTCTGTCTCCGCGCTGCCCGCACTCTGCTGGCCCTTTTCGCCCTTGCCTTTTGCTCGTCGAGCCCCAGAGCGCCCGACGGCAACGGTTGCGTGCTTTCGTCGGAGGCCTCCGCCGTGTGGCCACTGTGGTCGTCGCTCTCCCCTCCTCTCGCTCCCCTGTACCGCACCTCCCAGCCATTCTGTTGCCTCTCCCGTCCTTGCGTTGCAGCGGCAAGATGTTGCTTACAGTAGCAGTACAGCACAAGGCACACGGCTGAGTCGGAGCGTCAAAGCATCATCAACACCCGGCTTGGCTTGGCTCGCTCTAGGCATCGTCGCAGTGTCGAGCTCCAATTTTTCATTTCGCTCCGCCCTGCGCCTCATTGTCCGTCCGTCCGGCTTCGACAGCTCGGCTGGAGCCACGCGGTGGACACGCATTTGGTCTCCATCGCCTCTCCGCCTCTCCGCCTTCCTCGTCTCAACGCCACGCCACTCCGCTTTGCCTCCGTTATCCCCCCCTCGATCCGCATCACCTCCCTTGTCCTCGTCCTCGTCCTCCCTTCCGCACCACACTCACTCTACTTCCTTCACCTGCGCATTCACTCTCCGTGACACAATAAGCTGTCTCACCCCGTCCTTGCCATCGCGCATCCACTCGGCCTCATCCGGCAACCTTTCAGCTCTCGGTACTCAGCTCGCAACTCTCAGCTCTCCGCGCTCTTTCCATCTGCACCCCACTCTCGTCTGCATTCACTTTGACCTGCCAGCGCGTGACTCTTGCAACTGCATCCACCAAAGCAACCGGTTTGCCTCGTCACTTCTTACCTCATACCCTCGTCCAGCTGTCGGCCAACCTTGACTTTGTCGCAACCCAAGCAAGCCCCATCTCCTTGACTCTCGCCGTCGTCATCATCGTCTATCGCTCACGCCAACATCGCCTGTTCAACGCACGCATTGCCACAACCGACACGCACCCGCCCGCCGTCTTTACCATGCTCTCGCACTAATTCGCCAACACCCGATCTAGACGCCCACCTGCACCACCCTTGCGTCGCTCATGGCCGTCATGAACGATCCCGCCATGCCTAGCCATGCTCAGGGCTCTGCCCTCCCCTCGAGCGCTTCGGCCGCTGGCCCTTGGCGCTCGGCGACGGATCATGACGTGCACGCCGACAATCGCGACGAAAACATCTTTGGCTGGATCCAACCGGACGAGTGGGATACCGTCGCCGGACCCAACAAGTCCAACTTCATGCGCGGAGACTGCGTCGAATGTACCACCGACAAAGACACCGCCAATGTTCCCTCTCTCCCGCAGAGCTGCGGTGGAGCAAGCTGCGGCTACGGCGCACAGTGTTGCGAATACAGTCGACGTGCCACCCACACCCACGGTCCATCCGACCGCACTCCTGCCCTGCTCCTCCAGCGTCCTCGTGCCACCTCCACCACCAACAAGATCGCCGACCTCGCCAAGATCGAACATAAAAGCAGTCTGGGTGTCAGTCTTGTCGACATCATCCACGGCCGCAGTTGCCGTCCCATCAGCCTGCTTGATCTACGCACCTTCCTTCACTTCCAGCGTCAGCCACAAAAGCGCCTTCCCGCCTACTACCCTGCCTCCGACATGCAGTCCTCGGCACTCGACGACTTTGATCTCAACTTCGACCAGCCCTCTGCTTCCCCTACACACTTGTTCAAACACAAGCTCAATGCGCGCCGACTCCACTTTGACGAAGTAGACGCGCTCGACTTCCTCGTCGCCTACGAGCGCTACGTGACCAAGTTCCGCGATCAGCCACGCGCGCACCGCCTCCAGAGTCCCGACCCCGCCACTTGCAAAGCAGCGCTGCGTGCTTATGTCCGTCGTCAGTGCAAGCCTCGCGTCTCGTCCGACCTCACCGTCGCGCAGATGCTCATGCAAGAAGCACCCACCCCCGACGATGACGTTGACGACATCTCCGAACAGGCCTCGCGCGAGGTGCTCGCGCGACTGCGGCCAACGGACCTCGGCCTCAAGCCCGACCAGCAACCGTTGCGTGTCGAGTTTGATCGTCTCGTGCATCGTTATCTCTGCTCGCGCCGCGTGTGCATCCTGCCCAGCAATCGCAGGTTACGGCGCAAGCGCGACTCGTCTTCGTCGTCCGACACGGCCGCGGGCGGCTCCGAATCGCCTTACAAGCAGCTTGGCTCGTCGAGCGCCGAAAGGATGCCGCGGCTGCGCTGGATGGTCGATGTCGGCCTCATTTCCGAGAGTGACCTGCAGCTCTGCCTGGCCGAATGCGACTTTTCCACGCACCCGGACGTGCTCGCGCCCATCGCAGAGGCCGTGTACGCCTACATGTCGCAGCACGTCGTCCCGTTCTTCTTCATCTCGGTGGCGCGCAACCTCAGCCCCAACACCAAGCGCGGCCGTCTGTTGGTGGGCGTTGCATGCACTACCATCGCTCTCATCTTCTCGATCCTGCTCATCATCTCGCCATCGCCTCTTGCACCGCACGCCAACCACGGCACGGGCAACATTCCGCGATGGTGGCGTTTGCTCACCGCTCCCGTCTGGTGCGCCGGCCTGGGCTACATCCTGGCCTACTTTACGGGCCTCTGCGTGTGGCTCACGCTTCGTGGCAATCGCGAACCCGACGAGGAGGAGGAGCGCGAACGCGAGGAGATCCGATCGCGCATCTCGGGCGAAGACGTGGTGGGCTTTGACCTCGCCGAGCTTCAGGCAACCGCCGACGAGAGGGACATGGAGGTGGAGCAGGACACCAACCGATGGATGGCGCCCGAGATCGCCGACATCCTCACCGGCTTCACGGGACAGAAGAAGGACAAGCGCAAACGTCAGCGTTCGAGCTCGGATGCACTCCGTCTGGACGCGCTGGAAGAAGGTCACCTTCGGGTCAAATCCGAGGCCACCGATGTGGTGCCGTCGAGCAAAGTTTCGTTCGAGTACTCGCTGACGGCCGAGAAGCCGTCGGATGCCTCCGAGGGCGCGATGACATCCTTCGCGGACAAGGCTTCGGCGCTGGCAGCCCCGGCCGCGGTCATCATGAACACGCCTCGACGTCCATCCATGATGCCAGTCATGTCCGAGACAAACCTGGCGGGCCGACCCTCGACGACGCTGTCGGCTCGTGACGTGAGCGCGGCCAACTCGGTGCGACCGAGCTTGGAACGCTCTGGACACTCGCAGAGCGACGTGCGCCCGGCCGACGCCCGCGGTGCTGTCAACGGCGACAGCCCTTCGGGACCGGCGCTGTTGCGACAGAAGCGTGTGCCTCTGCTCAATCTGTCGATCGGCTTTGTCAAATCTCCCGGCCATGAGCGCGGCGAGGACCAGGCCGATGTGCCCGTGCTGACGCGCGATGCGCTGCTCTTCGATCCCGAGCTCGCCGCACGCGTGACGACGCCGACTGTGGCCGGCGGTCCCATGGAAGGCTCGCCCGTGCGTGGAGCCAAGTCGATCGGCGCCGCCGGTGGTTCGCAGCACGGCTCGCCGCCCGCGCGTCGCAAGTCGCTCGCGCACGTCCTTCTGCCTCTGCGATCGGGCGCTCGCCTGCAGGCGCAGATGGAAGACGCGCAGCTCAGCTCGCCAACCTACGAGACGCACAGCGAAAAGAGCGCCGAGCATGCCGAGATCGCCATGCCTGCAGTGCCGGAGCCGACCGCACTGGCATCGATGCCCGTGATTGGCGCGTCTGCGACGAGCCCGCGCGACATTGCACCATGGGCGATCGCGCCTGGCAAGAGCGTGGATCTGCCTTCGTCGGCTCGGCCGGTGTTGTTCGCACTCCCTTCGAGCCGCAAGTCGCGGATGTCGGCGACTACGAGCACCACAGTGGTGGCGAGCCCGCTGGCGCCTGTGTCTGCGGGCGCCAAGCGCACGTACGAGGAGTCGCCGTCGCTCTCGCTGCGGGAGCGCCTGTGGATCGCCGTGCAGCGCGGCACGGGTTTTGCGGTGGGAACCGAGCGTGTGCTCGACGCGCGCGTACGTAGGGCGCAGCAGATGAAGGCGCTGCGTATCATGGCGCTCAACACGCTCGCCACCGTGGTGGTCATGGTGATTGTGGTCGCCGTCCCCTGAGGCGAGCCCTGGGTCACGGTGGGGTGAATATGTCCCCGCCGTTGGAATCATTCTGTACTTGTATCTTTTGTGTTTTGCTTGGTCATCCCGGTCACTCGCACCGATTGTAATCGATACCCTCAGTCCTTTTTCCCCATTCACCGACTGATCAGACTGTAGCTGCGGGCTGTCGATGGAGCATGTGAGATGAAGTGGCGAGAGGCAGTGCGGGTGGTGTGAGGTGGGGAGGCGGATTTCGGTCCAGTCGGCTGTGTCGGCTGTGGGGACGTTGGTTGGCTTAAACGCGCATCGGACTTTGTGCGCAGCCCGACGAAATTGCCGGACGGTCGAAATGCGATGCCCCGCACTTTGAGGCTCTCCGCTTTTTGAACCGGCACACCCGCACCCAAGTCGGCTCTTCGGTGGCTTCATTTCACGTTCTCTCCTCTTCCATCTCCTTACCGACTCAGCCATGCTGCAACCACTTCTCCGCTCCAGCGCGATAAGTACCGCACGCTGCGCCACGCGAAGCTTGGCCTCGGCGGCCTCGAACGGCAAGTTTGTCAAGATCGTCGAGGTGTCGCCGCGCGATGGACTGCAGAACGAAAAGACCATCGTGCCCACCGAGACCAAGGTGGAGCTCATCCGCAGGCTTGCCGATACGGGCGTGCCGGTGATCGAGGCCGGATCGTTCGTGTCGCCCAAGTGGGTGCCGCAGATGGGTGACACGCCGCAAGTGGTCACGCAGATGCCCGTGCACGCGTCCATCTCGTATCCCGTGCTGGTGCCCAACATGCGCGGCCTCGAGGGTCTCCAGAAGCTGCTTGCCAACTACGCCGATGGGTCCAAGGGAGCGCCGCCAACGGATGAGATTGCCATCTTCACTGCGGCGTCCGAATCGTTCTGCAAGGCCAACACCAACTGCTCGATCGCAGAGTCGCTAGACCGGCTGCACGAAGTCACGTCCAAGGCCAAGGCTGCGGGGCTCAAAGTGCGAGGCTACGTCAGTGTGGTTGCTGGATGCCCGTACGAGGGCAAAGTGGACGCCGAGGCGGTGGGACGCGTCTCGAAAGCGCTGCACGAGATGGGCTGCTACGAAGTGTCGCTCGGCGACACCATCGGTGCAGGCACGCCGTCCGTGATGGAAGCCGTCCTCAACGCCTCGGTGCGCCAGAGCGGGCAGGGGCCAGAGTACTTTGCCGCCCACTGCCACGATACGATGAACACCGGCCTCGCGAATGTGCTCCACATGGTCAGGCTTGGCGTCCGCACGGTGGACTCGGCGGTGGGTGGCCTCGGTGGCTGCCCGTACTCGCCCGGCGCGACGGGCAACATTGATACGGAAAGCGTCGTGTTTGCGCTCCACAACGAGGGATACCAGACGGGCGCGGATCTGGACAAGCTCGTCGACGTCGGTGCGTGGATCAACGGCCAGATTGGCAGGACGAATGCGAGCAGCGCTGGCAGGGCGGTCCTGGCGCAGAGGGAGATCCGCGCAAAGCGCGCGGCGAAACAGGCCCAGGCGAAGCTGTAGTATAATACACCCAAGTCAGGTCAATGACAAGCATGGTCTTCTGTCACAATGCATGTGCATGTGAGGTGTGCGAAGTGCGAAGAGCGAAGAGCGAAGAGCGAAGTACGGGCTCGGAACTCGGAGTGTGGGGCGTCGGACGAATGCCTCCACACGGCACTTTTTCAGCCAACGTGGGGAACGTGGACACGAACGTTCTCCGAAGTCTTCCTCCTGCGTCCCTCTACCATGCCAGGTATATCCAACTGTCCTACATCGACATGGTGACGCCTACACGCGCGGTGGCCTCTTCGGGCTCTTCCGACCTGCTGCGACGCTCCCTCTACCTACCGTTGGGTCTGCTTGCTGTATACACGACGTTCTTCATTGCGCTGCTGACTCCCACGCTCCAGCGGCACTTTATCTTTCTGCACGCCGTCCAGTTCCCCTTCTTTCCGTCCTTCGACCAGCCGCACAAATACGGTCTTGCACCGGGCAAGACGCGTGCGCTGCATCTGGACACGCGCGATGGCGAGAGGATCGGCGTATGGCATGTGCTGCCCGAAATCGCGTACCAATCGCTCGTCGCACGGGAGGAGACGATGGAGGCGGGTCAGTTCGACGAGAGCGTGTACGAGACCGCGATGCGCGAGTATCCCACTGTGCTGTATCTGCATGGTAATGCAATGCATCGTGCGGCTCCGTGGCGCATTGCGGCGTACAGCGCACTCACCAGCAGGATGGACGTCAACGTCGTAGCTATCGACTATCGCGGATTCGGTGATAGCTCAGGCAGCCCCTCGGAAGCCGGTGTAGTCGAGGACGCACACACCGCCTACAGATGGATCAAGCAGCAGCAAGGACAATCCAGTCAGGGCGTCACGCTGTTCGGACAGAGCTTGGGCACGGGCATTGCAGCCATCCTCGCAACACAGCTCGCCGAGCACGACGAGGTGGGGGTGGTACTCATGGCGCCGTACGCCAACTTGCGATCGCTGGTGAGCGATTTCCGCCTCGGCGGAGTTCTCCCACTCCTAGCTCCTGTCAAGGCCATCCCTTTCCATGAAAGTAAGTCTGTCCTCCCGCTTCTAGTGAGATCCATGCTACGTGGTGCTGACTCTGGCTGCATTAGGCATCTTGGATCGATGCATGCAGACACGGCTCGACACCCTCGCTACCCTGCCGCGCTTCATCTCGGCCCCGCATACAGGACGGCTGGTTCTGCTGCACGCACGCGACGACCCCGTCATCCCCTTCTCGCACTCCCACCGCCTCTTCCGTGCCCTCCACGGCGCAGCCAACAAACCGGCAATCCACTCGAGAAACATGCCGGGCTTCGCACACATCCAGCGCTTCCAGCCCAGCTCCACCGCCGACGACGCAACCGTCACCCTCATCGAGACGCACTTTGGCGGACACAACCAGCTCACCGAAGGCGCGCTCGACCTCGTGCGTCTCGCGCTCCGTCTCCCCTCCCACCTATCCCCCTAGACTTTCGTAAATTGGCACAAGGGTATCAATGCGCGTTGGTGGCATGAGCGGAAACTACACTTGGAAAGAGGGCAGCGCGTAGAGGCCCGTGTCGCGGCCGAGGAAGCCGAATCCGAGCAGCACCTCCATCTTGCGGCTGTGCCAGCCAATGTCGCCCGTGACGTGGCCGTTGGCGTCGACGAGCCGCTGCAGCGCCACCCGGCGCGGATGGTCGGGCGCCAGATCGCGCACCACCTCGTCGCGCGGCGTCAGCTTGACGTCCGACGGCAGAGCGTGCGAGGCGGCGAGGATGTGGCGCGATCGCGAGCGTGAGCCGGAGCCTCCGCCGACAGAGTGCGCACGCCGGATCGATGGGATCGTCGGCCTGGCACTCGGCGAGCCCGAGGCTGGCGGTACACGCAGCAGAGACCGCGACGACCTGTCGCCCTCGTCGCTTCGCCCCAAAGAACCCTCGTCGTATCGCACCGATCTGCCACGCCTCAATCCGCCCTCTGCCGATGCCTCGCGTGCCATGGCCACCGCCTCCGCCACAGGCGCTTCGGGCGGGTTCTCCAGCAGCACCTCGTCGCTCGCCTCGGGATTGGGTCCCGCTGCCACATCCACCACCCACCCTCTCCTGCCGGCGCCCCTGATCACCCTCCAGCTGCCAAACCCGCCACGGACACTCTTGAGACTCGCCTGATTGAGCCCGATGACCCTCAGATTCGTCGGCGCGCGCGCAGCTGGCGGCAGCTGCGGAAGCTCCGAGCCGGACTTGAAGCCCATCATGGCGAGCTGCACCGAGATGGGCACGGGCGGCGTCTTGGCGCACGGCCCGACGAGGATGCTCTGCAGATGCACCGCATTGATCGCCGTGGCGTCGTGGCTGTCGTATCCGGGGATGGCGGTGGTGAGGCCCTCGGTGGAGATGCGCGAGGTGCACGAGTCCGACAGCTCGAGCACCTGCACGTTGGGCGCGCGCTCGCGCAGCAGCTTGCTCACCGCCTCGAGACGGATGTTGGGACAGTGCGACAGGCCCAAATCCAGCAACGACGGCTGTGGCCCGATGAGGCCGAGCAGCTCGTCGGTCAGATCGCACCCGCCCAGATCCACGTACCGCAGCTTGCCCGAGCGGAAGCACGGCGCCTGCGTAAGGATCACCTTGAGATCCTCGGCGTCGATGGGCGTGGGGAAGATGAGCGTGCCGGCGAGCGAGAGCTCCACGAGTCCCTGTGTGCACGGTGCATCCACCAGCAGCTCGGTCACCGACTCGGACGTGATGCGCTTGCAGAACGCCAGTGAGAGACTCTCGAGCTGCAGCTGGTGCGAGCTGCTGAGCGCGGTGAGCAGCGCCGCGTCCGTCTTGGTGCGCGAGAGGTCCAGATGCGTCAGGCGCGGGAAGGCGAGTACAAACGGATTCAGCAGCGCATTGTCCAGCGTGACACCGGACAGCCCCAGCCGATTGAGCGAGGGGAACGCGGTGGGCCGTGCTGGATGGCGGCTGGGACCATCGCCGTCGCGCCGACGCGTCGACACGGATCGACTGAGGCTCTTGCTCTGACGCCGGTCGCGTGTGCTGCGCCCTCTGCCACGCTCCTCCTCTTCTTCGTCGACATCCATGGCCGCGTCGTCGTCGTCCGACTCGGTCTCTTCCTCCACGGTGTCGGTCATGCGTCCGCTGAACTTCTTGAGATGGGTGTGGACGAATTCCTTCATGGCCTCCTCGAAGCGCGGCGACACGCACTCGCACAGGTCGAGGCTCTGCAGCATCTTGTTGGAGCGGCCACTGCTGCGCTCCACCGACACGCCACGCAAGCGGCTCGGCTTGCTGTACTCGCCGTCGCGGAAGAGGAGCGCCTCAAGCACGTCGTTGGACAGCGCCGAGTCCATAGTCTCACTAGCGCCAAAAGCGACCAGGCCTTCTGCGGCGGTGACGAGCGCTAGAAGACGCGCTGGCGTGACGAAGCGACGTTCCATGCCTTCGCCGATGGTGCGCCGCAAGCCCTGGGTGCGAAAGTTGGAAAAGTCGACCAGACGCACCCAGCGATGCAGCTCGGCTGCCTCCTCGTCACCTTCCTCGCGGAGCGTCACATGGTACACGGGACTCTCGGGGGTCGATGTGGGGTCCTCGGTCCAGATCAGCTCGACCTCTCCATCCTCGTCTGCATTGATGCGGATTAGGTCGCGGCGCGATCGACCTCGCGTGAGTGAGTCGGCACGTTCCATGGTAGCTGCAGACTTTGTCGGCGCAGGACTCTGAGTGCGGCTGGCGGGTGGGGTCGGGTTGGCCGTTCCGCCGATCACAAGCTTGTGCCCGAGCGCATGTGCGAATCCTGCTGCGGCGACCATGTTGACGAACGAGGCCGGGTCGGACGGATCGACGTTGACGCTGCCGGTCGACGCATACTTTTCGTAGGCGCTAGCCAGATGCGAGGCACCGAGCGTCCTCAGTAGCAGATTGAAGCTGTGCGGGAGGGTGATTTGGATGCGACGAAACAGCAGCACCCTGGCCTCGTGGTAGAAGGCCTTGTTGACGAGGCAGAGGTTGTAGAGCGTCTTGCGCGTGTCATTCTGGGTGGAAGAGATCTTTCGGCCGTCAGGGTAGGAGGATGGGAGGCCGTGCGGGTCGATGTTGCGAAACGACGACTTGGGGATCGAGTCGAGCCAGACTAAACCGACGATCTCGCGTAAGATTTCGGTGGGCAAGTCATTGATGGTCGCTCCGCGTCCCAACGCAGCCATCTCTCTTTGGACGGCAGGCTGGAGAAAGAGAGACTTTGCTGTGGTGTAGAAGACGGATGTGCCGCTTGCGATGATTTTGAGAGCGACAGGGCAGGGCAGGGGAGCGTGAAGCTGTGATGGATCGGAAGGCAGCCGAGAGCGTGGGGGCTGCGGTAAGGTCAGGTCAATTGGCAAGGCGCGCGATGCAGCTCGGTGGAGGCGCGCCAGTCAGGGTCCTTTTTCTCGCCTCAGCCTGCCTCTGCCGAGATTAGAGTTGCGAGGCGAGACGGCCCGCGTTGGTGAGGGTCTCGAGCGCGCTGCTCTCTCTGCTGGCTGAGTGAATTCGGCTCAGCTCGCGCCGCAGAGTGCGCTTCGACCGGGCGTGTCTGCTTTGGGCGGCTCGACACCGAAAAAGCCGGCGCCCGAGCGGTCGAAGGTGGAGGCAGCGAAGCTTTTTGTGCCGTTTCACTCGTCGTTGGCACTCTCGCTTCATCTTCGGAAGCATGCCGACGAGACGACACTCTCTCACGCCCACCATCATCATCACTCTTCGGCTCATTCCGTCGATCCGGTCACATCGATAAGAGCCTTGCGCCGCATCCCAGCATGACAACAACGCAGACCTATCCGGAGCTCGAGGAAATCCCACCGGCGCCGCAACGCTCGAGGGTGTCGTCGCATGCCTACCCGCTCATTCCGCAGTGGGTCGCCTCGGTGTTCGCCACATTCCCCCTTCACACCTTCCCGCCCGCAAAGGTATACTCGCCTTCAGTGCCGGCTACTCCGACTAAGCCAACGCTCTACATCGCGCCTCACCTCAACAGAGACGGCACACTCTCGACCACATCCGACGACGGTTCTTCATCCAATCCTGCATTCGTTGGCGATGCAAAGACGTCGGATCAGCACACCAGCGGCTGGTCCAGCAGCGACCCCATTGCACTTCGCTGGCAGATGGAGTTTGTATTCCGACAAGCCGACATCGATGTGAGGTTCATCGACCCTTCTCACAACTGGGGGCCAGCCAAGTCCATGCCCTTCCTCCATCTGCCGCCTTCGCATCGCTCGCCCAGCAACTCGGCAGCAAGCAGCGTGCCGACTGCCTTGCTTCCTGCCGTCGACTTTGCACACCATCTCGACAACTACTATCCGCTATCCCGCCCGGAGCTCGGTGAAAAGCCTGCAAACGCATGGACCGACGATGCGACTCGTCTCGAGGCGAGGACGTGGGAGAATCTGCTGCAGGGCAGGGTCATGGCAGGTGTTCTGCTGGCCGTGCTACTTTCGCCTCAGTCCTCTGCGTACGCTCGTGCTGGTTCTCAGCCGTACCTCTCGTCTCTGCTCTCTGCACATCTCCAGAACTCATTCTTCGACCAGCAATTGCGGCGCATCTCGGCACTCAACCCGTCGGCTGCCGTGGCTGCTTCCGCGTCGCAACCGACGACGAGCCTGCCAGGCTGGGAGGTGGGCTTCCTCGGCTGGATCGGTGCCACCACTGCTTCGGCCACATCCGCGCTGGCTGCCGCCGACCTCGACTCGCGCGGCGGCGGAGACACACCCGGTGCTGCATTTGCCAGCCCGGAGGTGGATCAGGACAAGGTGGTCTCCGACGCTGTTGCGGGCTTGCAGGCGCTTGCGGCGCGGACAAAGGCACAGCTCGAGGAAGAGTCCAAGGAGATGCAACCGCTGCTGGGCGCTTCGAGACCGACATCGCTCGATGCCTTGGCTTTCAGCATCGTCCACACCGTGCTCACGTTGGCTGCAACACCACAGTGCCAGGGCGACGGCGCAAGCGAGCCGCTGCGCAAGCTTAAGCTCGCTCTCGATCAGAGTCCGTGGCTCGTGCGATGGTCTCGCATTGTTTGGAATGCGCACGTGAAGGACCTCGACCGAAGCTAGTGGCGGCTCGCCGTAAGCCTCGACTCATTTGTATGATGCTCTTTCATCCCCACATTGGCGGAATGGCCCAACATTGGCGAAATGGACAAGTCCGCAGCCGGTTCTGTGACTGTGATCATTATGTTGTGATCATTGAGGTGCTACGCCTTGGGTTTGGGTGGCGTATAGCCCTCTGCCTTGTGAACAAGCTCCTCGGTCTTGGCCGCCATGACGAAATCGTTCTTGTGCAGCTGTGAAAGAGGAAACGAAATTGTCAGTCTTGGTCGGCATCTACGCGCGTAGCACCGAGAACCTTTACCTACTCCGCTGATAGCGTGGCTCCACCACCACACGGTGACTCTGCCCCATTCGACCATGACGGCAGGATGGTGTCCTTCAGCTTCGGCGAGCGCGCCGATCTGGTTGGCAAAGGCTTGCGCCGATGTGTAATCCTTGAACTTGTACGTGCGATGCAGCGCATCCGGATGTATCAGCTTGGATGAGAGCAGCGTCTTGGGCTGCGGCGACAGCGACCACTTGCCAGACAGTGAAGAGAGCAGTTGCTTCGCCTCGTCTGCCGACATGGCTGGAAGCGAGGCCGTGCACGGCTCACACTTTTGCGCCTGCAGCGGTGGTGTTGACATGGTGCGCGAGGTTGAGCTGATCAACCGAGATGACGTGAAGAGAGGCTGGGCAGATGTTCTGATGATGCGCAGCAGAGATGTGCGAGCCAGCTGCATGGCGAAGCACAGTCGATGGAGGATCGCTGGTACCATGTCGAGTCTCTCGAACGGAGGAAAAGTGGAGTGAGCGCGCTGCCTCGCTTCTGACCGAATCCCGAAGTTTGATGCGAGCAACACACGCTGGACCCTGAATCCCCACTCTTCCTTCCGCGAACTCTTGCGGTCATCCGCTACCCACCATGATCCACGACGAGCTCTCATAGCGGCTGCCTATCTCAGATGGAGGCTACACATGCATCACAAGGGGCGGAAGCGCTGCTGGACAAGCTGCGCGAGTCCCGCCTGTCCTCTGACAAGCGACGCATCTCGCTCGAAGCCCTTCGACTCGCCTTGGAGCCAATTGTCGCCCCCATCTTTTCCACCACATCCGACAACGACGGAGCATCTATCTCTTTACTCATCAGAGCGATTCAGGATGGACCCAACGACGTGCGTCGCGTAGCGCTTCAGACAATCGCATCCGGCATCGACAAGGTCGAGACGCCACACATCTCACAAGCGACGAGTGATGAGCTAATGGCCGCGATCGAGGCGCTGCTGAAGAGCACGCTCAAGATTCAGAGCGGCAGATCGATCGGCACTCTTCGAGGTCGACCCCGCATCGATGTCTCGACCATCTCTACGTCGTCACTGCGGGCTGCAGCTGCGGCCCTCAAGGCTGTCCATAGCCTGTTGCGCATCGCACCTAGCGACAAACCCGCTGCGCGCGCGTCGGACACGAACAGTCTTCTGACCAGACTGACGGGTCTGCTCGATGTGGTGGTTCCATGCCTGTATGCTGGGCTGTCGCAAGCCGTGCCATCGAACGAAGCTGGATCGCGCGCTTCTAGTGGTCTCCGGTCCGGCGCTCTTTCCTGGATGGACCAGCCCCTACAGCCGCTGTCTGGCACCAAGGGAGGCAGCACCTCGGCCGCAGAGACAGACGGCGACACGGACCGCTTCAACGCCTCCTCGTCGGGTGAGGCAGATCGACGTAGCGACAAGAGCGAGAGCGAGCGCAGCGACTTCTCCGTCGCCAGCTCGCGCAGTGCCTCGCGGTCGCGCAAGGACGAGTCGCGACAGCAGGACGCCATGTGTAGGCTCATCCGGCAGAACGCGCTGCACTGCCTGGTGGAGCTGAATCAGCGCCATGCGAATGCGATCGTCGCTCGCTGGAGCGACTTGTTGCCAGACCAGCTTGCACAGCCTGCCGTGACCCCGCGCGCTGTGGGCAGTGGTGTGGTGTCTCGAAGAAGTGGTGTCGGCAGCTCGGCGGCATTCTCATTGTGCAGTTTGATCGCGGACGACCCGTCGACGTCGGTGCGGCTGGCGGCAGTGGCGGCGTTGGAGAGCGTGCTGGCGCATGGCACGCGGCAGCTCTCCATGGCTCAGGAACGTGCACAGCGCGCGCTGACATTCACGTCGCTCTCGTCGCAGCTCGCGGGCTGGATCGTCAATGTTCGGTCGTACGTGGTGCTGGCGCTTCAGCGTGCGGCTGCCGCACCGCGCACACCCGCCCGTGTGGAGGGCCAGGCAGACGGCATCGGGTCGTTGTACCCAACGGCGTTACTCACGGCGCTGTTGCGGCTCGCACGAACATTGGTAACCAGCACGGCTCGAGCTCGACTCGTCGTCAAAAACACGGCGGTGCTCACTGAGCCTGCTGCAGCCTTTGTGGCGCACAGCGATCCGGATGTGCAGGCGGCAGCAAAGCGGCTGGTGGCAGCCCTTGCTGCCACTCAAGATTCTTCCCCAGCGGCAAGTGCGATCCGGCGCCAATCCGGCGTGTCTGCATCTGCAGATGGCATTGCCGACGCTAGTGCTGAAGCTTCATCGCTCGACGTGACGCTGCTGCTCAGCCAGAGCGAGACGCTCACCAGCGCGCTGGCCGAACGTGCGCTGGACGCGCTCAATCAAGCCGGCGAGCCAAATTTGGCCATGTGGACGGCGCTCGTCAAGCGTCTGGCCGAGACTCCCTCGCCGGTCTTGACTCGTGCGACATGCTTGCGCCTCGGCGTTGTCTGGCGACGCATCAGCTCGATGCCGCGCTCGGGGGATCAGCAATGCAGCCTTCTCGCAAGTGCGGCTGACCTTTTGCGTACACTCTCACGACACACGGCGCTGGATGTGGATACGGCCGATGGCATTCTATCGTACGTGCATACATGTTCGCGCGATCCGGACGAGGCGGTTCGCGCCGCCGCCGTGCGCGTGCTCGGCATCGTCATCCTCCCGCCCGACGCCTCCAACGCTGGCGATGTGGCTGTGGCGCAAGTCGCGCGTTTACTGCACAATGTGCTGTGGGGCGAAGGAGGAAGCGAGCGGGGGCTACTGCACGATGCATCGGGATTGGTGCGGCAACGTGCCAGCTGGGCGCTTGCCAACTCGGTCGAGGCGCGTTTGCGCGATCGCACCCGCCTCGGCGACAGTCAATGGGCGGATTTGGCGCGGTACTGTGTGGCTGCGGGGCGAGACATGGAGGGCGTGGCTGTCTCTGCATGCCGTACTTCAGGTAGTCTGCTTGCTATGCTACCGCCCACCGCGAGCGAGAACGATTTGCTGGCGGGCGAGTTGGTCGACCAGCTGTGCCGCGTGCTGGGAGCGGGCGGGAAGCCGCCCAAATCGCGCTGGAACGCTGCGTCGGCGCTCAGCCGTGCGCTTTCCTCGAACGCTATTGTGCTGCGTGTGCTCGCACCAAGCGAAAAGCTCGATAGGGTCACCGAGCTGTTGTACCTCTCGCTCGACGCCAAGGTCTTCAAGATCCGCGTGAGCGCCGCGCACGCCCTCCTCTCCCTCGTCGGACCGGACGACAGCCCGCGGCTGGAGGTTCTTGGCACGCAGCGATGCGGTCGTATCGAAAGCATAGCACGTGCACGGCTGACGCAGCTGACCGCCAGCCCTGCATCGCAGACGAAGGAAGCCGGCCTGTATACCGAGGAGCTCCAACGTCTTCTTGAGCGCCTCGTCGCGCGGCTTTCGACCAACACCCACTAATCTGAATGCTCTTTCTAACCGTTGTGTTGGTTGCGCAGCGTTTGGACGGACGACCAAGTTGGCTGCTGCTTCGGCGCGGGCTGAGCGCGCGTGAGGATGGGTTGGGCCTCTTCGTCGCTCGCATCGTAGTCGCGCGCACACGCCGAGCAGGGACAGGCGATGCATCGGCACGACTCGCGACAGGTCTGCAGGCAGCCATCGACACAGATGCCCGCCACTTCGGCGCACATCGTCGCCAAGCCGATAAGAGGCTCGATGAGAATGCCAATGCAGTGCTCCATGGTTGCAGGAGTAAGCTGGGAACAGCGATAGGTGGGTGAGACGGAGAGGACGGTGGCGCAAGGTGGTCGGAGAAGCTGCTGCCGAAACCTGGAGCGGCGTGGACCCTGCACCCAACCCCACGTCGACTTTGTTTCCAGCGGAAGCCGGACGGTCACCTTTTTGGAGCCTCCTTTTTTGAGAATTTTGGTTGATCATTTTTCTTTTCTTTTTGTGAGCGCGACGGTGAGCTGGCAGCGGTGGGCCAAATTTAGAGCTTTTTGCAGCCGAGCTTTTTGGTGCGCGCGGTGACCGTCGGCCAAATACCCCGCAGCGAACCCTGTTCGGACCCTTGTCTCCCGCTCGCCATCTCTGCGCCTCTGCGTCTGATCACCATCACCACCATCTTCCCTCACCATGATGTCCGGCATGCGTACCGCCTTGCTCCTGGCGCTTGTGGCACTGGCATTGGTTGGGGCACAGACGATCTCGCAGCCGCAACCCTCGCTGCCTGTCGAGAGCTATAGTGACGATCCGTTGGTCACGTCGGCAGCGCAGTGCACTCTGCGTTCGATCCTGGCGACTGAATCCGCACCGCATGCGATTGGACCACTCACAATCCAGCCGGGCTGTATGAGCGCCACGATGCAACCGCATGCTACGAGTTCGGTCAACGGTCAAACTCTGCCATCTTCCGGAATCGCGACCATCTTTGGATCAACCACGTCACTGGCGAGTCAAACCCAGACACAAGCTTCGCAAACAAGCATGTCGAGTGCAACGAGCGCAACAGGTGCGACGAGTGCAGCACCTCCCCAGAGCTCGGCTTCGGGTGGCGCGCAGACCAATGCGGCACCCAGGAATGGCTGGGTGCAGAATCAGAATATCGCAGTCGTCCTCTTGACCACGTTCGCCCTGCTCGCTGGCGTCACCTACTTCCTCGACGAACTCCTCACCCTCCTCGTGTAGCTCTTGGCTTTGTTTTCTTGGAATGGAATCTGATTGTTTTTCGTCTCGTGTGTGCGGTGGAGCGACGGAAGACTGTCGGCATGGAAGATTACCGCCCACTCAGCCCGTGCAGGCGACAGCGACTCGTGCTCCGCGCCTTCATTTCGCATCGCGCCACCTGAATCTGCATGCATAGTCGGCACGTCGCACGTGCATCGGCTTCATCTGGCTCGGCGGGACACAGGCATTTGACAGACTGCACGCAATGCGGGCGGTTCCAGCTAAATGAAATGAATGCGATGGACGGCTGCATGACAGCAAATTAAGCGGAAACATTAAAAAGCGTGTTTGGACATGCCCCGGATCTTGGGTCCCCATTTGTAGAGCAGGAATGGTACTGGCACCATGACGAGCGCAACAAAGCCCAGCAGTGTCGAGGCCCATCGAGGGTTAAGTGCCTCGAACATTTGGGTGGCGAACAATGGAAATCCGAATCCGGCAGCGGAACGACAGACGGTGTTGGCGGCGAGCGCCGAGGCAGCATTTGCCAAGTATACGTCGATGAGGTAGTTGAAGACGCCGAGGAAGCAGAAGAGCACGCCGAAGCCGATCAAGCTGCCGGCCATCATCGGCGACCAGAAGCTGATGGACGGATACGAGGTCCAGCCGAACCAGAAGAAGGCGATCACCAGACACGGTCCGGCGAGCATGATCGGGTACAGACGCTCCTCGGGAGGCACGCGGTTCACGCCCTCCTCCTTGAGCTTGTCGGCAAGGCGTGCGTACTTGGGGTTGAAGTAGGCGACGTAGAGCGCCACGGCCGCACAACCACCAAGGAAGAACGGAACGAACATGACGCCCGAAATTCCGGCGTTGAAGCCATGGCCGACGGAGAAGACGATAGGGAATGCCTCGAAGAGCAGATAGACCACTCCATACACGAAAGACAAGTAGAAAGTCATGACGAGGAGCATGGGCTCTTGTCCCAGCATGATGAAAGGCTTGAGGAGGGTCTTGTTGAGGCGATCCTTCCATTCGATCGAGACGAGCTCGATGGGCGCCTTGTAGCGCTCGTCGTTGGTCTCCTTGCGGATCCTGCGCGCCTTCTTGAGCAGGATGATGGGTGCGTACGTCTCGGGCAGCGTAAAGATGACGAGCACGAGGCAGACACCCGAGAAGATGGTGCAGACCCAAAAGAGCCACCTCCACGACGTGCCGCTGACGGCGATGAAGCCCGACACGATGGGTCCGAGCGCAGGACCGGCAAAGGGAGCGAGCGAGAAGAGCGAAAGTGCAATGCCTCGGGTCTTGGCGTCCCACAGATCCGCAATCACACCACCCGAGTTGGTAAGCGGCGAAGCGGCGAAAGTTCCAGCAAGGAATCGGAAGACGAGGATGGAGCCGGTGTTCTTGGAGAGCGCACAGCCGATGTTGAAGCAGGTGTAGACAAGCATGGCGCCGATGAACACGGGTCGACGGCCGTACTGCTCGGACAGAGGGCCCCAGAGCAAGGGACCAAGACAGTATCCTGCAACAAAGATGGAGAGACTGAGGACAGCCACCTCGCGGCCGAATCCGAATTGCGCCTCGAGCTGCGGGATGACGCCCGAGGGTGCGGACGAGGTGAAGGTCGAGTTGAGAACAAGCAGACCGGCGAGCATGGTGAGGTACCATCGGTAGGTGCGCGTCCAGGTGAATGGGTTCTCGCTGTCGTTCTCGCCCTCCCAGTGGACGATCACGACGTCCTTGCCGGCCTGCGACTGGAATCGCTCGAGGTGGTTCTCGGTCTCTGCGCGTTCCAGGTCACCACCGAAGGGATGTGTTGTGTCGAGGTTCTCGCTGCGGTCGCGACGCGAGAAGGTACGCGTCGGCCGTGTCGCCGCCGGATCGGCGCCATCGGCGGGAATGTAGTTGGGAGCGGTCTGAGGAGCAAAGCCGACAGATGCGGTGGTCTTGGGTGCGGGCCTTGTCTCTTCCTTTTCGGACATGGAGTTGTCGGCATGGCCGACTGCGGTGGCACCATCGCCAGCGCTGGATGAAAGCTTCTTTTCGAGATCCTGAGATTGTGCCAACGAGGGCGTCGCCGACGAAGCGGGCTCCGTCATTTGATGGGACGACATGGCAGGCGAGACGTCTATGGAAGGATGGGCGGAGATGGGTATGTGACGGAGGTGAAACGATGACGAACAAGTAAGCCCGTCGTATATATGGATGCGTTTCTCAGGCCCGAGGGAAATCTTCGTGATTGAAGGCTTGCGGGCCATTCCACCCGCGCGCTCGGTTGCGTGTGCCGGTCTGTGTGTACCCGAGCACAGGGCCCAACACGCGCCGCGCCGCTCCACAAGAGGGAAAAAAAACACAAAAAAGCAAAAAGAACAGCACCTGCAAACCCGCAAACGAACTCCACCAACAAACCACGGATGCACGCGCTGACATGCATCGCCTCGGAGGAATTCCACCAGTGGCGCCGTGGCTAAAATCCGAGTCGCCATGTGCCTCTCAGAGAGCCTGGATGGTTTCCGCGGAGAAGCTGACCGCCTCAAGAGAACTGCCTATTGTGATTGGCAGCCACTCTATTCCATTCGTCAGAGACGCCAGGGCTTATTGTACTGAAGCATGCGAGCCTCAAGAGAAACGCTGCTCATCCATGAATGATGACCGCGCCCCCGAATGAATGCTGATCCTCAGCGCAACCTAGAGAAGCGCTTGTGGCACCACCCAACCCGATCCGGTTGATTGATTTTTTTTTTTTTTTTTCTTTTTTTCTTTTTTTCTTTTTTTTTTTGCCTTGACGGGAAATGCAGAAATTCAGCGCTCCGACAGCCTCGAGTTGTCGCGCCTGCCTGCTGCCGTCTGTCGCAGCACAACAAATGTCGTCATGTTTTTGGCCCGCCTTCTCTTGCGCAACCCTCCACCTGGGCCGATACTCCAAAAGTCAAATCTTCATACGCCGGACAGGGACAGTGAAGCGTGCTGACATCCCGAGCCGTACGCCCACCTACAAAGGCCCTGCACTCCAATTCGGACGTCGGACTACACGACAATCGATAACAACGAAAACCATCTAGTGCCAGGTCCGCGGCTCTACCAGCTCGGGCATTGGGCGAACGATGCACACCACGCACGCACAGAGGGTCTGTTCTGTCAGGATTGATTTGAAGGAGGCCAAAAGTGGCATGCACCGTCGCTCGCCCCCCTGCAGGACTGCAGCCGTGGGTTCGGAAATTTTGACCGCCTTTTCCGACCAGCACGCCTGCGTGCTCGGGCGAAAGACGAGGTCAAAGGGAGAAACGCCACCGGACCCTGTCCTAGTCGTCAGCAGCTCGTAGTCCGCGGACTTTGAAGTTCTTCCACCTCGCAGCCCAAAATTTTGTGCCTCGCAAACAATGCATTCCGACATTCTCTCCCGGACTCCGCGAGTAGCCGGTCACTTTCTGAGAACGGCAAACTCGGCGGCGGCATCCTCTGTAGGCATCACTCGGATCAATTTCGCAGGTCCAGCATTCCAGCACGTGGCCGTCTCGAGACAGACTCGGTCCAAGCGGGCTGTCCACCATTGGAGCGGGAGTCTCGACTGCATTCTCGGAGAATTTGGCTGCGCAAGTCGGGCCGAAGTTTCGGACCCTTGCGCCGTTGTTTGCTTTGCTCGAATCCTGACACGTCGAGGCTGTGCCCTTCCCAGACGCCGCGCCTACATGGTGCGCGCAAATGCTCCAAAGGCCTGTACTGTTTCGCGCAGTCGGACGCGGCGCCATTGTGCGCGGCTCGACTGTAGCAAAAGCAAGGCGGATCGCATCCACACACGCACGCGGCGCAGCAAAGCCAAACGGGAGGTCGAATCCCAGCGTCAGAGGTGATGATTCATGGAGCCGGACGCTCAAGACTTGACGACCAGCAGCACCTCGGGAAAAGTGCCTGCTGCAGGGTCCCACCGCTTGAGCGTGACTCGCATGGGCGTGTGCATGTCGACAGCCCGTGCCGACTCGACCGCAGTTGGACTCACAGGCTGTGTTGTTGCGTGTGCTGACTGCGAGCTCGTTTGGTCGGGCTCGTCCCGTCCGGCTGTTCCGAAGCATCGCTCGACGAGCCACACTCGGTTGCGGAAGCCAATCTGGCGCAGTCCGTTTCCCGACGCCCCCTGCTTATCGGCAGGATTGCCGACGTGCTGAGTTCGGCGCTCCCGATTGGCATCGGTGCACACCTGCGCGATCCACTGGATCTCGCTCTCGCCCAGGCTCGTTTCCGACGACGCCGACGCCAGCACATGCAGCGTCTCGAGACGCGGAAGCTGGCACAGCAACGCCGCAAGCCGAGGCAGATCGTCTTCCCAAATCTGAACCACCAGATCCTCGACGTTGCGGCAGTGCTGCGCAATCACCCCGAGCTGGTCGAGCGAGATGCCGATGCCATGCAGACGCAGCTTGATGAGCTGGCCGCCTCGACTGCCTACGAGCCTGGTGAGGAACCATGTCGGGAGCAACGGCAGATTGCTCGGCGGGGCGGTATTTTTGGGCGCGCCGTATCGAACACTGCCTTCGGGAGGCGGTCCCGAGAATCGACGGATCCAGTCGCTCGACGTGCGCATTCCCGCGGAGCTCGACCCCTCGACACGGTCCGGCCGTGTGGCATGCACATATTCGCCATCGTCGTCGTAGTCGGAATCGTCGTCGTCGAGCTCATCCAGATCCACCAGCCCGTCGTCGCCCTCGTGACCACCGTCCATGGCGGGACGAGAGCCGGATCCGGCATAGTGGGTCAGCTCTCGCAGACCGTCGGCTTTCTCGACGAGCGTGGCGAAATCGGCGTAGAACTCGTGCAGCGATGCCGCCGACAGCGATCGCGAGCCAGACGAGGACGCGGAGCGCGGGTACGTGAGCGATAGCAGACGCAGCGACGAGGCGTACGGATGCAGAAGGCTCACGTCTTGCGCCTGGATATTGAGGCCTTCCATAGCCAGATCCCGGACGCCTTCGCCGCCTTGCGCTGCGCTGCGCAGAACCGCCTCTATCCCCCGCCCCGTCACCGCCCTGCATCCCGCTAGTGACAGCCGCCGCAGATATCGGAGGTGCGGAGCTATCGCCATGAGCAGCGCGTCGGTCAAGTGCGGCGAATGCTGGCACAGTATACTCAAACTGCGCAAGCCTGTTGGCCGTCCATGGTCGTCGTCTCTGACGCTGAGACCGGCCAGGTCCGAGGCGAGTGTGCTCGAGCTGCCGTTCGAGATGCCCTGGATCAGTTTTGCGGCGACATCAACGAGCCCACGCAGCGTCGACTTCTCGGGCAGCATGAAGCTGAGACTTTCGATGCTGAGAGGGATATGCTTGACCAGCGCCTGCGTGGTCCACAGCCGGGCGTCACCTGCCAGCTCCAGCCTGCGCAGCTTTGGCGACGAGCCGAGCAGCGTCGGCATGAGTCGATCGTTGAGACTGCCCGTCCTCGTCCAAACGAGCTCTTCCAGATTGACCGCATGCTTGAATGTAGTCTCGATGTCGATCTCCAGCCGCTCGAGTCGCTCCGCGTCGAGGCCAAATGGAAACACACGCAACTCGACCACCTTGACGAGCCGGCACAGCTGCGGGCGACTGCCGAGGCAGGCGAATACGAGCTTAAGCCGCGTCTGGTCGCGCAGAAAGAGCCGCTCGTAGAGAAGAGGCGTTGCGATCTCGTGGAAGAGACGGCAGACGAGCGCGCATGCTGCCAGGTCGCGCACGCGGTGTTGGAGATGCGACAGAATGGGCTCCAGCAGGTCCAACGGCAGCGCGCCAAGCAGCCCCAGGCTGCCCGCATGCGAGCCCATCAGCCACAGCGTTGTCCGAGGGAATCAAAACGGCGGCCTGCACCCGTTCCCTCGCTGTAGCTTTCCTTGAGGTAGTAATCCAGATGATATGGTGAGGAAGTAAAGAGGCAGAATCAATTTTGAGGCCGACACAAAGCTGAGCCCATGGTCCGCGCACTCACAGCCATGTGGAGGTTTTGCATGCCCGTGCCCTTGCTCTCGACCACCAACCTTCCCCACTTCTCGGACCTCACACAAAGCCCATTCGAATGCGATCCAAAGATTCTGGGAAGAAGACTTTGATTCAGGTTGCTGTGTCTACAAAGGTGCTGCTATCTACGCTACAGACGACGCATGTTGTACTCGGCCACCGCCTCGCTGATGGCGGCCATGGCCTGGCTCACGTCTGCCTCGCGCTTGTCCTGCGCAGAGAGCAGGTTGAGCGACTCGTTCTTGGGCGCGGGGAAGGGCGAGCTGTCGACGCCGCACTTGGTGCCCTTGTGGGGCACGGTGCCATTGACAAAGTAGGCGCCGATGATCTTGTCCATGCACTTGGACGGTTGCGACATGCTGCAGTGTCCGTATCCGGCGCGGCGCACCGACACCGCCGAGCCGAACCTGTGCGCCATCATGTCGGCGAAGCGACCGGGCGTGACGGGGTCAAAGTCGTTGCCGAGCGTCAGGATGGGGAACGAGGTGTTGCTGTCAAAGTGGCCACGGTGTCGCTCGTTGGAGCGGATCTTCCACGATCCCAGGCACTTGATGCCCTGGTCTGCGAAAAACTGGCCGAACAGCGGCGAGTCTTCCTCGAGCACGCGGATGTGCTTCTTGGCACGCTCGATACCCCACGGCTTGTCGCGCGGGTCGTGCAGGCCGTCGCCGCACGCGATGGCCGCGTTGGCCTCTTCCGACTCGGGCACGATGGGGATGTGGTACGTCGTGTCGCCGTAGGCATTGACAAAGGCGGTGCCGTCGCCGTTCATGACGTCGTTGAGCATGTCGGCCAGCTTGGGCCAGCCGGCGGGCTTGTAGAGCGACGTAAAGACCGTCTCGAGCACCATGCTGAACGTCAGCAGCTGCGGCACCTCGGCAGTGACGACGGGCATGGGGTGGTACTTGAGGTGCTCGAGCAGCTCGTCGAACTTGTGCTGCAGCTTCTTGGCGCTGCTAGCCTGCGAAGCGAGGGCGCACGCCTTGGGGCCTGCCTTGACGCATTCCTTGAAGAAGCCGTCCCAGCCGCCGTCGGTGTCCTTGAGGTTAGTGCTCCACAGGCCCTGGTAGTAGTTGGGCACGTCGACGACGCCGTCGATGATGAGACGGTTGACGTCGTCGGGGAACATGTCGGCAAACGTGGAGCCGAGCACAGTGCCGTAGCTGAAGCCCCAGTAGTTGATCTTTTCGTCGCCAAAGAAGCGGTGGAGGAGCTGCATGTCGCGCGCGACGGCGGTGGTGCCGACGTACTTGCCCTGCTCCGAGACAAACGGATCGGCGCTGCACAGCTCGCTCAGCAGCTGGGTGCTGGCGATCTCGGAGCCGACCTCGCTGTCGAGCGCACCCGGATGCGAGTAGAGCGCGCCGAACGAGCCGCTCTCGATGCGGTGCACAAAGCTCTTCTCGGTGTTGTTCCAGCAGTCCATGCGCGGGAAGGTGCGACCAACACCACGCGGGTCAAACGAGACAAGGTTGTACCTGCCCTGCATGACCGTGTCAAAGTTGGCGGCGAGCAGCTCGTTGTTCTTGGCGGCGTTCTTGCGCGCGAGAAACTCGAAGCCCGAGCCTCCGGGACCACCGGGGTTGGTGAGCAGCGAGCCCAGCACCTGGTCCTTGGGGGTGGCGCCAGCACCGGCCGGGTAGAAGATGACGGCGATCGAGGCGTTGCGGCTGTCATCGTCGGCGTTGGTCCAGTCGAGCGGGGCCTTCATGCGGCCACACTGGAGAGGAGCGGGGTAGCGCTTGTCATCGTTGCAGTCGAACCAGACGACTTCGCCTCGTGCAGCCTGGGAAAAGTCGGTCTCGTTCTCTGGCTTCAGACCCGCGCCAAAGTGGGGCGCAGAGTGTTGGCAAGGCTGGCGGAAGCGGTGCGAGAGGCGACCAAGAGCATCGGAGCCAGCGGGCGAGTTCAGCCAAAAGTAGGTCACCAGGAAGAGTCCGACGGCGACCCAACGATGGAGAGGAGTGGGCTTGCGCTGACGCTTGCCCTCATTGGCGGCGTTTTGGAGATTGGGAGCCGGCAGCGACGATTCGATCGCGTTGTAGCGATTCTCGATCGCCTGCTTCTCGTATGCCGCCATGGTGAAATGCTGTGCCAGGCGGGGTCGGAGATGGTGTGGATGAAGGGAGGACAGGTGCTGGCCTTGGACTCGTCAAGGGTGCACGACCCTGTTGCACGGCCCCGGCGGCACAGACCTTTCTGGTGCAGGCTGTGCTCAGGCCGCGTCGCCTCTCTCTCTGCATGCGGGGATCCTACGGCAAAGCACCCACTCGATCGGCGCGCTCGTCGGATCAGCGCTGTCCGACGCTCGCTTTTGGGATGTGTAGTCGACACGCCTTCATCTGCAAAACATCGACGTTGTTAGAGCGCGGCCTTCTTTGATCCGACGGGTATGTCGAGCTGATTGCGGCTCTAGACGGCCGCAAGTCGACCATGGATGCCGCGCTGATCCGAAGTCGCAGCTGCTCGGCTGTCAGCTGCTCAAACTCGTTTCTGCCGCGGCAACAGCTGGAATTGGCCGGCAAATGAACCGAATGCCACGGGCGCTCAAGAGCTGGACCTCTGCGTCTCAGCCGGCCCTTTCGATCAGGAACAGCCAGAGCAATGCTGTCTAGGCTCGGAACACCTTGGCGCGCGGGAGCGTTCCTATGAGCAGCGGCCTGGCCAACCAGAGGAGGAGCAGAGGCGGAGGCGTAGACAGCGAGCCATCTGACTCGAGTTGGTGGCTTCAGCACGCCACTGATGCATCGATTTCGCATTCTTTCGGTGGATCTCTGGACCACATGTTGGGCTAAAATGGCCGTCCATCCAACCGAATCTCCGGCAAAGCTATGACCTCGCATCTCGGAGCTCTCCGACATCCAACCAGCGCGGCCATATAACAGCTCAGGTGTTGACACTCATCCGTCCTCCATACCAACCCACCATTTCCCTACCTCTCTGCCCGGTCACTACAGCGAGGAAAAGAGCTTCCCCTGGCAGTCGGTGCGCTTTGACGGCAGGCCTTCATCGAGGCCATCTTTGCTAGATCGGCCCGATCGTTGTTTTTTCAGCGCCTGGTGTCGAATCGTGCCAACTACCAGTTTTTAGATTTTCGAGCACCGCGTCAGTTCGGATCTGAGCGTTTTTAAGCGCGCGGTGGCCTCGGATTGGGACCGGTCGTTCGGTTACTCTTGCCGGCCCCGCGCTCCGTGCCTTTCAGCTGGGCGACGGCGCTGTGACCCCCTCTCATTTACATTCCACTCTCCTGTCCAACCACTCTCCTCCGTCATCTTCTCTTTCAATCACCACACACCACTCCTGCCAACACCTAGTCGATCGCGAAGCTCTCATCACCATGATCAACACTCCTCTTACCGAAAAGCTCGGCCTGCGCGTGCCCCTCGTACAGGGTGGCATGCAGTGGGTCGGCACGCCCGCTCTCGCCGCCGCCGTCAGCAATGCCGGTGCTCTCGGAACCCTCACTGCCTTAACCCAGCCTTCGCCCGAGGCGCTCCGCAAGGCTATCCGCGAGACCAAGTCGCTCATCTCCGAGGACATCCGCAAGGAGCGTGAGGGCAAGTACGGCTCGTTTGCCGTCAACATCACCCTCCTCCCTTCCATCAACCCTCCCGACTACGTCGGATACGCCAAGGCGGCGCTCGAGGAGGGCGTCCGCATCTTCGAAACCGCTGGCAACAACCCTGGCGAAGTCATCAAGGTCGTCAAGGCGGCTGGCGCCTACGTGATCCACAAGTGCACTGCCGTCCGCCACGCCCGCAGCGCCGAGCGCCTCGGTGCCGACATGCTCTCGATCGACGGATTCGAGTGCGCCGGTCATCCCGGTGAGGACGACATCGGCGGTCTCGTTCTCATGGCTAGGGCCGCTGAGGAGCTCAAGATCCCCTTCATCGCCTCGGGCGGTATCGCCAACGGCCAGGGCCTTGCTTCTGCCCTCGCTCTCGGTGCCGTCGGCGCCAACAGTAAGTTCCGCAGTCATGCACCACGGCGACACGACTCGACTCACATTGCTGACCAGCTCCCTGTCTACTCGTGACGATACAGTGGGCACACGCTTCATGTGCACCAAGGAGTCCGAGATCCACGACAACATCAAGCGTGCCATCGTCGAGTCGGACGAGCGCAACACCACGCACATCTTCCGCACCCTGCGCAACACTGCGCGTGTCTTCAAGTGAGTACCCCTGATCCTGTCCCTTTTTTCTTTCTCGTATCGTGTCTGCTGGCTCCTCGCGACCCCAACTCAGAGGAGCTGCTGGCGGGAGTGCAACCAATGGAAGGGCCGCCATCAACTTTGTAAGCTTGCACCTGGCCCTCTACTGCGTCGACCGGGCTGCGACACCTTTCCAGGGCCCTTTCATTGGGTGAGTACCCCGATTGCAAAATGATCACTCACAGAGCTCTTTGAAGCTGACACTGCTCCTCCCGTGTCTTTGTGAATTTACCAGTGACGAGCCTCGGGATTCAAACCGGTCTTCGTCGGATCAGAGTACTGCCGGCGCCGTCACCGTCGAGCCGAGCACGGTCGAACAGCCCGGCCATGATCCAAACAAGCCGCCGGACCCGAAGCGCGCAAGCCAGGAGCGCGAGACCGAGCTGCAACGACAGGCTACCAAGGAAGGTGCCGTCGAGCTGCTCGGAACGCGCGATCCAGACAGCTACGCGCTGCAGGAAGAGCATCAGCGCAAGTGGAATGCGTGGGGCCTGGCCAAGAGCTACCTGAACGACGAGATCGACCACACGGCGGCTAATGTGCCGCTGGCATGGCAGGCGTTCCTGACGGGAATGGTCGACATGCTGCTCTACAGCCGCTCGCAGGTGTGGCTCGGCTTCCAGACGGGCAACATGGTGCAGTTCTCGTCGAACATCGCGCAGTTCATCATCCCCGGCGTCGAGAGACAGCCGCTGCTGACGCTGCTGCGCATCCTCAGCGTCATTGGCTTCTTCCTCGGCTCGCTCGTAGGCTTCCAGCTCGGTCGCCGCATCGGCCACCAGAAGCGCAGCTGGCTCATTCTCTCGAGCGTGATCCAGAGCGCCTTCTTGTTTAGCGGCGCAGGCATCCTGCTCAGCAGACCGAAGAACGAGCTGCCGTCGTTCGACTGGTACCCGGGCGTGATCGTGCTGGTGGCCTTCTCCATGGGCATGCAGAGCATTCTGGCGCAGAAGCTCGTCTCGCCAGCGTTTGCCACGACGGTGGCATTCACGGCGACGCTCACCCAGATCGCCTCCGACCCGTACCTCTTCCACCTGGTGCCGTCGGAGAAGACCAGGGGTCGTGATCGCAGGATGCTGGCTGTGCTGGCGCTGTGTGTCGGTGCGGGCGTTGGCGAGTCCTTGCTGCACACCAGCGCCAACCTCAGCGGCGGCATCGCCATCAGCGCCGGCTTCAAGCTCGTGCTTGCTCTTCTTTGGCTTGTGCCCGAAGGCAAGAAGAGCAACACGGCCAAAGCATCCAAAGCCTAGACGCCGTTCCCTCTTCAAATTCCCTGGAGCCGTTTTGGAGTCCCCTCTCCGCTAAAGACCAAACAACTCACCCATCTGTCCCCTTTCTCCTTTCTCCACCTCATTTTTTACTTGGCTCGGCGTACGGTGGTCTTGCAGGAACAAGGTCTCCATGGAGGTGGTGCGCCTCGAGAACCGACCGGAGGGCGCCAAATTCGAGGATGTGCGCGAGCTCGTGTCGGGCGCGCGCGGAAAGACGGTCTATGAGACCGGTGACATCGACGCCGGTATCTGGTCGGCCGGTATCACCGTCGGCCTGATCCACGACATTGTAAGTGCTGGCGCGATCAAGTGGTCTTCCAAGGAAACGAAGCTGACTCGTTCTGATTTCTGGTTGTGTTTTGGGTAGCCTTCGTGCAAGGAGCTGTGCGCCAACATTGAGCGCGATGCCGAGACGCACATCAACCGCCTCAGCACGCTCGTTGCCCAAAAGGGCAGCAGCTCCGCTGCGCGTGAGGCCAAGCTCTAGGTGGCGTATCCCGCTGCCGTAGAAAAGCGTTGCCGGTGCTGCTAGTGCATCAGGCAATCTTGTAGAACCTGAAGTTCCGATAACGATGTTTGTGCCCCCATCAGTCTTTCGTAGCTATGGGCTCTGTGGCGGGTGTGTAAAGTGTTGAATGTAGTCGGGATAGAGCCAAGCGAAGCCGGGTGGGAATGCGAAGAAGACGCCGCAAAAATGGCCGATGCGGAAAAGGCGCTTCCGTAGATGGCGAGCGCGTGGTCGGCTACGGAAGCGGGCGGGTGCTGTCTGCTGCTCCGTCCGTGCGGAGCTGCAACTGGGTGGATTGCCGTCTTGTCCAGCCGCAATGTTCGTCCTTGCCATCACTTCCACCTTTTCCCACCAGTCCCCACACATCCCCACCATTCCCCTCTGAGCTTTTCTTCACACTTCCTCTCCGCAGCTGACAGGCTCCATCACTATATCTAGCTAGCCACGATGACTGGCTGCTTTGCATTCCTCAAGCCCTCTCGCGCTCGGGCCAACAAGATGAGCGACCACGGATGCACGTGCAAATGCTCCCAGCACGCCGGTGCGCTTCCTGCCGCGGCCCCTGCCGCCGCCACTGTTGCAGCCGAGAAGAGCCCGCTGAGCGTCTCGATGTACTACGATGCGTGCAATCCGCCTCCGTTCGAGCCGGGTCAGGTGCAGCGTTGCTGTGGCGGTTTCGCCGGCGAAGGACTGGCGCACTCGCACCTGCCCACGTATGGCGACTCGCAGAAGCACGCGCACCACACGGTGAGATACTCTGAGCCTGACGTCGATGCGCAGCTGAGCGACGCTGTCGCCGAGGTGGCCAAGTCAATCGAGGCCGAGATGGAAAAGCTCGACAAGGAGCTGCGCGAGCTGTCGCTCGACATGCACGACCATCCCGAGATCATGTGGGAGGAACATCGCACACACGACCTCTTTGTCAAGTATCTCTCCAACAAGTCTGGCTGGAAGGTCACCCCGCACGCCTATGGGCTCGACACCGCGTTCAAGGCGGTCTTTTCGCACAAGGCTGATAAGAACTCGCGCGTGATTGGATTCCAGTCGGAACTCGACGCGCTTGCGGGGATTGGCCATGCGTGCGGGCACAACCTCATCGCCATGTCTGGTGTTGCTGCCGCGCTCTCGGTTGCCGCCGCACTCGTTGAGAAGGACATTGCAGGTACCGTTGTGCTCCTGGGTACTCCGGCGGAGGAAGGTGGTGGAGGCAAGATCAAGCTCGCCGACGCCGGTGCGTACAAGGACATGGACGCGTGTCTTATGATCCACCCCGCCGCCATGTCTGGTACGGGCGTCATGCTTGCAGTGCACCCTGTGGTGGTGACGTACAAAGGCCGTACTGCCCACTCGGGTGCTGCTCCCTGGGAGGGCATCAATGCGCTCGACGCAGCGGTGCTTGCGTACAACAACATCTCGGCACTGCGTCAGCAGATCCAACCCAGCGAGCGCGTACACGGCATCATCAAGGGCAACAACTGGTCTCCCAACGTCGTCCCCGGTGAAGCCACCTTGATCTTTAACATCCGCGCACCCACCATTTCGGCGCTCAAGGCGCTTACTGCTCGTGTGCAAAAGTGCTTTGAGGCGGCAGCACTCGCCACGGGATGTACGGGTGAGTACGACTGGCAAACCGCCTATGCCGACGTCCACAACACTCCTTCACTTTCCGCCACGTACGCCAACTTCCTCGACCAGCGTTACCGCATCCATGTGCCCAACGATGACTTTGCCGCCTCGACGGATTTCGGCAACATCACCTACACCCTCCCCTCCCTGCATGCAGAGTATGCGATTCATCTGGACGACCCTCGCACCCAGGGCAACCACACCGTCGGCTTTGCAGCTGCCGCAAGGACCCAGGAGGCCCACGATAGGACAAAGGAGGCCGCCCTCGCGATTGCCGTTACGGGCGCAAAGGTGCTCGTCGATAAAGAGTTCCGCGACCACGTGTGGAAAGAGTGGTCCGCTTGGCGCAAGGCTGCCGACGGACCCTAATCCCCGCACACCTCTCTGCACCTGCAAAACCAGTAACATCGTGATGAACGAATCAAGCGAAATTGCAAATCTATACCGAGTGCAGAAACGGAGCATGGTGGTCATTATCGCAAGTCCGTGAGTCGTAAGATAAAAAGAAAAGGCCGGCTAGGCCGTGATCCTGAGCGAGCCGACTTCAGGCATCTCCTGCACGCTCGCCAGCGCCGCCTCGGCGGGGGCAGAGTTGGCGCTGCCGAGGTCCGCGAGCAGCTTGGCGCTCTTGGCCGACGCGATGCTCGACGAGCGCGAGTGGTGCGGGCTGAGGTCGTGCGCCATCTTCTCGGTGCGTGCCGCGTGGATCGCCGCGAGCTGCGAAGGGCTGAGGTTGCGTGTGGGCGGCACGGGGTGTTGTGGAGGGGCACCGTTGCCGAGCACGGCGACTTGTACGCTTGCCGTCTTGGCGGCTTCGAGCGACGGCTTCTTCTTGAATGCGTGCCGCTTCGGCGCTGGCTCGGGCTGTGCAGCCGCTTCTCGCGTGAGGAACGGAGGTGGCGCTGCTCCGGGCGCGGGGGTGGGGGCCACAGGTGCCGGTCCGTCCAGCGGGTAGTCCCACGGGCGTGGGACAAGCGCGAGCGGCATGAACCACGTGCCGGCGATGCAAACGCCGTGGCCCTGGTCCTGCGCCTGGATCGCCTTGTACTCGACCTCCATAAATGTGGAGATGTACTTGATGAACGGCAGCAGCTCGGGCACGCCGCCACCGACCGCCATGGTCTGCAGAAACGACAGGAACGCCCCGGACACCGAGTGCGCCGTGCCAAGGTACGCCATCGAAGCCTTGGGAAGCGTGATTTCAAAGCCCCACCAGTGCACAAAGATGGCCATGCGGTCCAGCGGCGGGTGGATCGCGTCCATGTCTTGGGTGGCGCGGATCGCGGCGCCGGAAACGTTAGCAAGCACGTCAAACGCGCCCGAGTTCTGAGCTACCGCTCCGACGGGGTCGAGGATGAGCTGTAAGGGCGCCGAGCCCATGAGGCGCTGGCCATCCTCGAGCGTAGGCAGGTTGGAAACGGACATGCTTTTGATCAAAGGCGGCCTTGCGCTCGACGATGCCTCACTGGACGTCGCCTTTTCTGGCTCTGATGGCTGGGATCGTGCGCTCAGCAGGCCTCCGACACCCATGAGAGCTGCTGCAGCTCCGGAAGCCACAGCAGTCACGCTGAGCCCTGCTCCAGTCTGTGCATCGCTCGGGCCTTCGCTGGTAACGACCTTGGCTGCCTCGAGATGGTCGGCGTGCCGGCGGTGGGCCTCGTGCTCGCCACAGTCGAGACAAACCATCTTGAGAGGTCGCGCTCCCGGTTTGGCCGAGGCTTGCTTGGCTGCTGGAGGTGTCGCTGCGGCAGCCCCTGACGCGGACGCCTGCGAGATTGGCTTCGCTGCGCTAATGCTCTCCTCTGCAGGTGGTGGCAGTGACGAGGTTCGAGCTGTGGGCACAGCACTGCGAGGCGTCGTCGCAGCATCAGCCTGGAGAGTGATCTTCCGCAGAGCCTCTTCTGCCGCCGATCTGGCCTTGCGCTCCATCGGTGGTCGTTCGGCAGCGCTCTTTGTAGCGGGCGCAGCTGCTAGCTCACCTGCCACCGCTTCCGCACGCTTGCGGATCTCGCTGTCGTCCTTGCTCTTGGGACCTTCAAGCGCCGTGTCAGGCAAGTTGGTGGCGAGAATGCGCTCCTGACCGTGCTCGCCGGCGGTGCCAATCTCGGTCTCGGGCATCATCCTGCCCAAGCCGCTGCGCAGGGCATCAAGTGGCACTGGCATGGAGCGCAGCTCGCTGATAATGTTGTTGGCCAGGTCGACATCGAGCAGTGCCGATTTGAGCCCGCGGAGCTGTGACCGATCGACGACGGGGATGGGTTTGGCGCGCGGGACATGCTTCTTCTTGCCTCCTTTTGCATTTGCGTCGGCAGAGTTGACCTCGGTGGCGTGCCGTGCCGAGCTGACGCGGGCAGGCACGGGATGGAGGCCCATGCCTGCGTTGATGACCTGCTCGAGTGTCTTTGCATGGCGTGCAGCTAGTGCTTGGTGCTTGGTCACCTTGACTTTTGCCACCTTTCCCTTGTCGCGAGAACCGTCGGCGGCGACACGATGGATGCCCTTGCGGTCCCAGCGGAAGAGACGGCGCTTGGCCGCAGCAGCACCGGGCAAAGCGGCGCGGTCCTCAAAGGCCTCGTGTGATGATGACGAAGTGGCATCGGAAGTGCCAGTGCGAACCGAGTCCAAGCTGGGACGGTGCGTGGGATCGTGGAGGTCAGACGTCGACCTTGACTTGAATCCTCGCCATTTGACCGGATTGCTCTTCTTCTTTTTCGACTGGGCTGCACGCAGTGGATGAGATTCGTCGTGCGGTGGGCTCGGCTTGCCCGACGACTCGGAGGCAAGTGCGGCAAAGGCCAGCGCTTCTTCGCGGGCCAGCGCCGTTTCCTCGGTGGATGGGCTGAAGCTCACCCGATGCGGTGATGTGGTTCGAGATGCGCGACGTGCGGATGCATCGACGGAGCTTGTCAGCGCAGAGCGTTTCGGGAGAACCTCGGTGGGAGGTGCCAGCTGTTGTGTGGTCACGTTCGGCACAAACTCGTGTGACTGAGGCGGTGTAGGCGTTCTGGTCTCTTTGGGAGCTGAGTTGTCACTGCTGCTCGCAACATCCGATTCGGGAGCTTCCGATATAGCTGTCTCGTCGACAGCGGCCACACTTGCAGTGCTGACCTTGCGAGGCGATGCCAGGAATGGAAGACGCAAGGCATCGAGACTGAACCGATTCTTCCCACGCCCTGCTGGCTGAGAAGCGGCAGGGGCAAGGTTGTCGGCCTCGGACGAGGTCACCCCGGGCGAGACTGCATCATCGACCGATGCGGCAGCCGCTTGGGCTGTCGTTTCAGAAGCAGTCATTGTGCTGGACAGCGATTTGACTCGCTACAAGACCATGATCCGCCCCAAGGTTGTGGTGGCGAGGTGAAAGGATGGAGGCACAGACGGATAGAGCTCCAGGATCAATCACTCGAAAAGGATGTTGTGACGTCCACAGTGGAGCTCTTGGCCGTGCTCAGGGGCTGCAGAGTTGTGAAGCAGCGCATCTACGCTTTCCGAAAGAGGCAAGGCTGCTGCCCTCTCATGCGGCTGCGGAGGTGCTCTGCATGCAGTGCATGAAGCTGCCTTGAGCCCTGTGTTGGTCTCGCCTCGGCCAAGCTCGACCCCCTAAAACACGCGTCCCTCCCCACTTGCCGTCCCTCTCCAGCCTTGCAGCGAAATTGATTTTTCGAAAAAAGGGTCAGACAAGAGACAGGATGTAACATGCTCAGCTTTTTGTTTTTGCTCCACACCCACCCGACGCGCTTATGCACCTTTCGCCTGGCTGAGCATTTCCGAGGAGCTGGTGCGAGGAAGAATTCGTGAGTCTCGCCCATGCCGCCGCAAGGCTCTGCGATCCTATCTGAGCTGCCACCATACCGAATCTGGAGACCGCTGGTACTGGACGCCAAAGGCGGTGTGGAGTGCACCTCAGCCACGATGGCGAGTAGCAGTACCAGTCACCTTGGTCGCCCGTCGGTGCACGAGCCGAATGCGTCCATCTGGCCAATCCAGCTTCTGGACCGAGGCAAGGAACGTTCCAGGGTGCCTCCGTCCTCTGCTAGAGCCGCCCAAAAGAGGTTTGCGTACGTCCCTGTGCCTCTTCTCGACTTTGAAGATCTCTCCTTCTTTGTCAACTTTGATTGGATCGCTTCAAAGCTTGGGTTGGACCCTTCCGAGGACGAGACGGATCATCTCCGCGTGGGGGCCAAACGCCGTCATGCCTCACCGGAACATGACACCACACGCGCCAAGAGAGCAGTCAAAGACGAAGATACAGAGCGAATATCGACTGATCTAGCCGACCTCGTAGGCACACACTGTCTCTTTCGCGTCAAGGCCCGAGAATCACGCGACATCGATAGCGTACTCGCAATCAAACAACAGTTGGACCACCCTTCCACGCATCGACGTCTGCACGTCACCGATGTTGCCTTCGATCTCGAGGAATTCTCGCCGAGTAGGCCAACGGAATCCGTCATCAGTCGATCCATACGTCTTCGCGATGTCGGCACCGGCACATTCATCGCTGCCCTACCTGTCTTGGCAGACGACGCTTCGAAGGACGCTAATCTCGACCCGCACAGTCTCACAAACAGCAGCTGGATCACCTCGCTTTCTCACTTGCTATCTAAAGATGCTGTTTTGTCGAGAGCGAGCCTTGACATAGTATCGCATCCTCCAGACTATCCGTCACAGCGCGTGACAGCTGGCTCACTTTTCCTCAAGCTATCCATTCGAGTGCAGGCCAAGATCTCGATTGACGCCACCGGTCGTCTGGTAGCCGATCTCATGCTCGACATGGCCAGACTTGTTCGGCTCGCTCTTCCGCCGCATCAGAACGCACAAGACGTCGAAGAGGGCCAAGAGGTGGAACGCGACGTCGAGGTCGACGCCGGCTTCGTCTACCGGAATCTGCGACCTGCCTCGCTGAATCCACCCGAATCAGTGCAGCACCCAGACCTTGTCCCCACCCTCCTTCCGTTCCAAAGGAGGTCCACTGCTTTTGTTTTGGGTCGCGAGGGTGTCGTTCTCGATGCACAAGGCAATCTCGTAAAGAGCGACCACATCTATGGCCACAGCGGCCCCGGCGATCTGGGCCTCTGGTGGTGCCGCGTCGATTCGAATCTCTTCTACAACTGGATCGAGGCCAGGTTCGTCCGCGATCCAACGCTCACGCGACTTAGCAACTGCCGAGGAGCGATGCTCGCCGAGGAGATGGGCCTCGGCAAAACCGTGGAAGCCGTGGCCCTGATGCTTCTGAGTCCGGATCCTGACGCCGCCTCAAGACCTGGCTGGTACGATGATCGCAACGAGATCGATGTGGTTCCTACCAAGACCACACTCATTGTCGCTCCCGAGACCTTGCGCACGCAATGGATCGAAGAGATCGAGCAGCACGCCCCCGGTCTTTCCGTCTACTCTTATGCTGGCAGGACCAAGGCTGAGAACGATGTACCAGAAGGTCTCACGTGGGAGCAGTGGGCGCAGCGTTTCGATGTCATGATCATCTCGTATTCCACCCTCTCGCGCGAGCTCAGCACCGCCAAGAGCGAGCGCACGCGATCACGACGCTTCGAACGCAAGTACGAACGTCCGCGCAGCCCGCTCGTCAAGCTGCACTTTCACCGTGTGCTTATGGACGAAGTTCAGATGATCGGCTCGTCGAACGCTGCCGAGACCGTCTCCATGATCTCGCGCGGCTCCTCCGTCGCCGTCTCCGGCACGCCGGTCAAGAAGCTGGACGATCTCAAGTCGTGCTTCCGCTTTCTCAAAGTGCCAGGCTACTTGGCCACACCGGCCGAGTGGCAGTCCATCTTGCATCCTCTGCTAGCGCCGGCCCTGGTGCAAGTCTTGCAGACCATCGGAACGCGGCATACCAAGGCGCAGGTCGCCGGTGAGATGTCGTTGCCCCTCCAAACTCGCTCGGTCATTCCGATCGACTTTACGTCCATCGAAGCTGCCTTCTATGCTGACGTATGGACGGACGCTCTCAACGATACTGGGTATACCACGGATGGCAATCCGCACTCACAAGACCACCAGATGGACGTAAGCAAGATGCGGCAGCACCTCTTGCTGCTCCGTCAGGCATGCACTCACCCGCAGGTTGCTCTTCAGTTCCGCGGCGGTGTCGTCGGCTCCAAGAATCTGCGCAGTATCGACGAAGTGCTGGAGCTCATGATCGACTCGACCAGCACAGAGCTGCACAGCATACGCACTCATTGGTTCGATCGACGCATCCACCGCAACATCCTTGCCCTCTACCGACGCGACGAGGACCAGCGCGTCCTGGCGGCGTCACAATTCAGCGACGTTGAAGCGGAAATCCATCGAAACGTCGCTGTGCTAGAACAAGAGATCCGCGATGCCAGCACTAGCGGTCCTCTTTACCGCTTTACTGCAGACGAGATCGAACTCGAACGGAAGGCCGAAGCACGCAGGAAGCGTTTGGACCCCACCGGCGCAGATCAGAAGAACTACGAAGATGCCGATCCGGCTCTTGCAGCGCTGATGGAAGATCCCGAAGCTTACCAAGCGTTACTGGACAAGCGCAAATCCCGAGCTGCCCACGTTACCCAACTCAAGGCACTCTTGCGATCCTTGCTCATGAAGCTGCATCGACTGTTGCAGTTCCAAGGCAACCTGTACTTTCAGCGCGGCGAGTATCTCGACGAGGAACATGGTGCTTCCATCTCGACGTTGCCAACAGCACCCCCACAGGAATCCTACACACGAAACGTGGGGCAAGTCAAGGTGGAAGACGATGCCGATGGCATTCGCGATCTGACAACGACTCCGCCACAATCCGCGGAAGGTGGCGGTCAAATCGCCGAGACAAAGACTGAGAATGGTCTCAGCGCAGCCGGCGATGAGAGGCCAGCAGATGGCGCGGAAACATTGAACGCAAAGCCGATCATGAGTCCGGAGCGTCAAGCGCTCAAGGACAAAGAAGACGCTGCGTATGTCAAGGCTGAAAAGGTTCGACAGCGCCTGCTGGTCGAAGCAGGCGAGGAAGTTCAAGCTGCTATCGCCAGGCTGAACCGCGATCAAGTTGAGCTGGACGCAGCCGCGGTACGAGCGTCGACCGATCTGTTTGAAGAGGGTGGCGGCATCCGAAGCAGCGAGGCTTACGGCATGTTGGCCGACAACGTGCAACTGTTGGACAAGCATGCCCAGGTCCTGTTTCGTTGGCGCGGCAGCATCATCGACCGTCTCTTACGCGCGGTGAATCGCGATGTCAGCCTTGAACGGGAGGACGACGATCAATACCAAGAGAATCTGGACACCCAGGCGGAGGCGGAGGTGTTGCTCGAGATGTATCGTCCACTGTTGTCCGAGCGCGAAAAGATCCTCAAGGGTGGCGTGGCGGTTGGTGCGACGGATCGACCTCGCTTGTTCAAAGAGCTCGAGGAGGCGGTTCGAATCGCACGCCAGAACGATCTCAGAGGAATCGAGCCCGAGACCGAGGCGGACGAAGAGCTCATCCGCGTGCAAAAGCAGCAGCTCACGCACTTCAAGACGCTGGACCAAGAACGCAAGTCCGTCTCTCTATATAACGGCGAGCAATCGTTCGTCGGCGTTATCGAACAGCTCAAAGCGCTCCGCGACAACAGTCTCAGGAACGAAGAGACGGTGCTGGCGACTCGAGCATACGTAGAGGCACGACGTATCGTCAATGAGCAGGTCAAGCATCTCGACAAGCTGCGCAACGAGGAGAAGCTGCTGCTGACAGCACTTTTCAACGCCCGAAGTCGCTACTTCAAGGAGATCCAGGTGCTCTCGGACACGGTGCGTGATCCCGTCTTCTCCGACCTCGAGCGAAGCATCCATTTGACGCAGAAAGAAGAGTCCGATGCGGTGACCAAGGTGGACGAGCTGGAGAGGAGGCTGCGCTACCTGTTGCATCTGCAGAAGGTGCAGTCGGCGGACGATTTGGATGACGAGGCCAAGACCTGCAACATCTGCACCGATCCCATCGAGACGGGCATCCTCACTAACAAGTGCGGCCACGTCTGCTGCGAGAGCTGCTGGAAGGAATGGCAGTCACAGGGTCACCGCACGTGCGTCCTCTGCCAGACGCGCGTGCTGCCGACCGAGGTTCACCGCATCATCTACTCGCGGCCGCAGGCGTCGGCCAAGAGTGGACAGGTAGCTTCGACAGCATCCGGGTCAGGCACGCTCGCCAATGCTGCCACCGGCTCCGGAGCCGATCCGCTGGCAGTGCGTTACAATGAGCTGGATGACAACCTGCGCGGCGTGCTGAACCGATTGGCGACGCAGGGCCGCTTCGGATCCAAGATCGACCACTTGACCAAGCACGTGCAGCACATTGTCAACCAGACGGGCGAAAAGTCGCTCATCTTTTCGTCGTTCGGCCGCGGTCTGGATGTGGTGGCGCAGGCGCTGACCGCCAACGGCATCCGCCATGTGCGATTGACCGGCGCAGGCAAGTCCGGCAGCGAATCGGCCAAGCTCTTCAGGAGCGATCCGAACATCCACGTGATGCTGCTCCATTCCGAAGTGCAGAGCTCGGGGTTGAATCTTCTAGCAGCGTCGCACATCCACATCCTCGAGCCGCTGCTCAACACGAGCCTGGAGCTGCAGGCCATTGGTCGCGTCCACCGTATCGGACAGACCAAAGAGACGCACGTCTGGTGCTACTACGTCAAGGACACGGTCGAGGAGAGGATCCTTGCGCTCTCGGCCTACAAGGGCCAGAGCATCTACTTGGCCGGCCACAACACGAGCGCGACTGATGGGAGCATGACACTGACCACGTCGTCATCCAACAAGTCGGCAGCTGCCGAGCAGGCGCGGCAGGACGCCAAGAAATGGTCTGCGTTTGGCAAGGGTGCCAAGTCTGGCAAAGCTGGCGCCATCCGCGGCGACGTCACGAGCAACACCGCCGAGCTGCTTGCGTGCTTCTTCGCACGCTTCCTTCCGGCACTGGGGTCGATACCATCAAGTCAATCGTATGCAATCTCGGCGAACATCGCCAGCACCAGCGGCTCGAATGGTCACACGGTCGCAAATGGCGAGGAGGGCAGCGGGTCCAACCAGGTGGAAGACGAACGCGCAAAGATGCGCCGAGCCCGACTGGCTGCGCTTGAACAGCGGCAGGCGGGCCAGAGCTCGTAGATGAGTGCCAATCCAAGAGCCTTTCTCACATTGTTCGGCGTGCTGCCCAAATCAGCCATTTCGGCGCGGAGTGGCGAAATGTCTGATACTTCTAGCCGAGAGCGAAGAAGACGCTGAAATCCTGATCGCATCATCGACTGTCGTTGGAATGCGCCCCTAGTTGTTTTCGATGGTTTTCAGCGTGCTCAAGTATGCATTTCGACGGGAAAAGCGACAAGAGGGCTTGATACAGTAACATGTGCGGAAGATATGAGGGCGAATGAGATTGTCAAGTTGCTATGTGGAATGGCAAAGATTGGTCAAGAACGAGGAGCTCGTTGTCGGCGTGTCGTTCTACGTCCCTCTTGCTGTTCAGGCTGATCTGCGTCTGTCTCGCTCGTCGTGGCGGTGCGCGTCCTCCTGGCTCGTGTTGTGGCTGGTGCTGGCGGCGTACGTCCGTCTCTTTCGTAGAATGAGCCCGGCTGTCTAGTGGGCGTGAACAGGTCCTCTGGGTCTGCCTGCCTTTCGAGCGAGGGCCAATCGGCATACGCACCGTCAATCACGATGCAGAGGGACCGTTCGAAGAGCTGGATCGATCTGAGATAGTTGTTTGTCTCCAAAAAGACGGACAAGATGTGGCGCAGTGCAACGCGAAGGTCGTCTCCAATGTCCAAGTGATAGAGAATATGAGGGTGAAGATCTTCATCGGAGCGGGGAGACTTGATGATGATCATGCCTCGGCAGCAATCCGGAGCCGGTCCGTCGTAGCCCCCTAGACCTCTGCCGATCAGAACCATAGTGAGCGAACTTGAAGCTGCTTCAACAATCGAGGCTTGGCTATCGTGTTATGGGGTATGATGAGGAAGACAGTGTGATGAAGGACGGCAGGCGGGGTAAAGAGAGGGGCAAAGAAGAAAGAGGGGTATGGGGAGCAGAGATGAAGGAAGTCAAGACTATCGGTGCGCGGTCTCAATCCTTTTATGCATTGCCACGCTGGCGCGACTGGCTCTCTGGCTGACAGTCGATCAGTCGACGCGAAGCTTCGACAAACCAAGGGGACACTGTACAGTCATTCCAGCTCCTGATGAGATCACACGGCGTGCGCATCAAGGACGTTGTCGTTTTATAGCGGTCGCTGCTCCCTCGCTTCCGCTGTCTTAATATTTGAGTTCATGCAAGGAAATGAAAGTCGACTGCGCAAAAGGTCCCACCGGCTGAGAGTTGACTGTCTCTAGAATGGCACTCGTCTACTGTATAGCGCAACGCAGTGCATTCGCATACAGCCGCGATATCGTAACCTTATCTTCGGAGCAATTCAACTCCACGTACACTCATTCTGCTTCAGCATGGCTCGAGGACCCATTGATGCATTGCAGAAACGAGCGGGCAGCGATCGACTCTCAGCTCACTGGCACACGTGACGCAGGATGGGGGAAGACGGGGGATTGGTTGAGAATAGATCAGTGCAGACATTAAGCTCTAATAGCGTTGTGAGGCTTAAGCGCAGTGATGAGCGACAACTCGAGGAGGTAGTAGAGGGGAGAAAATTTCGACACGACATAGGCGACAGAGATCGAAACCAGTCGATTGTCATGTTGTGCGGTGGGATGAACGAGCAGCAGGACCCAGTCTAGCTGGTAAGTTCTTACCCTATGGCGAGGCCGAGATCTATGGTAGGACTGAAGACCTCGCGACATGCGGCAGGATCCATCTAGGCAGCGACGCACCTGCAGTCAGTAGTGAGTTTTTGGTGTGCCCGCACCACAACAACTTGTGCATCATTTCTGCAGGTTTATGCAGCTCAATGCACATTGATGCACGCCTCGCATACACCACCACAATGCAAAGTCCATCTGGTGCGTCTGGGTCATCACCACCGGGACGACAGACGGTTAAAGTCCATCAGATGCACTTTTGTGGATGTTGGTCCGTCGATCAGTCTGAAAGTAGTTGGCTTAACAATGAATGGATGTTCTATTGTGTTGATAAGGGTTCGAAGGCTGTGCGAGTGCAAATGTTTGAGTACTACCACCATATCAGCCCATTCCCCGGGGTTGTAGAACCTTATTTCTCCCCGTTTACCCCACATCCGGCCCGGAACGGAGTAGCGACGACGGCAAAAGCAGGTCCTCCGACCAGAAACGGGAACTCTGGACGCAATCCTGCAGCTCAACTACACCAAATGTCGGATTCAGATTCTTCCCGTTCGTCGGCGGAGGAGCAGCGACACCGTCTGCATATCGCTCTTCTCGGCCTCGTCAGAAGACCACCCACCAAGCTCAGACCTCAAACATACGCTCAGATCAGCCCGTTGCTAGACAATGTGCACTTCAAGTCAATGTTTGGCTTCACAATCAGCGAGTTTGAATCGATTCATTTGGCTCTCAGGTTACCGGATCCCGTGCGCGCAAGTAATAACAATGTTGTAGACAGCAAGACTGGGTTGTTGATGCTCCTTGCATGGCTGCGTGGCGCACTCCTACGTACATTGGAAGGTCAGTTTGGATGGGGTACTGCCCGTACAAGCATGATAGTCAGCTACATTTGTGATCGCGTGTACCTTTGCTGGGGTCACCTGCTCGACGTCATGAGCGTGCGACACCATATGATGAATCCTAGACGCCTGGATTACTATGCTGCGGCAATCAAGAGGAAGACAAAGATGCCAGGGTTCTGGGGAGCCATCGACGGCACCGTGCGACCCATTGCCATGCCCGACAAAGGCGAGAAGTTCACGTACAACGGACACAAGCGTCTACATGCTCTCAAATGGCAGTTCATATCAACGCCCGATGGTCTCATCTTCCTCAATGGACCGTACGATGGTAACAGGCACAATGCGCGCATGGTAATAGAGTCATTGCTTGTTCAATGGGCTGAGGTGAATGCTAAGGGGGAGGATGGCGAGCAACGGTATCTCTACGGCGATCAAGCATACGGGACCTCTGCTGCCATCATCTCACCATTCCGTGGAAACCTCATTGACTCAAGACAAGAAGCATTCAATCGCATCATGAGTAAGTATCAAACAACAGTGGAATGGTCTATTGGCATGGTCAGCATGCAGTGGCGCCGTCTTAGGGACAAGCAATGGCAGAGGACGGGTCTTATTCAGGTTGGGAAGGACTTCGCCGTCAGCACGATTCTATGGAATGCAAGGACCTGCCTCGTCGGTAACCAGATCAGCATTTCAATGGGCTGCAATCCGCCTACAATAGAGGAATACTTTGCCGGCCTGCGAGTGCAACAGAGATTTGTATTGCCTGATCCAACCATCCTGGACAGCGGTATCAACTCAGAGACACACACCAACAGCTCAGACGAGGCAGAGATCGAAGAGGGCCTTTAGTATTCACGTCGCAGCAAGCTATATACATGGAATAGAACTAGTGGAAGCCACGAAACTTGCCTGTGCGGGTCACAGAAGGAGCGCGAACTGAACGACGACGAGAAGGGTGTTACAGGGCTCGCGTGCTCCAGATCAGGGTCTGGCACGTGTGGAGGCATCAGGCACGCAGAGACATCCAGTCGTAAAGCGCCTGCCTCTGCGTGGGGCACGGCGCGCGCGTGCAAGATGCAAAATTGGCAAGTCGAGCTCACTGGGCGATTTTCACAACTAAATCGGCGAGTGCAGCTCACTCGGCGATTCTCACGCGTCGAGCCCGGAGAACGTCGACGGGGTTGACCAAGACGAGTACGCCTCAATGGCGGAAGGGGGATAACGATACGAGTGCTCTTCGCAATCAGGGACGACGAGCAAGGCATACAAGGAGGGGTCATGCAAGGGAGGAGGTCCGAGCTCGAGGAGGTGGGCGGACACACGCAGCACCAATGAGGTGCTAGCCAGGCCGTTTGATACGGCACTTAGCCACACGCCGCTCTCCTGGTGAGGGCGAAGTACTTATAGCTTCGATCTTGCAAGTGCAATGGGGCTGTGCCCCATCCACTCTATTATACACATCCGTTACCATACGTTCACTCGTCAGTATCTCACTGTCTTTATCACCAGTATCGTCTCACAGTAGCAATCGCAGAGCGTTGCTACTACTTGCGTGTGTGTTGTATCACCGCTTCAGATGCCGTCGACACCGCCATCGACGCTACGGCACCTACACCGTAGGCAGTACCTCCACTGCGGTCCTGGAACCTCAACCAGTACCATCCGACAACTGACCGAGCATTACGAGCACTCGTGCAAGGTCAGGCGTCTTCATATGACGTCTTATGACACTCAAGACGACTCGGATTGTGCCGCGCTGCCTCTGAACGGAGTGTTCACAGCGGTCAGCCAAGAATCGCTGGAACGACCTCACTCGCCCATTCTCGCTCGAGAATCGCCGAAACAGCCCCTTACACCGATTCTGGGCTTCTCAGGCGCGAGACCTCTGACAAAGGGGAGTTGCGCGTGGGAGTGGCGTTGGTAGTGGACTCGACAGATACACACCGCTGAGCTCGTGGAGTGGTCGGTTCCTCCGTGATAGGATGCATAGGCTGGGAGGGAACCGTGGTTGATGGGGCAGAGGGCACTGCTGCCTCCAATGGTATCACTGATGCGCCCGAGCCCTGAGAAACAAGCCCGCGCATCATGTCAAGCAAGCTGTTGATGGCTTGCTTCTGTTGTTCCATCGTAGACTGCACCAAGGTCTTGAGCGACTCCATATCATTCTTCACTGTTGTCAGGTCAGACGACATCTGTGTAATGAATGTTCTCCCCGTCTCGACCATACCCTTTTGAACTTCGAGTGAAACCTTCTGGAGATCAAGATGCGCCTTCTTGATCTTGAGTGTTTCCGAGCGCATATCATCCGCGCCCTTCCGATGTACCCTGTCGGCTTCAATCATAGCATCGAGTGTTTCTGCTAGCGCGATCCTGCCCCGCTTGCAACTTACTTGAGGGCCTTCCACGGCCACACCCGTATCATTCTCGGCGTTGTTGAGTATCACAGACGTTTCGGACGCATCTGATTCCGAGGTGCTTGAGACCCTGCGTTGTGACATTGGTTGCATTGAACGGCCAGCCGCTGAGACGTGAGGCTCGCATGACAGAGTTGCGAGCATGCTGCGATGGGCATCAGCTGTTGCGGCCGACAGACGCGGGTGCATGTTGCCAAGGTCGGATTGGACGACATCGTTGATCATGCGTTGGAAATCAGACGTATGTTCAACTACGCCCGAAGCGCCCCTAGCAGTTTGGTTGTGAGCCTTCCTAGCGTTTGAAAGCTGCGTCCACTTCGTCTTCATAGACGCCAGATCACGATGAGGAAGCCGCTTCTGGCGGAGAGTTCGACGAAACCTCAGCGTATACCTTGTTCCACGCCTCAGCCTTTGCCTTGACCCTCTTGAACTTGAATGGATTCTCATGATGGATAGCCGTGACCAGAATGAAGAGCGAGTCTTGGTCCCAGTGAGGTCTTGGTCCCTGCGACGAACGAGAACGCACAGACACAGACGGAGACGGAGATGGCGACGGAGACAGCGAAACTTGAGTAATACCATCATCTTGAGATTGCTGCGGGACAGGCGACGACGGCGGCCAAGAGAATGGGGCTGGCGATGGCGTGAGAGACTCGTGAAAGACTGAGCGAGGTTGCGGCGCTGGGCGACGTGGGGAAGGGAATGCCATAGCCGCCAAATCGGATGCATCGAGCTCTGGAAGTACCATTGCATCAGCATCCTCGGCCGTTATAGAGCCCATGCTGCTCAGAAGCGACTCTGGCAGGCCTGCGAGCTGCGAGGACGGCAGTTGGCTTGATTGCAACGGCATTTGAGGTTGTGCGGAGAGGCTGAGTGTATATGCGGGGTACGTGGTGGGGGAAATGAAGTCTACACACAGCAAACAAATTAAAGTTACGGCTTTTGGCCGTGTGCCTGATCGCGACGAGCACTACTACCACCACGGATCTTGCTCATATTGGTAAATTAACTCACCGTATCGCCGATATTTTGATTATTCAGCATCTCATAACTCTAAAATTGTGATCGGATCAAATTACGACGCGTCTCAAAGTACTTGTGGTGGTGAGTTGCGACCAAAAGCGTTTTCCTTCACCACCACCACCACCATCTCGTCCATCTCGGTTGGAGCTCCGCTCGCAGGTAAGTCCTTGTGGTGGTTTACCACCAAAAACTCCCTAGTGAGGCATGAAAATACACCGTTGCATCGAATACTGCATCGCCTGTTAAAGGCACATCTAGCCCCACGCTTTCGTACCGGGCCGACTGGACAGCTTCTACCGGGCTTCCCCATCATGATGCATCGAGAGGTGTTGAGCTCGCCTTCGTCGACAGGGGGCGCTAGCTTTGGTTCGGCCGGAACGTCGAGTTCGTTGACAGGAGGCGCCAGGTTCGGCTCGATCGGAGCGTCGCCGATGACGCCCTGGCAGAGGACAACGATGCAAATCATCATCACAAAAAGCTTGGGAAGGTGAAGGGCGTACATCTTGTTTACCGTCTTCTTTTGATTCAGTTGGGCGAGTTGCTAGTGGATTGAGAAGTGATCTGGCTAGCTAGGGCTTGAATCGATGCGGAGAGATGGACAAGGAAGGAGGAGAAATGGCCACTTCGGGGGAAGCCTTTTATGCCGTTGTATCTGCGTCTCTGGCCATCATAGAGGGTACATCAGGCAGTGAGATGCTTTGCCTCGTTGAGCTCAAATCAACGACATGTACCAGTCATCTCGGCAAAAACATACAGTGTCCAAAGGACGTGCAGCGTTCCTGCTATGATATGTACGGCCCAAGACAGAGTACAGCACTTCATCAGCTCCAAGCGATGCACATCGACCGAGCTCAATAAGGACATCCGCTTTCGAAGACCGAGTTGAGCCATTGTTCAGAGCGTTCAGTAGGTCTGTCTCGAAAGTCGACGATATGAGATCCTTCCAAGCTCATCAATGGCGTGAGAAAAGGCGTCTCGAGAATCGAAGCTTTGACAACGTTCTTCTCCGTAAGTATCCAAGATTCTCGAGTTCATGATTTGGTACCACATATGAAACGGACGTTTCACACTGTAGGGTATGATGTGCATACGACGTGCAGCGACGCGTACATGCTCATAAGAGCGTATCGATCTCTGGGATCGACAAACTACTCTGTGGCGTGGGAACGATTCAAGATTGTGCATTCTCTAGCTGGAAACAAAAGCTTCAGTACAGTGACGAGCAACAGTCGGAGGAGGTATAGGTTAGAGGAGGTAGTAGAGCGGAGTAGATTTCGACAGGAACTGGGCGACAAAGAAGAAAACTGGTGAGACGTCACATTGAGCGGTGGGATAGACAAGCAGCAGGGATCAACGTAGCTGGCAAGCTCTCACTCTTGAGCGTGATCTACAGCAGGGCTACTGTACAGTACTGTAGAGATCCCGCGACACCGTGTGCGAAAGGTGTGCATCTAGACAGCAAATCACCTGCATTCTAGCTTGCATTCAATCATACCCTTGCAATCGACACCACACCATTTAAAAAGGTACATTTAGCCCCACTGGCCATGTAATTGTGGATGTTGCAGCCTTTACCAGGCTCAGGGCGTTCAAAGGTCAAGTAGCATCGATTTCCTTTGATCTCGCCTTCATCGACAGGGTGAGATAGCTTTGCTTCGATTGAAGCGTCGATTTCGTCGACAATAGGCGATAGGTTGGGTTCGATCGGAGCCTCGCAGAAGACGCCCTTGCAGAAAAAGACGATGCAAGTCATCATCACGAAGAACCTGGAAAGGTGCAGAGCGTACATCTTGGCTACCGGTTTGTCTTTACGGAGGGGGCAAGGTGCTTGTGGATTGAGAGTGAGATGTGGATGGGGATGAATGGATGAGGAGGGATGAACAACGAAGGAGAGGTTGCTAACGCTTTAAGAGACGCTTTATACGATGCAGGTGCATCTCTAGACATCTCAGGGTGTGCTTCAAGCAGTGTCTTGCTCTGCTTCGGTGAGATCAAGTCAGCGATATGGGCAAAGGAATACGGAAAGGAAACACGGCGTCGTCTGTAGTGGCCCGAGCACGCTGCAGTACTGGGCTGTCAATGCTCAGAAGTGTGTGACTAGGCGTGAGGCCCACCGAAAAGCTATCCGAGAAGGCCACCGGGAGGCTCCCCGTGAAGGTTACCGGGAGGCCCTCCGTGAGGCAAGCGGCGCTGGCCGGGAAAAATGATACTGCCCATGATCAGGCTCACGAAAAAGCTACAGGCAGGACCTAAGACCAAGCTCACGATGAGACTCACGTTGAAGCTCACGCCTACTGTGCTTGCTCCATCAGCTCTAAGCGGCGCATGACGACTAGGCGCAATATCACTATTGCTATTGGCTTTCGAAGACCGAATTCAATCCTTACTCATAGAAAAGAATGCCGGCAGCCACTGTCTCGAATGTCAAAGGAACCATTGTTCAGGACGTACGGTAGGTCTGTCTCGAAAGTTGACAATATGAGAACCTTCCAAGCTCATCAAAGCCGTGGGAAAGGGCGTCCCGAGCATCGAATGAGAATCCTATCTCATCTGCAACCTCTGAGAACATTCTTCTCCGTAAGCATCTACCGGTAAGAAGAGCTCAGAAAAATTCGGGTCCCAAATATGAAACGGACGTACGGTTTCACACTGTAAGGCATGGAAATGGCCGCGAATTGAAGGCACTGGTCAGTGAAAAAAGGATTGATTGAGACTGTATCAGTGCAGATACGAAGCTCTGACTAACGTCGTGAGGCCTCAGCGCAGTGACAAGCGACAACCGGAGGAGGTAGCAGCGGGCAGATCGGGTAGATGGCAGAGGTTTTCGACAGGAACTGGGCGACAGAGCGAGAAACCGGAGAAACGTCACATTGTCCGGTGGGAAAAACGAGCAGGATTCAACCTAGCTGGCAAGTTCCCATCTTAAGGCGTGATCTTAGTAGGACTACTGTAGAGATCTCGCGGCACCGTATGCGACAGGATGCATCTAGGCAGCAATGCACCTGCAGTTGGTGGTGCAGCCGACCATGCCGTTGCATTTAATGCTGCACCTCTTGTTGAAGGAGCAGCTGGCCCCAGCATTCTGCATCACGCCGACGGCACAGTCCTTGCCGGGCTTGGAAGTCATGATGCACTGGCTGGCCTTGATCTCGCCAATGCCATCAGCAAGCGACAGGTTGGGCTCGACCAGGGCATCGTTGATCTGAGCGTCGGCAACGACGCCCTTGCCGAGGAAGGCGATGCAAGCCACTACCACAAAGAGCTTGGAGAAGTTGAGAACGTACATCTTGTCGAGGGTAGTTTTTTGAAGGGTGAGTTGCTTGTTGATTGAGAAGTTGCGTTTAGAGTGGACTTTGATAAGCGAGAAGAGATGAGGAGCGGCGAAGACGATCGATGACCTTGGGAGCCGCATTATATGCTTTTGGAGCCGTGTGTATGGTCATTGTAGGACGTACTTCAGTGAACATCTTACGTTGGCTGCTTCGCCCGACTCAGCGGGCACGATAGGTCAACGCTTTTGGCAAGGGCATATCGGAAGAGAGCACAGCGTCGCCTGGGGTGGCTCGGGGAACGCTACTACGCTGTAAAGTACAGCACATCAGCTTCAAGTGATGCATGGCGACCGAGCGCAAAAGTGGTATCGATTTTTCGAAGGTCGAGTTCCACCATCATCGGTAGTATAGCGACTGTCGCGAAAGCTGAAGATTCGCTCCGAGACCATTGGCATACGTGCATATCACTGTTACTGCTGTATCTTCTTGCGACTATTCGTGGCGTGAGAAAGCTACCTCGAACACCGAAACAGCCTCCTACCTCCCCCACATCCATCGACGGCGGGCTTTTCCATCGGTCTGCCTTGGTCCGCAATTCGAGAAGGAAACACGGGCTCGACATCATGTTTACTGTTTGCTGGCGTGAGAAAGGTGCTAGATCCCGCTTCATGCTCTCCATCCGGAACAAGAGGTCCGAGCCTGGCAGCAGGAACATAACACGTCATGTGATACGGTAACGCCGAAAAGGGCCACGAGATGAAGGCACATATGATTTTGCGCATGGTTCGTCCAACGCCTTTGAGTAAGCGCAGGAACCATCCCACATCGGTTCCTGGCCCCCACGCTCTGCTGCTGGAGTAAACGCAGGAACCACCCCACATCAGTTCCTTTTGCCCCCACGCTCTGCTGCTGCTCACGCGGAGGTCGAGGAACCAGTGCTTGGAGTCTATCTACAAGAAACGAAATGAAGTCTCTCAGCTGGGGACGACATCGATCTCGAGACCGTATGAGGGCCGACCCAAAACTTGGGGCCTCCAGGACGACCTGGGCTCGAATGCAGTCAGAACACTCGTTGACCCCGACTCCCACGCTCGCTCGTCGTCGCTCAGCTCCGATTCCAGGCAAAGCTGGCGATGCCGTCTACTGTCCTTCTCCAACGATGCATGTGACCTGGTCGTCGAATGTCGCTGGTCGACGTTCGGATCATGGGAGTCTGGTCGACTTCCGGATTGTTGGAGTCTGCTGTGGTACATGCGGAGACGCTAATACCCGGCGACAACGGCAGAACTAGATGCAATCGAACGAGTGTATGGACAGGATGCGAACATGGTGGGGGTGTAGCACAGCCTCCAGGCTCTTGAGGCTTTGACTCTGTGGGCGCAACCTCCGTAAAGGAGCAACAAGGTTCAACGGCTCCAATCCGTTAACAGCGAGAGCTCCAAAAGAAAGTCCAGGCAAGGAGCAGCGGCTGAAATTTGATGGCGAAACCTTTTGATTTGCGCTGTGTTGTTGTCTATTTCCATCGAGGGGTGTTCTATAGCTGTTTAGAGAAGAGGTATCCTGTCCATTCGAGATTGGGGCCATGCTTGTCGGGCACATCGAAGGGGCCGACGCGTTGGAATCCGAGACGCTCATAGTACCTGTGCCAGTCCACGGCGAGAGATGAGCATGGGAGCGACGAGATCGCGGAGGGGAATGGGAGCAGTACTTACTTTACCAGGCCGTCATTGTTTCCGCGCCAGCAGTCTCCGAAAAAGATGGTTTTGCCCAGGGCTCGAGCCTGGCGCTCGGCGAGGGGGACAAGGTTGGCAGCTGCCCCCCTGGCGAGGTCGCCGGCGCGGCGGTCCGAGATGAGATAGTTGAGGTAGGCGTAGTTGCCCGCCGCCTTTGCGCCCTCGCCTGCAAGGCTGTCGGGAACATAGTCTGGGAACTCGCACGAGACTCCCAGTGCGGCAACTCGTGTCCAGAGTCCATCGGGCGTGCGAACCTCGTACAAGACAAGATGCTTCCAGTCTTTCTCATCCGGTGCAGAGCTGGATTCGGCGCCGTTGTGGATATCGTAGCTGCGCTGAGCATAGGCAGAGAACGAGGATTTGACCTTGGGCTTTTCCGAGAACGGCGTCGTCCCCCACTGCGCTTCGGAGCCGATAGAAGCGAGGTAGGGAAGGGCCGAGTCGAAGGCGTGAATGACAAAGTCGACGTCGCTCTCTTCGGCGTTGGCCACGTTGAGCTCCGACAGCGATTGCGAGGCGCCAGTCTCGGGTTGAGCAGTACGCAGCCTCCCTGCTCCGTCCTGAATCAACTCTATCATGGTCTATAGCGTGATGTTGCCGCAAGAGGTGGGAGGAGAAGAGATGCGGGGAGGTGGAACAGGGCGTAGTTGGCAGATGCGCCATGTTCGGTGTTTAGAACGGCTGTCAGGTTTGGGTGCCTGCATTTGGCAATCGATCCCACCGCGTGGACGCAGCCGAATCCGACCGTCGGTTCGCGCCTTTTTTTGGGCGAGGTGGGACCGAAGTCTGTTTTTGGTTTGCACGACCACCACCACTTCATCTCCCCGCATCCAGAGCGGTCGCAGCCATGGATGGACACGCTGGGCCGTCGACAAAACGAGCGGGAGCATCAACACCCACGCTCTCGCACAAGACTTCGATGGTCAGTGCCACCGACACATTCGCATCGGCCACCGACGGCGAGGGATACTACACCGATGCACACGCCGATCTCAGCGCCTACCACACGGACGACGCGCGTAGCCGCACAAGCAGCGCCGCGCACACCATCCACGCGCGTGACGACGGGTTGGTGCTTTCCCGGACGTCGTCCACCAACACAGCTCAGTTAGAACGATCGATACCACAAGATCCAGCCATTTCGAATCATCATCCGCCAGATGTGACCGCACGAAACGACACACAATCAACATCGCCCACCACCACTACAACCGCAGCAGGGTCGCCTCTACCCACGCAGCGCGAGTCGGACAAAGCGCTGGACCTCACGCCAGCTGTTGGAACGCTGCACCGCGCCATGCGACACCTGGCCGTGCTTGGGCTAGTGGCCTTTGCGTCGATCTGGGGCACGCTTGCGCGCGAAGGTCTGGTGGCGCTCAACACGTACGATGGGCAGAGTGTTGCGCCGCTGGTGTGGGCGCAAGCAGTCGGGTGTCTGGTCATGGGTCTGGCGGTGGGCGCCAACCGGCAGCCGATCGAGGGGCGCTATCCGCCGGCGTACGTGATGATCACCACGGGCTTCTGCGGCAGCGTTACCACGTTCTCCAGCTGGATCCTCGCCGTCTTCCGCGCGTTTGGCAACCAGATGCACTACGACCGTCATGGCCTGCACAATGTCATGGACGCACTCACCCAGACGGGCGTCACGCTCGGTATGGCCATCGCTGCCACCGCCGCCGGTATTGCGCTGTCGAGCATCGTCAACGTCGAACGCGTCTTCTCGCTCGCGCGGAGAGGTGCGCCGAGCGGTAAGGCGGTGTCGGCCGGAAGGACGCTTGGGATGGATGCGGCTGCGGCGGTGCTCGGGTTGGTGTTTTGGATCGGACCTGCGGTGCTGTGTGCGCTGTACGCACCGTTTCGACACGTCACGTTCAGCCTCGTGCTTGCGCCGCCCGGCGCTGTGTTGCGCTGGTACCTGTCGCGATTCAACACTCATGCGCTCGCAAAACGCACCGCTTTGCCGCTGGGTACACTCGCAGCCAACGTGCTTGCGACTGCTGTCATCGCAGCTGCGTTCACTGCTTCGCGGGTCGGATCGACACCCGCATCGTTCGCAGGAGGGCGTACGGGATGCCAGGCACTGCAGGGCCTCGAGGACGGATTTTGCGGCTGCCTCTCGACCATCAGCACGTTTGCGGTCGAGTTAAGGACGCTAAGCCCGCGTAGGGCGGTGCGATATGCAGTCGTGTCGTGGGTAGCGGGCGTGCTGATTTGCGTACTGCTCATCGGCGCCCCGTGGTGGGCGATTGGCATGGACGGACGCTGCGTCGGTTTGACCTACTAGATACCCAAGAACTCACTTTGCACTCATACTACCGTTCGCACTGCCGTTGGGAACTATACACACAGTGCACATTCTGTGTAAGGTCGGCTGGGTGGCTGGAGGAAGAGGCATGTCTCGACGAGAACGACCGAGACTTCGAGCGAGGGCTGCAGGGACTGATGGGACCAGTGCTGCGCAGATCAAATGTACGAATCAAACCAGCCATCTGCGCCTACATGCAGCTTGGTCCATGGCAGTCGACCACGACAATGCTTTCGGATAGCCTCCGGATCCGATGAGTCCGCAGAGCCTCTTCACGGGCGTGTTTCTGTCGACGCTCTTCACAGCTTTCGGCCTCGATCGGATCGTCTCCGACGCATTTGCAGTTCGCGACTCGCCTGCGCTCAGGCTCTGCCACACTCCTCTCTCTCAGGTCGCATGTTCGCCGAAGTTTTTCTGTTCTCTTCACACGTCACAGTCGGCTTGACCCAGGTCCACTGAATCGCTGCTCCAGCTGCTAATCTACATCTATGCCGTGAGGGAAACCCTCTTAGCCAGGCCGGACTTTTCATAGATGGCGTCGATGGTCTTCATGATGATGACCGACTCTTCGTTTTGCACCCAGACGGGCGCTCGCGGTGTGTCGGCACTTCGGTCCTCGTTGATCATGTTGATGGGCGACACTTCATCTGGCTTAGTGCCTGCCTTCACCGCCTTGACGCCCAGCACGAACGCTTCCAGCTGCCACCTGTACGTGGACCACCATGGCTGACCTGTGCCCTTGGGCCAGTGACCGTCTTTCGCCGCCCTGCGCATCTGATCGGTGCCAGCCGTGTCGCCAGGTACATACGCCTTGTAGCTGCGTGTTGTGCCCTCAGCCACACCGGCCTCTGCTGCCGACTTGCCGCGGTAGGTCGCCTTGATGGTGTGCCAGAGCCAGGGCCCCACAAAGTTCTGCAGCTCGACGGTACTGCCGTCCTTGAAGGTAGCTTTGAGCGTCGGAGTGACTTTCGAGAGATTGGGCACGCGCCATCCGATGATGGGGATAGTGAACAGCGCCTTGGAAAGCGAGGCCTCGATCTTGCACGGCAGCTTGGCGGGGCGGGCTGTAGGCACGAGCACCGTCGCCTCCATGACGCCATCGATCGCCGGATCACCCTTGGCATTGAGATGCGCCTTGGACTTGGTGTCCTTGGGGTAAAAGTGGGTGGGATGAGCCTCTCGCACCTCGATGCCGTCCTCCCAGTTGGCACGCTGCCACGATCCGGCAGCGGCTCGCATGGTGTAGAGCACCGCCGAGGTGGGATAGCAGCCAGTGTCCATGAGCGAGCCACCGGCGAGCTTCCAGTTGAAGCGAATGTCGTCATCGGGAAAGATTCCGCCGGGCGCATTGAGATGTGCCTCGACCTCGGTCAAGGGGTTCTGAGGCGACATAAAGTCGTGCAGCCTGTAGGCGTATTCGTGGAGTGCCGGGTGGAATCGGTAGTGGAACGCCTCGAGGACGAGCACGTTGGCCTTGTTTGCTTCCTCAAAGAGCTTCTTGGTGTCTGCCTCGTTGGCGGTCGACGGCTTCTCGAGCAGCACGTGCTTCTTGGCGGCAATGCACTTGAGCGTCCACTCGTAGTGCAGACCGTTGGGGAGTGGGTTGTAGATGACGTCGATGCCGGGGTCGTTGATGAGCTGGTCGTACGAGTCAAAGACGTGCGGGATGCCGTGCTTCTTGGCGTAGGCCGTGGCCTTGTCCTTGGAGCGCGCAGCGACGGCCGAGACGATGACATCCGGATGCGATCGGGCGGGGATGATGACGGCGGGCGGCGCGATGTTGGCGGCGCCCAGAATACCGAGCCTCAGAGGGCCGGCGGAAGAGCCAGCCGCTGCATCCGAGACGGTGCGCTTGGCGACCGAAGGCGGGCTGAACGAGGTGTAGACGTTGGAGAGACGCGCGTAGAGATCCTTGATCGCTGTCGCCATCTTTGCCGGTTGAATCGCGCGACAGTGATGTGGTATTTTGCGAGCTTTCTTCGGCGTGTGCGGATGGAAGAAGGAAGGAGGAAGGCGATTGTTGTGGAGTATATGTAGGAGAGCGAGTGCTGTGGCGGTGACACGGAGAGCAGACAGCCGATAAGGTTGTCGGTCAAAACGTGCGACTCAGCATCGCAGCCGGTATGCGGAAGTGGACGGCTAGCCGAGCCGAGCCAACCCCACTGCGGCGGTCATTGCACTCACACTGTTGGTCCATGCGCAAGCCTCGTATCCGCTCCTTCGCAGCTGTAGACCCCAAATATTAAAGAGCGCATCACCTGGCTCCACCTTTTCACCATCTCTATCGGGTCGTCCGAGATGACCTCGTCTTTTCCGTAGCCAGCTTGGAAAGAGGACGGCGTTGTTGAAAGCGGCGAGGCCGAGAAGAAAGTGGGATCCAATTTTAGCGTGCAAAGCCATGCCAACGTGCATAGCCGAGGCTCAGCCTGCAGCGCCGGCCACGTCGACATTGGGCGCAGCAGCCGTCTGAATACGGCCACGTTCACCACGCCCAGCCAACGAGCGGCAACGGCCTCGGACGTGGCCGCCCTTTCGATGCGGCCAGGTGTTGGCCCTCAACACCGGGCTTCTCCGCAACGCCGGACGGCACTGGGGGCAGACCAAAGCCTTCGAGAACGGGAAATCAAATTTGTTGGCAATGCTGTCCTAACACATTACGACTTTTTCTTTGCGCTTGTCCTCCTCCATCGGGCGAGTCCGTCTGCACGCGTCGCTGCTGATGATGATGATCGCGAATGCTGCAAAGAAAGGCTTAGTGTGGATGGAAAGATCAGCTATCCGCCCACTGTATCCGGCAAAGACTACGCGACCCACCCTTTGCAGATGAGGGTGGGCGAGGCAAGGCTTCATTTGGCAGCCGAATGGACGACAGTGTGCAGCTCTGCTTTTGGCACATGAGGTGGGCTCAAGGTGCACGGCTGTGGACAGTGACCCACCGACATGGCTTCATCTTGCAGATTACAGCTGGCTAGATATAAAGGCGATACAGTGGCTGCTCGAAGCGCATGCCGGACCTCTCATCATCTCCGTCTCTCTCTCTCTACCCTCCATACCGACTTGACATTCACGATGAGATCCATGCTTGCCGCTAGTGCGCTTTTTGCGCTCGCATCGATGCTGGTGTCTGCCCAAGACGCCATGCCGCTTCCCAACTACACGGTCAAGGATGTGCCGATCGCCAGCACGTTCTACTGGTTTTCGTCGGTCGAGGTGGGTGTGTGCTACAGTCCCGTTGCACGCGCGGCTGGCATCAAGGGCGCCATCCACTGCACGCACCAGGGCAGCTACGATGTGGACAACAACACCTGGACGCTGCCGCAGACGTGCGTCGCCCTCAAGCCGCTCGGCACCGAGCTGAGCACCGCCGTGCGCGACTCGTGCAAAAACGCAAAGGGCACCTTCAACGTGATCAAGCCCGCCTCGGCCAACGCTGCAGGCACCCAGGCTGCCAACGCCATCTCCAAGAACGGTGCCGGTGCTGGTGCCGGTGCTGGTGGTGATGCTAGTGCTGGCGCTGGCGCTGGTGCAGGCGCCGACACTTCCTCGGACGGTTCGGCCCCCGAATCGAACGACAAGGAGGACAAGGGCTTCCTCGGTAACCTGCTTGGCCTTTGAAGGCCGTCATCATCATCTTGAACGCATCTGATCGTCACAACGCAGCTTAGCCCTGCCCTGCGAGGCCTGAGTATTTTTTGTCCATCTTTTCTGCTGTTAAATCTGACTTCCATGCTTTTCTGCGGGGCTGCCGCATTTACGCGCGGCCAAGATGGTCGACGGGAATACGCTGTGAAAATGCCAGTCTTGGGCGCGTCTGCCTTTTTCAACCGCTCTCTCCGCTGCGCCTTCCCCGCACTTTTGGGGGAGCGCACTCACTGGCTGGTGAGGCGCCGGCATTTCACAGAATTGACCGGCTATTCGACCTCGCTTTGCTCGCTTGTCTTTGGCACTCTCCACAGCGCAGTCCACTGCAGCACAGCAGTGCAGGATGGTAGCCGCGCGTTGAACCCTGCGACCCAAAGTGCCACTCCGGCTTTTTCGCTATCCATTTGGACCGGGCGCTTCTCACGCCGCAGTTGGCTCGCGTCGGCGAGCTCGCTCCACAGCCCTCGCCGCCGCCGCACCCACCGCCGCGGGGTCAGTGGCACGAAGAGGCTGCCTTTCAACATCTGCTTAAATACATCCTCTAACCCCCGCTGGCCTCTCCACCATCGCACACCCACCCCACCCCACCACCAACAAGCCCCACCCCGTCTCTCCTCCGCTGCAATTCATCCCAAAATGGCCGCTCGCAAAGCTTACATCATCGGTGTCGGCATGACCGCCTTCACCAAGCCCGCCGACCGCGACTACCCCATCCTCGGCCTCGAGGCCAGCGTCAAGGCGCTCATCGACGCCGGCCTCACCTACGACGACGTCCAGTACGCCGCCGCAGGCTACGTCTACGGCGACTCCACCTGCGGCCAGCGCGTCCTGTACCAGCTCGGCATGACCGGCATCCCCATCGTCAACGTCAACAACAACTGCTCCACCGGCTCCAGCGCCTTCAATCTCGCCGCCAACGCCGTGCTCGCCGGTCAGGCAGAGTGCGCCCTCGCCGTCGGCTTCGAAAAGATGGCGCCCGGCTCGCTCTCGTCCGCCTTCACCGACCGTGCCGCTCCCATGGAGGGCACCATGGCGCAGCTCTTTGAGATCGAGGGCGACAAGGAGTACCAGACCGAGGACTTTGGCCCCTTTGCCGCGCGCATCTTTGGCGCCGCCGGCCTCGAGTACTGCGAAAAGTACGGCGCCACCTGGGACCACATCGCCGAGATCTCGGCCAAGAACCACCTCCACGCCAAGAACAACCCCTACGCCCAGTTCCGCGCCACCCCCTCCAAGGAGCAGGTGCTCAAGGCGCGCAAGATCACCCGCGAGGTCACGCTGCCCATGTGCTCGCCCACCTCGGACGGCGGTGCGGCCGTGATCGTCGCGAGCGAGGACTTTGTCAAGAAGCACGGCCTCGAGGACCGCGCCATCGAGCTCGCCGGCATGGGTGTCGCCACCGACTCGATCCGCCTCTACGAGGACCGCTCGCGCATCGAGCTCGCCGGTGCCGACATGTCGCGCCGTGCGGCCAAGATCGCATACCAGCAGGCCGGCGTCGGCCCGCAGGACATCCAGGTGCTCGAGCTCCACGACTGCTTTGCGCCCAACGAGCTGGTCACCTACCCGGCGCTCGGCCTGTGCGCCGAGGGCGATGCGCACAAGCTCGTCGAGCAGAAGCTCAACACCTACAACGACTCGGGCAAGGGCTGGGTCGTCAACCCCTCGGGCGGTCTCGAGTCCAAGGGTCACCCGCTCGGCGCCACCGGTCTCGGCATGATCAAGTACATGGTCGACCAGCTGCGTGGCGACGCCGGCGCGCTCCAGGTCAAGAACGTCAAGCACGCCCTCACCCACAACATCGGCCTCGGCGGCAGCTGTGTCGTCACCATCCTGCGTCGCCCCGCCTTCTTCAAGGCCGGCGCCACCAACTCGGCCAAGCGCTTCGGCTACAACGCCGGCGACCAGGTCAAGAGCATCACCGAGGAAGATCTCGACAAGGTCAAGTCCAAGCAGTTCTCCGACTACCTCCCCGCCGACCTCTGAGCGTGCCGTGCACGTGCGTCTAATCCCACCAGAGAAATACATTGTGTCTGTCCCTCGCCGCCAATTGGCTTTGCTTCCGTGTGATGAAGTTGCGCACGTGCAGCTGCGCAGAGTTGTGCAGAGCCCGGATCGATCGGGTTCTCGCCGGGCCTTTGTCGGTCGTGTCGCAGCGTGCGCAAACATTGCTTCTCCCCCTTGGCCTCCACGCCCTGGTGGTTTGATGAGATGGTCAACGTGAAGTGTGGGAGATCAATCCGGCCCGCCGGTGGGAGGAAAGAGTGGGCGTGAGCACGATCGAGTGCGTGCTGGAAACCTGACGGCACGCCTCGCTTTTTAAAGCCCACCTCGGGCGTGGGCCGCACGATTCGCAACGACATGGTGACGTGAAGGTGGGGTTTAGGGCGTGTGTGTGCTTGAGCACGTGCCATTGTGCTGGGATCCGGATAAGCATGACGAAATCACGGCTCTCGATGGTGAACATTGTGCTTCGGATCGACGGATGCACAACCTTGCCGCGCATGTCGTCTTGCTTTTCACCCGCAAGCCCCCCTTTCGTCCCGCAGGAGAGCCAGGCACAATCAAACTCGGTCGGCGTTCTTGTAACCACCAGCGTGTGGATGTCACGCCTGTCTAACCGCCGGCGTACGCAACGCAACCAGCCCGCCACGCCACTTCATTCGGCCTAGGTTGCAGCTGGCGCGCACAACCTCCAGCCCCCCCAGCCCGTTTTGGTACTTAAGCACCAGCGATTCGTTGCGGCGCGTTGCTCGAAGGTCCCCCTCCCCTGTCGTTACCACTTTTGTACCAAACCTCGAGCCATTCATCCTTGGTCTTCACACTCGTTTCCTGTATACAAGCACGAACGATGCGACTCTCTGTGGTGGTCTCGGTACTGTGGCTTCTGGTATGTGCGTTGGGCGCACACGCCGCGGGCGAGGACCCCGTGGAGCTAGAACAGGGTGTCGAGTCGCTGTCATCAACCAAGCTCAAGGATGCAGTGAAGCAGGTGCCGCAGAAGCTCAATCTGGGTGTCGACAACTTTCTCGGCATGGGCGTCAAGCGCAAATCGGTCGCGGGCGCGTACGGCACCTCGGCGGCGGTGATGCTGGGTGCAGCAGCCATCGGATACCAGGCCACGAATCTACGCTCGCAGCGGCGCACGGCCTACAAGAAGAAGCTCAGTGAGTTCCATCCCACCCGCTCGAGTCCCGTGGGAGGGGTTGCTGGCTGACCGAGTTTGGAGCACAGAGGAGGCGGAGCAGAGACAAGCAATCTGTGCTACATTGAAACACCACCAGACACATGCGCCAGAGTACCTCGCTGCCGCACAAGGTCGTTCCATCCCGGGTGCGAGTTCACCACCGGTGCTACCGGTAGCACAAGCAGAACCACTAAGTCTACGCCGACGATACGGCACGCCATGGTCGCAGACGCAGGGAAGACCGACGCTCGAGTGGAAGCGACGCGCGCTCACCGATAACACACTCGTCGCCATCGAGGACTACAACAAGCTCATCGGCGCCAACGAAGGACTTGCCTCGGGCGGCATCGCCGTCACCTCTGCGTGAGTCTGCATTGTCCCCACAATGGGAAAGCGACTGTCAAAGCTGACCTTTTGCGAGTTTTGAACGCACAGCGTCGAGGGAAGACAGCGCAGTTTGGACGCTGGCACCAGGTTTCGATGCTAGTTGCATTTGCGCGTGTGAAGCAGCTTCCTTTGGAGATATATGGTTGTGTGAAAGAGTCTATGGTGCACATGCCACAATGTATGCTGTGAGAGCCAAAAAAACGCAAAGTCAGTATCTCGCTCGCCAACACACGGCAGGTTCGGATGCGGGAGGGGGGGAACTTACTTGCAAAGCTACGGTTGGCAAACACCTTCTCCCCCGCTTTCACCGCCGTATACGAGCTCTTATTGCGCTCTTCCTTTTCGGTCCTCAGCAGGAGACCGGCCATGCTGTCCGCTTCGTCCTCTGCTTCACTTCCTGCATCGCTGTCGCGGTCATCGATGGCATCGCCTCGGTCGGAATCGACAATGTTGCGCGGGAGGATGTGCACCTGGACGCGGACGAAGCCGGCCTCCTCCATGGCCTCGGTGAGCTCCTTGATGCTCCACACGCGAAAGTCGTACCAAAAGACATCGCGCAGCCAGCTGGCGTCCGAGAAGCGGAAGCTCAGACTCATGCGGAAGCGGTTCGTCATCCAGTCCACCGGCCCGTCTTCGCGCCAGTACTCGAAGCCGCCGTGCTCCTCGCCTGTGCGCACGAGCTTCAGCTTGCCGCGCGGCCACTCGGCCCTCGTACCCACTGCTGATGCTTCCGGTGCGGGCATGAGCTCGAGTACACGGTCGGCCTCTTCGTCGTCCGCATCGTTGTCCCGGGCGGGACGCGCACGGTTCGCACCACGTCCATCGATGGCTGCTAGCCCGGCGTGCGTGCTGGCGTCATTGCGCAAGCCGGCCCTCGACCGGTCAGCGCGAAGCACATACTGCCCACGCGCATCACCGCCATCCCTGCCGAAGCCGACCTCGCCTTGGAAGCGCGCCCAGGTGGCGTCTTGGTCCGGATACGACTCGCCCGTGCTGGGCCCGCCGAACATGTCGGTGATGAAGACGCCCGTCTTGGCACGCAAGGTGGCGCGCGCCATGCGCAGGTAGCGCAGCAGCGTGGCACGATCGTGAAAGTACGCCATGGCATAGTTGAGCGACGCGATCACGTCCGGTGCCTCCAAGGCAGAGTCTTGGCTGTCGGCCGCGACGGGGGCGACGGGAAGATCCAGCACGTCGCTGTGGAGTAGCTTCATCTTTGGACCATCCGCCGCAGCAGACCCTGACGCTGGGGGCTGCGAGGCTGCACGTGCTGCACGTGCCGCTTCGATGGCAGCGTCCTTCTTGGCCTGCTTGGCGAGCTTCTTGTTGCGCTTTCGATCGAATCGTTCCGTGGCTGCTCCTGGCGCCCATGTGTCGGCTGCCGGCGCGGCCTCTTGCGGCGTCTCTTTGACCGCTTCTACCACTGCGCCAGTCGCAGGTAAGGCTTCTGCAGATAACACTTTGGTATATGGTCCATCCTGGGCGAATCCAGGAGACTGGAGCAGCTGCACAAAGCCGGGGCGGTTGCGCAGACGCGCGTAGGTATCTTTGAGCGCGACGAGGTCGATGTCGACGCCCTGGCTGCGGTTGCGCGCGTCCATGCCCGCCCAGGTGGTGGCGATGATGGCGGTGCTGCAAAAATCTTCGCGGAGGATGCGTGCGTCGTAGCGGTCGGAATCGTCGAGCTGCGCCTGGCTGTAGAGCGAGTCGATGTTGCGGCACTCGACGCCCGGCTCCTGCACCGCCTCTTCGTAGATCTTGAGCACGGGCGCGGTGGATGCGAGCGGCACGCGGCCCGAGTCGAGCCCGGATGCGGACGAGATGTGCGTCCAGTTGGGCCGCGCGTGCGCAAACGGATCGGCCGCCATGGTGAGCAGTGTGAGGTAGGGACGAGTAGGAGGTGTGCGGTGAGCCGGTGAGGGCTTCCAGGGTCCAAGGCGGAAGAGCAAGAAGAAAGAAAACTTGGTCTGCGAGTTCCGAATTCCGAGTGGAGCGAGCCAGAATTCGAGCCGGAAAAGGAAAATGTTCGCAAAAAATAATGCCCAAAAAAGGCGTCCAAAAATAGCAAGTCTCGAGCCTCGGCCGTGCCGACTGCGTCGTGCCCTCTCGAAGCTGAACAAGGACAGAGAGGCGATGTGTGCTCATCCGTGCGTAAGCCAGCCCGGTCGGAAACGAGACATGCGTTGCCGCCCAACGAACACGCGAGTCGGTGTGCGAAAGACGGCCTTTGCGCAGCGTAGCGATGGCGGCGCTTGGACGATCGCGAGGCGGGAGCTGGCGCCGGGGGGGGGGGGTGTCCAGGCGTGAGTTCTAGAAAGGCAGCGGGGAGTCTTGCTAGCCATGCTGCGACCAGCGAGTGCGGGGAAGGTGGGCAGCCAGAGAAGCGGGTCATGTGTCGTGCACGCACACGACATCCATGCGCCCCCACAAATTAAGGTCGAGCGGCAGCGGCAGCAGACAGGCGGGGGGAAAATTGACCGGCCGAACGCGGCGGAGCTTTGCATGAAAAAGTGCGGCAGCCTGGCGCATTTTTTTTGGCGAGCGAACGTAGAGCTGTCCTGGTTCACTGCGTCTGAAGCTCTACCCAGACTGCAGCACCTCCGCGTTGTCTTGGCTGGCTGGCCGTGGGGTGGAGGCCAGCTTCGGATGCGAGCCGCCGAGCTTGCCTGCCGAAAGCCCAGACCTGGTCGCTTCGCTCGGATAGCTGCCTGAGCGTGGGACCTTGACGCCTCAATTGGACGGACAGCAACACCCTCACACGCGGGAGAGCACCGGCCTCTCGCACTGGCTTCGGCTCGTCCGCAGCTCATGGCCCCTGCCAAAGATCACAGCTGGCGTGCGTGAGCGGAGACATGCCGAGTCAGCTTGAAGGTGGCGCGCGAGACATGCGTCCGTGCGTGGAGGTGCCGCAGCTCGTAGCAGGCAGTCCCTGGCAGGACTCGCCGACCCTCTTGGCGGCGACTCTCTGATCGAAAGTTTCGGTGGCCGACCGCAGATGCACGGCGTCGATTGCTTTCCTACAAGCACAACGCCATGCTTCATGGTCCATGCGCAGGTATCAGAGAAGCATAAATAGCGAGCTCCCTCTTGCCGAAACTTTTGTTCCTCGACATCGATCCAAGCACATCTAGCTCGCTCGACCCCATCCACCCCCAACAAGTCCCAAACCAACACTCCAAAATGGCTCCCGCTGCTACCTCTTCCCGCTCCCACGCTGCGCAGGACCCGCGCGAGCAGCAGCTCGACGTGTCGGGCCAGAACCGCGTCGCCATCTTTGACAAGCAGGGCGGCCCGGTCTCGATCAAGGACGTGCCCGTGCAGAAGCAGCTCAAGCGCGGCGAGGCGCTCGTGCGCGTCATCTACACGGGCGTCTGCCACACGGACCTGCACGCCATGCTCGGCGACTGGCCGCTCGACAACAAGCTGCCTCTCGTCGGTGGCCACGAGGGTGCGGGTGTGGTCGTGGCGCTCGGCGAGGGGGCCGACCAGTTTGTCAAGGTCGGCGACCGTGTGGGCATCAAGTGGATCGCCACCTCGTGCCTCAACTGCTCGTTCTGCCGCACCGGTGCCGAGCCCAACTGCCCGCACGCCCAGTGCTCGGGATTCAGCGTGGACGGCTCGTTCCAAAAGTACGCCGTGTCGTACGCCAACCACCTCTCCATCATCCCGGACGCGCTGCCGCTCGACCAGGCCGCGCCCATCCTCTGCGCAGGCGTCACGGTGTACAAGGCGCTCAAGGAAGCCCAGCTCATCCCGGGCCAGTACGTGGCGATTCCCGGTGCCGGCGGAGGACTCGGCCATCTCGCCATCCAGTACGCCGTCGCCGCCGGCTACCGCGTGATCGCCATCGACACCGGCGCCGACAAGAAGCAGCTGTGCGAGTCGCTCGGTGCCGAAAAGTTCATCGACTTCAAGACGTCCAAGAGCCTCGTCGACGACATCAAGGCCGCCACGCCCGACGGCTTTGGACCGCAGGCGGCGGTGGTGGCGGCCTCGGGCGCAGCGGCGTACGAGCAGGCGCTCGACTACATCCGCCCGCGCGGCGTGCTCGTCGCCGTCGGTCTGCCCGGCAACACGGACATCCGCGCCAACGTCTTCTTCACCGTCTTCCGCTCGGTGCGCGTGGTGGGCTCGTACGTGGGCAACCGCCAGGACGCACAGGAGGCGCTCGAGATCGCCGCGAGCGGCAAGGTGCGCACCCACTTCAAGACGCTCGGCCTCAGCCAGCTGCCCCAGGTGTACGACGACATGCAGAGCGGCAAGATCGCCGGCCGCATCGTGCTCGACATTGACCAGTAGTTGCCAAGTCCAAAACCCAAAACTCTGTGCCCGTAGGTTCCTGCTTCCAATTCGAAATGCCTTTGTTCATTCGTGAGATGCTGCTGTTTACATTTGAGGTGTCTGCATTGGGTGTCAAGCGCGTGGTGGCGGGATGCGAGGCTGGACGTAGGTGATGGGCACTTTCTGCCAGTGGCCATCGGTCGAGCTAGAGTCCCTGGTAAAACTTGCGCTTGCCGCCTCCTCGAGATGGATTTCGGATGCCTGTGGAGCTCGGTCCAGCAGGAATCCGAGGGCGGTATACGTGGCGAGTGCGAGGAACTCGGCGATGTACTGCAGCACGAGTTTGACCCACACGTTGGTAGGCACGAGAATCGTCCCCTTGAAAGTGGCGTACACTGCGTATCCTGCTCTTACGAGCATGAACGTCAGAGCGACGAGCAAGGCCAGCCTGATGAGTTTGGCTTCACCGATGCTGGCTCTTGCCAGGCGCACCGCTGCCAGCCCGGCAATGACGGCGATCAATCCCACGTAGAGCAGGGCTCCAACTTTGGTCTGCACCGGTAGTTTGGGGTTGATCATTTCGCCCTGCGCATTGGTAAAGTCTGTGCTGGTGTATCCCGTAATGACGCAGACCAGCGCTGCGAGGTTGACGAGATTCAGCAGCTTAGCCACGCGGCCCGTCTTGTCGTCTGCATCCAGCAATCCGCATGCTCGGGTGTAGAATCCAATTGATGACGACACGAGGAACGAAAGTCCGATGGACTGAAGAATGTAGCCCCACACTGTAGCGGTGATCGACGCATAGTTGGTCTTGTACTCGACAACAAGCATGACGTTGCCCACCAGGTGGACGAGGGAAAAGATGAGGAGCGAGATGAATCCCACAGTGCGCCCGCGTCCGTGACGCACCACATTGACCAAATTCAACACTCCAACGATGGCGTACAGCGGGATGAACACCGCATCGAAAATCGTGGTCGTTGGCCAAGTCATGTTGCTAATTGTGCAGAGGGAATGTGAGTATGTGCGGGTGAGGTTGAGTGTTGGAGGAACTGGGTACCCTCGCCAGCTCCGACGTCTTTATACTTCATTCTGGCCCCAAAGGAACTTGCAGAGAGGGGTTGGGTATCGTGCTGGGCGAGATAGCGAGGCGAAGATCATCGTTGCACCTCCGGCGGGAGCATCACGTCGAGCACTGCAGGCTGGCTTCCCGAACAAGCTGCCGAACAACGCGGTGGGCGAATCTTCGGCTGCTGGTTCGGCACCTTCACCGCCCGCCCACCACCGGAAAAATCGCGAGGAAAAAAGCAATTCGAGAAAAAGCATCTGTCGGCTCGGCGGTCTGCTCGGCACCTTGTTCGCATGGCTCGACGGAGTGTCTTTCGGCACCTTGCACATCGCTGTTCACCACTTGGACGACGCTTGTCGCGGCGCCTACCTTTTTCGCCGGCTCAAGAGTTGGAGGACATAGGAATTCATGCACGCACTGCCTCGTTATCACTCACACCACTGCCGCCGGCACAGCCCTCCTCGTCACGCTTCGTTCTTCTCAATGCGAAGTGTATGCGATTAGCCAATACTATACAGATGCTTTTCTGTTCCTTCAGCTTGGTCTTTCGCTGCGTATTCCGCTCTATGCCTTCTCCGTCTTGGTTTCGGCGTGGGAGCTTGCGTTCCGACTCGATCGGGTGTGAAGAAGCAGGTTGGCGAGCGCCAATGCGACACCGGCGCCTGCAAAGCCGATGCCCATGTAGAAGGCGCCCCGATAGCCCTTGAGCGGATTGCGGCCTTCGTCGTTGACGTGCGTCTCCACAACGCCTGCGAATCCGAGTCCGAGCGCGATGGCGTAGTTGACGATCGTATTAACGATGCTGCTTGCTGTTCCTTGCTGGTGCGATGGCAAGAAGTCGCTAAGGATGATGCTTGCGGCAGGGAAGCTCATGTCCATCCCAAACGGCATTATGGCCGACGATACATACGTGAGCGCAGGGACACCAACTGGAGCTGCCCCGTTAATAATGCTGCCGATGCAGAACGCCGAAAGCGAGAGCAGCATTACTAGGGGAGCGCTCGTACGTCCGAGAATGTAAGCCGAGGAAAAGGCAGCGAGGATGCCAGCAACACCAGCGGGGACGATGCTGACAATGGTGAAGATGGGCGAGTAGCCGCGGATGAGCTGCTGGAAGAGGTTGAGGTAGAAGATCCAGATGCCGAACGAGGCCCAACCGAACGCGAGCGAGAGCAAAATGAGACTGCCGGACAGATGGAAGACGCTGGTGGGTAGCAGCGGATACAGCGCGCGCGACTCGCCTGCGATGAAAACACCAATGAGCAGAACGCCAACGATGAGCAGCACGTAGACGTACACCGTCTGCCATCCGACCACGAGCGCCTGGTTGAAGGCGAAATTGAACAGCACGAGTCCCGCAACGCCCGTGACCGTGCCGAACAGATCCACCCTATCCCACCATCTGCCCTTGTTCCCTACTGCCTGTTCGGGTTCTAGTTGCCCCTCGCTGTTCGCAGCCGCGTGGTCCTTGCTCCACGACCTGCTGACCGCCTGCATCTCTTGCTCGGACGGCAACACCCAGACACACAGCGCTGCCAGCAGGGTCGCCACGATAGCCATGACATAGAACCCCCAGTACCAGCCCATCCTGCGATTCATGTCCATAAGCGTCGTAAACACCGCGCCGACAAGGAAGCCGTTGGGTGCGGTGGCAGCAAAGAACGAGAAACTGAGGTGCTTTGCAAAGCTTCCCGGTGCAAAGACGCGACCAAGAATGGCGAGCGAGTTGGGCAGCAGCAGAGCGCACGCGGTTCCCTGCATCGCACGGCACACGTCAAAGAAGATGTACGAGCGGGTATAGTGCGACAGACCCGCGAGGAGTGCCCAGAGCGCAAGCCAGAGGTAGCCGGCGATGACGACGGGCTTGTGGCCGACGAGATCCCCAATGCGGCCGGCGGGTAGGACGAAGGTGCCGACGGTAAGCGAAAAGCTGGCTGCGAACCACGACTGCTGAGCGTCGGACGACTCGACGCCAAAGCTGCGTGCGATGCTGCGGATGGGCACCACCGTCTGTCCGAGCGCCGATTGTGTCAAAAGCATGGCACAGCACAGTGCGGCCACACCCACCAGCTGCCGAACCTTGCCGAGCGTCCCGGCATTGTAGAGCGGCGCCGACGCCGACGCCGAGATCGTCGAGGTTGAGGACGACATCGGAAATGCTAGAGTGGTATGGACGGTTGCATGGGCGTCCAAGTCATGAAGTCATGGATGGTGGGTGTTTTGTATGAAAGTGGACTCGGCGGGGACAATGAAAAAGTTGTGGAGGCTTCCATGGCCCAGGGTTCTACCGGATTCACGATTGCCGTTCGCAAATGCGCCGGCGATTACAGTACCTCTTTAATCTCCGATGCGGGCGAACACTTTTTTGGCACCTTCAGCATCCACAGAGTTGGACTTCTGCTGCATCTTTGAGGTCCATGCCATGCCACGCCACGCAACGCGCGCTCGTACTGTGCCTGACCCAACACTTGCGCTATGATTCGACGCAGTGCACCCGGCAGAGAGCACAAGTGGGCGGGCCGAACATGCCAGTGTCTGCCTAGTCTCGGAAGCTAAGATGCGGCTTCTTGCATTAGCCCCGCTCCTCGGTCTTAGCATGTTCGGGCAGACGGCTCGTCGGCTCGTCGGTCAGTGTCGTCGATGGCAAAGATGAGGCCGCGAATTCCGTGAGCTGTGTTAGACCGTTACTTTCTGCAGGTCGGACGTCTCGGCCGGATCAATGGGTCGCGTGGATGCCCGTGAATTTTCGGGCAGGAGGCGGCGGATGCGGCCAAAGCGCTCTAACCCCACGATCGGCCGGTCCGCTTTCAGCGGAGTGATCCGATGGACGCAGCGCGCGCTGACCGCTCTCTGCTCTCTCGACCTCGGCAGCGTTCCGCACCTGCATCACTCAGCAGCTGACACGGCGCCAGCCTCGCTCTCAACAGGCTCCAGCGCGGGGAGAGAGAGGTCCCCGGTTATTCTTCGTAGGAAGGCCCGACGCCTGCTGGCTCTTGCTGCGCTCCCACTTTTTTTACTGGCGCTGCCCCCCTCGCCCCCGCCTTCTCGCGACCTCGACTCCTCGGGCCTGACTCGACCCCGGATCTCCCGCTCCATCCTCCTCTACGATCACCACCGACAGCACCGCCGACACATTTGCCTCCTCCATGTCACATTCGGACCGACAATAGCAACAGCCAAACAGGCAAAACATCCACCCGGCACCACCACGCAACCATCGGGAATGCCGACGCGGCATGCATACACCATCACACTCACTTAGCAACATGGTCTCGGCACATCGATACGGCGGTGCCGCCAGGGAGCTGCTCTCGTCGGCCGCCTACTCCAGATCACCCGTGGCTGGACCCTCACGCCCGCGGCACTCGTCCACTGCCATCAGCACCGCACCGCCTCCCACCACAACAACAGCGCTCAGCAGGCGCCAGTCGCTCGCCCAGATTCGAGACCCGGCATACGTGGCGCGCTACCGCACCCTGGGCCCCTCGGCACATCCTCTCTTATCCTCATCATCCACACTATCATCCAGCGCATCCACAGAGGCCTCGGCGTCATCCGCTGGCCACGCCGGAATCAGCACCACGCATGCTTCACGCAGCAGCGCCGCCGTGCTCGACACAGCGGGACCCGCAGCGCATCCCGCATCCTCGTCCGTCCGCTCAAAATCCACCAATGCTTCCGATCAGCTCGATGACACCTGGGCCTTTGGCGGCGGTGCCAAGAGCCAGGGCGGTCCCGTCGGCTCCGAAGCGCCAACGCCTGCGTCGCACGCCAAGGCAGCCAGCGCGCCCATCGTCATGGGCAACGCCGGCAAGGGCGCCATCCCCAACTATGGCAAACGCAAGATGGACACCATTCATCTTTCCGCCCCTTCCACGTTTGGCGGTGGTGGTGGTGGTGGCAGCAGCACCGCAAGCTCGAGCACGAGCAAGGTCCCCACCGACGAAGCGCTCGCCAACCGATACGAGCATCGCTACTCGCCCTCGACACGCAGCGAGCATCCGCTGCCGCAGCACACCTACTTTTCCTCGCCCTCGTCCTCGTTCAACGCGTCGTCGTTCGTGGCGCCGGGCACGCAGCCGCCCCTCGCCGGCACAGCGACCGGCGGTGTGGGGCAAGGCCACCCCGGTATCGGCATCGTGCGCAAAAAGACCGCGCTCATCTTCCCCGGCCAGGGCTCGCAGTACGTGGCCATGTCCAAGGACCTCTACAAGGCCTTCCGATCCGCACGCTCCGTGTGGCACCAGGCCGAGGAGGCGCTCATGGCCACGCCGGGCGTCCACTCGCACCACTTTATCCAGGGCGAGCGCGCCCACTCGGCCGAGCAGCGCGAGCTCTTTGAGGCCGAGCTCGCAAAGACGCGCTCGCTCGATCCCAAGCAGGGACTCTCGGCGAGTGGCACCGCCGTCGCACGCAGCCGACGCGGATGGCTGCGCGACCTCGTCTTCTCGGGCGACCAGCTCGAACTGACGCGCGCCGAGAATGCGCAGCCCGCCATCCTCACGTGCACGCTCGCGTTCTTGAATGTGCTGCGCAAGGAGTTTTCGATCGATCTGGTGCGCGACCACGTGCAGTGGGCGTCGGGGCATGGTTCGGGCGTGTATGCGGCGCTGGTGGGGTCGGGCGCGATGGACATGCACGATGCGGTGCGGCTGCTGCGCCACCGCGGGCTCGTGGCGTCGCACTATACCGCCAAGCACCCCGTACTCTTCCCGCCCGGCTGCACGCCGCCCGAGAGCATCTACGAGACGTGGGCGTTTGCCAACGCGGGCAGCGGCAAGGGCGCCGACCTGCTGTACGACGAGGACGCGGCGGACGCGTCGGTGAACGGCAAGCAGCCGCCCGGATGGAAGCGCACGCAGATGTCGGGCGTGGTGGTGCGTCCGGGCAAGCTGGGCGCGGTGCTGCGCGAGGTGGAGCAGGTGTCGCGCGACATTCGCGAGGGCAAGGTGGCGTCGGTGGCGCGCGACGAGGTGGTGGAGGTGGCCAACATCAACAGCCAGCTGCAGATCGTGCTGTCCGGCACGCGTGTGGGCGTGTCGTACTGCTGCGACCGTCTGCGCTCCAAGAATCTGGGTGCGCGCGCGGTGAATCTGCCCGTATCCGGCGCGTACCACACGAGCCTCATGCTCGAGGCGTCCGACTTTCTGCGGCCGGCGGTGAAGAACATGCCGCTGTCGGATGCCGAGGGCTTTGCGCTCGTGTCGAGCCGAACCGGCCGCGTGATGCGAGACAGCGCGACGATCCGCGACGATCTGGCGGGCGCGTTTGCGATGCCGGTCGACTGGCTCAGCTCCATCGACACGCTCATCGCCCAGGGCGTGGAGAGGTTCGTGTGCCTCGGGCCCGGCCGCGCGTGCGCGCATCTGCTGAGCAAGGAGCTGGCGTACCGCGACAAGCAGCGCCAGGCGCACCAGCCCGACGCCCAGTCGGCGTACGAGGTGTGGTCGCTCGCCACGCTCGACGACGTGCAGCAGCTCGCCGAGGTGCTCGCCGACGTCTCGAAGCGCCAGGCCATCCTGCCCGCCCAGCCCGCCATGGACGCAGACAGACTCACTGCCGACGGAGGCTGAGATCGCAATGGCAATACCCCACTTTTCTTCATTCGCCACTGTTTCTATTGCAAGGTTGCCTTCGTGACTATGAGGAGGTGGTGTGGGAGAGCGGCGTGACGATGAGCGGCATGCCGGCAGCAGGACCTTGAGAAGCCGACTCGACGCGCGGACGCACGATGAGCGCCTGGTGCTGGCGAATCGTCACGCCGGGCACGGGTGCAAAGCCAAAGCGACCCAGCAGCACGATGAGCAGCACCTTCATCTCGGTCAGCGCAAACTTGGCGCCAATGCTGTCCCCACCAAACAAAAAGCATCGAGTCAGTAAAATCTTCTTCTTCTGGGCAACAAGGAGAGGGTGGCGCTTACCAAGATTTGGGCCCGCCGATGAACGAGTAAGTATTGTACGGCGGCAATTTTGCGTTGGCGTGGGCTTGGGGGAGGTTGGCGAATCGGTCCGGGTTGAACTCGTCAGCATCAGGGCCAAAGAGGTTGGGATCGTAGTTGACGGTTTTGATGCCGATGGTCACACGCGCGCCCTTGGGCACCCGCAGCTGCGAGATCTTCCTCCCGTCCTTGAGTGTGACGGGGGTCATGAGGGGCAGTACGGCATCGCGTGCAGCCTCGCGGTCGTTTCCCGGCACGGGCGGACACAGCCTTAGCGTCTCTGCCAGCACCCAGTCGAGATACCTCAACTCGTCACACCATACGTCGTCGTAGCCCAGATCCGCCGGCACAAGGTCGTCGAGCCCGACACCCTTGCGCTCGCGCAGGGTAGCGCTGACCAAGTCGCGCAGTTTTTGCTGCACCTCTGGATGGCGCGAGAGAAAGTAGAGTGCCCACGAGGTGGTGACGCTCGACGTCTCGTAGCCTGCAAACATGAAGGTCTGAATCTGCCCGCCGATCTCGCGGTCCGTCATGCGATCCGCCACCCCAGCCCCGAGATTGCTCTTGACGAGCAGCGAGAGCAGATCCTTCTTGTCGCTGATCTCCTCGCCCTCTTGTTCCACCCTGCGTTTTGCGTCTGCCACGATCTGCATGGTGATCCTGTCCATGACGCGGTTCACCTTGGCAATGCGCCGGTTGGCCTCGGACAGCGGCCACGTCGCCGCCCTGGGGTAGAGCAACGCACTGAGGCCGAGATGAAGTGCACGACCGGGTCCAAAGTCGATGGCTGCCTGATTGACCGCATTGAACGCAGCCGACAGCTCGGAGCCCTGACGGCCCTTTTCGAGCGCGCGACAGTCGTATCCAAACCCAGCCATGCCGATGATGTCCAGCATGGTGCAGTCCAGAAACTCGGCGAGATCCACGCTCTTTTCGCGCTTCGCATCGAGCTCGGCTGCGATGTTGTTGCACATACGCTCGGCGTAGGCGGTAAAGGTGGGTGTGAGCGCCTTGAGGTGGGCGGGGGAGAAGGCGGGCGACATGAGTTTGCGCTGCTTGCGATGCGCATCGCCGTAGCGCGTGACGATGCCGTTGCCCACGATGAACTCGATGATGCTCGAGCGCAGCAGGTCGGACTGGAACGAGTCGATGTCCGACAGGATCGCGTTGAGCGCGTAGGGATCCGCGATGTGCAGCGTCTCGCCGCCCAACGGCTCGGGAAAGACGTAGACCGCACTGCCGAGCGTGCGCGCATAGTGCTTGGTCACATCGCCCGGACCGCGCACCTCGACGCTTTCACCGGTGGCAGGGTCGGTGTAGGTGAGCCCCTTGGCTTCGACTAGACGCTGCCCGAGCAGGTAGGATGCGCGCTTCGGACGCGGAAGGTCGCGCAACGCAGAGGGGAAGAGCACCGGCTTGAGCGCGAGTTTGTAGGTGACGAACAGCACCACGAGCGTGGCGAGCGCCGCAAACGGATGCAGCTGCACCCACGCCAGCAACGCCTGGGCGGACGACCTCGACGACGAGCCGCCTGTCATACTGAACGGGCGAAATGAGGAGGGGTGTGATGGTGTGTGCTGGGACGATAAGCCCCACCCCTCCCTCCACCTTTGTTAGCTTGGGCCAGCAGGCCATCTTTGGCTGCCGTAACGCTTCCTGACACGTTGTGCTCGCGCCGAACTCACCGATCCCCCAAAGCCGCGGAATCAGCTCGGAATTCGCTCTCTCGCACATCGTCCCCGCCAACTTCATTCATCGTTGCAGAACAACGCGCGCCTTGCGTGGCAACCCGGCTGTTTGCTCCTTCATCACACACGTTCGAGCATCCGGCACAACAGTTTGCCGCTACATGCCATCGGCCCGGCTCAAGGTTGTGCATCTGCGCAGACTGAACCTAAAGCATGACTACGGCGGGTATCTTTGTTCGGCGGCTGGAGGATGCTACTTGTTAGATCCGGGCTTGATGGCGCGGATGATGTGCAGATGCTCTCCTCCTGCTCGACGCTTCAGCACCACCTATGACAATGCAACATCGATGGCAACACAGGCGGCAGATCGCTGAAGTCAGCATGTGGCGCAATGGCAGTCTCAGGGCAGCGCATGACGAGCACAACTTACCTCGGCTTGGAGCGCCTGGCTGCAAAGGCGGCTCACGATACCTTCCGGGTCGTTCTGCTTGATGGCCACGAGATAGAATCTGCCGTTGGGCGCAAGCGCATCCGCAATGACGCCGTGGTCGATGAGCGCATCGACGAGCTTTGTGCCCGTTGCGCCGCCAGCCCATGCACCGGCGATGTCTTTGTCGTGCTGCGCCATCTGCTCCTCCTCTTCTTCCGTCGGCACGTACGGCGGGTTGAAGAGCAGCACGTCGATCTTTTCCCTCGCCCTCGGTTGGAGCGCCGAGAGCAGCGACGCACGCGCAGCCTCGATTCGCACGCCGTTGTGCTTGCCCGTGGCGACAGTGCAGCGGTTGGCGTGCTCGTTGACGTCGATAGCAACGTACGCCGCAGCGGTGGCACCGAGGATCTGCGCGAGGAATGCGGTGATCACGCCACTGCCCGAGCCAATCTCGACGCACAGAGGAGCAGATGTGCCGAGCGAGGTGCGTAGAGCGTCGGCATCCGCCTCGAGCGCATCTAGGAGCGCAAAGCTGTCTTCGGCCGGCTCGTACACGCGCCGCAAGTCGGACCTGGTCAGGTGTCCCAGCGAGGGCGTGGGGATCATGGCGAGCAGCGACGAGGGCAGGGCACCCTACGAGTCCGTAAGGCTGCTGGCAATCCAAGGATGAAGGCGGCATGTTGCAAGAAGAACTGCGAAGCGTCCCAAAAAAAAGTGGAGCCGAGAGGACGCCTTTTTGCCCGAAATCCGAACAAGTCTGTCTTTCCTCGATCTTCATTTCCTTCCCCGCATCTCTCAGCACCATCACCACAGCAACCATGGCGAAACCACAGGCAGAGGTGCGCTACACACTCACCACCTATCCTGGTCTCGCGCACGGCCATACTGACGTGTCCTCACCTACGCCATTTTGACATTGCAGGTGATCCAGGAGTGGGCCGACTTTGACTCGGCGGGCTACAGCTTTGAGCGCGGCCGCATGGAGAAGACGGTGCAGGCGCTGTGCTTTGGCGACCAAGCCGCTGTCATGCCTGCGCACCTCGCAGCAGGCCCCGCGCAGGGACAGAAGCTCAAGAAGGAAGATGTCGAGTTTATCGTAAGTGCCAAAGCCCCCTCTCCGCAGTTTGCTCAACATGTGGCTGATCCGCAAGCTTTGTTTGCATAGGTTTCGGAACTGCTCGTGTCGCGCAGCGTCGCCGAGGCCACACTTGCCAAGCACAAGGGCGATATGGAAAATGCGCTCACAGAACTCGTTGGCTCGGCGTAGATTCGCGCCACCAATACGAGTGCATTTCTTCACAAAGCGGCTACACACAGAGGAGAAGCTACCGGCTGGATTGGGGAGTTACTTGGGAATAGGGCCGTTGAGTGCCTCGTAGCAACGGATGACGCTCGAGTCGTCCATGTGTCGCTGGCCCCTCGCATCGGCCGCGACGAACATCTGTTGTGCGGCGACGCTGAGCGGCAGAGCAGCTCCGTACTGCCTGCCTGCCTCGGCAACAATCGCTAGGTCCTTGACAAAGATCTGGGTCATGGAGTGGATCTCTGGTTCTTCCTGGAGCATTCGCGGGCCTCGATCGCGCAGCATCCACGAGCTGGCTGCCGAGTTGCTGACGATCTCGAGCGCAGTTCCGCGGTCCACACCTAGCTTGGTGGCGAGTGCAAGGGCTTCAGCGGCCGCAGCGACGTGGATGCCACACAGCACCTGGTTGATCGCCTTCATGCTGTTGCCCTTGCCCACGTCGTTGCCCATGTGGTACAGCTTATCGCCCATTGCTGACAGCACGGGCTGGGAGCGTTCGTATGCGGCGGGTGCGCAGCCGACCATGATGGTCAGTGTGCCGTTTGTGGACCCGCTCACACCGCCCGAAACGGGTGCATCCACCAGTGCAACGTCGGCCCGCACGGCCAGCATGTCTTTCTCCAACGCCACCACAGCACCGGGAGAACAGGTGGCCATGAGAATCACGCTTGCTGAGGGATTAAGCGCCTCGAGTGGGGTCTTGCTTTCCGGCGTCTCTCGATCAAACAGGATCGACCGGGCTTGTGAATCGTTGACCACCATGAGCACCAGAAAGTCGGCTCCCGTAGCAGCGTCCAGCGCCGACGTTGCGCCTGCACCACCATGGCTCGCCGAGGCCTGTACAAACGCCTCGACTGCCTCGGCGCGCAGATCGAACGCCTTGACGCCAAACCCTGCCTTGGCTACATTCACTGCCATCGGCTTGCCCTACAGTTCGCCAGGTCAGTTACGATGCAGACCTCCACCGCGTCCGGGTTCGGCCACTCACCATACTGCCCAAGCCGATGAATCCGACGGTTCCCTTTGCGTTCGACATTGTCAAGCGGTGTTTGTTGTTGGTTCGGCGTAGAGTGGGGATGGTGGTGAGCAAGGTGGATGCGCTCAGGTCACTGTCGTCCAGGTGGGCAGCTCGAGCAGTGGAGGGAGGATCCGGGAAATTCACCGAGCCACACACCGCAACACACGCCACATCTTGGCTTCGCAACACACGGAATGCATTATTCAGACACGGAGACGAAACATCGAAGCCAGAAACGGAGAAACGGACCGGGTGGAGCCAGGAGAGACACCGGCAAACGCAACAGAAACAAGAGTGGGGTAAAGCAATGGACGTGGGGGTGCGGTGGGGACATGCAAAGAAAAGTGCCCGGCGACGTCGGCTATTTCGCAGGGTCTAGCGCTGGCCCTCCTTACCGCCCTGGCCGGCTTTTTTGTCGCCATGATCGTGCTTCTTGTCCTGCTGTCCAGGTTGGCCCTGTTGACCCTGTTGGCCCTGTTGGCCGGGTTGGCCCTGCTGGCCTTGCTGTCCGGATTGGTCTTGCTGGCCGGGCTGTCCCTGCTGTCCGGACTGTCCGGCGCCTTGCTGGCCTTGCGGTCCAGGCTGGCCTTGCTGTCCAGGTTGACCCTGCTGTCCGGGCTGGCCCTGCTGTCCGGGCTGGCCCTGCTGTCGGGGCTGATCCTGTTGGCGCGATTGATCCCGCTGTCCAGGCTGACCTTGCTGGCCAGGCTGACCCTTTGAGCCGTGCTGCCCGTGCTTTTTGCGCTGACCCTTTTGGCCCTGTTGGCCCTGCTTCTTGGCGCTCTTGTGCTTGCTCTGCTGGGCGCCGCCATCACCCTGCTTACCGCTGTCGTCCTTCTTGCCTGCAGAGTTGTCGTCGTTGGCCTCGCCCTCGCCCTTGACGACAAGGTGTTTTCCCGCGGGCACCCACACCTCGTCAATGATCCAAGTCTTTCCGCCGTCGAGCATTCTCGGCGGGGCTTTGAGCTTTGCGCCGCCGGTGCACAATCCCAGCTCGTCGAAATGCGGTTCTGGCGTCGAGAACTTGAGCACAATGTTCGAGTAGATCTGGGGCGAGATGGGCCAGGTGCAGTTCTTGCACTCCTGCGTAATAACAAAGCTATTCATGACCTGGTCGCCGGCCGACCTTAGGTAGCTGACCATCTTGTTGTCGATCCACGCCTCCTGGGTTCTAAATCCGTTCTGGGTGCGGTAAACGACGGTCATGGGGGAGTTGACCGGGTAAAAAACGGGCATGTCGCTGCCCATGCACATGTGGTCTTCGGCGTTGTAGCGAAAGTTGCTGTATTCGGCAGCATAGATGCAAAGCCCAACGCGAGGGTTGGCGGCACATCCATCGCCGTAGAACACGACTGTTTGAATCAGGTCCGAATGCACGTTCGGGTCATAGTTCGACAGACCGGCCCAGTAGAACATTGCGTTGGGGCTGTTGTCGGGTCCGGCGGTGTGGATGTGCATTCGGGTGTAGTTGTTGACAATCTCGCGTTCCTGTCGCTCCAAGTGCGCCAGTCGCTCGCTGAATGCAGGAAGCGCACATCCGGCACTGTTGAGGCTACTGCCAAATGTGCCGTATCGCGCGCGGTAGGTGAGCACATCAATAAGGCGTGTGTGGTACGAAGCATCCAACACCGGCTGGTGACTCAGTTTCTCCGCTACCATCGCCTTGTCTTTGTCACTGACGTTGCTTTGATCCGGTTGTGGCTGAGGCGGTGGTGGAGGTGGCGGATCGGCTCGGCGTCGAAGCTTGGAGGCCTGCGCTTCGGCGTCCTGATTGGCAGTGTGCACGTCGGCAAACCACGTCGAAGGAGGCGCCTCGCCCGTGCGAAAGGTGAAGGTCACCTCCTCAATGTTGCTCTGCGTCGGATCCCAGCGACATCCGGATCCAAACACGCTCTCGCCTGCCTGCACCTCGCCTTGGCTCTGGCTTTGATCCGCTGGTGCACCAGGCCCAGCTTGACCACTAACCACCCCAACGGTGCTGAAAAGAAGGGTAAAGATGGCCGCAATCAGCATGTTGGCAGGTCGGTCTTGGTCGAGGTGGAAGGCGAGCGAGCGAGGATGAGCGGATGTCGAGGGTTAGGATGCAATTCAACGCCCGTGGGTTCATTTGCACCACTTCATCCCACCCCCATCGTGGCTGGGTGGGCCAAGTACACAACGCACAACCACCCCACCTCCACCTCGGGCTGCTGCTCATACGTCCAACCCACTCGTTGTGCACACGCAGAAAATGGTGTTTCTAAGACGGCGAAAGGCAGGCGCGAATCCCAACGACTCGCACTGCGAGCGGGCGACTGCGCGCAACTGCTCCCGTAAGGAGATTGCGTGGCGTTACACAAGGGTGACAGTGGGGAAGGGGGGTAACATGGTGACAGGAAGAGGGAGTTGCAAATCCGTTGGGCTCCAATGAAAAGACGAGGGGGAAAAAGACAGCGAGGTGTTATGCAAGAGACCCGCTCTGCAATGCACCTTTGCTGCCAAAGCATGCGTCGAACCAGCGACGAGCAATGCACCCGAGAGGTGCGCTCTCAGTTGTACGACAAGGGGTAGCCGTCCTTGAGGTTGACCTTGTTGCCGGTGAAGCAGCCCTTGATGTTGTGCATCCAGCCTGCGGCGTCGGGGTCGGCGTAGGAGCCGATGCCGACGCCCTTGAGCTTGGTGAAGAGGTTCATGTTGACGTCGACCGAGGTCCACTCGTTGGCGTCGCCAAAGTAGGCCTTGAAGCTGCCGCCGGGGCCCTCGATGACGAGCTCGCGGCCGCACCAGTCGGAGATCATGGAGTTCCAGAGGCCCTGGTTGGAGTAGTAGGTGACCGACTGGCCCGAGCCGTAAGCCTGCGAGAGCTGCTGGAGCGGCAGCGCAATGATGGGCGCGCTCTTGTCGAATTCGACGCCGCACCAGGTGGTGGTCGCCTCACCCTTCCAGTTGGGCTGGAAGGCGGTGGCGGTGAGATCAAAGCAGTTGCCCCAGGGGCTCTTGGGCGGCGCAGCACCAGCGCTGGACGAGGGCGAGCCAGCGGAGGAACCGGAGCCCGACGACGAGCCGGAAGACGAGCCCGACGAGGCAGACGACGAGGCAGCCGAGCCAGAGGAGGACGCAGTGGCACTGGCAGAAGCCGAGGCCGAAGCGGAGGCGTGCGAGTGGCCCGAAGAGCCCGACGAGGAACCGGCCGAGGAGCCGGACGACGAGCCAGCCGAAGAACCAGCCGAGGAGCCGGCGTTAGACGAAGCGGACGAGCCAGCCGAGGAGCCAGCGGAAGCGCCGCCGCCCTGCTTTGGCTTGGTGTGGTTGGAAGCGTTGGTGGACTGCTTCTTGTTCTTGCACACCTTCCTGCGCTGGGGCGGGTGGGCGGCGATGGCACGGCCGGCGTGCTGATGCCTGTTGCTGAGCGACTTGGCCTCGGCCTCGGGGGCGTTGAAGCCAAGCGTGGCGAGCACGGCGAGGGATGCGACGGCAAAGAACGAGGAGCGCATGATGTCTATGGATCGGAAGGGTAGAGAGCACAGCTGTCTACGTGGGAGCAATTGAATGCAGGGAAGAGGTCCTGACCTCGGGGATTGGGGAGCAAAGGTGAATGTATGTGGAACCAGCCACTGAAGAGAGGGGAGGAGAGAAGAGATGGGGAGACACGCCGTCGAACACAGAGAAAAGGTCGAGAATTTGTACGGTGAAGATGATGGAGGGAGGAAGAGGAGGAGGGAGGGAGGGGCGGGCGGCGTTGCGTACGAGGCAAGTCCGACAGCGTTCTGACAGGCGCGTTGTGTCTCAGCCCGCCGAGCCTGTCGAGCATCCATCCGGCTCTGGGGCGAATGGCGGCGAGACACTGCTGCTCCCCGTTGACTTGGCTCGGATACAGCAGGAGAGACCCTCGAATTTGGCTGGCCATCGCCTCGTGGCAAAAAAAGGCGACCTGACTGAAAGCGCGTTGCCAGCGCGACGAGGCCCTCTCTTTCGCCGTCGAATCCACAAGCCACACTATACGCTGTATGGAAGCTTTCTGTAGCACGGCTGCGACTGCACGCCTACATCGTATCAGCGCCTCGAGGTTGGCGGTGCAGCATACACCATCGCAGTGGGTGGCAAAGGAGGGGCCCAAGCGTACGACGCCTCCGGTTTCCTAGGCATGGCCACCTCGTTGGCGCATCAAAGGGGACGGTTGCCGCTGCACGTTGGCGCTGCGTCGGCGCTAACGTACGGCCTCCCGAGCGGCTGGGAGAAGGCGAGCAGAGGCCGGCGGTGGTTGTGCTCGAATGCTCGGTGGCCGTTGATTGTTCTGCACGGCGCTGCATTTCGCTTTGCCAGCCCGTCGATGCTCCTCCAGTTCGAGGGATGTCAGCCAGCGCCCTGGATTTGCAAATCGGGCTCATCGAAAATCTACGCTAAATCGACTTGTCGCCTGACCAACGATCTCAGATCCGAGCTCGCGCGAGGGAAGTGTGTCGGCCTAACATTGTTTGGATTGGAAATTGCGCTTCCCGAAGCTGCACCTGGTTCGCTCGGCTAAAGTGATGCGGCGGCGTCTCGCTGGGGCCAACTTTGCCGACTCAGCCAGTCTAAAGTTAAGCTACAACAGCCGCCGGCTGCCAAGGGTGCTGCTGCATTATCAGTTGAACCTCCGCGCCAGTGGCAATCGCCCCGGATCACCTCCATCTGTCGACGAGATTGATCATTGGACGCACACCCACATGGACTACACGACATGCCCACCGATGAACACCCGCCCGCCTCCAGCGCCAAGCGCAAGCTCTGGGTCGCTTGCAACGCCTGCCGCTTTCGCAAGGTCAAGTGCGATCGCGAACCTCGTCTGGAGCAGGGCTTTGCCGCCTGCACCAACTGCGATGCTTCGTCGATAGAATGCCTCCTCACCGTCAATCCGCCCAAGAAACGCATGGGGAAGCGCATGAAGATGCTGCAGGAGCAGATGGAGGCGGATCAGCTTCCCGCACCACAGTCAGCCGAAGCCACTGCCATCGCCATGTCTCCCGGCCTCTCGAGTCTGCTCGAAGCGGCCGACAATACCGCGCAGCCTTCCGCGTCAGCCTCGACATTTCCGGACTCCACCACCCCTTCGGATGTCCCAATCATCCAAAATGGCCTCTTCACCGCCTTCGGCTCATCAACACAAGACATCTTCCAGGTTCCGTCGCTGCAGCATCGCCAGAGCACCGCATCCTCCTCGACCGACTCGGTCTCGCCTGCGAATCCCGGATTCACGCCCAGATCCATCCAAGACCTCTCCGAATCGTCGTCTCCCGAAGCCATCCTGTCGCATGCCGCCTTCCTTAGCCGCCGCATTGTCGAAGGCTCCAATCCACGATCCACAAAACGCAAGAACCCCTTCGATAGGCCCAGCCTCGAGAGCAGCGCGTCCAACCAGGTCGGCTTCGTCGGCGGCCTGCTTGGCATCGCCTCGCTCGACAAGCATCTGCTCGACGTGTGCACCAAGGCGTATTTTGACAGCATGGGCCAATGTATAGGCTTCATCCGGCCAGAGTGGTACTGGCCCCGCTACCATTCCTACTTTTCGCGCTTCGCAGGGCTCTTTGACACCGGCTCCTCCTCTCCCGACAACGAACAGCCGCTGTCGGAGCTGTTGCTCATCGCCGTCGCCTGTCGCGGATCGGGCGCAAGTAGATTGGCCAACCGGTTCGAGCTGCAGACCGACCTGTACGACCACTACCGCCGCCTCATCAAGGATCGTGAACGCCTCGTGCGCGACGGATTCGATGCGCTAGAGTCCATCATCCTCATGGTCGAACACGCCGATTCCACTCCCGCGCCTCTCGTCGACAACATGTCGGTGGAAGGCGTGTTTGACATCAACCCCATCTCGCACCAAGGAATGATCCGGCTCACCAAAAAGTTTGAGCTGCACCTCGAAAAGCCCTTTGGCACACGCCTTGAGGGGCGCGATGGCATACGCCAGAGGATCCTCTTTTGGACAATCTACGTCTACGACGCCATTCGAAGCGAAGCCGGACGCACGCTTCCCTTGCTGCTCGACGAAGACATCAGTCTGGAGCGCACCATGCCCACCGCCGTGGACAACGGGCCGCTGTCGGCAAGGCTCAAGTTCCGCGATCACTTTGTGGATCTGGCCACGACGTGCCGCAAGGTGTCGCGGCGCATCCTTTCGGATCGGGCGCAAGGTCGTGGCATTGAGCCGGCTGATGTGCTCGAGGTGCTCGACGATCTGCAAGCGTGGCACCACAGCCTCAGTCCGCTCTTTGCGTGGGACTGGAACGACATGCTGCACATCACCGGCCCCACCGACGAAGAGGACAAGATCCGACGCACGTTTCTCATCTACCTCTTTCTCGGCCAATGGCTCACGCTCGAATACGCCATCCAAGAGATCGGCCTCTCGACCACATGCGACGCGGCGCTCAAGCACAAGATGCAGCAACGGCTGCGTGGCGAGATGGACGTGGCGCTGGATCGCCAGGTGCTCGTGTGCGACTACGCGGCGCTGTTCGGCATCATCCGGCTGCATCCGGGCATGATGCAGTCCTGGACCATCACCTGGGCGTCGTGGTGCATGCAAAAGATGCAGGAGATCGTCGCCAACGAGGCCATGGGCAGATTCGAATCCGCCAAAGCCGACCAGGCCTTTCAGCGCTATCTCTCGGCGGTGCTCTGCTTTGTCAATGCCACCGCCACCTGCGACAGCACGCCACGCACGCCCGAGACCGTCCAGGAGCTCATGAACACGCTCAAGAATGTCACCGATGCTCGCAGCTCGTTGCGTCTCAGCTTCGAGGTGGTCTAGTTCGCCGCAATCATCACACACGATACTTGAACTGCGAGTGAGGTGGAAGCAAAAGATTATGGATGTTAGGTCGAGCCTGCGAATTGAGCGAAAGGGTGGTCCGAGCCAATTCGAGCAGTGCAGAAGAAGTCGAGACCGCAGGATTTGCGGCGGTGTTGGTCTGGCGAGAGGGACTTGGCTCGTCTGACGCCGATCGAGATGGAGCGCGAGCCGGACCAATTGGAAGGGCTCGCTGCGGCGGCGGCGAAGAGAGGTGTGTTGGTCTTGCGACTAGCGACACCTCACCCACCGCCGCGCTCAACGAAGATCCTTCCGCTTCCCCACGCAAGCACGGACCCAGTCAACTGAGCCCAAGTCAGCAGCCAACTCACCCAACCTGCCGCCCTCCTCATCTGACTCTTCTTCCACCTCCATCATCCTTCTCATCGCCTCCATCGCATCCTTCCTTCAGCATTTCAATCTCTTGCACCACTTCTACACTTTAAAACACAAGTCTCCGTTTCGGCTTCCCATCTCCTCAAAGAAAACAAAGAAACACAAAAAAGCAAAGCCAGCATCGCTTCAAGTCGCTTGCCCACCATGCCCTTCGCATCAGCAGCCTCCGCAGCATCAACTTCCGCCGGCGCAGCTCCACCGCCCACCAACAGTGCAGCCGCTACCGCCACGCCCGCAGCACCGCTCGTCCCCGCCCTCAAGAGCGCCATCGTAAGAAGCGTGCTCTCCGGCGACACCATCGTCATCCGTCCCAAGGGCGTCAACATCCCCGGCAAGGAAGAGACCGTCCACATCGCCGGCATCGCTGCTCCCAGGCTTGGCTCCCGCGACCGCGAAGACGATCCGCAGGCATTCCCCTCGCGCGAATACCTCCGCCTCCTCACCGTCGGCCGCGAGATCCGCTACCGCATCGAGTACACCGTCCCCGCACCCGCAGCAATCCCCGGCAGCGCCGTCGCCCAACCGCGCCAGTTTGCCCACGTCTTCCTCCCACCCAAGGCGCCCGGCCTGCCCGACACCAACGTCGCCCACGACATCCTCGCCGCCGGCTGGGCCAAGGTGCACGACTCGGTCGCTCGCCGCGCCGACGACGCCGACGAGGGCAGCTGGAAGCAGAAGCTCCGCGCCGTCCAGGACGAAGCCACCGCGGCTGGCGTCGGTCTGTGGGGCCCCGACGACCTGCTCAAGGTGCACCACTCGATGCCCGAGGACACCGCCGCCTTCCTCGCAGAGTGGAAGGGCAAGCCCATCGAGTCGATCGTCGAGCAGGTGCGCGACGGCAGCATGCTCCGCGTCCGCCTCCTGCTCTCCTCGACACACCAGCAGATGATCAACCTCAGCCTGGCAGGCATCAAGGCGCCCCGCGTCGCCGGTGGCGGCGGCGCTAGCCCCACCGACGCCAGCGAGCCGTTCGGCGAAGAGGCAAAATTCTTTGTCGAGAGCCGTCTGCTGCAGCGCAACATCAAGGTCACACTGCTCTCGGTGCCCCAGCCCGTTGCGGCACCCACGCCCTTCGCCAACACCGCCTCGGCCGCACCCGCGCCCGCCGCGCCGTCGGCTAGCGTGCTCATCGGCCTGGCCATCCACCCGGTCGGCGACATTGCGCACTTCCTGCTCGCCGCCGGTCTGGCGCGCTGCGTCGACTGGCACGCCGGCATGCTCGCCTCGTACGGCGGCATGGAAAAGTATCGCCAGGCCGAGCGCGCCGCCAAGGAGAAGCGCCTTAATCTGTGGCAGTCGTACTCGGCGCCCGCCTCGGCCTCGACCGCGCTCTCGAGCCAGCCCGTGGCACAGCGCACCTTTGACGCGGTCGTGACGCGCATCATCTCGGGCGACACGGTGCAGGTGCGCAGGCGCGGCGCCGACGGCAAGCTCGGCCCGGAGCGACGCATCCAGTTCTCGTCGCTGCGCCAGCCGCAAGCCAAGGATGCCAAGCAGGCCGGGTATGCGGCCGAGGCGCGCGAGTTCCTGCGCAAGCGCCTCGTGGGCAAGAACGTGTCGGTGCAGATGGACTACATCAAGCCCAAGGACGGCGACTTTGACGAGCGCGAGTATGCCACGGTCAAGCAGGGCAACAAGGACGCCGATATCGGGCTGCTGCTCATCTCCAAGGGTCTCGCCACTGTGCAGAGGCACCGTCGCGACGACGAGGACCGCTCGCCCGACTTTGACACGCTCATCGAGGCCGAGGCCAAGGCGATCGCCGAGGCAAAGGGGATCCACTCGGGCAAGGAGCTGCCGGCGCCGCGCATGGGCGACGCCTCCGAGTCCGCGTCCAAGGCCAACACCTTCCTACCCGGCCTCAAGCGCGCCGGACGCATCGCGGCCGTGGTCGACTTTGTGGCGTCGGCGTCGCGCTTCAAGCTCATCGTGCCGCGCGAGAACGTGCGCCTCACCTTTGTGCTGGCGGGCATCCGCGCGCCCAAGACGGCGCGCAACGCGTCCGAAAAGGACGAGCCCTTCGGTCGCGAGGGGCTCGATTTCTCCACGCTGCGCGCGCTCCAGCGCGACGTCGAGATCGAGGTGTTCAGCACCGACAAGGTGGGCGGCTTCATCGGCGCGCTCTACCTCAACAAGTCCGACAACCTCGCCATCGCGCTCGTCGACAACGGCCTCGCCAGCGTCCACGGATACAGCGCCGAGTCCACGCCGTTCTACAAGCAGCTGCTCGACGCCGAGGACAAGGCGAAGAAGGCTCAGCTCGGCGTGTGGCAGGGCTACGATGCGGCTGCCGAGGAGGCTGCGTACGCTGATGCAGGTAGTGCCGGTGCGGTGGGCGGTGCTGGAGCCGCGCGGGGCGGTGCACCGGCGTGGGGAGGTGCGAGCAACGGCCGTGGTGCAGCCGGAGCGTCGGCTGCAGCGCCCGCGCCCGCACGCACCGAGTACGTCGACTGCATCATCTCGGACGTGCGCGGCTCGTCGTCGCCCGACGAGCCGTTCGGATTCAGCGTGCAGGTGCTCGACGACCAGATCCAACAACTCGAAACGCTCATGCACGAGTTCTCGCTCCACCACCAGTCGCCCATCGCTGCTGGCGGCGCGCACTTCATCCCACGCGCCGGCGACCTGGTATCGGCCAAGTTCAGCCAGGACGGAGCGTGGTACCGCGCGGTGATCCGCAAGGTGTCACCGGGGCTCAAGGAGGCGCAGGTCTCGTTCATCGACTATGGCAACCAAGAAAGCGTGTCGTTCAAGAACCTGCGTCCGCTGGATGCGGCCAAGTTCGGACGTACGCGTCTGGCGGCGCAGGCCAAAGAGGCACGGCTGTCGTTCATCCGGCTGTACGATGGCAAGCAGGCCGAGTACGTCGAAGAGGCCCTGGACCGATTCCGCGCCATCGCCGCAGAGGGCCGGAAGATGATCGCCAACATCGACTATACCGAGCCGGGCACCAACATCATCCACGTCAGCCTGTACGATCCCGAAGCGCCCGAGATTGGAAAGAGCCCCGAGCTGGGGTGTGTCAACTACGAGCTGGCACGCGAGGGGTATGCGCTGCTCGACACCAGCGTGCGCTACTGGAAGAGCTACCCCGCCATGACCAAGGCACTTGGCTCTGCACTCGACGAGGCCCGATCCAGACACCGCGGCTGCTTCGAATACGGTGACCCCACCGAGGACTAGACTTGATCCCCCCACTTCACCGACAAAATGGCACATTGCCGCGGCATCATTGGTAAAGAGCTTGATTTCGTGCGTGGTGTGGGCATTACCAGCGACGGTAGGGAAGGAACTTGCCGTCGAGAGTGATCTTCACGCGGTCTTCGCCCTGGGCGCCCTTGACCTTGTCCACGTGACCCTCAAAGTCGATGGCCGACATGATGCCGTCTCCAAACTAAGCGCCGTGTCAGATGAGCTGAGTGAGCCTTTGCTTCTGCCNGGGGGGGTGATGGAAAGCGTACCTTTTCATGGATGAGGTGTTTGAGGGGGTATCCGTAGACGACGAGGACCTCGTACAGCCTATAAAGAACGGGGTCCTGGGGTGGGAAATCGCCGAGACCACGGTGGGGGAAGTAGTCCTCGCCAAACGCCTCGTCGAGGTATCGCTGAGGCAGGTTGAGTGCAGCTGAGAGTTTGGCGACATCGCTAGCATCCGGTTTGGCCTGGCCGTAAAAGATGGCGGCCACATACCATTCATCCCTACCCACTTTGGTGGCGAGGTCCGCAAACGTGAGCGACGATTTCGTCTTGGCCGCATGCAGCGCCGCATAGATCGGCGGAAGCGTAGAGAGGATCTTGGGCGTCTGGATTTGACCGGAAGAAGACGAAGACGACATGGCGGCAGTAATTCTCGTAAGAGCTGGAGATGTGGTGAAGGGGAAGATTGCGAGAGGGGGCGAGGTTATATGAGGAAGTGCTTATCTCGGGAGAGGAGGAGTGTGGAGGATGCACGGACGTTCTTGCTCATTCATCAGAGCCCGGCGCGATAGGACCCTGCGCTCCATCTACCCCACAGTAGCGAGGCCATCCTTATCTCGGCCTTTTCCCGCACATTGACGGATCGGCGTTTGGTGCTCGACTTCGGTCGGAGGCGTTGAGACGCCGTCTGCATCGGTTATGTTCGGCCGCAACACTGCACCACAACAGCGCCTTTGGTCGCACGCACTTTCACAACATTCACGCCGCGGACAAACAGGCTTTCTCGAATCCTATGCGTCTCCTGGTTCCGGCCACTTCGTATTGCATTTCCAGCGCTTTATTCGCGAGATCGACATGGCGTGCGGTCCTGTGCGCGCCTACATGGTGCCCTCGACAGCGGGGACGCCGTCGATGAGCGACTCCCACGGCTTCTGGTTGCGCGTAAAGATCTGAGCGACGGGCGTGCCGATGCTGTCCTTCCAGCCATCGCTCTTGGCAAACAGGCCGAGCTTGATGATGGCCAGCCCAGCGCGTGTGGGGCTGACCGTCTGGACGGGCGAGCCGCACTCGGGGCAGAAGTGGCGCTTGGAGTTGTTGCCGCTCGTCGTGGTCGTGTCCGTGTCTGCCCAAGAGTTCCAAGCTGCATTAGTCGACGCTTTCGAAGGTGCATGTAGGGAGGAGGTGACTTACAGGCTTTGGTCTCGCCGGTGATCTCGACCTTGTCCTCAGGCACGATGGTCACGAGCGAGTAAGCTGCACCACCCACAAAGCATCAGACGCAGTCAGTACGTGCGGTTCGGACAAAACAGATTGAGAAAGTGAACGTACGAGAGCCAGCGGTCTGTTGGCAGTTCCTGCACACGTATCGTCAATCCAAAAAGGCAAAACGTCAGCTACAGCTACCATCATAACCTGCTTGTCAAGCAGTGGGGACTACATACGTGCATCGGCAGACGACGGGCTTGAGCGGCAGCGCGTCGTCCTTGACGCTGACCTGGACCTTTCCGCACAGGCACGATCCGTTGAGAGGCATATTGAGCTGGGTGAGATCTAGGTTAAAGCTGGTCAAGTTGGTGGTGGGGCTTGCTTCGACAGTCCTCGCCGACAGAGGGGAGCATTGAAATATAAGAGGATGTCGCCCGACACCCCCGGCATGTCACGCACAGACCGCTGCGTCAGCGCGGCAAACGCGGCCGGTGGGGTGCGGGTAAACCGTGACTGTCCAAGATGGCAGCGCCGCAAATACATTGGTCGTGCTTGGGCTATGTACGCTTCTCTCAAGCCGGTGAGACAAGACGTGGGAGAGGCTTAGTGGTTTGGCGTGAGATTGCAACGTGTCTTCAGACGAAGAGCGGCGCCTAGAAAAATCTTGAGGTCGTGGGTTCGATTCCCACCTTCCACTCAATATTATTTTTGCTCCTCTCGACGCTACGGATCAGTGGGTTATGTTGAGCTACCTTTGCTTTTTGCTATTTGACAGTCACACGTTGGTCTGCACAGCAAGCTCAAGCCCGATGATGGCCGTGAGCGTGAGCTTATGATAGAATTGTTATAGTAGCGGAGGCGGGGATAGGCTCGCTTGGGCTAGGAACGCGGGTCTGGATCGCGATCTATTTTGGCATTTCGAGCGTCGCGCTGCAACGCCGGTGTGAAAGCGCGCGGGCGAGGCGGTGGGCTTGTGGAAATATTCCCATGCGCTGCAAGCAGGGCTGCAAGCAGGGGCTCGCCTGCTGCCATCCGCGTCGCCGTATGAAAAACGACCGTGCTCTGCGTGGCTGCTGCGAGGGTCAGGCCGATTCGATTTCGAACCCCGCCGCCGATTCGCCCTATCGTCCTCGTCGTCCCTCTTCTGCCGCCGCGTCCATACAGCTATCAGATGCGAGCAGTGATGTCGATACGATGCTGCAGCGCCATGTCTCGACTCGCTGAATGGCTGGCGGTGGCATTGCGGGGGAACTGCGACAGCAGCGACTAATGCGGGCGTGGCGAGGGCAGAACGGAGGGACCGGAGGAATGCGCAGAAAATCCCCCAGGAAAATCGCCCACCCGCGGCGAATTTGGAAATCCAAAAAGGCATTTCAGACGGTGAGAGGCAGAGAGAGAAAGAGAGAGGGCAATGTTTGGCCCGCTGTGGCAGGGCTTTGGCGCGCTGCTGCTGCTGCTGATGCTGCTGATGCCCGACGATGCGAAGCGAGGTAACCGCTCTGCAGCCGTGTGGACATGATCATCGTCTGCTGCCTCGCTGCCACTCTGCCATTTCCACCTCCGCAAACCCGCTTTTCCAAAGCACCACTTTTTGACACCCCGCTGCCACCATCTCCCTCTCTTCTTCTTCCACTTCTCGCTCTAGCCCTCGCTCACCATCACGTTTCGCCATCAACGTCGTTGCGATCCATCGTATCGCGCTTCGCGTCTGCACACGCTCGGGCCCCTCGTCATTACCCCGGCTTCATTTTCGGCCCGCACTCCCGCACGCTCGTGTTACGCGACTCGCCATCCAGTTTGGCGTCGACTTGGACGCCGATCGACATCACTTCTAGAAAGATGAGGTTCATGCTGCCATCGTTGGCGCTTTTGTTCGTACTGGTGGCGGCGGTGGCTGCGCAGTTGCAGGCGGACTCGGTATCGCAGCCATTCGAGCGTTCGCTCGACGATGCGGCGCTGCTTTCGGAGCGGGCACTTCTCGAGGCACGACAGGCAACCAACACGACCGCCTCGTCCACTGCCTCTGCACCCGAGTCCACCGCTTCTGGCTCGGCACCCGCCGGTGGCGATGCGACCATCACGGAATCCACATGCTCGATGGTCAACCACCTCGCGGTCAACCAGCAGGCATCGTGGGGCAACGGCTTCGTCAACACGTGCTGCGGCTTCGCACAGGGCACACAGTGCTGGTACCGTCGTCAGCAGGACGTGTCTCCGCAGGACGAATGCGAGATCCCCAGCTGCTCAGATCTCGAGAGCGAAGACAAGGCAAAGATGATCGGATTCGTCCCACTCAATTCCACCAACGGCAGCGGCAAGTACGGAAACATCTTCCTCAGCCTCGGCATGCTCTCGCCCGGCATGATGAATCTGCCCGCCGTCGGAATCACCACAATGGTCGCTGCGTCCGCGCTGCTCTTCACCACCTTCCTTTAGGCGCACACCCACGCGATCGGACCGCCCCTTCGCGTTCTCGCACGGCTTGGGACGACGTACGCCCTCACACCTTCGCTTCGACTCCCCTCCCCACACTCACTTTTTCTTTGCCCCAGCTCGGAACACTCGCTTCTCTTTTGTTTGGACCCACTTGTACTCTTACTGCGCCTGCTTGCTTGCTCTTATCTTTGTACGGAATCGTTTCGTCCTCGTTGGTATTGCGTGTGATCAGAAAGAATCGGCGTCGCTCTGTTCCGACGCGCTCTCGACGTCGATGAACTCGCCGTCGCTCCCGCGTTCTCTCTGCAGGCCGCTGGAGCCGTGGGCGGACTTTTTCTTGGCGCCCGCGCGTCCCGCCGCACTGCTGCGGTGCACGCTCGTCACCTGCACGTCGTCGTCGTCGTCGTCGTCATCGTCGTCCGAGACGGCGTGCGGCTTGCGCGACTGCGACAGGCTCGTGTCCGAATCGTCGTCTGAATCAATCACCATCGCAAATGTGCGTGGCTTGCTGGCCGAGCTCGCGCCGAGCTTGATCTTGCCCCCTGCGCCGTTCGCGGGACGCGCAGACCCACCCGCTGCCAGAGCAACATCATCGTCATCGTCCGAAATCTCACCCTCTTCCTCAGCCGCATTAGTATCCGCTCCCGAACCGCTTCCGTCGGAACCGGCTGCATACGAGCCACCACCGTCATCATCGTCTTCGTCGTCGTCGTCTTCATCGTCGATGAGGCGTTTGCGCTTGTTCGCTCCGCTCGCCTTGCCGTTGAACGGCTTGGGTGTGCCGCCGTTGGACTTGGAAGCCGAGAGAGATTTGGCGGTGGAAGCAGTGTTGTTCGGATTGAGTGGCGAGCCGGTGAGGACGGTCGAGTTGCTCAACCCAGAGGGTGCAAAGGTCTGCGACGAGTACGAGCGATTCAATCCGCCTGTGGATGTGGCCAAGCTGTCGGTGGGGGGCGGAGTGGGTGAGCTGGTCTTGATGCGCTTGGTCATGCGTGCATTGGCGACCGAGCTGGCTGCGAGCGGACTGTTGGCGCGCTTGGTGCCATTCTTGCCGTTCTTGCGCTTGGCAAAGCTGTCGTCGTCCAGATCGCTGCCGTATCGGGGCGTCGCCGCGCCGCTCTGGCGATTGGACGTAGTGGCGCTCGTCGTCGCCTTGGCATTTCGCGCGGCGCCCTTGCGCCCGCCTTTGGAGCCCATGCCCATGCACTTGGCAAGATGCGTCGCATATCGATTCGAACTCACCTGCCGCGAGCACACCAGACACTCGAACAGCGGATTGTTCGAGTAGTAGTCCGGCTTGGACGACGAGGCACCGGGCACAGGCGTTCCAGAGCGCGAAGTCGGAGTGGTGGTCTCAGCGGCGCCGATGACGGCCGAGTTGGTGGCAGTCTGCCCGGCAGCCGGCGTGTGCGCCTGGCAGCGTACGCCGCAGAGCTTGCATATGGACCGCGCCCGCTTGATCTTGGCATGCGTGTGGATGGCGGTGTCGAGCACGATCTCGCGCAGGAACGAGTCGAGGAATTTGGCGGCTATGAGCGCCTTTGGATCGTTGGTCATTGTGTGAGTCGATGCGTGTGGTGATGCGAGGGGCGGCGGATGATGGCATGCACGGATCGAGAAGCAACACCATCCACTGCCTGACCCTGAAGCGGCGGGTTCCTCGGCAACCACAATCATCCCGCCTGCCAGAGGCTTCTGCCTCCGCCAGCCTGCTGGTCGCAGCGATGTGGAGTCGTGCGAGTCTGCCAAATTTTCCTAAGAGCGAGAACATGTCGGCGTAACATTTTGCTAATTCGCTCAGCCGCCTTCATACTCCCCACCTCTCTGGCACCCAGAAGCAGGAACAGCCGTTTCTATCACCACCATTTGTGTGGGTCGGTCAATTTGGCGGCTAATTCGATGTCGAAGCGGATGTGATTTACCTAAAACAAGGTTCGGCGACCGGGGAAGCGATGCAGAAGCGACGGGCACAAGCCGGCAGGATAAGGCTATGTGGCGTGCTGTGTGGATGCGTCTGCCAGCCCTCTCCATATGCTCCAGAGCCAATGTGCGGAATAGAGAGCATGGAACGACCGGCCAGGCCGAACGCTCTAAAAAAATCCGTCCGAGCCGAGACGTCCCAGATTCTCTCCGCCCGCGTACGGCTCTTGCCGATTCTACTCCGCTTCCACTTGGCTGCATGTCAAGCACTTCACACTTACTCTGCTACCGTACACAGTCGCCTTGAAAGGGGCACGCAAGTCCTACAATTCAGTGTGCCAGCCATCGTTTGTTTGAAGCGACATCGGCGTGCCAAGACGAGATGAGGTTTTCGATTGGGGCCTAATCTTGAGGCGCGGGTCCAGCGCAGGGTCGACGCGGCCATGTGCAGTCGAGAAAAAAGGAAAGCAAACCTGCAGGGAAGAAAGGCGAGTGGAGAGGTGGAGTGGGAGAGGAATTTGTGCCGTGGGGCAACTCGACAGCCGACTCATGCAAAAAAAAGGCGGAGCGCCTCGTGAGGCTTGGCGAGGCGAGCTGCGGATCGTCGACATGTCCGGCCGTGCCGATGATTCATCGTCGAGCACATTCGGCCGTCCCTAGAGGCTGCGCTTCCTTCTCCCACGCCATCACCTCATCTGGTCAAGACAAGCGGAGCCGGATCCCTCGTTCGTCGGCGACGAGCCGAACAGGCGCCCATCGAGTCGCTTCTTCGCTCCTTCTTGCTTTCATAAACGTCGCACTCGCGGTCCATTTGCGGATCGACATTAGCGATGGCATTCACCGTGGTCTAGCAGTGGCGTCTCGCCCCAGAACATTCCCTCGCCCTCATACAGCTCGAAACGTGCTCGTTGCATCTTCGGTCCATCCGAGAGCGACGTCCTAGCAGCCGCACACCATGTCGCCTCCTGCCAGCGTCACCATCACCCAGCTCGAGCCTGTCATCTTCCTGCGCGGGCAGTCGTCGTCGGGCGAAGATGCACGCGGACGCAGACGCCCCGTCAACTTCGATGCGCCACCCTCCCAGCTTCGCGCACTCGTCATGGTCCATCTGCCCAAGCCATCCAAGATCAAGGAAATCTCCATCTCGCTCAAGGGCACCGCCAGGACCGACTGGCCCGAGGGCATCGGCCCCAACCGCGTCGAGATGGTCGAGGAGATGACCATCTTTCAACACAGCATCAGCCTCTTCAACGCAAAGGACGCCAACGACTCGGTGCCACGCGCTCGTCCCAGAAGCAACTCGGTCGGTCCAGGCATCGGTCTCCAGGAAGATGTCGATTGGGACTACGCCGCGGCCGCCGCCAGTGCAAGAACTTCCGCCAGGCAGCCTTCGGGCAGCGTGCCGCGCCCTATCAATACTACCGGCCGCAGAGACGAAGAAGGTTCCAAGAACTCAGGCAGTCAAGGCCAATCGGGCTCCAATCTCGCTCGTCAGATTGCCCTCGGTGCGGCCAAGGCGGGCTCCGCCATTATCCCGCCCACGCTGCGCCCGGACTTGAGTCACATGAAGCTTCGAGACTCGCCCACCAGTCCCTCCCACCTTCGCCCCCCGGCCCGTCCTCCGCTGCAACGCACCGGCTCCGGCACTACCTCCTGGACCTCCGAGCAGACCAGCCCCGATCTCGAGGCAACTTCGCCGCGTCTGTCTCCCACGGCCAACTTTTCGGGGTCCTGGACGCGAAGCGGACCCTCTACGAACGGCTCAGCAACATCACCGCAGGACCTGTCCCGATGGCACGACTACTTTGAGTCGCAGGGCTACGAGCGTCCTCCGCTTTATGCGCCTCGATCGGCTCCACTCCAGGGCTACGACAGCTGGCCTACCGAGCTGCCTTCGGACGCTTCGGCGACCGCGCCCCAGGTCGCTGGCCCTGACAGTCAAGCTGCCTCGTCGCTTGGCAGCGTCTCGTCGAGCGCCGCACCGAGCACCAGCACAACGCCTCTTGACCGCAGCGCTGCCAATTCGGCTCAGGGGCTCGCGCGCCTCAACGCCGCCCTGACTGCTGTAGCACAGCCTCGGTCCAAACCCGGCGCAGCCGTGCACTCGGCTTCGCCTCCGTCTACAGCGCCGGGCAGGAGCATTCTCCACACCCAGTCGCCAAGCGCACCTCGCTCCAAAGAGCAGACGGTGCGCTTTGATCCGCAATCTCGCGTCGACAATGCGGCGGCAGCGGCCAGCAACGCATCCAACAACAAAGCGAGCGGTACGCGCAGCAATCCGTCGAGCCGAAGAAGCTCGATGGAGCTGGACAAGAACAGCCTCAAGGGCAAGTCAAGCAGCAAGGCTGGTCATGATACCAAAGGCAAGAAGCCGGGTCTCAAGAACCTCATCAACGGCCTGCTGAAGGAGCCCGCGGCTGATTCCAAGACGCCAAGCGAAGAGCCAGCTCTGTCGGACTCCAAGGAGTTCAAGAAGGGCACCTATACGTACCCGATTAGCATCTCGCTGCCGTCCAACTTGCCTCCCACGCTGCACGCCGACTTCGGCTTCAATCGATACATCCTGCGTGCGCACGTGGTGCGCTCGGGTGCGCTGACGCCCAACCTTGTCGCCGAGCGCGAGGTGACGCTCATCCATGCGCCGGACGAAGACGCGCTCGAAGAGACGGACGCGATCGTAGTCGAGCGATGCTGGGAGGATCTGCTGTCGTACATGGTTGTCCTCAGCGGCAAGAGCTTCCCCGTGGGCCAAAAGATCCCGTTGTGGCTCAAGTTTGTGCCTCTGGGCAAGGTGAAGATCTATCGGATCCTGGCCACGCTCGAGGAGCGCACCGACTACTTTGCCAAAGGAAGACGCGTGGCGAGGCACGAGGTGCCGCGAAAGTGGACGTTGCTCAAGATCGGCCACACGTCAAGCGCCGAGCCCATCCTGCCCGTCGTGTCGGACAGCGCAGACGCTTTGGACAAGAGTCCGCTGGCCCCGCTCGCACGTGCTGCTGCAAACGAGGATGAGGATTCGGACGCGCTGGCGTCCATCTTGGACCCTACGGGGCCTTGGGAGCTGGCGACCGAGCTGCCCATCCCTGCGGGTGCGTCGACGCGTATCAATCTGAGCACCAACCACTCCAAGTCGAACATCGCCGTGCACCATCTGGTGCGGCTGTCGATCCGCGTCGGTCGATCGCAGGGCGAATGGCAGGTGTGGAGCGATGGTGCGGCCAACGCGAGCTCTTCGGCCAAGCCAGCACCGCAGCTGTACGACATTATCATTGAGGCACCCATCACACTCAACCACAGCCACACGGCGAGCGAATGGACGGCGCTGCCCAACTACTGGAGCCTGCCTGCCGAGCCCGAGGATGCGGACTCGGCGCGCGCGAGTCCCGAGAGAGAGTCGGCGCCCACACGACCAGCGCTGCCCTTGCCGGTGCTCACGAGCAGGACGGGCCTGGTGGGGCAAAGTCATAGCACGACTCCCTCGCGTGCGGGGCCCGGAGGCGAAAACTCGCCGACCGGCTCGCCGCCCATGTCTCGCAATCCGACGCAACTTTCGCGACGCTGGCTTGCGCTCAGCGCAGACCAGAATGCGCGAGACGGATCGGCGTCAGCAGGTTCGAACGGTGGCTCGGTTCCTCCACCTGCGTACCAGGCCAACGCAAGGACCGGCGAAAGGACGGTGGCCTCGACGAGCATGAGTCGGTCGCCTTCGACTGCCGATACCAGCGAGGGTGCCGTGCGCGATGCGACCGGTCCACCAGCGTCGACCCAGGCGGCAAACGCGGTCGGCATGGCGCACTAACATAGCACGAGGTCATGCTCTTAACGCCGCAACACTGTACTTTTCATCGTCACATTCGGAAGGACAATTGCAGGAAGATCGTGGAACAGGAGGTTGTTTGATAAAACGTGTGACTCGGGACGATTGCAAGCTCGGGCGTAGGGGATTACAGGCGAGTGTTGTGACCAAGGGTACTTCGTTCCGTAAGGCCTGCCAACGTGCGGACTTTCGCAAGAGCGGCCGGCGGTACGATTCGTCCAGCAGCAATCCCGCGGCGAGTGCAGAGGATGGGCATCCGCGGAAGGCGGGGATCGGTCGAGGATCGGATTTTAGGCGCTTACGGCAGATGTGTTCCGAGCAAAGTCAGAGATCCGCGCTCGGCGAGACAGGGAAAAGGGTCCAAAGTTGAGAGCGTGAAACGCGCGTTCATCATTGCTTCCGCACCAACACCCGCACTCACACCCAACATCACGCCCGACCGTATAAAGCTTGCCCCTCTGGCACACTTGCTCTGATTCTGTCCATACCCAATACACATACCCCTCATCCGTATACCCACCCCTCCCAAATACTATGTCGAGTAACACACTGCAGAACGTCGTGGTGGTAGGCGCAGCAGCGGCGGGCCTGACGACGGCGCAGTCGGTGGCCAAGTCGCTGCCGGACACGCACCGCGTGGTGCTCATCGAGGCGAACCCCGTGGCGTACTGGTCGATCGCAGCACTGCGTGGTGCAGTGCTGCCTGGATTCGAGGATCAGGTCGTGCACGAACTTTCCGCCAAGACCGTCTTTGGTGCTGGGTCGCGTCACATTGTGCTGACGGGAACGCGTGTCGTAGACCTTGGCAGCGACCACGTCGTCGTCTCACGCGACGTCACCAGCGAGGTCTCTGGCAGCACGCTCGACGCAGAGGGGCGCACGAAGATTCCGCTGGATCGTGCGGTGCTGGGTCTGGGCTCCGACTACGGCTTTCCGACGCGCGCAGCAACAACGGCCAAGAGCGCCGACGACATCAAGGCGCACTTCATCAAGATGCAGAACGACGTCAAGAACGCACAGGACATCCTCGTGATCGGAGGTGGACCGACAGGCGTCGAGTTTGTGGGCGAGGTGCTCGACGTGCATCCGAACAAGAAGATCACGCTGCTCACGCGCGGTGCTGCGCTCGCCAGCTCGGGCGACGACGCATTCGCCGGAATGTCCAAGAAGCTGCTCTCGCAGCTGCAGGCCAAGGGCGTGCGCGTCATCCTCAACGACTCGATCCCCAAGGACCTCACCACCGGCCCCATCGACGCCACCTCCTTCACCACCTCCAAAGGCGTCGAGCTCACCGCCGACTACGTCATGGTCGCGCTCGGTGGCCGACCCAACACGGAGTGGGTCAAGTCTAGCCACCCGGAACTCGTGGACAGCAAGGGCTACCTCAAGGTCACCGACGCCTTTGTGCTCGATGCGCCCGGCTGGGAGAGGTACTACTCGCTCGGCGATGCGGCCAACACGCCGGGGCTCAAGACCAACTACATTGCCACACAGCACGCGCCGCTCGTGGCGCACAACGTCGTGGCCGCCATCAAGGGCACCTCGACCGATAAGCTCAAGAGGGTCAACGGCGCACCGGGCGCACTCATGGTGGTGCCCATCGGCAAGGGCGGCGGTGCGGGATACCTCGGATTCGCCACCGTAGGCAGCTGGGTCGCCAGCTTCGCCAAGGGCAAGACGCTCTTTGTGTCCAAGTTCCACGGATCATTCAAGGCTTAGCGCCATCACACCGTCCACAGCCCAAAGTCATCATAGAATCGAAAAATTAAGCATTTGCATGAAACTCTTTGCATCACGGACATCTACAGACGGGAAGCTTCGCCGCGCTTGGCGGCGGCACGGAGGAGGGGGCCGATTTCGGCGTTGTACCAGTCTGGCACGCCCTTGCCGATGTTGTTGGAGCCGTACTTGTACACACCGACCTTGTCGATGGTCTCGAGGTTGGGGATGGCGCCGGGGTGGTTGAGCGGGTTGGCCTCTGCGTCGGCCATGAGCTGCTCGTACACGCGGCCGTCCTTCCTGCCGAGACTGCTGCCGAGCTCCCAGTCGAGCCATCCGAATCCGTCCGAGAGACCGATGACCTGCGGAAGGATCTCGTTGATGAGCTCGCGGATCGCCTGCTCGAGCAGGATCACCGACTCGGGCGTAAGGATGGCCTGGCCGTTGGCATAGCCTGCCAGCGTACGGCCGGCACTGGCCGGCAGCACGAGAGGCGTAATGTTGCGCGAGAGCGCCACGAGCGCATGCAGCGTGACGAGCTTGTTGAGCCACTTGACCTCGCGCTCGCCAAACGACTCGGCATCATCGCGAACGCCCTCGCCGAACCACAGATCGACGACAAACTCGCCGTGCGACTTGGCCACCTCGATGCACTCGTACGAAAGGTCGCCAAACTTGCGGCCCGCCTTGATCTCGGCACGCAGATCCACCACCAGCTGCGCCGCACGCAGACCGAGCGCCGCCGAGTACACCTCGGGCTTGTACCAGTCGCTGGCGCTCTTGGGCTGGCTGAAGGGGATGGCGCCCTTGGTGCCGATGGCGCGCAGGAAGCCCGAGGTGGCAGCCACCTTGGTGCCGCTGTTCTGGTCCAGCTCGCCCGAGATCTTGAGCATGGCACGGCCCACCTGCGAGGCGAGCACAATGTTGTCGCCCTCGTACGTCACCGCGGGTGCCTGCTCGGGGAACACCGAGGTGAAACCAGCGTAAGCCGAGAAACCGTGACCACCGAGGGCCTGACGGCACTCCTCGATGCCGTCGAGCGCCTGCTTGGTGCAGTAGGCCTTGAGCGAGGACGAGGCGACGTGGACGTCGGCGAGCAGCTCGGTGTTGCCCTCCTCGAGTTGCTGCGCCATGTCCTCGTACAGCGTCCTCATGCGGCGGCCCGCAAGGATGTAGGCGTACGCCTTGGCGAGCAGCGGCAAGATACGGCGCGCAGTCGAGGGGTACGACAGCACCGAGCGCTCGACATCGTTGATGTCCGTCGACGAAGGGTCGCGGAACTGACGACGCACGAGCGCGTAGCGTGTAGCGATCGTGACACCGCGCGAAAGCATCCAGCCGGTACGGTCGATCATCTGCGAACGGATAAAGATCATGCCGCCGTAGCTGAGCTTGTCGCTGGGCGGCTTGACGTACTCGCCGCCCTTCTTGACCTTGGCGTGCTTGGAGAGCATGTGGTCGCGCGGGATCTTGAACTGGTTGAATCGCGCCCAGCCGTTGTCGAGACCGCCAAACGCACCGTACGTCTTGGGACCAATGTCACCGGCGACGATGCCGTCGAGCAGCTTGCCGGAGTCCATGTCACGCAGCTGGGTGAAGAAGAGGTGCGGGCCGTAGCGCTTGCCGTGGATGATGAGCTGCGCCTGGACGACGCCGTGGGTGGCGGTGGTGCCGAGGCCGCCGGCCCACCACTTTGTCGAGGTGAGCGTGGGCGAGTGGAGGATGAAGCTGTCCGAGGCGTCGTCGTAGGTGCACGTCGTCTCGAGCTGCTGGACGTTGGTGCCGTGACCGAGCTCGGTCTGCATGTAGCAGCCCATGATCTCGTGGTTCATGGCCTTGTTACCCCATCGCTCGATCTGCTCTGCGTTGCCCTGGCCAAAGATGACGGGCACGAAGGCGACCCAGTGGATGGTGATGGGCGACTGGAGGTCGAGCGTGAGCGCGGCCTCGACGACCTCGTGCGTGGTCCACTCGTGCTTCTCGGCGAGCTCGAGCAGGCGGCGGCAGGCAAAGTGGGACTGGCGCATCTGCTGCTCGCGGTTCATGTGGATCATGCGCTTCTTCCAGTTGCCAAAGATGGGGTCCTTGGCGAGCGTGTTCATGACCTTCTTGCGCGAGTCGTTGTCGATGCGCGAGTCGCGCAGCACCTCCTCGATGCGCTCGGGCGCAAAGTCGGCGGCGGCACGCGCCTTGGCGATGTCCTGCGACGTACGCGCCGCCACCTCACCCATGGGGATGGAGAGCGTGACCTTGGCGGCGGGCCAGTCGCCCGTCGGCTCGTTGAGCGGCTGGAAGGTGGTCGACTTGGGATCCGGGTTCGACATGTTGACGAGCGCTGTGTGTGGTGGAGAAGCCGAGACGGTGCAGGGATGGTGCGGCTGCTTTAAGCGGTGTGTCGTGGAAGATTTGCGGCAAGGAAGTAAAACAGCACTCTAAGGGGACGAAGGGGGGACACGATCTGCGGGATGAATGGAGAGAAGAGGCAGGGGGGTGACGGACGGTAGGGTTGAGTGGGACTGGGCCGAGGGGGGTCTATATGAAGTCTGGCCGGTCGGTGTGGAAGGAAGCGTGCTAAGGGAGAGGGTCCAACACGGTGAAAGCCAGCTTGGCTCGGTGGAGAGTGCGCGGGGAAGCGACGCCAGGATGCGAGGCAGATCCACACTCGAGCCTGAAAGCGGCTTGCTTGTGCGGCGTTAAGCGCGTCGAGGCAGGCGTGTGTGTTGAGATGGGGGCAGGACAAATGCGGGGTGCAGCGGCGCCAAGTGAAAATACGGACCAAGCTGACCTCACACAACATCAACGCATCGCTCACGCACGCTGAAAGCGCCAGTGTGGCGCGAATGGCGAGCGCCTCGAGAGATGGCTCGGTCAGAGATCTTGACACACAGCCTGCACACGCCCCAAGTCTCCGTCCCGTAAGCTCTGCAGGCTTGCAAGGAAAAGATGCCGAGCAGGGGTTGACCGAAAGGCGTGGCGAACAAGCGAGGAAGCGAGGAAGAATAAGCGGGGCGAGACGCGCGCCCCCCGTCCATCCCCACAAGATGGAGGCGACGACAGGGTCTCGTTGGACAAGCACCGGTCAAAAAGTGGCCGATCCATAGCCGGACAGCGCGTGCTCACTCAAGCAAAGCGAGCTTGACCAGCCGAGCGCGACAGAGCGCCTCCCAACAAGTCGGAATATTCACAGCACCTCACCGCAGTCGGCAGCCGCGCGGTCCACAATTTCGAAAAAATATCCATTGTTACATCGGCGGGGTTGGTGTCGAAGCGGTTTCGAATCAGCGCTCCTTGCGGCTGAGCAGACGCTGGAGGCCGTCGAGATGCACAATGTGGCCGCGGACTCGGCGTGCATAGCCACCAATGTAGATGACCGTCGCCAGGGCCACGGCTCCAATCGAGACGGTGGCAGCGTACTTGAACTCGGATGGTCGCCGCCACGCCAGCGTCAGCGCATAGTGACCGAGGTCGAAGACGTTTTGCAGCGAGAACTGCAGCGCCATGAGCGCGTTCTTGCGACCTGCATCCTTGCCCAGCTGTTCGGGAGAGAGCGCGGTTTGGAGCATGGCGAGCTGCGCCAGGTCAAACGACCACAATCCGACGCGTGACAGAGCGAGGCCCGAGAAGAGGAGTCCGGTGTTCCAACTCGGGCGTCGCTTGTCCGACAGTCCGAACCGATCCTGCGGTGCGCCGGTGATCCATAGCGACACCACCGCCGGTACCAACGGCACCAGCTCCGCCACGAGCGAGTACGAGCCCGTGCGCACCAGGCCGAGCTTCTTCTCCATGACCGGCATCACAAACGTGCCGATTAAACCCGTCACCACGCCTACAGCACGCATGCCGGCAATGAAGGCGTCGCTGTAGAGCGTCTCGGACTTGAGGTATGCGATGAACGTCGGGTCGAACGACAGCACCGACATGTACAGCAGCGAGATGCACACCGACGTCAGAAAAATGGGAAGCTGGACAAAGAGCTTCCAGTCGCGATACTGCTGCGCGATGTCGTTGACCACCGACTTGGTTACGCGTCTGCACAACTCGCCCAATCGTCCGCCTTTGCCTTTCCCGCCATGCTGGTCGTTGGCCGTGGAGTGGGCTTGCTTTGTCGCTGCGCTGGCTGTCTTGTTCGCTAGGGCTTCCCTTTCGTTGGTTGCCAGAGTCGGAAAGCGGCGATAGACGATGCCGACAAAGACGAGTTCGAAGAGCGCCGTGACCGCGCTAATCGCGAGGAGCACTACGCTCGCCAGCCGGTAGCTCATGGCCGATGTGAGGGCAGACACAAAGAGCGGGCTGACAAGCTTGGAGATAAGGTCGATGCGGCGCATGATTGCATTGAGGCGCGTGAGCCTTGCCGAAGAGCCGTCGCTGATGATCGTCACCCACTCGCGCTCCACCGCGACGCTGACGCCGACATTGGAGAGCATGACCCCGATGCCCAGCAGCGTAATGCCGGCAAAGATGGCCCAGGGTGCCGCATTGGCTGCTGCATCTTGTCGGCCTCGTCCGCCGTTCTCTGCTTGTTCGCGCAGCGATGCCGACGAGAAGAGCACGAGAAAGAGCGCATAGGATGCACCCACGAGCAGCTTCTGCGAGAGGATCATGGCTCGCAGCGTGCGCAGCTTGGTGTGCGAGTACGTGTCGATGATGCGGCCGACGTTGTTCGAGAAGAGGATCGCGCCAGCCGTCGTCACAAAGCCATAGATCGATGCAGGCAGCAGCGTGTTTGTGAACAGCTCGACCATCATGAGTGGATAGGCGAACTCGGCCGATCGGAAGCCCCACGAGGAAGACGCATGCTGGATCGCCAGCAGAAGCGTTCCCTTGCCGTCGAGATCGCTTGGACCTGACGCTGGTGTCGAACCGAACGCCTCTTCTTGCTCGTCGTGCTCGTCTTGCTCTTCTTCCGCAGCGTGTTCAGACCGGCGGCTGCCAGCGTGTGATGCTCGACGCTCGCCTACTGAGTTGCTGCTCGCCGTCCGCTCGATGCGGCTCACCGGTTGCAGCTCGATGGCTTGGCCGCTATCGTCGACGGCATCCCGCGCCCGCTCCACCACCACGGATGAGGCGGTGACACTCATGATCTTGTCGACGATGCACTGCCACGATGAGGAGGCACTGCCGTCGAAGAGCGAGGCGATGGAGGTGCCTTGGAAACGCATGAAGAGGCCCCGCATGAGCTCATATCGAAATTCGACTTTTTTGGCAGCTGCTCGTGGCTGACGAGAGCCGCGGATGTGCAGATGCAGCCACGCGCGCCGTCGAGGGCTGTTAGGGCCACATCGAGGGCGGTGATTGACAGCTGCATCAGCGCTCCGCGGACGGGGCTGTGGGATTCTCCCCCACGCGGAGGCTTGGCAAGCGTGGGCAAACGGGTTCCGCTGCATGCGAATTTGAACGGGCGTCTTTCTTCCGGTTGAACCCTGTGGCCGACAAAAAGGCCGACAGACCAACACACGCGACTCGTGCTACCTCTCTCCCTCCATCACCATCATTCCCGGTGCTTCATCTCAACCCCTCGGCCCTCAAGCATAACCATGCCGGGCGCTTCGGAGAGAACGCCTCTGCGGTCCTCGCCGCCACGCAATGGCAACGCCAAGAACGGACAGTATGGCGCTGTGCCTGACCAAGATGGTGCCGGCGCCGGCGCCGGCGCCGGCGCTGCAGACGCTCCGGAACCGGAACACCCTCAAGGCTTCAAGTTCGCGGTCATCATCGCGAGCCTGTGGGTGGTGCTGTTCATGGCAGCGTTAGACGGCACCATCGTGGTCACGCTGATCTCGTCCATCTCGTCGTCGTTCAAGGCGTCGGAAAAATCGGGCTGGCTCAGCGCATCCTATCTGCTGTCGGTGTGCGCCTTTTCGTCGATCTACGGCCGCATGTCGGACATCATCGGACGCAAGGGTGCTCTGCTCGTGGCGCTCGCCTTTTTCACCTCGGGCACGTGCCTGTGTGCGGTGGCGACCAGCATGGACGCGCTGCTGGTGGCACGCTTTATCGCCGGTATCGGAGGCGGCGGCCTGCTCACCACCTCGTCCATCTGCATGACCGATCTCGTTCCGCTGCGCAAGCGCGGTGTCTGGCAAGGAGTGACCAACGTGCTGTTCGGGTCGGCGTCCGCTCTGGGCGGACCCCTCGGAGGATTCATCAACGATGCATTCGGATGGCGTACCGCCTTCGGATTCCAGGTGCCGTTCCTGCTGGCGGGCGGCGTGTGCATCGCGACGTTTGTCAACATCCCGCTGCCTTCTTCCGGACAGAATTGGAAGCAGAAGGTTGGTCGAATCGACTACCTGGGCTCGCTCGGATTGATCTCGAGCTCGACATGCCTGCTTCTGGCTATGAGCTTCCTGTCGGGCTCGCTGCTGCCGTTCTCGAATCCGCTCGTGTGGGGATTCCTGCTGGCGTCGTTCGTGACTGCGGTGCTGTTCGTGCTGGTGGAAGGATGGGTGGTGCGCGAGCCAGTGATGCCGTTGTCGCTACTGACGCGCCGCTCGCCCGCGCTGATCGGCGCCTCGTACTTTATCGGCAGCTTTGCGCACTTTGGCACCATCTTCCACTTCCCGCTCTGGTTCCAGTCGGTGAGGCTCCAGAGCGCCTCGCAGGCAGGGATGCACCTCATTCCCATCTCGTTTGCCGCAGCCGCCGGAAGCTTGTGGGCCGGGCTGTACATGAAGCGCACCGGACGCTACTGGCACGCCAACATCGCTTGCTGCGTGCTCAACATTGTCTCGACCGCATACGGTGCTTCGTGGAACAAGGGCACATCGGCGTGGGAGGAGTACCTGACGTTTGTGCCGCAGGCGTTTGGCACCAGCGCGATCTTTACGTTTATGCTCATTGCGCTGATTGCGTCCGTGTCCAAGGACAAGGCTGCGGTTGCTACGGGGACAGTGTACCTCTTCCGCAGCCTGGGCCAGGTGATGGGCGTTTCGCTGTCGACGGCCATGTTTCAGATGCTGCTCCAGTCGCAGATGCATCTCAACATCACACCGGAGCTGCTGCCGCATCCTCAAGATGGTCAGCGCGGCGTCGAGAAGCTCATCTCGGCGCTGCGTCACGATGCCTCGCTCGTCCCCACGCTCCAACCTGCGGGGCTGCGTCACGCCGCACAGCTCTCGTACATGAATGCCATCAAGTGGATTTTTGTTCTGGTCACGGCGCTCAACGTGCTCTACCTCGCCGTATGCTCGGGCGTCGAAGAGCAGGCGCTGCCGGACAAGGCACCAAACACCGCAGTCGCCGACGATACCGACCCTTCCCCACCAGCCGATCAAAGCGACGCCCCGCGAGCGCGTCAGAACGACTCGCACGCCTAGATCTGTTGTCTCTGCTCAATACATCGTTGTGTCCGCATACGTGCTGTGCGGTAAGAACTGCTGATCACTGTGGGACCGACGGCCAGCCTGTGAATTGTGCGGAACGTTGTGCGGGTCCGTGTGGGGTCTGCAGGGCCACGGGACCAATCGACATTTCCCTCTTCCGAAAATTGATTGGAAAAAGAAGGCAAAGAAAAATTATACTCGTAAAGGCGGCAAGTGGCGAGATACGGTGCAGCTGTGTGCTGCAGTGCATCAAGTGGGACGCGTTCCTTTTTTTTTTTTTTTTTCCTTTTTTTTTTTTTTTTYGGCAGAGGGCTTGCCGAGCAGAGACGGAGGGCTTTGCAGGCGGGCGAGAATTCAAGGTTCGGTCGGTCCATCCCCGCACCGCGTGGATATCGTCGGAAGGGCCGTCTGCACCTCGGCTTTTCTGTCGTCGCCATTCTTCGTTCTTCGAGCTGCCATTCGCCTCGTCTTCTCCATCCGCCATCTCTCCTGCCTTTGCGACCTTCTCACCTCATTGAATCTTTGTCAGGACCGGAGTACCGTCTCTTCCTGCACATTTCGGCTCGCAGGGAGCTCTGCTGAGCCAGTACGCACGCTCCGATCGCTCCTTAGCACCCCACCGTCTCGACATCGCCCAGCATGTCTACGAACGACCGCAACGCCGTCGGTTCGCCTGCGTATGGCTCTCATACAGGAAGCAGTGCGAGCTATACCCACCAGACCCACGCCTCCCCCCATAGAACAAAGAACGAGCCTTCGGACACTTCGCCCATCAAAGCCGATGCATCGCGCCGTTCTTCTTCGCCCCCGCAAGCATCCTCCTCCAAGGCCGGCAATGCCAGGGACGACAACAAGGAAGACAAAAAGTCGCAAAAGCGACCCAGAGAACAGTATAGCTGCGTCGAGTGCTGTAAGTTGTCCCCCTCTAACCCTCGCGAACAGCAAGCGACCGCATCGCACCAACGCCCACGGCTGACCCTTATCAATCCACATTGTCCTCATCGATCATCAGTCCGGCGCAAGCAAAAGTGCGACCGACGCTTTCCGTGCAACAACTGTATCAAGCGAAGGCTTCCCGAGCGATGCGTGCCGCCTGCTTCGGCCCGAGCCAGTCTCGGCTCCGGCATGGCTACCTCTCCCACGCCATCCGAGTCCGGCACCGTCCATCGCAACAGCATCTCCCGTACCGCTTCGGACCTCAATCTCGCCACCACCATCCCGGCTGCAAAGAGGCAGAGAATCGACGAAGATGGCTGGGATGACCGAAAGATCGACGAACTCGCCCGCACCACTTCGAGGATCGCGCGGCTGGAACGTATCCTGGCGCTCAACGACGCCTCCTATCTCGAACAGCGCCTCGCCCTCGCTGAAAAGGCGGTGCGTCTGCGTCTCGGCGAAGAGTCGAGCTCGCGCGCCATCAACGACTTTGGTCAGAACGACCAGATCTCCAGGCGCTCCAGCTATGTGCCCGAGGAGAGCGAGACCGACCGACACGTCGACGGGCATCTCGACGACAACGACGGCTTCCTCGGCACCTCCGCACTCGAGGCAGTCCCGCTGCAGCTCAAAAACGGCCTGCCCACCAACGCCAAAGCGGGCTCGGGCGACGTGGCGCCACAAGCCTTGCTGTCGTACATCCACCCCAACCCCACGCGCAGAGGCTTTCCCATCCCATCGGCCGACGTACAGGCCATCCGCGCCACCCTGCCCTCCCGCGACCAGTGCGAACGCTACTTTGACGCCTACTTTGCCCACTACAACTGGGCGCGTCTGCCGCTCCACGAGGCTACGCTGCGCGACCGCTTCCGCCAGTTCGTCGCCGGCGTGCCTTCGCCCTCGGATGTCCGCATGGATGCAGAGACGCTGCCGTTTGTCGCTTTGGTGCTCGCCATCCTCACGCTAGGCTCGGTACCGCCCATCGTTCAGCCGCTATCGTCCGCCACTTCGCACGCCTTCTTCTGGGCCACCAAGAAGGCGCTCGTCTTGTGCGAGACGCTCGGCCTCGCCAGTCTCGACTCGTGCTGGGCACACGGTGTTCTAGTCCGCTATCTCGACGTCATTCGCGTCACCCGCGCCAGTTGGCACGAGATCGGCTCGTGGATCCGCGATGCCCTCGATCTCGGCCTGCATCGCGACGGCAGCTCGTTTGGCCTGCCCAAGGAGCAGGTGGCAGCTCGACGCATCCTCTGGTCGCACGTCATCCACAACGATCGCGAGTGGAGCATCATCCTCGGCCGTCCGCTCACCATCACCTTTTACACCACCGAGATGCCCACGCGCGAAGACCTCGAGCCGCTCGGCTTTGCGTGCCAGACGTATCTCCTCGCGCGCAACCGCCTCACCGCCTGCCTCGAGGCCATCACGCATTGCTTCGAGGAACGCTCCCAGAGCCGCGGGCCGTCGGGACGCACCTCGCGCGCCTATTACCGCGTGCTGGAGGTGGAAGACATGATCGCCGAGTTTGTCGACTCGCTGCCGCCCTACCTCGCGCCCAACTGGTCGAGCTCGGGCAAGGCCAAGACCGACACGAGCCTCGACCAGGACCATCCGCTGCTCCCCTTCTACCGCTACCTCATCCTCGGCGAGGTGTGCTTCTACCGCTCGCTTCTGCATCGCCCCTACCTGCTGCGGCCGGCGTCGCATGGCAAGCATCCGTTCCCCGAGAGCCGGCGCGTCTGCGTCGAGGCGGCACTCAACGACCTGCGTCTGCGCAAGGAGTATGCGCGCGTGCTCTCCAAAGAGCAGCTGGCCCAGTCATTCGGCGGTGCCTACGCGCTCTTCAACTCGGCCATCGTCGTGGGCATGTCGCTGCTCATCGGATTCAGCCTGGGCGAGCGCATCGACACGGCCGATCTCAACGAACGCATCGGATATCTGCAGAACTTCATCACCCAGCTGCGCCGCAACTTTGACGCCGGCAATGTGGATGCGTCGGCCGAGCGCGAGCAGATGGTCATCGAGGTGCTTGTATCGCGCCTCGAACCCTTCCTACCGCGCGATCTCGCCAAGCGAAGCCGTGGCGAGCTGGCGGCGGCCAAGGGATCCATGCGTGCCACAATGATGCAGGATCCCATGCGACGCAGCCATGCTGCCTCGCAGCGCGTCGAGCAAGAAAAGCAGGCGGTCGACTCGCTGCGTCTGCTCTCGACCAGCGTGCCCGGTACACCGACCATGTCGAACAACGGCGCAGGCCAGCTGCCGCCGTCGTCGATGCAGTCCGTGCCGCCTTCGCACCACCTTGCCGGCTCGCCAACACCCATGGGTGGGCCTGGATTCGACAACGCCGCTGGTGCCATGGGTTCGATGGCCATGGGCGGTGGCGCTGGTGCAACGGCGGCCGGGATGGGCCCTGGCGCCACTGCCAATCCCATCGACCCGTACGGCTGGCTCCTCACGCCCACGGCCATGGAGTCGCCCGACACCAAGACCAGCTCGGCCGGTACCAGCACCGCGCACACGCCCGTCATGTCGGGCACCAAGCTCGGCGGCACTCCGTCAGCAACCACGGGCATGGGCGGTGGATCTGCCGCACCCACCGCCGGCACTCCCATGCGCCACGGTCACGGCCACAGCCTGAGCGGCAGCCACCCTGCGCACTTTATGGCCGCCTCGCCAGGCCAGTTTGCTTCCCTCTCGGCTCCCGGCAACGCGGCCGAGGGTCAGGCCATGTTCGACTGGGAGGGCATCTTGCAGACCATCGGATCCGGCTGGACGGGCGATGGCACGCTCGAGACCGGCATGGAGAGTCTGTTTGGGTGAAGGTCAGCAATGGGCAGCCAGGATTGACAAGTGCAAATCGCAGTGTGTTTGTGTGAAGAGCCCTTGTGAGAGACGGCCAAGTCGTGTGACTGTGGTTGGAGAGTTTGCTGGTGAGCTTGCCGGACTTCGTCGGAGGGGAAAAGCGCCGGTGTTGGGCGGTGCACGGACTGAAGTTTCGCGGGGTGAGCTGCAAAGACGGCGAAATTTGATGCCGCACGCAGCCAGTCTTTTCGGCGGACATGTGGAGGATGTGCGTCGGTCTTCGTCGTGGAGACGCATCGGATCGTGCGACGGTCCCGCATTCTTCTTAACCCGCTTGGTTGGCTTTGCTTCCCCACACCTTCCCCACCACTTTCACCCTCCTCCGCTCAAAAGACCATGGCGACCAAAGTCAACGACCCCGTGCCGCTCGTCGGCTCGCTCGACAGCATCTACTCGCCCGCGGGCGTGCTCAAGAACGGCAAGCGCTGGAACGAGCTCGCCACCAAGTTCGCGCAGGCTTTCAATGGCGAGCAGCCCGACTTTATCGCTCGTGCCCCCGGTCGCGTCAATCTGATCGGCGAGCACATCGACTACGTCGGCTTCTCCGTCTTCCCCGCCGCCATCGAGAAGGACATCCTCATGGCCACCAAGGTGTCGTACTCGGCCACCCCCGTGGACAAGGTGCAGATGGTGCTCAAGAACACCACGCCGCGTTTTGTGGTCAACACGTTCGAGTCGGCGTACAACTCGACCGACACCGTGGAGCTGCTCAACGAGGGCGACGAGCGATGGGCCAACTACTTCAAGGTGGCGTTCAAGGGCCTGCACTCGCACCTGCCGGCGCAGGTGCTCGATGCCGGCAACGCCAAGCGGCCCGCCAAGATCGAGGTGCTGGTCGACGGCACCATCCCGCCCGAGAGCAGCTTGAGCTCGAGTGCCGCCATGACTACGTGCAGCAGTATTGTGGTGCTCGAGGCGTTCGGCGCGCGCGAGCTCATCGACCGCAAGGAGATGGCCGAGGTGGCGATCGAGTCGGAGCGCCTCGTCGGCGTCAACTCGGGCGGCATGGACCAGTCGGCGTCGATCTTTGGCATCCCGCATCACGCGCTCTACATCTCGTTCTTCCCCACGCTCAGCGTGCAGCCGACGCGCCTGCCACCGAGCTCGCCCGACCACACGTTTGTCATTGTCAACTCGCTTGTCGTCTCGGACAAGAAGGTGACGGGCCCGGTCAACTACAACCTGCGCGTCGTCGAGACGCGCATGGCCGCACGAGCACTTGCCAACTACCTCGGTTTGGCGGCCGCCAAGGAGAACGCTTGCCGCGATCTTCGCGGCGTGCTCGAGACGTACTTTGCCGAGAACGGCGGCGCGGGCCGACTGCAGGCCGAGATGGAGAACAGCAGCGCGGTCAAGCAGACGCTCGAGCGCTCGGGCGAAGAGGCGGCGCGCATCAAGGTGCTCGAGGAGAAGGTGGATGCGCTGTACTCGTCGGCAGCACTGCAGGAGGGCGTTGCGCGCGCCGAGGTGGAGAAGCTTACGGGCTACAGTGGCGACAAGTTTGAGGCCGAGTTCCTCAGCTCGTTCCCGATCCGTGCCGACGCATTCCAGCTGTACCGCCGCTCGAAGCACGTCTTTACGGAAGCACTGCGTGTGCTCCAGTTCCAGGCGCTGTGCAAGCAAAACTCGACCGAGTCGGCCAAGGAGGTGTACGCGCAGCTGGGCAGCCTCATGGATGGCTCGCAAAAGTCGCTGCGCGAGCTGTACAACTGCAGCTGCGACGAGCTCAACCAGATCATCGAGATTGCCAAGCGCAATGGCAGTCTGGGCAGCCGACTGACGGGCGCCGGCTGGGGCGGATGCACTGTCCATCTCGTGCCCAAGCCCAAGGTCGAGGTTTTCATCTCGGCCATGCGCACGCAGTACTACGCCAAAAAGTTCCCCGAGCTCTCCAAAGCACAGCTCGAAGACGCTTGCTTCGACACACAGCCCGCCGGCGGTGCGTGCGTGTACAAGGTATAGACCATGGGTTTCGTTTTGCTCCTGCGATGCGGTAGCTCTACCAATGTTGATCCAGCTACAAGGTTTGCTACTGTTGCTTGTGATGCGGTGCGAAGCGATACGATCGGGCGATTTTGCAGACGCAATCCAGATCCAGCCGTCGAGTGGGGGAGATTGCGGAGATATGAGCCGGGCCTAAGGTTTGCGATCCGGGTGGGGGCATCGAACTTGGGTGAAGGCGGCGGCAACAAGGTTCTCCCACATGAAGCGACGGCTGCCGAGCATGCTCGCCAAGGCGCGAGGCGAGACAGGCGCCCGGCCATTCGCGGTACTGTACTGTACTGTAGCCAGCATCGCCCACCGGTGTCCTGTATTCGTCTGCTACGCTAGGCGGGTAAGTGCGCGCTCCTCGGAAGACGCTGAAATGGCGGCTGGAATGCACATGAAACTCACCCGACAGGATGGAAACGCCGACCACGCCATAGACCGAGACTCGGCCGTGGGTGCAGCGTCGCTACAGTATCATTGGAGGGATTCTTATCTCTCACGGGGCTCTCCAGCCGTCGGAAGCATGCCGTGACGGTCTATGGTGCCCTAGTGTAGTGGTATGGCGGTCCGACGGATGCCTGGCTGCGACCAACTTAATCTTTGGAGTGTTGGCCCGCATGGTGTCTTGGCCGACAAGAACGGCTTAGCGCGCCCATTTTCATGCGCAGACCGCGCTTTGCCGAGGCGAGAGACAGACAAACAAGCCTTAATCAAAGACAATGGGAGCGCCTAGAGCGGGAAGGATTTCGGAAGTGCCGCTCGCTGCGCATCAGGCCGCCTTGGACCGAGCTGACAGCTTCGGCTGCTGGGTAGCGCACCGGTCAAGTGACGAAAGCGCACTATCGGCCAACATCCGATGTGCCGTCCACTCACCGGCATACTGCTCGGATGTCCGCTCCGCCCGAGAGGTGCTAAATCCGGCACTTTTACCTCGAGCCCTCTTTCGCGATTGCGATCGGCTGCTGGCGACAAGGGCAAAGGGTGGCTGGGAGCATGCAGAGCGACGGCCAATCTCGGGCGAGAGGATTCCCACACGTCGTGAAGAGAGGCCGAGCGAGAGCGCTACCCCGGCCAACATGTTGTCTGATCCGTCTTGGGCGTGACCTGAGTTCACCACCAACCGGCTTTCTGGCGCACAAGACGGTCTTGGTGGCAGGAGCGTGCTGGCGGGAGTCAGAGAAGGCCGAGGCAGCGGACTTGCAAGTCAGGCACGGACGTGGCAGAGTGGCATTCGAACAGCGCACTGCGGAGCTCGAGTGGTGTGCATAGCAAGCGCACTATGGCAGGAGCTGCTGCCGACTCGATTCATGCGAAGAACCTTGGATGACGAGCTGTGGAGCGTCGCGGAATGGCGAGGCCTTAACGAGCCGGGAGCGACGCCCATGGCCCCAGAGCTGGCGGCTCTGGAGCATCGCCCGGGCGGAGAGACAAAGAACGCGCCGAGTGTCTAAGCAAGCGGACGCATTGGCCGGCGAGGTTGGGAACCCGATTGCCGTCTGCCAATCATACGGCGGCCATGATTGAGACTTGTTTGTCGGAAGCGCGTTCGTCTGGATCCATTGTCTGGGCGAAACGGGGTCCGAGGGCGATACGAGCGGCCGCCTCGACGGAGTGTGAAATGCTTGTCTTCGCGCAGAGGAAACGACTCGGCCCCGGCCCGTCGGACTTGTTCCCACGTTTTCTATTTGGCCTGCCGAAGCGTGCAAATGCCCGGCGCGCATAAGGACGTCGCAGGCCTGTTTGGCGACTGGCTGCCCCCACTCATGGTGCGTGCTATTTGATTGGATGCGATCCGTGGATGCACTGCGTCATGCACCGCGTTGCAGCTGCATGTGCATTTGAGCGAAGGCCATTGTCGCACTTGCCGCACGCGCAGGTGTGCCGCGGCAGGGAGCCGGATGCATGTGCTACGGCCAGACCTGCTGCAGCTGCCGTCCCACGAGGCCAATAAAGCTCGCTCTGATCCGCCTCTTGCTTTCGTCGCTTTGCACCCACGGGATGGAGTTGCGCTCGCAGCTAACTCAGGCTTGCAGAAGCTTCGAGCGGAGTGCGCATCGCACGCGTCGGGCGTGCCTGGGCGGGATTTGGAGTGGCTGCTCGCCGCTTGCCCGCGAGACCAAGCAAGATGCTCGAGTTGCTGGCGCCTCCATTTCAGACGGCGAGACGGCAAGACAGCGAGACAAGGCGTAATCTTGTTGAAGCGTGACAAGCAGTTAAATAAAGAAAGGTCGGCCAAGACATTTTGCGACGGTCAGGATCGGTCGAAGGGCGGCTGTGCGCGGCTGCGGCTGCTGCTGCTGTGTCACACACCGGCAAGGCGAGTTGAGTCGCGCCCAGAACCGCTCAGCCGCCCCATCCACCTGCAACATGTCTCACATTTCTCTTCGACTCGAAATCTTTCTGCCAGAGCAGCCCTATTTTTATTCAAAAAGCAATTTGGACGACGCATGAGCTGATGCGCATCCAGGTTGCTGCCGATCCCAGCTGTCTGTGCAGCTGCCCCCTCGCCTGCACTCCAGGATAACTTACTGCAATTTGCGCGTCGCGACCCGCCTTTGGTGGCGCTGCGGCAACTGCCCTGGCTATACATAGACGCGCGCGTCTGTTCTGAAGTTGTAGGCCGGCCGCTTCCCAATCGCGCTACTCTCGCTCGCAGTTGCGCAACTGGCGAGAAGGCCGTGACGACGACCAATTAGGCTGACGATGAGCAGCAGCGTCAACATGCATACAAGCTCGGACGTCGCCTCGATCGCGCGAGTGGACCCCTCTGTGATTACGAGCCTAAGTGGGGCAACGCCTACTGTCCGAGCGTACCACAAGCGTACTGCGCAGCGGTTGCATTGACACGAAGAGCCATTGTTCCTCTCTTTGTTGCTTGCCTTGGCACCTGCTCTTTGCGCGAGCAACGCCCGATGACGGCCGCCTTTTGCCCCTCCGACGCTGGCGGACTGCGGCGATTGCAACCAGGCTTGCACGCCACAGCGATGCGACTACAGTAGATGTGGCGTACGTGTATCACCTCAACTGCTGCTTCTGCTGCCACCATGGTGGACGCGTAGCGCTGTCGGCGCGGGCAACAGGGTCGCCTGATCCAGATGAAAACTGCGCAATTTAGCAGAGTCGTGGTGCAGTGCCGCGCTGCACGCCTGCGCCCGCCTCTGCATCAAAATTAGGTGCAGCGCTAACTGACTGTTCCGTAGCGCCCTCTCGAGCTAACTTACTGTGTTTGAGTCAAAAGGGCCAGGCCTGCGCCAAGGGGATTTTTTTTCTTCTGCTTTTTTTTTTTTTTTTTTTTTTTTTTTTTCGTCTTCTCTCCGCCCACCTCGCAGTGTTTGAGATGCGCCCGCCCTGATCAGCGCCGTCCGGCCCTTAGACGCAACGTGCTGCACTTTGACTCGCGCTCCAGCCCACATGTGCAGTGTCGGCTTCCAACGGGCGGCCCTCTAGCCGCCGCGGCCCCTCGTCAGTGTGACATGGGTCGTCCGTTCCCATGGCGTCCCGTACCTCGCTCAGCCCGTGCTATTTGCCTGCCTCGCTCCTTGTCAACCCGGTCTGGATAGCCGAGCGAAGATCCTCCATTTCCTATCCCGCTCGCCTAGGATGCGTCTGCCCTTTTCTCCCCGAGGCTCAACTTGCTTCCTGTGGCCAAGCAGACTTTCCGCTACGGTACAGCTCTTGCGGTCCGGTGCCGTCGTCTCTCGCGTGGGCGCAGGGGTCGTACGCGAAAGCCGTCTCGCCGTTGGAAGTCCTGTTTGCGCATCGTGTCGGCCTTTGCGCCCTCCGTCACCGCCTTCACCTTGTTCGCCTCTTGCCAATCCTCTGCTCGGATTCCCTCGCTTCACCTCGCTTGTGTCGTCCAGATGTCTCAGAATCGTGCGCAGACTGCAGCACTCGTCCCCCTCTACACCCCTCCCTCCCTGAGCGCCTACGGCCACTCCCCCCTTTTCCGTGAGCCTCGCCTGTGCCTCGTACCCGCCGCCACTTCAGGCCACATGCTCCGTGGCTTCCGAAGTTCTGGCTCGTCTCCTTCATTCGCCCTCGTTGGCTCCTCGGCGCCTCGACCCAGGCCGCCAGCCTGCCTTTCTGCCTTCTGTTGTCTTGGAAAGCTCAGCAGCCTCGCTTGCAATGCTCCAAACAAACGCGGCGTCTCATTTCCATGCGCCCCTCCCACTCCCCTTTGGCTGCGCCGCCGCTGAGCAACTCCCTGTCTCACCCTGTTGGACCCTCCTCACCCAGTCTTTCCGGACACCGGCGCTCTAGCGCTCGCCGCCTGCCGTGGCCACTCCTCGTCGTCACCATCGCCTGCCGCTCCTTCTCAGCCTCGCCGGCCACCTCGAGCGCCTCTGCAGCCTGGGCCGGGCCGCGCAACCTCCCTGCGCCTGCATTCTGCATGAGAGCTGACACACATCCAGGCTCCCTTCGACGTGCCCCAGCAAACAAACCGCCTAGACCCAGTCTTGGCCTCCGCTAGTCGGGTCCCCCGTCCATATCCCCACCTTGCCCCTTCCGATGGCCGTGGCTCTTGCCGCGCTCTCACCATCCCTCCTGGAGCGAGCCCTATCCATCTTGCCTTGACCGTCCACCACCATCATCATCCTCACCTCTTCTCGCCACTCCTCGAAGCACCTACACCACTTCCTTCGTCGTGTTCGTTTCATCAACATCCGCTTCGTCCTTGGCTCCAACCCTTTCTTCGACGCTCAGCTTAGGAGACCACCAGCTCTCTGTGTCTCGAACCTGCTGACGCATCGCACCGACCCGTCATCTCTCCCTATTGGGCATCTTTTCTTCGCACCGAGCGCAACGGCATCGACTTCGCTCGTCGTTCCTTCTCCACCCTATCGGGCTCTTTGGCGTGGCGTTGCCCGAGCGCCACAGCCTGGTTGCGGCACACTTCCCGCGCCCCTGCCCGCATGACTACCTCGGCACGACGTCAGCTCTTCCGACGTTCCAAGGCAGGATGCTGGAACTGCCGTTCCAAGAAGAAGAAGTGCGACGAGCTCCGACCTCACTGCACACGATGCATTCGCGCCGGTGAGAACTGCCGCTATCCCGACGCAAGCTCCGAATCCCTCTCGGAAGCAAGCTCGGCAATGGCGACCAGCGACTACACCTCGCCCTCCATCCCATCCTCCGCCTCGTTCCCCAACACTTTTTCTGCACACGCTGCGCACGCCGCACCCATGCTTTCCCGCTCCTCCTCCACCTCGGGCTACTCGTCGCACGCTTCTCGACATGCGTCTCACCATCCATATCACCATCATCCTTATGCGCCTCCGCAGGCTCATCACATGCATTCGCCACCCCAGCACCGAGACTACCAGATGCAAAGGCCGCAGGCGCATCAGCGGCCTTCGCCGCCGGCACGCTCTGCTTCCCACATCTCATATCATCCCGCCCCGCATGGAGGTGCTCCCGCCCACCTGTCGCAGCAGCAGTTCCCTCCACCGCCACTTTCGGCCAGTGCAGCTGCAGAATGGGACCACACATCGCAGCAGCAAGTGTACAAGCGCACACGGTACGACGAGTTGTCCTCGTCGTCTTCGTCCACGTCCTCGAACCAGCCTCACCAGGATGCTCGCGCCGGGCGACAACCGTTTGACTCCCACCATCGCATTCCTTCCAATCACAGCCAAGGAAGCAACAAGGGGAAAAGCCGGGACACTCTTCCCCCTATCTCACCGCATCAGCCTTATTCGATTCCCATGGCCGCTTCAGCCTCCCTGCCACCCTTCAACGCCGTCTCACCGCAGCAGCCGCGGACAGCGGCCTCGCCAATCTTCTCGGCGCGCTCCGCCAACACATCGCCCAACAGCCAAACAAGCCCACACTTTGCCGAACGTCCCACACAGGAAAACGGTCACGCCTCTCTTGCTCGACGAGAAGCAGCCACAAAGCATGCCGAGCACTCGACTGTGCAGCCAAATGTTTCGGCTCTCGGCACACATTCGGAAGCAGTTCGCAGTCCAACGACATCGAGATCTACAGCCGCTACAGCGACTCGCCAGAAACTTGTGCTCGACTACTCATCGACCGAGCCCGATCCCGAGGAGCTGCTGGCCGAACTGTCCTCCTACTCGGTCTCGACTGTGACGCAGCAAACCAAAGGCTCCACGGCCTACTTTCGCTTCCTGCATGGCATCGCCCGCATGGCCCAAGGCCAGGCCATGGCTCACGCACTCGCGGCCATGGTCGCCACGCAGCAAGCCAAGAGATCGTGCAAGCCACAGGAAAGCCAGGATGGTGCCGTTGAAGGCGGCGATGAAGAGAGCCGCGCGCCCGACCTGGACGCGTCTCAGCGAGAAAAGGCTACGATGCTGCTGGATCTGGCGGACCGCCATCATCTTGCGGCGATCAGGGCTCTGCAAACGCAGTCGCAACCGAGCCGGCGCCGTCGTTTCTCGGTGATCGAGTCCAACCCGAGCACGAGCAGCGACGATCTGCCCGTGGGCAGCAACGCGGCAGCAATGATGCTGCTCATCCTGGCGTGCAGCTTCGCGGGCAAGTCGCTCATGCTGCCATCGTACTTCAATCAGTGCGAGCAATTCCTCGCGGATGCGGTCGAACACGTCTCTTCGCACCGTCTCTTTCCGTCGGTGACGGGCGAGACGGTGTCGGGCAATGCCGAAGACCCGCCCATCGAGGCGCCCGAGAGCGTGAGCGCCTACGGCACGCTGCTCTTCCTCGGTACGGTGGTGGGCCTTTACGAGTGCTACCTGGCCATGTACACGGCGGTTACCGACTGGGACTACAACCCGGCAAGGCTCCGCCGTCTGCTGCCGTTCAACTGGACCGAGACGGACTCGGCAATCTTTGACCAGGCACGAGGAGTTACGTCCGAGACGGTGTACAGCGTGTCGATGGTCACGTGGGAGCTCATCATTGAGACGCTCGATACGATGCGCAAGCTGCGGAGAGCCGAAACGGTCGCATACGGTGGCAAGAAGAGCAGCAGGAGCGAGGCCGACGACGGCGGTGCAGCGCTCGACAGTCTGGCGCTGCGCGAGGAACTCGGACTGCTCATTCGCGATCTCGAGGCGGGCGCATTCTGGAAGGGATCGCATCGCATCCTCAGCGAAGCGGAGCAGCTGCAGGTGCTCGACTCGCTCAAGGCTGCCGACGCTGGTGCGGGTGGCAAGCAAAGCGAGAACAGCGATGCCAGCGCGCAGATGCCGCCCCCGTCGGTACCGGCAGAGGACGCAGGGTCTGCATCGGCAACTCAGGCGTTCAAGTCCGGAGCGCTATTCCTCGCGCCCACGGTCGGCGGGTCGAAGCAGGTGAACCGGCTGCGTCTTGCCAACCACCTCTACCGCAACGCACTGCTGGTTGATCTGTACGTGACGGTGTTCAACCGCGCACCTTCGAGCCTTGCGGTGCGCGAGCTCGTCTCGCGCAGCGCGGCGCTCTTCAACGCGATTCCGGACAAGCTCGAACAGGGACTCATGTGGCCCGCGATGGTGCTTGGCTCGTATGCGGAGGGCGCATCGGAACGCTCCCAGATCCGCGCCTTCCTGGCGCGTGCCCAGTGGAAGGGCATTGCCGGTCCAGCGACCACCGCCGACGTCGTCGAGCGCGTCTGGGCTGAAGACGCATCCAACTGGCGCGAAAGCGTCTCGTACTTCGGCAGCCCCTACATCTCCTAGTCTCGTCTCCAACTGTATCCTACTCTACACGCTTTGTGCGTGTTCCACAACCATAGAAATGCTTCGCGAATAGAACAAGTTGTATTACGATCACAAGCAAGCACTCCAGAGTCGTTGCAGGGACGGATCGTCTACTTTGTCGACTTGCCGACGGCCTTGATGCTGTCAGGGTGGTCGGGAAGGTCCTTGGCTACACCGCGCTTGGCGGCCTGGACATCCTCGAGGACGCGCTGCCAGAGGCGGGATCGTGCGAGCGGGTCGTCCACCTCGGGACGACGGATATCGACAATGTCGCGGTTGACAAACTTGCCGCCAAAGAGCGCCGACTCGCCCACGGCGGGTTTGGTCTTGCTCGTGGTGAGTGCGGCGGGGAGGCCGAGCGACGGGCTGAGAGCGGCGTGGATGATGGCATAGGAGCCCTGCTTGGGGTCGATGGCGAGCCAGTTGATGGCGCGCTGGATGACGAACCTGAGTGCATAGGGCACCTTGGTGTCGGGGTTGTGCCAGATGTTGCTGCCAACAAAGCCCGGGTGGATGCCGTGGCAGATGACGTGTCGATAGTCCTCGGAGCGCGAGAGACGCTGCTGAAGCTCGACGGTCCACATGAGGAACCAGAGCTTCGAGTTGCAGTACAGCTGCACGCATCCGGGCCCCACCGGCGTGTTCTTCTCGTTGTCCATGTCGGCAAAGTCGAGCACGCCGCCGTTGTGGAAGATGGAGCATGTGTTGATGATGCGTGGGGCGCTGGCGTTCTTCATGGTCGGCAGGATGAAGAATGTGAGCAGGCAGTGCGAGAGAAAGTTGATCACATGCGTCAACTCGAATCCCTCGTCTGTGATGCGTCGTTGGCCGGCGGACAGGCCAGCGTTGTTGACGAGGATGTCACAGGTGCGTCCCGACGCACGCCACTTTTGTCCGAAGCGCTCGATGTTGGCGAGCGAAGAGCAGTCGATCTCCCACAGCTCGACCTTGGAATCGTCTACGCCGGCGGTCTTGACGATCTCCTTGCGTGCCTCCTCCGGGTTCTGCTCGTGCGTGGCGGTGAGTCGACACGCCATGATCACCGTTGCGCCCGCCTGGGCAAAGTACAGAGCAGCCTGCTTGCCAATGCCCGAGTTGCTGCCCGAGATGATCACCGTCTTGCCCGTGGCGTCGTAGTCGGCGCTCTTGGGGTCCGGGAATTCGAGCGTACGGTGGATATCGCTGCCATACTTGCGCAAAGTGTTGTAGCGCGCCGACCACTGCTTTGTGGCCGGCAGCAGGCCAGGGCCATCACAGCGCGTGTCAAAAACGGATGGGAGCGATGCCATTGTGACGGATCTGTGTTCTTCTCGATGGATCCGGCGAGTGTGGGATGAGAAGAGGACGAAACAGTTCTGCTGGATCCCGCGTTTTATGAGGAGCACATCTCAAAGGGCTCGAGCGCCGTGCTGGAGGCCGCGTGAAAGCAGGGTCCATCGACTAGCAGCAAAGACTCGAACGTCGGTTGCGCTGATTGCATCTGTGAAAAGCAAGCGGGACGCACCGTGCAGCGGAGAAGCGGCGGCGCGGGACAGGTTTGGTGCAATTCAGGAAGCGCCGCGTGCATTTCTCGAAGCACGCTGGTGGCAACTGCCGCGGTAGCTGCAGCGGTAACCTTCGCCGAAATTGCGGGGGCGGGCACTCATGCCGCATGGCAAAGTTGGCATCGGGCTGCGCTGCGCTCATTTCCAACTCGACCGTCGGCTTCCGTGATCATGTCTGCCTGGTTGGACCACTGAACGAGATAATTGCAGAATGTGGGCCTGCGGCATTCATGGCGAAAAGTAAGCCATCTTTCGACACTCAACGAACGTACTGTGCTACCGCCATCTGCATCATCCGCAGGAACGACTCGTGCGAGCCCGTCTCGCTCATGTGGTCCGCGCCGTCCTATTTGTACCGACAAGAGCAGGGTCAGCAGTCATGTGCCTATCACAGCATCGTAATCGCATCGGCGATCGCGATTGCGGAAAGAAAGGGGTCGACTCACGTTGATGATGTAAAACGGAATGCTCTGCACGCCGTTCATTTCGGCTTGCTGCAGCTTGTTGCCCAGCTCGTACTCGAGGTCGTCCGACTCGAGCCACTTGCTCGCCGCCGCCTCCGAGTCGAAGAGTCCGAACTCGGTTGCTACAGCTGCAAGATACGAATTGTCCGACATGTCCTTGCTGTTGGCATGGAAATCCTGGTAGAAGCGATCCATCAGGCGCACCTGCAACGACTTGACGCATGCGCCGGAGTCTTCACCGGACGCGGATCCGCGTTGCTCGTCCAGCTGTCCTGCCTTGAGTACGAGACGGTGAGCATTCCACGTCGCACCCACTCTGCCCGAGCTGGTCCAGTCGAACGTAGGCATGCCCAACGCCGTCGCCGCGGTCGAGATCTTGGCGTCAAACGCGTCCAGATTACCACCAAACTTGGACCCGTAGTAGAACTTCTTGGTGGGCGGTGCCCTCTGCTCGTACGGCGTCGTTTCGATGGCATCATAGTACTTGGATGGCGTGTCGTACGTCGATGCGGGAAGGCGCGGATCGAGGATGTACGGTTCGATCTTGACCACCGTGTTGACGTGGGGTGCGATTTGCGTCTTGAAGTCGTCCGACTCGAGGAAAGCCTAGCAGCGGCGAAGGGGGAGAAAGGGGTCAGACTTGCACCAAAGGAAAGAACTTCAACGGCGATCGATGCTCTACGAGACGTTTTCGAGCCCGAAGTAGAAGGAAGTGTGACACCAGCGCCGACGGAGGAAAAGGCTTGACTCACCCACAATGCCCGTGACCCGACGAAACACCACGGGCAGATGACGTCCGTCACCACTTGCACCAACAGCTCGGGCTTGCTCATAGTGATGTTGAGATCGTAGCTTGGCAGGAGTGCGACCACGGTGGTCCGTAAGGAGGGTGTGAGCTTGCCGAGACGGGCCTTGCAAGCGGATGTTTGAGGGTTTGCTCGAGCGGAAGCGCTCGCTCTCTTGCGGATGTGGAGGCGGCAGCGTGCCGTGCATCGCCGATCCAGTGTCGATCTGGTGACCATCAGTTCCCGATTCTCGTCGATTTTTCGAAGATTCAAGTTGTTAGACCTCTGCGAACAGCCGCTTATATTTCCGGCTTCTGGGGCCGCGACCTTTCACGCTCCTCCGAACATGGCCGATGTGACGGGTTTGCGCCAATCTGGGCCAAGTCACAGCCACACGATTGCGGCGCGATGCGCGCCGTTCCAACGAGCTTTTGACAGCCTTTCGATTCGTCCAGGCCAACAATGCAACGGTCGACCCCCCTTGTGAAAAGCCAAACGGCGACGGTGGTCGGGCAATTTAGTTGGCGGTCTCGCCGCCGATTGGCCAGGTGGGGACCTCATCGCAAACACAGCCTCTGAGTTGGCTCAGAAAGTGGTGCGTAGACTCCCCGCAGCCATCATCGTCATGCTCTTTCCGTCAACGAGATGCATGCAAAACGTGCGCAATTGTGTGATCATACTGGTCGAGACACGATTCTGTGCAGCCATGCCACATTGCGGCATAGAACATGCGACTGGCTTTGTTTCACGCGATATCGTCCAAGCTTGTCGCTCGACTGGTCATTGCCTTTTGTTCATTGATGATGGCAGATCGATAATCAAAGGTGCGGGCGGAGGAAATGATAGCATGCTGACATTTTGAAGGCAATGGCGATGTGAAAGTCAATGGGAGAGCAGCTGCATTGTGGCTGGAAAGATGGCGTGAGAAGGTGCATGTTTAGGCTCGCACGGAGCCAGAGCTTGGGCCGCTGCAGGAGCTGCACTTTGGCGTGCAAGGGGCGCAAAACGTGGCCGTCGTATCAAAAAGCGACCTGAGCACGTCGCATGACCAGGCCCTATCAAGCGCTCCCGATGTTGCTTCGCATGAAAGCCGCTCGTGACAAAGGGGAGGTCTCCTCCAAGGCTTTGGGCACAGGGTATCGGCTTGAAATCGCATATTCTTCGCCGTTTGTTTGCAGGCTCGAGCGGTAAAACATCGCTGAGCCTCGGGCTCTCTTTGACTTCTCTGCGTTCTGTCCCGTCATGACCGGACTGGTGGTGCCGAGAGAAGCAGGGTTTGTCACTCTGGCTACAAAGAGAGGAGGAAGAAAACCTCCGATGCTCGCGTGTACGGAGAAAAAAAAAACAGAAAGAGGCGCATGGAGGCGTCACGCCGTGGCTGCCGAGCCCAACTCAGCAGCGGCAGCCTTGCCTGACGTGAGTTTGTGCAGAAGCGAGGCCACGCCGTGCGAGCCGATGATCGCTGACACGCGACTGCCTTTTTGTCCGGCGATAGCGTCGTCACGCGCTGGGTGAGATTCAAGCTAGCACCTGCATGCCGAGTTTTGTTTGTTTCGCGTTCCTCATTGTCCACGCAGCAGGCGAAGGATGGACAGCACAACGACAAGAGAACCCTATTTTGGAACAGGGGTCATGCAGAGCCGAACATCCATACGGCGGTGTTGCTCGCACGCACGTCGGCCTCAATGGCAGGCAAATATTTCTTTCCTTTGTGTCTATCACGCAAGGAGCGAGTCCGTGAAAGTGCGACTCGACGTTTTCTTGACGGCCGATTCGGCGGCGTCCCGACCTGTCATGAGATGATGTGCTTCGGAGCCCATGCCGTCGTCGTAAGCGTTACGCCCCTAACCACTCGGAGCGCTTTCCGACTCAGCACTTGTCGCAATGTTCGATCCAATCTCCACGGAGGACCTTCCTGGATCGCCTCCTGCGGATATTTCGGTGGCACCCGATCATCGTATGGTGTCGACGCTGACGTGTATGGGCGGTTACCGGTACCCACCGAGTGGGCCAGCCTGCGTGGGCTGATGTCTCGTGAGCGAGGGGCGGCTGAGTTTCATGCACACAGAACCGTGTAAACGCACAGCAAATTTTAGGCGAAAGAGAAAAAATCTCCGAGCTTTTCAGGGGAGGCGGTTTCCCTGTTGTTCCTCGCGCAGACCCTCGCCGATGCTCGGCAAAGTCGAGGACAGGGGGCCTGGCCTTGTCGCACTGGAACGATTCACGGCCCTGCCAGTTGTTGAGAGTCCAGCAATGCAAATCGAGGTTTCATGCGAGCCAATGGCGGCGAGTTTGACGTCTACTGGCCACAGCGGCCCGCAGCACCAAGCAGAGCTCTGCGGCGGGAGCCGCAAGCGCCAAGTCGCCCACGGAAGCTATCTCTCGGGAGAAAGGCATCCAAGACGGGAACGGTCGGGACGAGCTCGGTGGTGACAGCGCATGCTATTGCGTCGATGTGCGGCGATCGCACGGCGTCAAATGAGGTCGACGGCGATCAAAGGGCCGCGCTCGTGCTGCGCTGTCGCACGCGCGCAGTCGTCAGTTTCACACCGAGAAAGACCGTGACGCTTGGACAGCAGAACCCAACGATCGCTTCATACCTCCCAATTTGCGCCTGCTTGCAGGACGGCAAACAGCTCGATGTGAAGCGGACCGCCTCTCGGTGCGGCGTTATTGTGCCCACCTCGGCCTCGTTGGCACTCGGCACGTTCCCGTGCGCGCTTATGTGGTGCTCACTGGCGTGATGCTCGTATCACCGCTCGCAAAAGAAGGGTGCCCAGGCGCACGCGTGGACCTTCATCCGTCGCATGACCTCTGCGCTCAGCTCAGCCGCTTTGCCTGCTCGCTTCGCGGACCGCTCGTGAAATCCTCCGAGGCTGCACACGTATTCTCCTTCGGATCGGCCTCGTGTAGCCCCTGGGAGGAACCCTGGCTGAGTCAAGGTGGAGCTCTTCGGCATGGCTGAAGGATCGCGTTTCCAATATAAGACTGCCACGACCTTGTGGCATGCAACCCCCATCTTCTACCTCCTACCTCTCTCTCCGACCTTACTAGTCTAGCTACGAGCCGACAGAAAGCCTCCTCGTCCCGTTCAGACTTGCTACAGCACCTCCTCTGCATTGCGTATGCCAAGCGCGATACGCGAAGACCCACACTTTGACCTGGCTTTCAACCGCGGCAGCCCTCATCACTCGCAGCGCTGTGTCTGACTTCCAAAAAAAATCGAAAAAATCGCAAGAAGCAAAGTCCAATTTTCGCTGTCGATCTGCGCCACAAAGCCGCACTTTTCTAGCCGCTTTCGGAAGTTGCGCACTGCAGCTGTTGCATGCCAGTCTAGGGATCGCCTGCTAGCACCTCTCTGCACGTACGCCCAGCCGACGGTTTCTGTTGCAGCTCGTTTCAACAGCAAAATTGGTGCTTGGCTGTTGCCTTGGCTCTGCAACCTCCACACCCTCGTCGATCCATCCGGCTGGCTCGCTTTACCGTGCAGCCGGGTCTCGCGATCCGCTCAGTCGAGCCCTGTCAGGATCTGCACCGCTAGCTTAGCTCGAAGCACGCCCTTCGATCGGCAGCTGACCAGGCCATTTTGCCCCGTCACGCCTTCTCGCCAAAGTTCGAGCCCCGCACGTCCCAGTATAACTTGGAGTCGGCCACAAGCATGAAGCTGCCGCTGCCCACTTCCCTCAAGCCCTCTTCTCCTCCACCACCGACCTTTGAACGCGCTCGCAAGTACAAGCCGCCTCCCACATCCTTCCACTCCTCCATCCAGGTGGTCGACGAAGAGTTTGGCACCCCACGGACAAGTACCCAGGTCAAGCAGGCCTATCTCGACTCGCATCCTAATTCCGACGCCGAGAGCTCCAACTCATCCACCCACCATCGCTCCCAGCATCGTCACCAATCGAGTCCCGCGGGCACACCGTCTCTGATCCGCTCATCCATCGGCTCTCGATCCTCCTCTGCTCGCCAAGTCAAGACCCCGCCCCAGAGCCCAAGTAGGCCGTCCAATCCACTCCCCGCCCACTCCAACATGACCGACACCACTGCGCCGGTGCATGGCCGAGGCACGGCTGCCGAGCAAGGCGCTCGTCTGCGCGAAGCTGCCGACCGCGAGATGGGACGTGTTCCGCACGCAGGTGATCGCAAAGCCAAGGGCAGCCGCCGATCCTCCCGCCGCATCAGCCCTCAGGAGTCCCCTCGCTCGTCTCACCCTCCTCTCGCCGAAGACGACCAGCACCGCCGCTCTTCCAAGCGCAACAGCCGTCACCACCAGGCTGCCTCTGAGGCTGCCGAGGCTCGCTCCAGCCAAAAGACGCACGTCGGCACAGCCGCAGCACAGGGCGCGGCCTTTCGAAGGGGCGAGGAAGTGGAGCTTCCCTCTCCCGAGCAGACGCGCGAAGCCCGCGAGCGCCACCTCCGTGCCGCATACGGAGAGACGCCAAAGCTTGGTAAGGGCTCTCCGGTCAAGCCGCACTTTTACAAGATGACCGGTATCGACAACATTGCGCTTCTCATGGAGGACGACTCGTACACCACCTCGTGCTTCTCCATCTACATGTTCAAGACCGAGCTCGACATCGAGACAGTCGAGAACTTCTTCGAGGTGCTCGCCGAGACGTACCCCAAGTACCGCTATGTCGTCGACCTCGATCCCAAGCTTTCCAAGAAGAAGGAGAAGGAGACGCTCCGTGGCATGCCAGGCACCTCGCCTCCGCGTGGAGAGTTCGACGCGGGGCGTCGCACCCGCTACGGCAAGGGCCTCAAGGCAGGCTCGCTCCTTTCGCCCGCGCGCTGGCGCTTCGTGCCTGATTTCGACATCAAGGAGAACATCAAGCACATTGCACAGTGCCCCAACGGTGGCGACGACGTCGCGCTCAACAAGCTCGCCGGAGACTTCCTCGGCAGCCACTACGACTACTCCAAGCCCATCTGGGGCGCGCTTCTGGTCAACGGCCTCAACACTTCCGACGGCGGCCGCAGCGCCCTGATGATCAAGATCCACCACTGCTTCTCCGATGGTCAGGGAATGATTCAGAGCTACCACGCTGCTCTCGGTGCACTCGAGCAGGGCATTGGCATCCGCGATATCCAGAGGAAGGTCGACTCCAACACCGCACAGAACAAGCGGCCCGGACAGCGCGAGGACAAGCCGACGGCATGGGGTACCATCCGCCACGGCTTCCACCTTGTTCGCGGTCTCTACTTCCGCAGCCGTAAATCGTTCCTCTACCAGGAGAAGCGCGAGCGCGCCGCCGGCAGGCTCTACTGCCACAGCGAGGGTATCGACATGAACGACATCAAGATGATCCGCAAGGCGTATGGCAACGAGAAGCTCAACCTCACCCTCAACGATGTCGCATTGGCCATCCTCGCCCGTGCACTCCGCATCGCCTCGGAACGCGTTGACCCCAGCCGCCGACACAAGGACAAGCGTGTGGCGATCTTTGTGCCCATCTCGGTGCGCCCCAAGGGCGATTGGTCGCTCAGCAACGCTACCACCGGCTCCATTGCGTGGCTGCGCTTCGAGAAGGAGGAGCATCCCGACTTTGAGGCGCAACTCAGCCAGGTTCATCGCGAGATGGGCCGCATCAAGCGCTCGTACGGCCCCAAGATCCTCTTCAAGGTGTTCAACGCCGCCGCCAAGCACCGCATCACGTATTTGCCCAACTACCCGCTTCTGCGCCAGTTCTACTACCGGGCCTTCCGCGAGTATCACGTGGCCACCAACGTCCCCGGTCCTCCCAAGCCGGTGCGCTTCGGTGACCACGAGGCGTACAGCTATCACGTCCTGCCGCCCTCGAGCCCGGGTAAGTCGACCATGGCGATCGGCATGATCTCGTACGCCAACGACTTTTCGCTCGCCGTGTCTTGCGACGATGTGCCCGAGTTTGCGCATCTCGCTGAGGAGATCTGCCAGGCGTTCCAGGATGCCGCCGAGCAGATCATCGAGGCTGCCAACCAGAAGCTCGCAAGCAGCAAGGAGGCGAGCAAGGCGCAATGAAGCCGAGACTGTCCTGTCGAAGAGCGCGTCGTCGGAAACGAGGCCGCGGTCCAAGCAAGGAAGGGCAGCTCAGGCATGGTTGCAACCATCTCTGGTCCCGTCGTTGCCTCGGCGGTGCCGTCAATCAGCACGCCGGAGTGGAAGCGATGGGGATGCGAGGTGGATGCGGACGGACAGCGAGTGGCAAGCCCGGGTTCCTTACCGTCTCGACACCCAGGTGCGCTACCCTGTCCCACAGCGATTCAGAATTTGTTGTCAGGCGCCTCGCGCCGCAAGGCCTTGGCAGCCCATGGCAGCGCGAGTGGATCGGCATTGTCGAGCCAGTCGGCATCGCCGTGGGCTTCGGTGCCGGTCACGCCGGCTTCGACACCAGCGACATCGGATACGGAGACCGACTACTTTGCGGCTGGGCGTCGGTCCCGCGGTGGAGCAAGCGAGAAGAAGAGATCGTCGTGGCTCGGATCGATGCCGGCATCGTACTGGACGTCACAGCGCGTTCCTTGCTTTGAAGGCTCGTCGCCTCCCACCAAGACCTATTCGGTGCGCAACCGCCAGGCGAATTCTCGTGCTGGCTCCTTCTCGTCGTCCTCGAGCGTTTCGGATCGGCTGCATACTTTGGCAGGCGGAGAGAGCAGCAGAGCGAGCGACTCGAGCGTCGAACGCAGCGCAATGGCCCTTGTGCCCAACGCGCAATTCCTCGGCCTGATGCTGTTGATGATCCTGCTCATCTCGTCTCCACTCATCAAGGTGCTTTCGGTGCTTCTATTTGCCGTCATTCTCGTTCTCGACGATGCTTGATCCATTCGCAAGCATTTATACATACCCATGTTCCAGTTTCCTCTTCACGGTCTCTCCTGTAGCGCCCCTTCTGTCTGTATCTCATCTGGCCTTGGTCTAGTCGATCCACCCTCGCTCTCTAATTTTATTGTCATTGATATTCAGACGCAGCCTGGCAGTTGAGTGGAAGCGCGTGTGGGGTCAGGCTCTGCTCTGGTTCGAGAGAAACGCGGGTCGCCAAGTGGCTCGGAGACGAGAGCCATGGTAAGGCGAGAGTAGTGACAGCGTTCAGGCCTGCGATGCAGGGGAGGACGCGCAAATTGGGCGGTGAGGAGTTGGGAGCCGAAGCGAGCTTCTAGGAATTTCCTTCTCCCTTCGCTTGGGCAGGCGCCACACATGCCGGCTGCGTTCTTGAGTCTCGCTAGCCTCGCTTTGCCCGCGTCGCCAAAGGGGCTGCAGCGGCGCACCGAAGAGGAGGCGCGTTCGCCACACCCTCGACGCGTCCCCGCTGGCATGAACCCAACACCCCAACACTCGCTGTCTTTTTGGAATGCAGCTGTGCCGTCGCTCTTATTTGCAGAGTGCAATTCCACTGCGGAGGGTCCGCGGTTCCAGACAGCTGTCTTAGCTGCAGAGTCGATCCGCCAGCTGAGAGCGCCTCTTCCCCCGCATATGCTTGCACTCGCCTTGTCCCACAACGGAGCTTGGTGTCGAGGTCGCTTGGACCTGCGGCTGCAGCCAGCCGGCGCACGCCCCGTCGATCCCGCAGCCCTCGCTGGCCCCATCTCAGCGCCTAGCCTGGTGCGACGCACCCTTTGTTGTCGGCCAATTCGCTAGACCGCCCCTCTTGCTCACGTTAAGCTCTTCCTTGGCGAAGAGGCACCGCCATGAAAATGAGATGGCTCATATCTCTCACGGCCCGTTCAAGCCTGTATCCAAGGTCCCTCTTCCGCTTCCATATACCATCGTCTCTCTTCTACGGTACTCCGACACCGCTTGAGCTTGTTTCCCTTCCCACGGTTCTGCATCTCGACCTGCCTTAGACCCGTCCGTGTAGATTCATATACCCCCACGATCATCCACCTTTCGACTGGCAGCGAATACCTGCTAGTCACGGAGCATCGACATCATGCTTTCCAAGAACTTCGGTGCGCTACTCTCGGCGCTTCTCCTCGTCGCGGCGCCATTCGGTGCGGAGGCGGCCACCATCCAAAAGCCTGGTCTGAAGCAGTCGGAGACGTCGGCGTCTCGTGCCAACCAGATCAAAGCAGCCTACAAAACCTCGTACCAAGCTTATCTGAAGTACGCCACGGGCCACGATGCGCTCCTGCCGCTCTCCAACGGCTTCACTGACCCCTTCGGCGGTTGGGGTGCTAGCGTCGTCGACTCGCTCAGCACGTCGTTCCTCATGGGCCACATGGACCTCTACAACCAGGGCGTCGAGTACTCGAAGAAGATCGACTTCACAAAGACCTCGTCCGATACCATCTCGCTGTTCGAGACCAACATCCGTTACCTTGCTGGTTTGATCTCGGCGTACGAGCTTGGCGGCAAGAAGGAGCAAAAGCTGATTGATCAGGCCAAGGTCGTCGGCGATCACCTCATCACGGGGTGGCTTGGCAGCAACCCGCTGCCGTGCAACACGCTCAAGTGGAACAACCTGGCCACGCCCGACGCCTGCACCTCGTCCGGTATCGCCGAGGGCGGCACGTTGATCCTTGAGATGGACCGTCTGTCCAAGTACACGGGCGACCCCAAGTACCTCAAGCTCGCGACCAAGAGCATGAAGACCATTGCGCAGTCCAAGGGCGTCTTCCCCGGTCTGTTCCCTCAGGTGTATGACCCCAAGACCGGTCTGCCCAAGGACGACTATGTGACGTGGGGCGGTGGAAGCGACTCTTTCTTCGAGTACCTCATCAAGTACGCCTACCTGACGGGCGACGACCAGAGCCTGTGGATCCCCACGTGGGTCAACTCGGTGAGCTCGTCGATCGAGCATCTTATCGAACACCCGGAGCAGACGCAGGCTAAGCAGCTCACCTACCTCACCGACTACTCGGCCTCGAACGGTGGCAATCTGCCTCGCTGGTCGCATCTCGGCTGCTTTGCTGGTGGCAACTGGATCCTCGGCGCCAAGATGATTGGTCAGGACGCGTTTGATCAGTATGGACAGGCGCTGACGGCAGCATGCGCCAACACATACACCGCGAGCCCGTCGGGCATTGGGCCTGAGAGCTTCGTGTTTGTCGGCACCAACAACAATACGGACGGCGTGCGAATCAACAACGCCGCCTTCTACCGCAAGAACGGCTTCGACTTTGAGGTGACGCAGTACATCCTGCGACCCGAGGTGATGGAGTCGGTCTTCTACGCTTACCGCACCACGGGCGATGCCAGGTGGCAGGAGATCGCGTGGAATGCGTGGAACTCGATCTATCGCAACTGCCTCGTCAAGCAGAACGGCGCGCTGGCTGCGCTGGCCGACGTCAACTCGACCTCGCCCACCAAGCTAGACGACTCCGAGTCGTTCCTGTACGCAGAAACGTTCAAGTACCTCTACCTCATCTTTGCCGATCCCGAGGTGGCCAACCTGGACAAGTACGTGTTCAACACCGAGGCGCACCCTTTCCTGGTGGACCAGCCGCAGAAGGCGTCGTACAAGGCACCGGCGGTGAATGTCAAGCCGCCCAAGAAGGACAAGCCCAAGAAGGCCAAGCAGCCGAGCAAGACCGATAAGGATGCCCCCGTGCCCATGTTCTCGAGCCTGCCTGGGCTCAAGCTGCCAGAGGGCGGTGGCAACACGCTGGGAAACCTGCTCGGGTCGATCGGAAAGCGCACTGCTAGCCAGGTCCGTCGTCACCGCGGCGTAGCGCACAAGAGGAGGCAGGACCAAGACGCGGCTGCCGAGGTCTGACGAGGGTCTCCCGTTCGTTTTTCGTGGCATGTTCCTACACTTTCGACTGGTCCAATTTTGCCCTGTTCTACCCGTCTGTGCTGACCCGTGACATTGTTCGTGATTTCTGCATTTGCTGTGAAAGTCACCGTGTGCTGGAGGGGGAGCCGTACATGGCTTCTAGGACGCTGATGAGGCCGCTGCGACCCTTTGCTGCGTTGTCGCGGAAGCGGGTGTAGGACCATTCCTCGACCTTGCGCGCTGCACCGGCGAGGATGCCTGTGAGGCCCGTGCAGCTGATGTCTGCGACCTGGTTGAAGAGCGTGACGGGCAGTTGCTGATTGGTGGCGATGTGCGGCGTGTAGGTGATGTACTCTTTGACGAGCATGTACTGCGAGAGCGAGAGATTGGTGCTGGTCATCTGCACGGCTTTGGTGAATGGGTTGACCATGACCACTTCGCGCACGTACGTGTCTTCGGATGCGCCGATGAGTCGTTTCGCCCAACCGGGCGCGCCTTGCCGCACACCGATGATGCGCTCGGTGCGGAGCTGGCCCGACTCGCGGTCGATGCTCTGGTCAATCACATCCACCGAGACGACGTGCTCAGCGTGCGGATTTGGGTATTTGTTCCACACCGCTAGCGGAGGAAGCAGCAAGTCAGCCTGGTTGAGCGCAATGGTGTCGACGAGAGGAGCGGGACTTACCATTTGCGGTCTCGTGCCATGGATATGAGAACTCCTGCTCTTGCGCAAACGTCGTTGGCATCTTGATCGAGCGCCGGCTGTGGATTCCGAGCGGACAAAAGCGTCAGAAGCGATCCTGAGCTAGGGGTGCTGAATTGTAAGCACCTGGCGTTGTCTCCTGGAAGTGGTGCCACGTAAAGATGGACAGTCGAGGGAAGCGGCGTCGATTGGTTGGCCGGCCTGTGCAGGGTCTGGTGCGGTGCGAGACTGCGTGTGCGGAAGCGGGTGCGTGAAACGCGGGTGTGTGGAGAAAGCGCCGGCCAAGCCCTAAAGCTGCGTCACGCTCAGTCTTGTAAGATCACATCTAGAAAACAAATTCTTCCGCAGAACCTCCCGAGCTTCTGCCGACGAAGTAGTGGAGACACCTTGACTAGTTAGCCAGTTCTGCACCTGCTATCCGTCCTGCCCAATGCCTCAAACAATGAATGACAGAGAGCCAAACTCATGTAGCTCTCCACAGGGAGAGCGGACCGCAAAGCAGCTTCGAGAAGAAAGCATGTGGAGGCGGTGAGTTTGATGCAAGGTTTCCTCCGTAGCCCGAAATCCGAGCTGCGAACCTCAAATTTGTGACCCACAAACCTTCATCCTTTCGCCCTGCTGCGGCTCGCTTCACAACTCGACATCACCCCTGAAAGTCAGACACTCCACACCAAAGATGGCAGAGGAGGCGGAGAAGTACGATCTGGACACGTCGGCGCTCGACGCTCTCGACAAGTTCCGTGCCGAGAAGGCGGCCGAGGAAGCGCAGCTGCTCAAGTTCACCCAGTTCGCATCCCGCAAGTCGCAACAGCGCTCGTCCAAGAAGTCCAAAGCCAGAGATGCCGCCAAGCCGCTGACAAAGGAGGAGGAGGAGGCCGAGGAAGCAAAAGCAGAGGCAGCGCTGCTCGCAGAGATTGAAGCCATCGCTGACCTCGAGCGTCTCAATGGCGTCGCACCGGATTCCGCCGACTCGATGCTCGCCAACCTCGCCTCGCGTCTCGAGACCGGCAGCAACTCGGGAGACGAGACGGCAACAGGCGCAGACAGCAATGACGACACAAGTACACTCGACGTAGACACATTCCGCAAGACCTTCGGCGAGAGCTGGCAGCTGTCGCAGTTCTGGTATTCGGCCAAATTCGTCCACGAGCTCTCCGAGCTCATCTTCAAGCTCGTCTCTTCATCGTCTGTTCCTTCCTCGTCCGATCATGCTGCCATCAAGTCGGCATTTGGAGATGCTCGTGTTGGCTTCCTCTGCTGCCCAACAGCATGGGTGGGTTTCGTGCACGAGTACCCTGCGCTCAAGCAACAGGCCTTTGTATTTGAAGTCGACAAGCGCTTCCACGCACTTAGTAGGACCTCATTCGTTTACTACAACCTCCACGAGCCCGAGACAATCCCCGCAGAGCTGCTGGGAACGTTTGACGTGCTTGTGGCGGACCCGCCTTTCCTCAACGTCGACACGCAGACCAAGGTGGCCACCACCGCCAAACTGCTCGCCAAGCCCGATGCCAAGATCCTCCTCTGCACGGGCGAGAGCATCGCCGACGAAGCCACCAAGCTCTACGGCGAGCCACATCTGCAGAAGCTCGACCTCGTCGTGGAACATCACGGCCTCGCAAACGCCTTTGGCATCTGGGGTAGGACATGACCTCGATTCGACTCTATGAAATTCAACCTGCGGAGATGTATGATATAGAAGCACATGAAACAGAGCAAGATTCGCACCTTCTATCCTCTGAACCGAGCGCGAAAAGAAACCGAGGAGTCTAACCCTCAATCGCCTGCTTAATCCCCTTGGCATCGAGGAAGTACCTTGCGTACTTGGGCTCGACAAAGATGGCTCGGCACTCGAGCAGCAGCTGACCGTCGACGTCCTTGAGCGTGCCCTTGACTACGGCCTTGCGGCCCTTCTTCTCGACGAGCTCGGTCTGCAACACGATGAACTGGTGCGCCATCGTGGGCTTGCGGTAGTCGATCTCGAGGCGCGCCGTGACGCCGATCTTGCCTGGCAGATTGTACATGGCCGTTCGGGCCAGCGCCTCGTCGCATACCGTCGCGAGCATGCCGCCGTGAACGATGCCGTCGTGGCCACATACACTGCGTCCGAGGTGCAGCAAGATGGTGCTGTCGCCCTCTGCGCCGCCGAGCTGTTCGGCACCGACACCCGTCTTGGTGAAGACCAGAGGCGGCACTGCCACCATGCCCGGGCCACGGAGCGAACCGGCAGTGAGGTTGTGCTGTGCCTTCTCGCGGCTGTACTTGAGATAAGGACGCGTCATGACATACTGGTGTGTATCCGCCGCGCCACCTTCGACGGGTGGACCGGATACAGCGACGTTGGCGCCAGGAATGCGACCGTTGGCAGGCACCTCGACCGTGGTGGACTCGTCAACATCGGTGATGTGCTTGCCCTGCGAACGCAGCACTTCGAGCTCAGCTGCAGAGCCGTGCGCTACCGACGATGACTTGAGCTGCTTGACGATGGCGAGCGAGTGCAGAGCATCTTCGATCTCGCGCGTATGCGCCTCGGCCTCGGGACCGTCGCTCCTGAGCCTGGGCGGTGTGGCAGGCTTGAAGATGAGCTTGAGCATCTGTGGAGGGTAGAGCGATCCGAAGAGGTAAGACGAGATACCGACGAGCGAGAGCGCGATGGTCGCCTTGACAAATGTGCTGCCTGCCGCCTTGGGTGCTGGCGAGGTTGACAGTGGGCGGCGCGGCGCAGCACCCGCAGGTGCGGACCATGCCAAGGTCGGTGATGCATTCGGAAGTCTTGGAGCGAGCGAGGATGGAAAGGATGTGGAGCGCGGACCTCTCAGGCCAGCAGACAGCTGCCGCAAGGGCACTGTCGATATTGTCGTGGGTCGCATGTCTATGGATGAAAGGGGAGGATGAGGTGGACGAAGAAGAAGACGCGACATGCGCATCAACCGGCACTTGATTCGGAGAAAACCCGGGACTGAGACTTTTCTCGGCGGAGATTCAAAAGTGTGAGATCAGGCGAGACACAACAATTTGTAGCCAACGCGCCACGTGAGGGTCGAAGCTGCAATCGCTATGCATCGCGGCAGTCACAAGATGTGCCATCCGCCTGATCAGAAGCTCTTCAACCCATCCCTTCGGGTTTTTCTGGCGCGCGAAGCTTAATTCTGCGCAGAGCCGCGTGCTGCCCGTTCATGTGAACCGGCCAAAAGAGAGGGCGCACAGCGCGTCCGCCGAGCGAAGATCGGAGCTGATCCGCGCGCTCTATCCCCTCCTCCATCCTGCCACCACTATCCAGCTTAAGGACGCCCGTGTTCCAGAGATTATAAGGATGTCTCACATCGACTTGACCACCGAAGGACAGCCAAGCCCCTCTCCAGTTCGCTCGAACGCAAGAGAGGCTTCGAACGAGCTTGAGCTTGCCTGGAGGACGCTGTCGGGACTGAAGAGCACGAGCTACAACGAGGGCCTCAAGATCATCAAGTGGGCCGGACTGCTGGAGCCAAAATTGGAGTTTGACACCCAGGCGTCCGGGCTTCTCTTCGAGTCCCCGCTTCAGTTCCGACACACCTTTGACGAGCTACAGGCACGTATGATAGAGGCTCAGTGCTCGGTGAGCTATTTCGATGGCACCTCCGCTTACGGCAAATGTGACCTTTCCCTGGGTCACCTCATTCAGGCCATTTCGTCTTCGGCGACAGGTTCGTACGGCGATCTCCGAACACCCATCATCGCACATGTAACGTCAGATTCGCGAAACTACAAGAGCACAAAGGGCCTCGTCCAGGCCGGTCAAGCCGAAGCCACGGCCGACATGTTTGGCGGGCTCTCAACCGTGTCGCCGTGCGCCGTCTTCTCCCAGGATTGGTCGCTATTCGTGAGCAGCCCCGGCGCCCTTCAGCCCATCACCATTGATGGAAGCTTCACTTCAGCAATCATCGTCGTCACGCACGGCTCTCAGCTCGTGATCACCTTCGAAAGGTCCGAGTCAAACAAAGCCGTCATGAAACGCGAGCACACCTACAAGACAACGACTTCGCTGTTGCGTGCGCTGAGTGGACCCCAGTTCCTCTACCAGCAGCCTGGCCAGGCGGTCTATATCGCAAGTGGTCAGGCGTACTTGGTCCTCTCACTTCAAGCGGGGGCAAGTTATGTGCTCGATTGCGCAAACCCCTCGAAGAAGGATTGGGAGCTCACAATCAGAGCCAGGGAGAACACCTTCGAGGAAATTCTCGAGCCTGACCAGACAGAGGAAAATCTTCGAGGAGCACTGGCACGAGTCAATGGCGAGATCGAGCTTTGGCGCCGTTGCGTCTCACGAGTCAATGGCGAGATCGAGCTTTGGCGCCGTTGCGTCTCTCTCTTGCCAGACGAAAGGAATTCCGATCTGGACGCAATCTCTCGACCCGAGGGCGAGGGCTTCCTCGCCAAGATGACCCAAGGCCGAGACCGGGTCTGCGATGCATACGAACGTGTCAAAAGACAGAATCGGGGGCCCGAATTGGCTCAGGCAGCGGGGGCGGACGAGGCGGCTGGTGTAGCTGCGGCATGTGCCAAGAGGCCTGCCAGCGGCGACGTCGAGTCAGGAACTCCCAGGAAGAGATCCGTCACCGACTCGTCGGGCGCGACCATCAAGGAGGAATTGGTACAAGGGCCCTGTCGATCGAGCGGACCCCATGCATTCGGTCGGCGCAACACACAGTTCGACTTTCTCTGCACACATGAATGCGATTCCTTTGCTTTGCTTGATTACATGTGCGTTGCGAGCGAAAAGCTACTCGTGGATCTTCCAGAACACGACGGTGGAGACGGTGCCGGCCTTGATGCTTTCTTCGATCTGAACGTTTTTCTTGGTCTTTCCTTGTTGAACCGCAGTGGTTGCGGTGGGATTGAGCTGGTCCTTGTGCGAGATGGCGGGAGGGAGGTGAGTGTCGGTCTTGGTCTTGGAGGCGAGCTGGAGGCGGTTGTGAGGCATGTGGGTAAGTGCGCCCGAGTTGAGGTCCGCCTCGCGCAGCTTGGGATCAAACGCCGGCGTCGGCTTCGGTGCTGCAAGGGCGGCGATCTTCTCTGGCGATACAGCTAGACCATCCTGTTCCGAGATGATGTTGCCTCCCGCAACCGTCGTAAGACCGGGCAGAGGCTTCAAGTGCTGCGGGACTGCGAGGTTGGATCGCTTGCCCACACCCAGCTGGAACCCGGCGTTGGCACCCCAGACCATAACGTCACGACCAAAGGCCATGTGTCCGTCCGGTTCGACCGTGTCCAGCACCAGCGCGACATGACCGGGTTTGCCAACGCTGATCGAGTGAATGGGGACGGGATGGGTTTGTCCCGTAGCTTCTGAGAACTCGATGAGACCCGAGACAGTCTTTACGCGCGAGGGCTGCGAAACAACCTGACTCCACATCGCATTGCCAATCGTGCCCCACTGACCCTTGCCCGACGCAAGCAAGTCAATCTTGAACTTGCCACCAGCCTCCCTACGCGTGGTCATGAAGAACGAGTTGTCGGCACCGGCGGCGATCGAGGTGGCACGCACATCGAGCGAGCTGTTGGAGAATGACCTGCTGAGAACCACCTCGGTCGGCACGGGCACGCACTCCATGCTAAAGCTCGTGCCGAGGCCACATTGACCGTGCGTGTGACGGCCCCAGGCAAGCACACGACCGTCATGGGTGCGGGCCAGGGAGTGCTCGTTGCCCGCCGCGATCTGGACCACATTGACTTTGCGCAGTGCCGGCACCTCGTGCAGAGTGGTGCACCAACGGATGCTGTCGACCGGCTCGGTGAGTGGCTTGGGCGGCGGCGCAGGGTCGGTGCTGGTTTCAAACGCAGGCTCGGAGCTGGCCTGAGGCTTGGACGTGCGGTTGGTCTGAGTCGGAGGAGCCGGAAGCCAGTCGGATGGCACCAGACTCGCGATGGGACGGCCGCCGTGGTTGGCCTCGAGCTCCGCAAACACTCGTGGCTCGAGAAGAGTCTCAACATGGCCTGCTTTGCTGTCGGGCGTCTTGGGCGAATTGAGCCAGACGCGACGAGTGCCGAGCTGACCAAAGGCATTGGCCTCCTCCCCGATCGGCGTGACAAAGGTGCGTCCCTTGTTTGTGACCGACAGGAGGTGGTCGGCTCCAGCAACAATGTCGTGCACCTTCTCGGTACTGCCCCAGTGCGCGGACGGAGCGGGATGCAGGACCTCGTGGTCGATCGTCGAGCTGGCAAAGGCGTTGAAGAGCGTCAAGGGGTTCTTGGACCAGCCCGGGTACTTGGGCTTGGCCTGCTGCTGCTGCACTGCCGAGAAGACGTAGATGTGGCCGTCCTTGGAGAGCGCGTAGATCTTCTCTTCAGTGGCTTCTACCTTGATGATGTTTTTGCCGGTGAGCGTCTTGACTGGGTTGAGGACGAGGCTGGCGGTGTTAGCGAGCGGAGCTTTGAGGTTGGCGGCGGCCTTCTCGCGTCTTCGGCCGAGGGGCACATCTTCGACGGCTGTGACTTCGCGGACGCCGGGATCAAAGAAGCCGAGACCCCACTGATACACGTCGCCGTTGGCATCCACAGCCACGCCATGCTTCTCCTGCAGGTTGATGTCTCGCAGCGCCACTCCGTCGAAGAAAGGAATGGATCGAGGCGAGCGGATGAGCGTGACAGAAGGTGCGTCGGGAGCGACGACGTTGTAACGGTTCGAGCCCCAAGCATAGACGCCCTGCAGCCTTGCACGATCGCGCATCTGGTCCTGCTGAGAAACAAGAGGAGGTGATGTACCCCCAAGAGGTGCCACGGCAGGAGCCGCTTCCGCATGTACGGGTGAAGAGACCGAGTACCAGGTGGTCAGGGCAGCTGCAGTCACAGCTGCGGCAGCCGTAGCATATCGAGATCCCCTGCTACCAGCGTTATGTGACAGGGAAGCTCGTGCTGCAACGCTGTCGTTGGAGAACTTCGGTTTGGACGAGCCCGAGTAGGCGCGTTGTTGGACTGCGCGAGTCAACGTGGTGCTGGCGCGTGAGGAAGTAGGGAGCTTGATGATCATCGCCCTGGTGGACGGGGCCCTCATTGATGCAGACATACTGTTATGAATCCGACGATCAACGCGATGGGATGGGGGATGAGGACGGAGAGAGCATGCAAGGCCGGATTGCATAGTCGAGTCCCGCAGCCGCGCAAAAAAAGATGGTGGCCCTTGCGGACTTGCGGGCTTCTCTCACCTAAGCTGCGCACGATTGGTAAGCGGGTGCGCAGAGCGCCTGATTGTTAGACCGCAGGTGCGGAAAGTTGCAAAAAAACCGCTTCCTCCACTTCTGCAAGTCGGCGGGGGACCCTGCATAAGAAGAGAGGGCACGCGCAATGAGCTCATGGCATTCGAATGCCATTTCCCGCTGCAGGGCCTGACTGATGCGGCACACCATCAAGGTGGCGGAATTGCTTCTTCTTGCGGATGTGCGGGCAAAACATGCGGATCTGACTCCTTCGTCCGCCATCCCGACATCCACCGCCATCATCCGTGTCTCTCAACGACGACAATCACAAAGAGCACGATCGATCTTTTCGCCCCTTCTATCAGGCCGCACTAATCTGCCATCGCATAGCTGCAGCCTGCAGCGGCATACATGATCCGCCGGTACTGCTGGCAGACCGCTTTTCAGAGCTTGCCATACACTCCAAGTGCTTCGATCATCCGGAGAAGCATTCCTCAGGCCTGCCTGCACCTCGACATGGTCCGCCGAAGTGCACGCGCATCCACCACTGCGGTGAGCTATGCAGACGCCGGATCGTCATCCGATGATGCGGCAGCCTCCGAGCTAGCACCGCCGCCCAGCCGCGCCACAAAGGCTGTCAAGGTGACACCCAAAAAGGCTGCACGTGTTCGCTCAAGCCAAACGGCTGTTACCGCAACCAACAAACCCACACCCAGAGCCAGAGGCACCAAGAAGGAGGCACCTCCATCGCCGGCACATGACTCAGCAGCTGGCTCCCCCAAACTCGGCCCTGCCGACGGGAAGTCCGAAGATGCAAAAACAGCCAGGAAAAAGCGCGGTGAGGGAGCCGCCAAGAAGGAGAAAGTGGAGACACCAACTCATTTCGAGACCAGAGTCAATGTGCATGGAGAAGAGTATCAGATCGAGCTCGATGAAGAGGGCGATCCGGTCAGACGAGACAAGAACGGCCGTCGTCTCGCCAAACGCAAGAAGAAGGACATCGTATACGACATTCCCGACGTGCCTAAGCGCGATTTCAGCCTCGAAGGTCCACCTGGGAAGCGACAGGAGCGCAGCAATGGCTTCGTCGGTCGGCTGGGCTATGCCTGTCTCAACACAGTCCTTCGATGGCAAGATCCACCCATCTTTTCCAGTCGCACCGCCCGCATCAAGACCATGGACGAACAAGGTCCCGACTACATCAAGGAGCTCGGACGTCTGAATGCAAGAGACATGATCCCGATGATCCTATGGAACGAGGAGAACAACATCAAGTTTATGCGCCTATCATCTGAGGTCTTCCCCTTTGCTTCGCACGAGAAGTATGGATATTCACTCAAGTATGCAGAGAAGGAGCTTCGCGCTGCAGGCGATCTGGCCAAGAAGCTTGGACATCGCCTCACGATGCACCCAGGCCAGTTTACACAACTGGGTAGCAACCGCCCCGAAGTCATCGAAGCGAGCATCCGCGACCTCACTTCGCACTGCGAGATGCTCGATCTCATGGGCATGGGCAAGGACAGCGTCATGATCATCCACGGCGGTGGCACGTTTGGAGACCGCGAAGCGACGCTGCAGCGCATGCACGACACGTACACTACCAGGCTCTCCCAGAACGTCAAGGACCGCCTCGTCCTGGAAAACGACGAGATGGCATGGAGTGCCGAGGAGCTCCTGCCACTCTGCAAGGAGCTCGATATCCCCATGGTGTTTGACTTCCACCATGACCTGCTCCGCCCGTCGTCGCGCCCTCCCTCCAAACTTCTGCCCGAGATCCAGGCAATTTGGCACAAGAAGGGCATCACGCCAAAATATCATCTGTCCGAACCGCGACCTGGTTCATCCAATCTGCGGGAGCGTCGAGCCCACTCGGATCGTTGTGGCTTCTTGCCGCCCGACCTACCTGCTGACGCACATCTCATGATCGAAGCAAAGGATAAGGAGCAAGCGGTGCTCGAGCTCTATCGCATCTATGACCTTCAGCCCGTCAAGCACGAGTCGCTCCGTCCGCCTGCCAAGGATATTGGCGTCAAGACTTCAGGTCGCAAGAGCAAGCTCGGAGGCGAACGGCTTCCGCGCGAGCCCAAGAAGGGCAAGGTCAAAGACGAGGAAGCCGCAGCCGAGCCCGTTCAGCTGAACCCGAAAAGCCTGTCGAAGGCGGAGCGTGCCATCGCTAAGTCTAAAGAAGTTGCTAAGCGACTGGGCAAGGTATACACGGGACCTGGAGCCGATGTTGGAGAGGACGAGGGCATCGAGCTAGCCGCACCCGAGCCACGTCCGGGCGAGGAGGGCTACGTCAAGACGAGCGAGGAAGTTCTCATTGACATGCACATGGAAGCCGCCTGGGTACGCGCCGAGCTTCAAGCTGGCCGCGAGCGACGCCCCTTCGGCACTGAGCCAGGCGCAGCAGTCGACGAGGCCGACATGGATGGCGAGGACATGGACGAAGATGGCGTGGCGAACGGTAAGGCCGACGTCAAGCCAAACAAGGCAAACGGGAAAGGCAAAGGTGCAGCGGCTGCAGTGGCTCTGACGCCGCAGCAAAAGAAGCGCGCCAAGGCGGCCATGGTCGATGACGGGCAGCGCGTTGTGCTGGCTCAGGGGGCTCCGTCAAAGGAGCTCGTAGAGGATCACGAGCAAATTCATGTTGCACCGGCCGCCCAGCCCAGGGCGAGTACCAAGAGAGGGAGGAAAGCCAGCGCTTCCAGTTAGAGGTGGAATCTTCTCTCGCAATTCAATGCAAAACACCTTGATGCTCCTTTAGGATCTGCAGAACGTGCGACTGGAACAAGTCTACTCAGGGGTGCCGAGAGCATGAGTCAGATCCAGAGCGTACTCGTTTGAAGGCTTGCCCGCAGTAGCAATTCCTTGTGGCCCGTCTATCCTAGTGGCAGGGCGCTTCGTGATGCCGCCGGAGTTTTAAACGGCGTTTAGAAGCAATTCTCGTGCCTGACTCGACGTTGCACAGACAGCCTAATGAACCTCCACCAGAGCTCTGATAACGCTTGCTCCTTCATCACATCCACCCACGACGCCATCATGATCACGCTCAGCGACGAAGAAGCGCTTGTGCGACTTGGTTCTACAGTGTCGACCGATCCGGCGCCGTATCCGTCCCGCGTCGTGATCCCAGGGCAGTACGTCGACCTGGTCCCGCTCACGCCCGAGCATGCTGATGCGCTATTCCCCATCGTGGCGCAGGCGGAGCACGAGCGGCTGTGGGACTACATGCTCGAGTTTCCCTTCAATGGAGACCGCGAACGCTTCAATAAGTACGTTCAGGGCCGTTGCAGCAACGAAAACAACATGGTCTTCTGGGCGATCGAAGACAAGAACCCCGCGCCCGGCTCACCCAAGGTTCTCGGCCTGATTTCGTACCTTCGCATCGACCCTGCAAACCGCACCATCGAGATTGGAAACGTCATGTTCTCGCCCTTCTTACAGAGATCGCGCAAGTCGAGCGAGGTAGTGTATCTGATGATCAGCCACGCGTTTGACACGCTCGGATACCGCCGCGTCGAGTGGAAGTGCAACGACCTCAACGTACCCTCCAAGCGTGCTGCCATCCGATACGGATTCACGTACGAAGGGCTTTTCCGCAAGATGTTCGTGCTCAAGGGCAGGAACAGAGACACGGCCTGGTTTGCCATCATCGACGACGACTGGCCACAGCGCAAGGCGGCATTGCAAACTTGGCTCAGCCCGGACAACTTTGACCCCGTGACGGGCGCCCAGAAGCTTTCGCTCAAAGAGGCGCACGCAAAGCAGGGATACACGGTCCCAGACTCCCTCGCACTGCCTCCTCGTCCTTTGTAGCAATGATACGACGGCATCTGCACTCGTATACGTTTTTTTTTTTTAAAGCCATGTAGCGATCAATTATTCGCGGCCAGCTTTTGTGACCGCTTTTTTCGTCCGCTTTCTTCTGTCTTTTAGGCGCGTGAGAAAGCCCCTAAAATCACGGACCGTGCAATTGAGGTGCGGGAGCGGAATGCGGAGATCAACACTCTGACCGCGAGCTGCGACACGCGTGACCTGGGTGTTGCTCTTGCTGCAGTGGCCGGTCTATGAGACCAACGACCAACATATTGAAGCACCGAACCAGAGCAGCTGCTTGATCAGCTTGAAGCCGACCGCATCTCATGGCTTGGGAGCCTGCGAGGCGAGGTGCTCCTTCGCCGTCCGCTTCGCCAACGCCGTCGACCGTGGCTGCGTTTGCGATGCGCAGAGACACAGCGTCACCCTTTGTCTCCTCGCCAGCCTTCCGCGACGTTGCTTCGCCTATGAGCGCCTCGCATGCCTCGGTCAGCAAAGATGCGGCTCGTGCTACGCTTTCGCCCCGGCCGATGTCGCCTGCTGCGTACCGCTTCGATGCTAGCGCCTCTGGCTCATCGTCCAGACCAAACGCATCTGCGTCTGCCTCATCGCAAAGCGCGACAAATGCGAATGTCGACGATGGCATCTCTACAAAACCTGCAGAGAGAACGAACAAACGCTCTCAGCAGGGCGGTGACCAGACTCTCAGCATGCGGAACAGCGATAAAAGCGCCGAGCGCGCCTTCTATCGTCGCGTACTCTTTCAGGACCTGTCCCCGAACGCCGAGGCTCCCACCATCACGCATGGTGCCGACCTGGACCACGAGATCTACCTGCTGCTGGCCTACCTCTTGCGAGAGACGGTGCTTCCGTGGTACAGCAAGCTGACGCCCGACCGCGAATTTCTCACTCAGATCACCTCGATCATTACTGCGATCGTCCACACCATCACCGAGCGCCAGCTCTTCACAGCCCAAGCCAACGCGTCGTCGCCTGCGACTCACGAGAGCGACATTCATGCTCCGCGTACGCCTGCTCAGTCGGACCTCGTCCGCATCCACGACCTACTTTCCCGCGACATTCCTTTCGTCCTGCGGCAGCACTGTCACGAGTTCCGGCTAGCGTGTGCCAAGGCAGGCAGCGTATGGGCACCCCTGGGTGCCTCTGCAACCCCGCCAACACTGACGAAGGACGTGTCTTCGGTCGAGCACGACGAACAGCGACACCAGCAAGTCCACGAGCGCGTTCCCGCAGAATATCAAAGCGCGTTCTTGCCGTCGTCGACGATCGACTCTGCGTCCGCTTCTCCTTTGCACGTCGCACAGCTGCTGAGCGCGGCCTGCCCACATCCGGGCATCGGCGGCGAGTCCGGCTCGCTCGACGGCAAGATCGACTTGACGTATCTACGCATCGCCGTCCTCAACCTGCTCTCATCGCTGATGCCCGCCGACGAATTTACGCCCGATACGGAGAAGTTCATCGTGCGAGATGTGCTCGTCACAGTCCTACGAGGCGCGCTAGCCCGCTCGTTCCGACCATGGTTCTTTGTGCAGAGCATGCACAGGGCTCTCGACGCAGCTGGCTGGCCGAGCCATCCCACACTGCCATCTTCAGAGTCAGCTCACAGGCTGAGCAGCGAGCCAGTGCAGACAGCAAACACGCCAGCTCCGGCTAGCCAGGTGACGGCATCGATTCTGACGCTGATCTCGAGACTGCCGCTGCTGCTTGTTAATGCTTGGACTTTTCTGGTGCTACGTGCGTTGCCATTTGTGGCGCGAGCGTATCTCGATCTGTTCAACGTGCATCGCGAGGCCAGTCGCAAGAGACGAAGGCGGCAGCAACGCCAAGCGGAAGGCGGATCGATGCATGTGCGGACGTCTTCGACGAACCAGATCCCCTCTTCGCTGTCCACCGGCAGCCTGAACGAGCGCAAGATGCATGGCCGCTACCCGTCACGCAAGTTTCAGTTTGGGTCGGACGGAACGCTGCTTGACCGCGGTAATTCGTCTGCCGCTCCAAAAGGTGCCGACGAGAGGCGCGAGACCGAGACAGCTGCCGCAGTCGCGACCGAAGATGTGGAAGAATCGCATTCTTTGCACGACTACGTTGGCAACTGGTTCAGCGCGACCGAAGAGATCCTGCAGGTCAGCTCGCACGCGCTGTTGCGGACGGCGTTTGGCTTTGTGCGGACGGCGCTTGGAGCAAGTGGTATGGACGCGGTGCTCAATCGGATAATCGTGCGCAAGATCAACGCAGCAGTACGGGACGCAGAGACCTGGACGCGGATGGTGCAGGAGCTCCGGCGCATCCTATTGCCAAACGGACACCTTCCGCCGTCGGTCCCAGATCCGGATGTCGAGACGCAAGAGGCCGAGTGGATCCGACTGCGCACGCGGCTGGTCTGCAGTCCGTCGGCCTCAGCCGGATCGCCTTCAGACGCACAGCAAGAGTCGTTACTGGCGCGGATCAGCAAGAAGATGCTGCTCGGAAGTGCCGATACCAGCCTCGGGCGGGGCGATCGCGCGTCGCAGGTGCGCGACACGCAGATCCAACTGCAGACCGTCACCGCCTGGCTCGCCCCCTTCTGCTCTCCGCAGGCGGCAGGGTCCAACACGCTGCTCGCCATCCTGCTCTTCGAGCGGGTCGTGGCGACTCTCTGCCCCGATCTGACCATACCTTAGCAGCCGCAACAGCTGCTGCTGCCTGGAGATACCCGATCCGCGCTCGACCGGAATAGGGAATATAGCGCTCTAACATACTTCCGCCTTTTGAAACCTGTGAGGTCATTTTCGTCATGCACGCGGGTGAGCGCGACATCGATACCGTAATCCGGCTTTCACGCGACCTCTAACCGAGCTGTCCAGACATGCCTGAGCTGTCGGCTTTTTAGTGCCCAGGAAGTGGCTCCCGCGACCTGCTGACAAGTCGATATCATCATCAGTGCCACAAGCGGGCGGCGCGCGATGCTAACAGAGCCTGTGCTTCTATTAGGTGGCGATTCAAGGGCGAAGGATAAAGCAAGATGGTTTGGGCTGACTCGAAGAGAAGCCTTTGGGCGTGACCGGTAATTGGGCTTGCTGTAACCGGGACCGATCCGCGACATCGCGGTGGGCAGGCAGTGCGTGATTCACATGCTCTTTGGCTGAGCCGGGACGGTGCCGTACCGTAACTTGCCGACCGCCGACTGGAAAGTGGGATCTGCAGCGAAGTTTTTGCCATTTTTTTTCTCCGACACAGCGTGGCGGCCATGAAGAGATCGAGCCAAGGAAGGAGAATTTCCACTTCGCTTAGTCCGCATGCCCTCGAGTATTTGGCCGGAACACCCGAACTTTTTCCTGCAAGCGGATCGACACGCTGCTCAGCCAAACCTGGCAGCGCGCGCGTCGGCGACACGATCACGTAAGGACCCCGACCAGCCACTGCAACGGTTGACTCTCGACACTCTCGGCTCAACGCCGGAGAACTGCATGGTGGACCGTCAGTGAATCAGCAGAGGACTAGATCTAAACTGTCAAGCTCAGTGGGTGCGGTGTAAGAGAGTGGGAAACCACCGAGGCTTGCAGATTAGAGCCAGAAACGGCGCGACGATAAGGGATTGGATTAGCTACGGGTCGGACTACTTGGCCTGCTTTGCGTGCGCCGTCCGAGCCTCATGCGTGGCGGCACACGGCGAGCCGACAAGGCCGCTCAGCCTCGAGGCGAGATCCCGCACCGGTGCGTGCGGATCGAGCCGGACGTATTGCACAGCTGCGTGCTTAATTTCTTCTCCAGTCCTCTGGAAGCCGCCTGCGCCCCTCAAACCCTGTCGAACCGTTCCAGCTCCACTATGTCTGCATGGCGTGAGAGGCTGGCCGTTAACCTAGATGGCGTAGTTTGTAGACTGAGCGTGCAGACCCCACTTTCACGTCACCTGCAGGCCTGTGTTGCCGGCCAAGCCGTGAAACCCTGAGCGCAGCAGAGGGCCCTGCAGCCAAATCATTGCCTCACCATTGGCTCTGTCGCCGCTGGCTTGTCGCTTGCGTGCCACACCTTGCAGCCTGTCACCCTGCCTTGGAGTCTTGACTGCCCCGCATCAACGCCAGTTCCTTCTCCATCAACCATCACTTCCACGACCGACAATCGACCGGCCCATTTCATCCCCTCTCCCACTATCACTCTTCTCTACACATTGCCTACGTTCGCCATGTCGAAGACGGGAGACTTTGAAGCTGTCAAGAAGGATATCCTCGCTGTCCTTAAGCAGCCCGAGTACGATGACGGCTCCGCAGGCCCCGTGCTCGTCCGACTAGCCTGGCACGCGAGCGGCACCTACTGCGCCCAGTCCGACACGGGCGGATCCAACGGTGCCGGCATGCGCTACGAGGCTGAGGGCGGCGACCCCGCCAACGCTGGTCTTCAACACGCCCGCGTCTTCCTCGAGCCCATCAAGGAGAAGCACTCGTGGATCACCTACGCTGATCTTTGGACGCTTGCCGGTGTTGTCGCCATTGAGGCCATGGGCGGCCCTCAGATCCCCTGGCGCGCTGGCCGCACCGACTTTGCCGATGACTCGCGCCTCCCCCCTCGCGGTCGTCTGCCCGACGGTGCACAGGGCGCCGACCACCTCCGACACATCTTCTACCGCATGGGCTTCAACGACCAGGAGATCGTTGCGCTCTCGGGTGCACACAACCTCGGCCGCTGCCACTCGGATCGCTCGGGCTTCGAGGGTCCTTGGGTCAACTCGCCCACGCGCTTCTCGAACCAGTACTACAAGCTGCTGCTCAAGCTCAAGTGGTCGCCCAAGAAGTGGGACGGCCCCTTCCAGTACGTCGCCAAGGCGCCCGGTGCCGACGACGACGACGAGCAGCTCATGATGCTGCCCACCGACTACAGCCTCATTCAGGACGACAAGTTCCGCCCCTGGGTCGAGAAGTACGCCGAAGACCGGGACGCCTTCTTCAACGACTTCTCCAAGGTCTTCGCCAAGCTTGTCGAGCTCGGCGTGCACCGTGACGAGGACGGCATCGCGAGAGCGGACAAGATGAAGCAGTACAAGGGTGAATACAAGTCGGCGCCGCAGAAGCCGCCTGTTCCCGGCGCGCCAGGTGCGGGTAAGGACGGCGAGGCCAACCCGCTCGCACGCCAGAACAGGATCGCCCACCAGCAGATCAACGCCAAGGCGAGGCTCTAGATCTTTCCCTCATTGTATTCCGTTTCTCCTTTTAGCATTCTATGTATCGGACCCGCAAATACAGTTTTGATAGACATTTCGGTCGAGATCAGACAGAGCTGAAGATCCCGAGTGAAAGCTCGCCTGCCAAGTTGAGTGTTGAGCAACGGCGCCGAACGGCTCGCTGTCCAGCTGCGAGTGAGCTAGGCCAGGTTGGCGGTTTTACCAATCGTCGTCTTCCACGAAGACCGGTTCGTCGACATGGACCCCCCTTGCGCGATAAGCCCTTGCGATGTCGTCTGGACCTGGATCCTGTTTAGCTTCGGGACCCTTCTCCGCCTTTGCTCTCTGCTGCGCCTGTTGTTCGAGCATCTGTTTCGCATTGGGGCCGATGGGCCAGGTGCCATCGACGTGCCAGCTGGCCTTGAGTGTCGCTACCACCACATCGAGTGGCAGTCCACGTCCCTGCCCAGCTCCTGTGATGGGCTTTCCGGTCTCGAGGGCGGCGTGGAGTTTGCTGAGGATCTCGGGCCAAGCGACGTTGCACAGGTGCGTCTCATCGTCGGCGGTGCGTTGCAGCGTGGCGCGGACGCGGGCGAGTGTCGCGGTGAACGATGGGCTTGCATGGACGCGGCTCGGCACGCGCGCGTCCAGCCTCGCTCCAGCCATCACCCTCCCATACGACGCTCTTCTGTGAAGTCAAAGCTAGCGAATGGAGGAGATGGCGCAAGCACAAGATAGCACAAGGCTCGGAGTGCGGAAGTTCGGGGTGCGGAAGACTCTGAGCAACGGCAACGGACTCCATTTTCTCTGAGACCGGACATCGGGGAGGAAGAATAAATCGGGCAACGATGCAGTTTATTCAAACCTAACAATTCTGAAAAATGCAAAGCGCCCCTGTCGGCGCATGGGCGCAGCGATGACAGCTGCGGAACATGTCTCAGGGGTCAGCTGCAGCGAGCTTTGTGGGCTTGGCTCGACCGTTCCTTCCAACACTGCTTCCAACCCCTGACGAGCCCTCGCTTGCCATTCACTCGGGGCTCGGCTTCGAGGATTTTTGTGAGGATCCTGAGGGCAATACGGTCGACGTGACTTTCCAGATTGGGATGGCGGACAAGGCGTGGCGGAATGCATGGCTTCCCTCGCAAAGGCGCTGTAATGAGACAAAACTGACAGGGGCGGCTGAGTTAGATGCGCCTGCGCCGCCTATTCAGGGTGCAGAAGGATCCGATTGGTGCCTGAGCGCTCACAGCATCCTTTCATAGGTACCCCTAAGGCGACGTCGCCGCCCGCCAACGCAGCCGACATGTGCTAGACGCCCCTGCAATGCAGCCAGCTAAGTTTAGAAGCCCAAAGCTACCGACGCTGTTCGCGACTTCCCCGCATCAGAAGTCCCGCAGTCACTCAGGATCTCTCCCGGTCACAGAATCGTTTTCTCGACCCTGCACACTCCCACCATCGAGCCCTTACATCACGACCTTTGCCACGATCCTGACCACGACAACCCACCACCAACTCCTCCTCACGGCTTGACGAACGTGCACAATGATGGCGACTCAAGCACCAGCACGCAGACGTGGCGCCAAGCTTCTTTTGGCCTTGCTTATTATGGCAATGCTCGCAATGGTGGCGCAGGCGCTTCCATTGCAGGACGACTCTTCGAATCAGGCGAAAGGCAAGCGCTCACCCATGCCGACACCTTTGCCCCGCATCCTCTCTCTCAGCCCGCGATCGACTCCAGACGAAGTATATGCATTCTACTCCCCACGCGACGTCGTTCTGGACAGCTTCGCCGACTCAAACAAGCTCGAGAAACGAGGCACGCCGACGAAGCGTCAGGACCAGCCCTCGGTCCCGCTCTCGTCGCTCGGCCCACCCACGTTCCCGGCCAACATCCCGTCGTGTCCCAAGTGCGAGGAGCGCTACTCGTCGCTTTCGTCGTGCATGGGTGCCAGCTCGGTGTTTGCCAATGCCACGTCGATCTTCTCTGATCCCGTGGCGTACATCAATGTGATCAAGTGCGCCTGCACCGACACGTTCCAGGCGGTGTATCCGCAGTGCCTCGACTGCTTCCAGCATACGGACCAGTGCTACTACCTCGGCACGGACCCGCAGGGAACGGGCGCGAACAAGGTCATCAGCAACCTGCGCAGCATCTGCGGCCTCGGTTCGGCACTGCTCGGCGGCGTAGCGAGCGCCAACAACAATATCGGCACCAACGTGCCCGTCAACCCGCCGTCGTACACGGATGTCTCCACTACGGGCGCGGGCTATAAAGATTCGACGACGGGTGCAATCTTCCAGAGCTCGGGCGGTCGCTCGGTTGTGGATGATGCTCTGCATGGCTGGGGTCTCGCAGCTGTAGCAGTGGCAGCGACTGGTCTCGCGCTCCTGGGAGGTGCGGCGAGACTCGCATACTAAACCCCTGCTTTGGCCGATGCTGGCCCCTCTTCGGAACTTTGAGATGGACCGTTTCTTAACGAGGATCAGCATTGACGACGATGTATGCGGTTCTGCTTGCCATGCTGGCTACTTGTACGATTCCGAATGACATGTTTGACATATACGAGCGTGGTGTTCCAGGTCCGCGTGCCGGAGTAGACGAGCGGAACTCGTGCTGCATCGGCCCGATGCCATCTGCGAACAAGGGCGTCTAAATCGGAGTGGGGGAAATTGGTTGCGCGGGGGGATGTGGGGGAGCTGGACTCCGCGTCCACTGCCTTGGGACCCTTCCTAGCGAGTCCGGCCTCTTCGCCGGGCGTGCATCGGCAAACACTCCACACGAACTTCGCACCATGTGAGGCCGGGGCCGCCGAGGCCGCCGAGGCTCTTTCGGTCATCTCGCGTTGCTATCCCAAGCATGTGGTGGAAGAGAGTGGGGTTGGCATATGGTTCGGACCTGGTGCTCCTGCTCCTCCTGCCCGCGACCCACGAGCTGGGCTCAAGCGCAACACTATCAATGACAGAGCTCACCTTCAGTCCACTAATATATATTCCATCCCCATCGACTCGCACCTGGCATCCGTCGTCTTTCTAGAAAGCACCTGCCCACCTACTCCAGACTTCGGACCCGTCACATCTTCCGGCCACCTTGCCACCCGCACAGCTTTCCTTCTCCACGCGTTTCCAAAATTACACACCATCAACTCTTAACCATGACGTCTGACTCTGCCGCCGCCGCCTTGTCGTCCAGCGCTGCGGCCTCGCTTGTGGACAAGCTGATCCACAAGCTGCTGCACAACGAGGATGCGGACGGCAAGTTCCTGCTCCCGCTCGAGGATGGGCGCGTCATCGACACCAAAGGCTGGAACGGCTGGGAGTGGACACACGGCGTGGCGCTATATGCGCTCTTTGAGCACCACGAGCTCACCTCCTCTCGCACCTCGCTTGCGATCATTCACGACTGGTTTGCCGCTCGCAGGAAGGAAGGAGGCACGACCAAGAACATCAATACGATGGCGGCGCTGCTCTCGCTCGCGTTCGTGTACGAGCGCGACCCCGACTCGCATACCGAGTACAAGGATTGGCTCGTCGAGTGGGCCGAGTGGGTCATGGCCGACGCAGTTAATGGCGGACTTCCAAAGACACAAGAGGGCGGGTTTCAGCACATCACATACGACTCCGAGAACAAGGGCCAGCTGTGGGACGATACGCTGATGATGACCGTCCTCCCACTAGCCAAGATCGGCAAAGTGCTCGGGGTGCAAAGGTACATCGAGGAGGCAAAGTACCAGTTCTTGCTCCACATCAAGTACCTCTATGATGCAGTAACCGGCTTGTGGTTCCACGGTTGGACGTTCGAAGGACGCCATCACTTTGCAGGCGCACACTGGGCCCGTGGCAACTGCTGGATCACCCTCGCCATTCCGCTCTTCTTCCACATCCTCGGCGACGACCAGGATCTTGCCGACCATGCATCTCCGCTCTCCAAACACTTGATCGGCACGCTAGAGGCACAGCTCGATGCGCTGCTGCCGCTGCAGGATCCTGCTACCGGTCTGTTCCACACCCTGCTCAAGTACAAGGACTCGTACGTCGAGTCATCCGCCTCGGCAGGCTTTGCTGCAGGTGCACTCCTCGCACTTCGATTTGGACTCATCAAGGATGCCGACAAGCAGCGAAAGTACAGGGCGCTGGCGGACGCGGCTCTGAAGGGCGTCGTTGATATGATCGCCGAAGACGGAGAGCTGCAGCAAACCTCGTTCGGGACTGCCATGGGTCACGACCTCGACTTCTATCGCAACATCCCCATCACTCCCATGCCCTATGGCCAGGCTCTGGCTCTGCTTGCCATTGTAGAACACATGGCGCTCGACGCTTCGCCCAGGGCCTAGCTCTTCGAACTGCCGTCCATAGTTGCGATGAAATAATCTCGTCTTCAAGGCTGGACTCAGCCAGTATCACTATTCCAGCGACTTCATCTCCGCTAACACCACGAGCCAAGCCCAGCATGTACCGACGGATTTGAGGCTAAGGTATGCGAGGTGCTGTATGACCGGAGCGTGGCATTCATCGTGTTTCCGACGGAAAGCCATTTGAGAATGCTCGCGTTGCTTCCCTTTGTGTCCGGATTGTTCCAGCGAAGCATACCTACGGCGGACTTATTGATATGATATCGAGCGGCCGAATTCGTCGGGCGCTCCTCGACATGGAGGGACGGGAGCAGGGCTGCATTGTGTACCCTTTCGTTCCTCATAAGCAAAATGAATTGAGCCGGCTTCGTGGGTGAGCTCGGCTCGGACGGAAGCAGCTGCATTCTCCAGCCAAGCTATCACGCCACAGCAATTGAGCACGGAGCTGCTCATCTTGGTCTAGGAGCGGCTCACGACCCTCGGGAAAGCTCGAGTAGGCGAAGGCGAACGTTTCATTCTTGGCATGTCTCGCTGCTCGGGACAAAGTGCACCTCCGCCTTGCGCCAAGCCAATCGCGTCTCTGCGAGCCAGCTTGCTCATGGTTCGGCGTGGGGTAGCATTCATGTGGGGGGCGTCACTTATTTCCTCCGACCACCAATGCTTTGCCGCCACCTTCGCCCGAGGCGGTAAGTTGCTGTTACCGCTTCTAGCGGCACACGCTCTCCGCGCCGCGACTTATTGCTCCGAGAAGCGGCTGCTAATATCCCCGACGTCCGCGGCAAATTTGGATGCCCAAGCGGTCAATAAATAGATTGCCGCAGGATGCCCAACGCCTACGCCGGCCCGACGCTCCGAATGAATAATTTATGTGCGAGCGACTGCACCTCAAGCGCTGCCAAGTCAACACCAGGCACCCGAATCGCCACCGAGGTTGCATTTCACCAATGCAACCCACCTCCCCCAAATCCCACCAACGTTGTAGGGCAGCCCACGCCTGCGTGTGCCATATTGAGTCGTCCCCGACTACTGGGCCAGGGTCCGGCTCCGGAGCTACAGCAAAACGCCTCGCGCCAGACCAGCCGTGGTGGTATCGTACGAGGAGGGTGGCGCGGTTGCAGTGGCGAGAGTGTTTGGCGAGATGCAAGGACGGAGCAATCTCGCTCGAGATGCATCGTTTCATGCTCGCTTAAGCCTCGCTCTGTCAAACCTCGGCCTCGCTTGGCGATCCACTCGGACCTCGCTCGCCCTCCATCCGTCGTTCTGGCAGCCACATGGTTTGCGCGGCAGCGACTCCCGCCAAAAATTCACTCGGAGGCCCCCCTGCCCTCCACTTCGGACAGCTCGTGCAACTGCCAAGTGCGGCCGTGCGAGCCGGTCGTGGTCTCGAGTGCGATGCCCTCTTGCATGCCCATTGTCTGGTGCCCCGGTTCTGAGTGTCTACATCCTTTTTTCTTCGGAAGCGGGATTTGCGTCACCGCCCTTGGTCCATCTGCACATCGCCAAGGCAGACAAGGTTGGTTGGGGCCAAGCGAGCAGCAGTTGCGCCGAAACCCTACTCGCTGCATCACCGAGGTGGTACAGCCGAATCTTGGCCCCACGCTCTACTGCGCCCCAAAGTGGGAACATCGGAAGGTCTCCTCAGGAGTGGGCAGCTGCGCCGACCGTTTTGCGTTTGGCCTTCATCTCCACATATGCATCTCGCGCCAAGTCCATACCCGACGTCGCAGGCAAGTTTCATCTCTCCAGTCTAGTCGCACAAGCTGCAACCGGCAAAACGAGCCCCAACGTCTCTGGTGTATTGTGCCGTTTATGGCAAGCCATCCTCGCACTCCCGGCAGGCCCCCACCCTCTCGGCTATTGTGGCTGCCAATCCGCCTATCCTGGAGATGTCACCTTCGTCGATCAGGCCCCTGTGATCCTCAAATGCGTCAACCGACCTGTCTTCCCTCCTGCGCCATCTGTCCAGACGCATATATAGTCGTGACCTTTGAGACTGCTCCCCCACACTCTTCCGATCCCCACCCCAACTCACCTCAACCTCCCGACCCAATCATTCCTTGCTCCTTTGCACCTTCTTTTCCCGAGGTCGACTGGGCAAGACAAACGCAAACCTCGCATTACGACGTCGTGCAGATAGCTTTTCGCACTCCGACGTCTACTGCATCCCTGCAAGTCTTAGCCTGCGCCGATCCGAGGCGAATTCTTTTGTTTGCTCCACAAGCCTCCCTCTGTCTGGCCCCCCCACCGTCACGCAAGCCCTCCCGCTGTGAGATCCCCGTCGATTTCTCAGCCCTGAACGGATCGCCAACCTCGCCCTTTCAGCTGTAGGACGATCTCCCTCTTCCACCATGAAGGCAAGCATCGTCGGTGCCCTTGGTGCCGTGATCGCCGCTGCGTGCGTTTCCGCCGTGCCATCGCCCGTCGACCCATTTGACCTGGGCTCGGCAAGCCACGCTCTCTACCCGAGGATGAGCGCTGGCCAGTCTGGCGACGGCAGCAACAATGACAAGAGCAAGTGCCCCAGCTCGAACGGAACCGCAGTGTCAGGCTACCAGTACGCTCCGTACTCGGAGCCCGTGCGACCGCAAATTCACTTTTCTCCCACCGTCAACTTCATGAACGACCCCAATGGTCTCGTCTACAGCAACGGCACCTGGCACTTGTTTTACCAGTACAACCCCACGCAGAACGTGGCTGGAAACCAGCACTGGGGCCACGCCATCTCCACCGACCTTTACCACTGGGAGAACCTGCCGATCGCCATCGCTCCTGAGAAGGAGGGCGAAGGCATCTTCAGTGGTAATGCCGTCATCGACTTTGAAAACACCTCGGGCTTTTTCAACGAGTCGACGCCCAAGGACCAGCGCATCGTGGCATTCTACACGCTCAACACAGCCACCTCGCAGACCCAGCATGTGGCCTATTCTTCGGATGGCGTCACCTTCACCAAGTACGCGCCTGCCGTCGTCGAGCGCAACCAGACGCAATTCCGTGACCCCAAGGTGTTTTGGGACAACAAGTCGTCGCGATGGATCATGGCGCTCGCTCTGTCGCAGGAGTTTGGCATCGTCTTCTACGCCTCGTCCAACATGAAGGACTGGTCCGAGGTGAGCCGCTTCCAGTCGTACGGCATCCTCGGCTACCAGTACGAGTGCCCCGACCTCTTCCAGGTGCCCGTGGAAGGCGGTCCGGATGACGGCAAGATGATGTACGTGCTCGCCATCTCGATCAACCCCGGTGCGCCCATCGGCGGCTCGTTCGTCCAGTACTGGGTCGGCGACTGGGACGGCACCAACTTCACGCCCCGCGACCAGGCCGTCAGGACCATGGACTTCAGCAAGGACTTTTACGCTTTCAGCAGCTGGTCGAACTCGCCGGGCAACAAGGCCTACGCCATCGCCTGGGCCAACAACTGGGAGTACTCGCAGGTGGTGCCCACCTCGCCCTTCCGCTCGATCCAGAGTCTGCCGCGAGAACTCACGCTCAAGTACTACCGCACTACTCCGCAGTTCGGCGACCTCATCCTCAACAACCGTCCCGTCAACCTCTCTGCGATCTCGAGCAAGACGCTCTACAGCAAAAAGAGCGCCCAGGGATCCAAGAACAACCAGACCGTGGCGCTCAACGGCAAGGGTGCCTTCGACATCCAGGCTACGTTCAAGCTGCCTGCCAACACCAACATCACCTACAACACCATCGGCTCCTTCGAGATCTTCGCGGGCGATGGCAAGCAGAGCGTCAAGACGGGCATCCAGATGGGCGAGCCGACATTTGCCTTTATCGACCGACGCAAGGCCGGAAGCTCATTCGCCGACTCCAACCCCTTCTTCACGGACAAGACGTCGGGCATCATCCGCTACCAGGCCAACTACACCGACGACCAGTACGTGCTCGGACCTCTGCCTACCTCGGCCTACCTGGACCAATCCAAACAGGACCGATACATCTCGCTGCAGGCTGTGGTCGACAGGTCGGTGATCGAGGTGTTTGTCAATGATGGCGAGCTCGCCGGCACCTCGGTCTTCTACTTTGACAACGACCAGATTCCCGCCAAGGCGCAGGTATCGGTCGGAGACAACAAGCTCGAGCTCGTCGATCTCGAGGTCAAGGCTCTCCAGTCGATCTGGAAGACGTGCCAGCACTAGACGCTGCCACATCTCAACTCACCTACGAGGTAACACATGACGACTCCGCGATTTCCGAATGCGAGTATAACTTTTGCCTTTGACAATCGTCACGGTACAATACTGTTTCGTCTGAGGTGGGCAAATGAAATTGACTGGTGCGAGGCCCCAGTGTCGGGACGGAAGTGCATTGGTGCATGACGAGACGAGCGCGTCCGAGCGAGGCTTGCACATCGCCATATGCACGCAAGCGGACCGCAGGACCGGCTCAGATACGTAGTGCCGGTCGAGCATGCCTTGTCGTGCTGGTCTTGACAAGAAATCAGTAGAAAGCAGGTCGTACAATGGACAAGAAGAGGATACATGTATTGGTTTAACCGTGAAGATGTGCAATACAAGGTCTGATTTGTCAGGGAAGATGACGGGAAAGATTTGCGACAGTCCAGCGTTGAATCTTCTGCCGTGGAAGGTCCGATGTCGAGGCGTGCTTGCGTTTTAGCGGTACGACAGCTGCTACCCTTTTGACCGGCATCAGACCTAATTCCGATCGGGTAGAGGACGACGACGGATACCCAAGGCTGCACCGGCCTTCTCGGTAATTGCAGGCGGAGACGGGTGTCAGGGTGCGGCTCGGGGTGCAAATTCACCGTTGATGCCGCCGCGGCTGCTCTTGCCAGGTGGGTCGGTCAATCAGTGCGAGATTTTACCGCTTCTCCCACATCCTCCCACCCTTGCCCTCATCGGCACAGCTCGCCTGTGATGCTGGTCACCTCGCCGTTCGTGCAGACACGAGCACAAGCGTCTTAGTTGGGGCCCCAGCTCTCACAAAGCCGAAAGGTCCTACCGCCTCGGCTGCTGTGGAAAGATCCGCACCAACCAGAGCACACAGTTCCCTTGCTTTGCGCTTGCGCCAGGCATGGCGTTCGCTGCACGACCGGACATCGGTACGGTTGTGCTTTCAGCCCCCTCTTGGCAAGCTTTCGAACAATCTTGCTACTGCCCTGCCGTCGAACCTATAAGACCCTCGGTTGCGCTTTGCAACTCAGACTAGCCGGACCGGACCGTATCTTGCCGCCCTCCCCATGCCCATGCACTTGTCTGCGTAGTTTCACTGCCACTTTGCCTGAATCTGAGATGTGCTCCTTGTTTTAATTGGGGGGTTTTTTTTGCGGCGAGCCCTTGTCGCCACGAGCTCTCGGTTGAAGCGCTGCACAAAGCCCCGTGTGTGACTAGGCTACAGCAGCTTGTTTGTCTTGCTGCAGCTGTACCTAGCATCAGTCGTTGCATGCGCCTGCGTGGCAAGCTTGACCGGCTGCAGCTGCGTCCGCACCGACACAGCAGAAGCCTGGATTGTCGCGCTCACCGCTTTGCCTCATGCCGGATTTTAAAATACACTATCATTTTTATTTTTCTTCCACACAATCATTTTGTGCGACCTGGCTTCTGAACGGCACAGCTCGACGTGGGGTTTTATTTTTATTTTTTATTGTTGTTATTTTATTTCTTCGTTCAGTGCGGGGTCTCCAGGTCGACACCAAGCTTTGGCACCATCTGCTCGAGACCAAGCGAGGTGCACGCTTGAGCACAGTTGACTGTGGCCCCGTCCCCTCATGCGTGCTCATGATGCTCCTCGGCCGCATCACTTGTGTATATAGACCTTGTGCTTGCAGCTTCGACTTCCCCGCATCCTTCTCACCAACTTCCGCCCATCCACCCCGCACCATCTCGGATCTCTTCCCTCGTCCCTGTGTAAGACGATCGCCACAGGCCGTCTCAATTGCACTGCTTCCTCCGGCCAGCAGTAACAAACGCACTATCTTGAAGAAGAAATACAGCAAACATGTCCGAGAAGCAAGTGACGCCCGACCTTGAGGGAGCTCACAAGCTCGCCGCTGTCCAGTCGGTCACCACCGATGCTTCCATCCTGGACAAGGACAGCATGATCAACGGCAAGCCTTCGCACGGCGCTGTGCCTGTGCTGCCGAGCACCATCATCGAGGAAGCCGACGAGGAGGTGCTCAAGTACACCGACGCGTCCATCACCATCACTCCCGAAGAGAACAAGCGCCTCCTGCGCATCATTGACAAGCGTGTGCTTACCATCATGCTCGGCACCTACTTTTGCCAGAGTCTCGACAAGCAGATCCTCAGCTTCGCCTCCATCATGGGAATTCGCGAAGATCTCAAGCTCAAGGGCCAGGAGTATTCGTGGCTTTTCACCTGTCTCTACCTCGCCATCCTCTGCACCGAGGGTGCTCAAAACTATCTCGTTCAGCGTCTTCCCATCAACCGCTGGCTCGGATTCTGCGTATTTGCTTGGGGTACGACCTGCTGCTTCGTCGCTCTCTGCCACAACTTCACTGGCATCCTCGTCCTGCGAATTCTCCTCGGAGTCTTCGAGTGCGTCTGCCAGCCGGCGTTTGTTGCTCTCTCGGCCATTTGGTACCGAAAAGAAGAGCAAACGAGGACGATTACGCTGTGGTACTGCTGCAATGGAGCCCAGGCCATGTTTGGAGGACTTCTAGGTACGTAGAGAAGCAGATATGACCATGTCCGATGAGAAGAGATGCTCGTATGTATACGGGAACTGACCAAAACTTTTTTTCGCGGGTATTTCTTGAATTTTCTTTGGATTTTCATTTAATCATTTTGGATTTCTTTTTCTTTTTTCTCGCATTTAGGCTTCGGATTCTACCACATCAAGGGCGCGGCGCTCTCATCGTGGAGAATCATGTTCCTGGTGCTTGGCCTTTTGACGATTGTGTGGGGAGCGTCTATCGTCTACATCCTGCCCGCCTCGCCGATGAAGGCGCGCGGCATTTCGGAAGACGACCGCGTCAAGATTGTGGAGCGCGTGCGAGAAAACCAGACCGGTGTGCAGAACCGCAAGTTCAAGCTGGAGCACGTCTGGGAGGCGCTGAAGGACCCGCAGGCATGGGCGCTGTTTGCCATCAACTTCCTCAACACCATTCCTACCGGTGGACTCGGAAGCTACGGTAACATCATCATCAAGACCAACCTCGGCTTCACCGTGCTGCAGACCAACCTGCTCGGCCTTGCCCAGGGCTCGTTCCAAATCGCCGTCCTGCTTCTGGCTGCGTTCGTTGCCAAGAAGTGGAACCAGACCATTCTCACCGCCGTCATGTTCACGCTGCCCAACATCATCTCGGCCGTACTATTCCTTACCGTTCCCAACACCAAGGCGCACGCTGGCGGTCTCTTGTTTGCATTCTACATGACGATCTGCATTCAGGCTCAAGCGACGCTCTCCTTCTCGCTGCTCAGCCGAAACGTTGCCGGTCAGACCAAGAGGGGCGTGGTTACTGCCATGACTTTCATTGGTTGGGCTGCCGGTAACTCAGCTGGTCCGCAGCTCTTCCAGGCCAAGGATGCGCCGCACTACCGCAAGGCATTCATCGGTCAGCTCGGTTGCTACGTCGCCTCGATTCTCGTTCTGCTTGGTCTGCGCATCTACTACATGGACCAGAACCGCAGGAAGTGCCGCGCCAACAACGCAGTAAAGGGCCGCGCCGAGGACGCCGAGGACGAGATCGACCTGTCCAAAGCTTTCCTCGATTTGACCGACCAGCAGAACCTCGACTTCCGATACTCGTACTAGATTTGCTCACGCTCTTGATCAACGTCGCGATTTTGCCAAAATTGCAATTTAGATTTCCCAGCTACCTTTTCCAGACCGCGTTCCTGAGCCTGAATGTTTGACATCTGTCGTGGGGGTTTTTTTTTTTTCTTTTTCCCTTTTTTTCTTTTTGCGGGGCGGGGGGAGGCGAAAATAATGGATGAAATGACTTCCAGGTCGCACACTTTCATGTCGCTGTACTTTGACGACAGATCCATCACACGGCTGCGGCTGATGATTGCACAATGGTGTAGTTTATAGCCAAAAGAAATGTTCATCAGCTGCTGGGTTTCAGAGAACCAGACTAGTGAGGAAAGTGCGAGAGGGAGAGTAGCTGGAACGGAAGGTATGTGCCCTCGCGTAGACTGTGCGGGGTTTGAATTTCCCGAACTCGTCCGAGGAGTGCGGGCGGCATGGGCGCGAAAAGCGGCGGTCGAATGTGGGAGGACAAAGTCGCCACCTCCCACATTCTTGCCTTGATGGGCCCAACTGTACCCCGCCGGTCAATTGCGCCGCTCGGCGCCGAGACTTCCGGCAGGGCAATCCTGCCAGCCGGCATGAAGCCACCCTCGGCTCGAATGGTTGAGCCGAATCCACCTACGCCTCGTGTTTGCTTGGCCCTCCCCCACTCCCTCCCTCCTGGGCAATCCAACCAACTGTGCCCTTGCCAGTGTGGATGCTATGGCGCTCGAAGTGCATGTAAACCGGACCGCTCAGCCGTCCGAAGCCGCATGGCAGACAATGCGACGGAGCGCGGTCCGCGCCTCCGCATCAGTGACTTTTCCTTTGTAGCGCTCCTGCGAAATCAACAAACTTCGGGAGTGAGATCTGCGATTTTTTCCTGCATTTCGCCAGTCAGCGTCCGGTGTCCGTCGTTGGACCCTGAGCGCCAACGATTCTTCTGGCCCTCGTGCGCTCGCACTGACCAGCAGCCTACAGGTGGGACACGTTCCCATTCGCTTGCGGCTCACCTCACGAGCCTCAGGCTTCGAGCTTTCGGGCGGCTGGGGCGTAGATACGGTCGTCACTCTAGTGTTGCATTTCAAGCTCGTCAGATCCGACTTCGGGCTTTTGTTCGGCAGTGTTTCTGTGAGACGCTTGGCTGAACGGTGCCGTGCGGGCGTGGGGCTCCGAGAGCGACCCTCCGTGTCCTTAGAGTGCACACCCTTCTTAAGGCTCTCTCAACGCTCGTGTTGTCTCCGTCTCATCGTATCACCCTTTCTCATTCCCTCCTCTCCGGCTTGTCACCGACAGTCGCATATCTTCAATCATGCTCGTCGAGCGACCCTTGACAAACCTCGCCCCTTCGGCCAAGCAGCCGGCTGACGCCTTTGTGCTCAACAACGAGCAAGGCTTCGAATGGTCGCTGCGTCTGCTCACCCCTTCTATCCTCAAGATCAACGTCACGGGGCCGAAGCACCCTCTGCCGCAACAGAGCAATGTGCTCTGGTCGCAAAAGCCACTTGCCGTCCAGTCCAAGATCGATGCCGCCGCCAAGAAGGCCACCATCAGCGTCGAGGGCCTCAGACGCGATCTGACGGTGCAGTGGGATGATACGCCCATCGTCGAGGTGCACGAGAGCGTCGAGGGCAGCTCGGAAAAGGTGCGTGTGTTTGGAGACACGCCGCACAAGTCGTACTGCTTCTCGGACAAGGGCTTCACGCGCTACACGCGCTTCAACAACCACAACCTGCACGTGGGTATGGGCGAGAAGGCGGCACCGCTCGACCTCACCCACCGCTCGTTCTCGATCACGGGAAGCGATGCAGCGAGCTACGATGCGTACCTCTCGGACCCGCTGTACAAGCACACGCCATTCCTCATGTCGTTACCCAAGCCCGTCGACGTCGACGGTAACGCTCAGCCGATGACCTCGGTGGTAGGCATCTACTCGGCCTCCAACTCGGACGCCAACTGGGACGTGGGCCGCTTCATCGACGAGCCGTGGACCATGTTCAAGAAATACGCGCAGCACTGGGGCGGCCTGGAGGAGTACATCTTCTTTGGCCAGCATGCGCAGGAGGTTGTCTCGCAGTTCTCTGATCTGGTCGGACGCCCTCTGCTCGTGCCCAGGGACTGGTTGGGCTACCTCGCCAGTGGTATGGGTCTCGGCGAGAGCGATGTGCCCATCGCCCAGGAGCTGCTTTCGGGCTGGCCGGGCATGTGCAAGCAGAACGACATTCCCTGCTCTGCCATCCACCTTTCGTCTGGCTACACGGTGGACGACGAGGGCAACCGCCTCGTGTTCACCATGAACAAGAAGAGGTATCCGGACTTTGCCGAGATGGTCAAGACATTCCACAAGGCGGGTATCCGCGTGACGCCCAACATCAAGCCGTACGTGCTGCAGGCGCATCCGGACTACCAGAAGCTCTACGAAGCCGGTGCGCTGTTCACCGACCCCAACAGCGGCAACAAGCCCGTGGTGACGCGCATCTGGTCGAGCCTGCCCGGCTTCAACGCGCTCGGCTCGTGGGTCGACCTTACGAGCAAGGCGGGCCGTGACTGGTGGCGCCGTGGAGTGCTCGAGCTGTGCGAGCTCGGTGTTGACTCGGTGTGGAACGACAACAACGAGTTCCTACTGTTCGACGATGCCTTCGAGTGCAAGAACGAGCTGATTGGCGATGCCAAGACCGACGGCAACCGCACGGGCAAGCCCACACCCATCGGTCTGCTTGGTCGCATGACCAACACCGAGCTGATGGCGAGGGAGTCGCACGATGCTCTTGTTTCCCACCACCCCGACCGCAGGCCTTTCGTCTTGACGCGCTCTGCCAACGTCGGTACGCAGAAATGGGCGGCCTCGACGTGGTCTGGAGACAACCGCACCAGCTGGCACAACCTGCGTGGCTCGATCGCCATGAACCTGAACGCGCAGATGTCGCTCCTGCAGTCGTACGGTAACGACATTGGTGGATTCGCTGGTCCGCTGCCCAGCCCCGAGCTGTTCGTGCGTTGGATCCAGTCCGGCATCACGCAGCCGCGCTTTTGCATCCACTCGTTCAAGCCGTGCAAGGAGGACCCGCTGGGAGTCAAGCTCAACAACCTGCCTTGGATGTACCCCGAGGTGGTCGACATTATCCGCGCCACCATCAAGCGCAGGTACGAGCTGCTTCCGTTCATCAACAACCTCAACTGGCGCTCGCACGTTGCTGCCGAGCCCATGAACACGTGGCTCGGATGGGGCGAGTTCGCCTCGGACCCGGAGGTGTACAAGAAGGAGGTGCTCGAGGGCTTCGATTACTGGATCGGTCACGGCCAGCTGCTGAGCGCCGGTGCCTACCATGAGGGCGAGCACTCGCGCCGCGTCTACCTGCCCGCTGCAGGCAAGGACGACACCAAGGTGTACTACGACACCAACGCACCCTTCCACATCCACTCCGCCGGCAAGTGGGTCGAGAACGTCTCGACGCCGCTGTCGCACTTTGCGCTGTTTGCGCGCGAGGGTACGGCGGTGCCCGTGGGTCTGCCCAAGGTCACGCTCACCCAGGCTGACGGCATCGCCACACTCACCGGCAGCGGCACCAAGATCCTCACCGAGCAGGAGGGCGGCCAGGTGGTGCACGACGAGTGGCGTGGTGTGGAGCTCTTCCCCGCGCCTGCGGATGCGGCCAAGGCCGGCACGTACGAGTACACCTGGATCGAGGACGACGGTGTTTCGGCCAAGCCGGCCGTCGCCGAGATCAAGCTCGAATTCTCGTCGTCCAAGGACGAGGTGACCGTCAAGGCGACCGCGCACAAGAACGACTTCAAGCCGCTCTGGGGCAACACGCTCTGGATCATCCTCCCGCGCCCCGACACCAGGAGGGTTCAGGGCGCCACCAAGACCATGCCGTACAAGGGTCAGACCGCCTACGCTATTACCGTCGCCGGCCTCTGAGCGTCCACTTCCGTCCAGGTCTTTAGTGTCTGCTTCATAGTCTAGATCTTAATGCAGTGTTCCTGTTCCGAATGCCTGTTACGAATGCCGAGATCGGGCTGCGACCCGTCGAATCATCTGCGATTTTGTGAAGACTGGGTACGTGCGCATGGGACTCTCCTCCTCATAGTTCGCCATGCTGGGCATGCGAGTGGAAGACGTCGTCCCAGCTGGTGTTGTCCGGCTGTGCGCCGTCTCTGTGCATCTTTGCGGCGACATTCTCGGCTGCTTCGAGCACGCGCAGTACGTTCTCGCCCACAAACCCGGCCAGCTCGCGGTCCGACCATCCGCGCTCGACCAGTGCCGCCACGAGATCCGGATACTTCCTCACGTCTTCGAGCCCCTTGGGCGTGCTCAGGATGCCGTCAAAGTCGGTGCCGACTCCGACGTGGTCGCGGCCAACGATGCTGCTGACGTGGTCGACGTGCCTGATGACCTGGTCTAGGTCGCCTTCGCCGCCGATAAAGCCAGGGTAAATGTTGATCATGACCACATGATCCTTGCCCGAGTCTGCGAGTTTGTGCAGCACCGAGTCCGGCACGTTGCGTTCGAGGTCGTTGAGCGCCCTTGCTGCCGAGTGCGAGAGCATGAGCGGGCCTCTGGTGACGTCAATAGTCTGCAGCGCCGTCTGATCCGACACGTGCGAGAGGTCCGGCACGATCGCCAGCCTATTGAGCTCGTAGATGAGATGCTTGGCATACGGACTCAGACCGTTCCATCTCGGTGGGTGCTGGCCCGCGCTGTCCGCAAATGCATTGTGGCAAGTGTGCGTTAGCGTCAGGTATCGCACTGGACCTGGCGCCCCGCTGCTGAACAGAGCAGCAAAGGCACGCAGCGCGTACAGCGAGTTGCCGAGCGAGTGCGCTCCTTCGATGCCAATATAGCTGATCATCCTGCCGGCCTTGAATGCCTTCCTCGCAGAGCGTGCATCGCCTACGAGCGCAAAGTCGTGGTGGTACCGTTCGGTCATTTGCTTGATCACGTCGAGCTGCTCGAGCGTGTCGCGCACGCCGATCTGATCGCCAGCGTGCTCAAAGTCGTTGCCGACCGTGGCGGCATCGGGACACTCGACGTAGGCGGACCAGAAGAAGCCGCCGCTCCTGCCAGCGCGCAGACGCGGAATGTCGACATGCCCCGAGGTCGGAAAGCTGCCGTTCGATAATGCGGGTTGATCAAAGGGGATCTCGGCGACCTTGTTGCCGTAGCGATAGCGTGCGATGACCGGAACATCGATATGCCCGTCGATGAGCGGATGCGATTGAAGCAGGTGCTCGGCGTGCTTAAGCGGGTTCTTGCAGCGTCTGCTCAAGTCGCTCGATGTGCATCGCGAGTCGATGCTCGGCTGGCGGATACAGCCAACTGCGCGGTCGAGCGTAGCGGGATGGAGCCAGGCGAGAGTGAGGAGTGCCACGGCGAGCGTGCAGACAAGAGCCTTGCAGCGGCCCTTGATGGAGCCGCGGGCCGCAGACGGGCCCTGTGAGCTCAGAGGAAGCAATCCGTCTCTGGCCTTGTCGTCGAGCTGCATTTGCGTTGCGCTAGGATGGTAATGGTGTGGAGGAGGGGTGACCTGAAACGACTCAGCCCGCGAGATGCAGACAGACACACGCTAGTCGATGCCGAAGTCGCGGAAGCGGCAATCCACTTGCGGAAGCGGATCGGAATTTCAGTGATTGCCGGCTCGGCCCAGCAACTCCAGCTTCGCGAAGCTACTCTCACAATATCGCTCGTGCTTCAGCACGGCGATGTCATCGGTTCAGCGGTCAGTGAACGGATCGAGCGGGTACAGAAACTCGACGTTCCAATGCGCGTCTATGTTACAGTCTAGGTTTTCGCAGCTGGCGAGCGAGCTTCTTCTCCTTGAGTGTGCTTGGGTCCTTTTGCGCCTCAAAGATCTGGGCTAGCGCGCCGGCGAGCGCATCTGGCTCCTCTTGTGCGACGAGGTGGTTGCCCTCGATGGTCACGCTGAAGCCGCGATCCAGCTTGTCGATCTCTGCCGCAAGCTGGAAGTTGTTGAAGCCGCCCTCCATGTTGACCATGCCCACCCATGCGCCGTGGTTGGTACGTAGCATGCCGTTCCTGCCGATGTATCCCATCCACGTCGAGGAGAATGCGGCAGCCTCGTGCCACTTTGTGTTGTTGAGCTCGAGCCCGGTGCGCTTGAGGTCGTTCTCGTGCAGGTCGTCTGCCACCAGAGCGCGGGATGCAGGTACCGCTGAGGGGCGCAGACCGAAGCGGAGGTGCAGATCGAGCACACGCGGATCCCAAACTTTGAAGAACGGCTTGGACTCAAAGTATGCTTTGGCGTCAGGCAGCGAGTCGAAGGTGTCCTTGCGTGCGATGGCACCGCGAGCAAGCGGAAAGTCGGCGATCGGCGGGATGATGCCCTCGAAAAGGTTGTCGATCTTGAAGGCCTTTTCATCATCGAGATGCATGATAGCCGGGTCGACGAGCATGAGTCCTTCGAGCATACGTGGTCTCGCATGGAGTACAAACGAGAGCGAAGCACCTCCGAAGGAGTGTCCCATGCCCACCAGACGACGCTTGGCGTTGGGCGAGGAGGCCTTGTGCGAAGTCAGGAAGGTCGGCAACCACGCCGGCTCGGCAGAAGGGTGAGACGGAGTGTCGGGAAGGTAATGTTCGAGGAATTTGATCATGTCGCGCGGATGGTCTGCCCAGCTGATGGTGTCGCCGAGGAGGTCGCGGTTGGTGCTACCAGCTTGGCCGGAATGTGTGCAGTCAAAATTCCAGATCTCGTCGATGCGGTACTTGCCGCGGAGCTCGTCGGTCTGCAGCTTCTTGACGAGCGACTCGAACGCGGGTTCGAAGATCTCCTTGTGGAAGCCGTTGGCATGCGCAGCGATCAACGTGATTCCTTGGCGAGTATCTTTGGCATGGGCGCCTTTGTGCACGTCGTCTTCGAGATGCGCGGGTACGATGCGGTTAACAGTCATCCAGAGCTGAGCCTCGTTGGCCGTCCTTGCCTCGGTGATCCTCTGAGTGTGCCCTGACTTGGTGCATCCACTGCGAAGTGTACGCATGACGTTGCGCTGACCCTCGTGGTCCTTTCCGCCACATACCTCGAGCCAGTGTGCAAAGTCGGCCTCCCGGCGTCGGCGCTGTTCCGCCTTGGCCGCCTCTGGATCCGATGGGAGTGGCCCCAGGCTCGAGGAGGACGGGACGCCGGTGTTGTAAATGTCGGACTTGGCCGAGCGTGGATGCGAGCGAGGCCATGCGGCTGGATAGACATGGGTCGTTGAGATCCACTGCTGCGACTTGTTGGAGCCGAGGTCTTGGGAAGGGGCTGTGAAGGCGATGCGCGGCGCCAAGGTTGGGATAACGGGTCGCACAGGTGCATTTGGCGGCTCTAGAGATGGTAGCAAGTCCGCTGGGCGCAAGTCGTCGGATGACATGGCGAAATGTAGGAACTGTATGCAGAAGAAACTTGTCCTGGGAAAGCGATGGTGGGGTGGGTTGAATGCCGGCAGGCGGCTAGCTTCGCTGTAGAGAGGACGACAGCCACAACGAGGCCCGAAGGTTTATAATATGTGTGTAGAGGCTGGGCCGAAGGTAGGTAAAGGTGAGAAGGTAGGAGGTGCAGAATAGCGAGGAGGAGGGTGCGGGAAAGCACACGCCCTGAGTAGCATCCGGCAATGGCAGGCCGGGAATTCCGGCAGCGGAAAGTGTGGGGCCCAGCAAAGGTTAAGACCATTCCGGACGAAAAGACCGAGAACCTGCCGACTTTGCCGTGCGGAGACGGTTGCCGCCCGCGCCAATTTGTTGAATGTTTGAAGGCATCAACCGCACAATTTGATGCTCTGGCTCGGCGTAGTCGTTTCAACCAGCCGCCGCTGAGCCGCGGTGGAAGCGCCTCCCGCTCGAGCGCCAGGAGCCGCTCGATTGTTCTTCTGGCGGTTCCTCGCTCCACATTTTAAGGTTGAGGAGACCTCTCACGTTATCACTTCCGCTGCCGCACCTCACATCATCCGCATCGCTCTGAACCCCGGCAAGCGTGCAGGGCTCCGTCCGTACTTCGTTGCATCGTCGTGTTCAATCTTGGCCACTCTGCCTACATCGTCACGTTCCTTGGACGATCCGCGTTATCATCGACTCGAACCTCAATCCATCTCTTGCGCATTTGCATCGAACAACAGGCTCTCGAACTTGCAAGCACCATGAATGACAGTCTAGGGGCGCTGATTGCGATCGTGGTCCTCTGGTCGATCCTCCGCTTCGCCTTTGGCGGCGGCAACAACAACACCGGCTCTGGGAATGCCGCTCCGGCATTGAACACGGCTCGCTCGCGCCAGGTTCCACAGCACATGGTCGACTCGGTCAAGACGTTGTTCCCGCACATCTCGGATGCTTCGATCCGCTACGATCTCCAACGCTCCGGAAGCGTCGAAGCCACTTGCGAACGCATCCTCAACGAAGGAGGTCTTCCTTCTCCGCCCGCTGGCTTCTTCGGCACGGCCGAACCATCGACGCCGTCGAATGCCGCTGCGCTGCGCGCGCAGAACGCGAATCGCTCTCCGAACGGAGCTGCATCAGGATCGGCATCTTCCATCAGCACACCGAGCAAGTCGCCCAACCTCATCTCTCGTTACGGCCTGCAGTCTCGTATTGGACAGGAGGACGTGCTGTCGACGCCCGAATCGCGCGCAAGCACTAGCAGCCACGGCAGTCCGAGCGCATGGGCCACCACGCCCGAGGCAAGGGCAAAGCTGCTCCAGGATCGCAAGGCGCAGATGATTCTCGAAGCGAGGAGGAAGCTCATGGAAAGGCAGCAGAGTGCGGCGAAAGAAGCAGCGGATAAGGCCTCGACGGACTCCGCAGCCGCAACCGCAACCTCGTGAGACGTCCCGCATGCTCTCTCTCACTGGCGCAGAATTGACGCTCCGTTAGGTTTCTGTCGCAGATGTGTCTGCACCACGAAATGGAAGCTGATCTGCAATCGCATCATGTGCATAAATCTGCTGCGCTAGTTCAGACGCTCGTGCCTGAGGTCGGCCTGACTCAGACGGAGAGACTCGTGTGAGCCGAGTGAGGCGTCGCGGTGCGGGGAGCCAGTCGGTTCTCAGCCGCGCCACGGAAATCACAGAAATGCTGTCGCCGGTCTAACACTTTGAATTTAGGATCTTAGGTCACGTGCAGTGTGAGTGTACTCGAGAAGGTCTGGCACCGATTTTTTGCCTGTAATGGCCTGCGTCGAGAACCTCTGACGGCTACGTCTCTTCGACTCTCCACCATCCATCGTCCTACCCGCACCTACATCGCTTCGACTAGCTATACACCATGCGACCCACGACATTGAGCGTCCGGGCTGTGTGCCCGCGCATGCGACTCGCATCGTACACCCGCACCTTTGCATCTTCTTCCGCCTCCTCTTCTGCCTCTTCCAGCACTCCGTCCGAAACGCCTTCGCTCCCATCAGCAGCTCCGCCCGGAACCGTGCTCAAGGGCGTATCCATCTACAAGGACAAGGCGGATCCCGTTGCGCTGCAGGACAACGAGTATCCTGCATGGCTGTTCAAGCTGCTCGACGACCCGTCGATCGCATCGTCTTCGTCGCTCGCATCGATCGAGATGGCAGGCATGTCAAAGGGTGAGGCGCGTGCGGCACAAAAGCGTCAATCCAAGATCCTGCGTGCTGCCCAGCTGGCCAAGGAAAAGGCGGAGGCAAAGGCAGCCGAACGTGCCGCCAAAACAGGTACGACCGATGATGCACAGGAGGCAGTGGCGCAGCAAGAGGAGCTATCGCCAAAAGACCTTCGCGAAAGACTGCTGTCCAAGGCGGTGCTCGAGGAGACGCTCAAGAGGAAACAACTCAGAAGGACCAACAAGGAAGCCATCAAGGCTCGCAACTTTGTCAGCGCTTCGTAGAACACCCGCCACCCTCACTCGGACACCCGAGGCAATGCGAATCTTTTGTACAGTATTCAGCGCGAAATAGCGTACAGGTATGACCTCAGTGTGGGCTAGAAGCCAGGCCAGTGCTGGTTGGCAAACTCCTGCATGTCTTCCACCAGCGCGTCGGGTGCGTCGCTGTCGAGGTCAGAAATAAAAGGGAAAAGGAAAACGACGGTCAGGGTCAGATACTGGTCTTGTTCTCGATGACGATTCGGGCCAGCTTGGAGAGGAAACTTACAGTGCAGCAAAGTGGCCGCCGTAGTCGCGGCGCTTGAAGAACTGCCAGTTGAGGCGGTACTTCTTGAGCCAGCTGCGTGGTCCTGCAAGCGCCTCGTAGGGAAAAGCGGTGAAGCCAAAGGGTTTGTGCTTGGCAGGCTCCCACAGCTTCCAGTCTGGCTTGTTGAACATCTGCAGCGACTCCTTGTACGGCAGGAAGGAGGTGTGGATCGAGTTGGTGAGGTAGTAGATCATCACCGTAACGAGCATTTCGTGGTCGGTGATGTACGAGTGCGGCGAAGCGGTGTCGGTCGACTCGTTGAATGCCGGGCACCTGGGGTCGGACCAGGCATGGTACTTTTCCATAATCCAGGCGAGGATGCCGACGGGGTTGTCGTAGAAGCCGTATCCGATCGTGGACGGCTGGGTACCCTGGATCTTGATGTAGCCATTGCCTTGGTCGAGATATTTGAGCGAGCGCTCGATACCGAGCAGCTCGTCTGGGTGGTAGCCGAGCAACTTGAGCGATCCGGCGGCGAAACCCGGGTAGACAGCCTGGTCGATGGCAAGCGCGGGGATGGTCCAGAACGGCAGCTGTGGGGGCGCAAAGTTGATGTGCGCGATCTTGCAGTTGGGACTGTTGGCGAGGAAGCGCGTGACGATCGAGCCCCAGTCGCCGCCCTGCGCCATGTACGATTTGAAGCCGAGCACCGAGGTCATGAGAGAATCAAAGACGCGTGCCGAGTCCTGCAGCGTCCATCCTTTCTTGAGCGGGCCCTGGGAGAGGCCAAAACCGGGCAGACTAGGCACGATGACCTCGAAGCGCGGCGAGCGCGACTCGACGAGCTTCGAGGCAAAGTGGAAGGCCTCGGTGAAACAACCGGGCCAGCCGTGCGAGAAGATGAGCGGGATCGCGGGCGTGTCTGCGTCTCGATCGGGGACAGCCGACTTAAAGTGCTGGTAGTGGATCTCGAGGCCTTCAATCTGCACCTTGTAGTGGGGAAAGCGGTTGAGCTCGGCCTCGACATTGCGCCACCACGCCTTGACGCCTTGGTCGGGCGAGCCGACGGGCTGGCGATGGTTGTCATTCGGATTGCCTCGCTTCCAGTCGGCGAGCACTTGACGGAGCTTGGAGAGCTCTGTGCCATATTCCCACGGCTCGAGGCCGCCCGTGATGTCGGAGTCGGGCAGCTTGGCATCGTCGAGCTTGTGCTGAAGCCGGTCGAGCTCAGCCTCAGGGAACTCGATGCGGACCTGACGAGGCTTGCCCACTTCGGCCATGGAGTTTGATTTTGGAAGGTGGTGGTGGTGTGGGTGAGGAAGGGACGGAAGGGCAACCGATAGACAGAGAAGGATGTGGTCGGAAGCTCAGCGTGCACGGACAGGGGGGTGAGCCTTTTGTGTCAAATTGGCTCTAGCTCACCTCCACTCCATCACCTGCTGCAGCTGCGCAAAGAAGAATCGGCTCAGCCGACTGCCTGTTCCGCTCCGTGAAGATCAGCGGCAGCGGCAGCGGCAGCAGCAGCAGCCTTGGTGTCCGCGGCTCAGGCCGCCAAGCCGAGCCGCTTTCCCCCGCAAGATCTTGCGCAGCTGGAAGTCTTCGGTGATTTTTGCTGCGCAGAATTTCCCGAAATGAAGCCTGCAGATCGGGATCGACGCTGTTGCAAGAAGATCCCTCCCGATGGGTCGTGATCGTCAGTCGCCGGCCAGTCGCTATAACTCCTTGCCGATGCAGGTCGCATCGACCGTGAGAGTCAACGGCAAGAACAGATGGCACGTTCCGTGCGCATCAGCACGGTGAGCTGCATTGCCGAATCGAACGGCTGAGGTCTCCCACGATCTGCGCAACATGCGGCGCAGAACGCGGCAAAAATGAACGAAAGTGGACCCTGAAACGTGCGCAAGTCTGCACATCGGCACGCTTCGACAGCGGGAATTTGCATCGCTGCTGCTCGCTTCCCTCTGCGTACTGTACGGCTGGTCGTTTCGGCATGCCGCCGAAGCTGCTTCAGGGAGCTCCGCCACCACATGGTCTTGAAGAATTGGTCCTTTTGGGAAAGTACATTCGAAGGTCGAGAGAGAAGCGAGCTTCGTTTGTGCTTTGCCGTGGACTGAGCGCTTGGGCCGCCAGGGGAGAGTGGAGGAGTGGCCGTAGAAATCCAAAAGCGTATCTCGCTTCCACCGCTCTTCGAACTCGCATCCATCTTTCGGCTGCTCTTGCTTAGCCTTACTCGGCCCCCACTCAATACGCTCCAGGCTGTGCTGCCGTGGTGGATGGTCCGCCCGGCCCTTCCACCCTCCCGCACCCAAACGTCCCAGAGGATGTCGGACGACATAGAAAAACAGCCCTTTGGCCCCGACAAGCTCGCCCTCCCTCCATCCTCAGATCCGTCTGCATCGGCCATCACGACCACGACTACCCTACATACACCGTCCTGGTCGCAAGTGTTCCTCTACAGGATGAAGGTCGCTGCCTCGCTTGCCGTTCTGTTCGGCCTAGTGCAGCTCGCCACCTCGTCGCCGGCACGCTATCCCGTCGGTCCGCGTAAGAATGCGGCGGTCGAGGGCTACGGTCAACAGACCTCGGCCTATACAGCACCGAGCGCCTTCCCCACCTCGATATTCGCATCGTACTACAACGCACCCGAGTCCATGACCGCCGAGCCGCGGCCCGTCGTCACCGACGTAGCGCGGACCTCGGTCTTTCCCGACATCCTAGCCAACCCAACCGTCCTGCCACCTGGCCCTTCACCCAGCGAAGCAGTCTATCCCGTGCCCACGGGCGCAGCGACGCCGGACGTGGCAGATCAGGTCCGCGCCGAGCTCACCAATACCTTTTCGTCGTCGGCAGCCAACTGCACCAAGTGCACCGATGCGCTCAAGACGGCGCAGAAGCTCGCACAGCAGGCGCCCGAGCAGATTCCCGGCATGCTTGTAGAGCTGTGCAAAAAGTACAACTACAAATCGGCCGCAACGTGCGAGGCCACCTATGCACCTCAGGTGCTTGGATCAGTATATGCCCAGGTGCTGAGCTATGCCAATTTTTCGGAAGGCAGCACCGATGCGCAATACATATGCAACATCGTCGTCGGCTCCTCCACGTCGAGCTGCACGCTCCCCGCGCCCCGCGAGCTCGACGAGGGCTTCCTCGACGATTGGTTCCGGGGACAGCGCATTCCGCCCACAGAGTACAATCGTAATGTTGGAGAGCCCACCAAGAACAATAACGACCTGCGGGTGCTGCACATGTCCGACATCCACGTTGACCCGCGCTTCTTCGTCGGCGGCGAAGCGGCGTGCACCAACGGGAGGTGTTGTCGTGCAGATGCATACAATTCGACGCTGAGCAGCGGCAAATTCACGCAGGGAATGCTGCCCAAGGCCAACATCTCCGAGGTGTCGACCTACTGGGGCAACTTCAAGTGCGATACGCCATGGAGCCTGGTCATGGCGTTGCTCGAGGCCGTCACTCCGCTCAACGGTGGCGAAGAGGTGGACATGACTATCCATACGGGCGATATGGTAGTACACGATCTGGCGCAGTACGTGTCTCAGGACCTGGTCAAGTACACGCACCAGTCGCTCTACGACAGCATTCGTAAGATGCTCGGCAAGGGCCCAGTGTTCAACGCGATTGGCAACCACGACTCGGCTCCGTCCGACTTTGCCTCGCAGGGTGCCTTGCCTGACGGCAGGTCCGACCAGCTGTCGTGGGACTGGGACAACCTCGCCCGGCTGTGGGAGTCCGAGGGATGGTTCAACCACAAAGAAGCCGAACAGGCGCGCAAGCACTATGCTGGCTACTCGGTGACCCCGCGCAAGGGCCTGAGGATAGTGGCGATCAACACGGACTTTTGGTACAAGAACAACGTGTTCAACATGATCCACACGCAGAACCCGGACTACAGCGGCAGTCTGCGCTTCCTGACCGACGAGCTGCTGCGTGCCGAGAAGCGCAACGAGCGCGTGTGGATTGTCGGTCACGTATTGACGGGTTGGGATGGCAGCAATCCGCTCGACAACCCGACGAACCTCTTCTATCAGATCGTCGACCGTTTTGCCCCGCATGTCATCGCGCACATCTTCTTTGGCCACACGCACGAGGACCAGTTCAACCTGTTTTACGCCAACAACGCTACGAGCGTCGCTGCGGACAAGGCCAAAGCGGTCTCTTTTATGGCCCCTTCAGTGACACCTGGCAACAACGTCAACCCGGCGCTGAGGATCATGCATGTGAATGCGACTACGTACGAGGTGATGGACTACCACCAGTTCTACACCCAAGTGCCTACCTTCCCGCAGCTTCCATCGAGCCAACACGGCCCTGTGTTCGAGTATCTCTACTCGGCGCGTGATGCGTACGGCAACTTTACCGCCTCAAACGCCAACTCGTCCCACCCAACCCCGGGGGGAGTGTGGCCTGCCAACGCTCCACTCAACGCGACCTTCTGGGCCAAACTCACCGAGGAAATGCATGCCACGCCCGAACTCGTGCAGCAGTTCACCGTCTTCCAAGGCAGGAACAGCCCCAAAAGTCCAAAGTGCACCGACGACAAGTGCGTCCAGGCCAAGATCTGTTACATGCAGTCCGGATCGGCTCCGCTCGGTAAAAAGTGCACCCAAGGCTACGGTTCAGTCCAGTCCTGAGCTGGCACTGATTGCGCGATCGATAAACACGCTAATTCTGACACAGCACATGAAGATATGAATAGATCATTCCTATGTCCGTTTCCTACTACGATGGTACAAGTACAGTTAAAAACAACTAGAGGGATATACAAAAACCGAGCCCGCACGGGTGGAAGGAGGGGTAAACCAGCCCGCCTCTTTCCACGACGCTTGGAGATGCGGATTTTCACTTGCGAGCGGCGAGCTTGTCCTGCTCGACCATGGCGCGGATGTCCTTCTTGAGGATCTTGCCCGACGCCGACTTGGGCAGGGCGTCGAGCCACGTGAGGCCGCGCAGCTTCTTGTAGCTGGCATTGACGCGCTCGTTGACAAACGCGAGCAGCTCCTTCTCGAGCTGCTTCTTCTTGTCCTCGTCGTCGCCAACTTCTTCCTTGGTCTTGGGGTTGAGCACGACAAAGACCCAGGGCAGCTCGGTGCCCTCCTTGTCCGGTACGCCGAGCACGGCGCAGTCGCCGACGCGCTCCTCCTTGAACATGAGCGCCTCGAGCTCCGACGGCGGCACCTGGAAGCCGTTGTACTTGATCACATCCTTGAGACGGTCAGTGATGGTAACGTAGCCCTCGCGGTTGACGCGCACAATGTCGCCCGTGCGCAGGAAGCGGTCCGGCGCATCCACGGACGGCAGGAACGTCTTGGCGTTGGCCTCGTCGTTGTTGAGGTAGCCCTGCATCATCTGCGGGCCGCGCAGGCACAGCTCGCCCTCCTCGTCAAAGCCAACCTCCTTGCCGTCGAGGTCGATGACCTTGGCCTCGGTGCCGGGCACAAGCTGGCCGACGGTGCCGGGGTAGTGCACGAGGTCCTTGCTGTTTTGGCTGCAGACGAGCGGCGACATCTCGGACATGCCGTAACCGTCAGTGGAGACTATGCCGAGGCGCTTCTTGACGGCGTCGCGCAGCTCCGAGGGCAGCGAGGCGGCGCCGGAGCTGACCTTTGTGAGCGAGCTGAGGTCGTACTTTTCGACCATGGGGTGCTTGGCAAGCGCGAGGAGGATGGGGGGCACGACAAAGCAGAAAGTGACGCGGTAGTTCTGCACGGTGGCGAGGAAGACGTCGAGCTGGAAGCGCGGCAGCACAATGGTGGGGGTGCTGGTGTGCAGGCCCATGAAGCCCATCAGCAGGCCGTAGCAGTGGAAAAGCGGCAGCAGCGCCAGGTGGAATTCGCCGCGGCTGAGGCGCGGCGCGAGGTTGATGCCGCCGAGCTTGCCGGTGAGCGTGTTGACCGAGTCGGCGGCGGTGTTCCAGGTCTGGGCGACGCGGGTGGTGAAGTAGCCATTGAGGTGCTCGCGGCCGTTCTCGTACCAGTTGTCTTCGTCAATAAGGGGGTCGTTGACGCGGTCGAGCATCGTGTAGGAGGACTGGATAACGTTGGCGACCATGGCGTAGTGGGAGAGCATGACGGCCTTGGGGCCGCCGGTAGTGCCGGAGGAGAAGCAGTAGACGGCGGTGGTGGTCTTGGGGTCGATGTCGACATTGTCGAGCAATGCGCGCGACTCGGGCAGCTCGTCCTTGCCGACCTTGAGGATTTTTGCGACCGAGGCGTCGTGGCTCTCCTCGAAGACGAGGATCTCGGGGACGGCAGAGAGGTGCTCGAGGCCGTCTTCACCCTTCATGGCAGCTTCGCGAGCAGCCTCTTGTGTGGCCTGGTAGGAGGCGGCAGTGGTGATGATGGCGGTGGCCTTGACCATGCGGACCTGGTGGGCAATCTCGGAGGGCTTGTAGGCGGGGTTGAAGAGGGCGACGCTGGCGCCGGTCATCATGATTCCGAGTGCGCAGGCAAGGTAGTCGTGCTGGTTGGATGCGCTGATACCGACGACGTCGCCCCGGCCGTACTTGCGGCCGGACTCGGTGGAGCCCGAGATGAGCGCCGAGGCAAAGTTGGTGGCATATTCGCGCACGTCAACGAGCGAGAGCGGCTTGGCATCGGGGCGGCCGGTGACCTCAGGCTCGGCGGGGAAGAGAAGCGGTGCGTTGACGCGCTCCTTGCATGCCGGGATATCGATGGGCTTGAAGAGGAACTCGGGAAGAGTATAGGAGGGGGCGGTGAAGTTGTGGGGCGACTTGATGATCATGGTGCCGTCTTCAACGTAGAACTTGCGCTTGTAGTCGGCTGTAGCGAGGCGGAGGGTGTGAAGGGAGGCTGCGAGGATGGCGCCGTACAAGAGAAGCGGAGGCAGCGATGAAGAGCCTCGTTGGTGCACGGAAGGGAGGACACGAGCAGCGAAGCGGTCTAGGTAGTCGGAGATGTGAAGCGTCGAAGCGCGGAAGGAGTCCAACATGGTGTGCATTATATACTAGCTGCCCGGACGACTGGCCAATTGGGCATACAAACAGGAGCGCGGCGAGGACAGGCACAGAGGCTGGCTCCGAGAGCTCAGAGAGATTGCCAAGGAAGCGCACAAGAGGTGCGCCTGTGTGTATATGCACCGACGACGGCGAGGCAGTCGGCGCAGCGTTCCACAAGGGATGGGGATCTGGGCTGGGGCGGGGAGGGGTCCGAAACAGGCCAAGCGCACAGGGCAGTTAGGCAGCACGGCTTTGTTTGGGGACGAATCTCAACGACAAAGGATCGGAAACAGAACAAGAGGAGCGCATGCACGAGGGGCGGGCGCAATGCTTAGGCGAGGCGGAGAACCAAGTGCAGGAACGGCGTCCAGCTGCGCAGGCGAGGTTTAGGGTAGCGAGGTGGAGAGACGGCGGCTTGGGGGGCTTGCGTGTTTGGGGCTGGGCCGAGGAGATGGAGATGGAGGTTGAGGGAGGAGGAGTTGGGGCGAGGCGGCGGCGCTTAGGTCTGGACCAGGCGCCACTGGCCGTCGTTGAGGCAGGCGAGGCAAGGCACGCACGACGCACGAGCGGCGGACAGCGATGGCAGAGGCCGAGGTTCGAGACAAGCAGCGGCGACATCGTGCATTTGGAGGGCGATCGCCTGTCAGAAGAGTCGATGATCATCGACAGTGCAGCTCAAAGCGTAGCCCTCTCCTGCCCGTCCACCGATGCGGTTAGAGAGGCCCACGCACGCACGAGCCCGTACCTACCTAGCATCTGCCAGGTGGCCTCTTCCTAACAGCCTCCGCACCTTCCACGCCCTCCGTGATCAACATTCAATCAGCTCGTCGGATTGTCCATTTGCTTCGTCACTGTGGCTTTCACGGAATGAGGACGCGTTCGGAATGCACCGACGGCTGCTTGCTGAGTGCAGTCCGCCCTGGCCCGAACGATGCCGCCTACAGGTGGAGGCAGGCAGCAGCCGCGCCGGAAAAAGTAAGGCTTGCGAGCTGCACAGTCGGATTCGCGCTTCGGACGGGCCGTGCAGAGAAAACGGCCGGAAACGTCCAGCCGCAGAGCGCGGCGCTGCACCCGTGTCAACTTTGGGCCACCACCACAAGCCTCACAAGAAATGCGAAAGCGCGCACCCACGCCCCACACATCGGCAGACTGCCTTCCCTGCTGCCTTGGCTCGGAATGTGAAACAGGTTCGCGGCCAGGCGCCAGCCCCGACCCTCATTGTCAGCCACACTCCAGTCCGCTCCCGCAGAATGCAATTCCAGCTCTTTGTGCCCTTTCCACTTCTGCAGTGCTCCCCAGCCAGGCCCGCCTAGGGTTCAACGTCCGAATGCCAGATCGACATGGCAGCAATCTGCGCATCTGGGCAATCCTCGTGTCATGGCTCGAGTGGTACACGGAATCAAACCGGCTGTCTCGACGCAACGGCATCGCATGGTGTCCCGATTGCGACTAGCAGCCGAGCCTGGCTGGTGCCTGAGAACGTTGTTCGCAACGATCGCCTCTGTCCAGTCTGCCAAGCAAAGCAGACCGTTTCGTCGGGCTCAGACGCCGTCGGATCGCCATGGTCTATGCGCATGGCGGGGACGGAGAGAGAGGCCTAAAGGCGAGGCGGCGAGCGGGGCGGAAGCGCCTGAGACAGGTTTCACCACCACCTCTCAATCACCTAGACTGGCCGCGAGTGAGACGCGAGGCCTCGTTGAACGCCGCCTGCTGCCTTCCAGCTGAGCCTCAAATTCTGGAACCTTGCGACGCCAGCCACGCTGCAAATCCTCACGCGCTGCCAGTTTGGGCGGGTTTCGAAAGTTGGAAGCCCGCCTAACCGCGTCTGCACTTGCCCAAAGCGGCGGCGCCTGCCACCAACTCGACCAACCTCTACGCGCCCTTCACCCCCACATGCTAGCCGCCTTGGCACACTTTCCCACGTTGAAGCACGATACTGACAAGCGGCTAGGTCCATCCTTTGCATTTGCATGCGCGATCGCGGCTGCGATATCCGTGTCCCGAGACACCTGCAGGCACCCTCGAACCAGCGTTATCTCTACTCGCCGCGGTACACCGGCTCGCGCTTTTCAGCAAACGCCTTGAGGCCCTCGAGTCGGTCCTTGGTGCCCAAGATCGTCTCGTAGCATTGGCGCTCAAAGTCGAGCGCCGTTTCAGGGTCCATCTGCTCGCCCTTGTCGATGGCCAGCTTAGCCGCTCGGACCGCCAAGGGTCCTGACAAAGTGCGAATCAAAGCGAAGAGAAAAGTGTCAGTGTTAGATCCAGGCAGGGCCGGTGACAAACATCCGCAAGCGGAAGCCAAACGGCGGAGTTGACAAAACCAACAAACTTGCTGCTTGTTGTGCTGAAGGCGGATGGACGTTGTGGGCTGATCGCACCTCGTGCTTCCGCAACGGGCACAACATGCTGCTGATGAGCATCTGTTAATACCGCATACGAAGCATGTGCCTTTGGCGAGGTCCGACGCCAAACAACGCCTGGCAATTCAGCCCTCGGCATGGAGCAGCTGATCATCCGGCGCAGCCTGATGCGGTGATCGTCCCTCCTATGTTCCGCTGGAATCCGGAACTCGTGGTCAAGACCATCATGTTGATTCCGCTATTCCGAGCCTCCCTGCTCTCATCGATGCGACGCTCAAACTTACCATTCTTTGCAAACGATCGGGCGAGCTGGACACCCTTGCTGAATGCTGCGGTGCCGTCGCCCTCCTGGGCCACAATGTCGACGAAACCGATACGACTGGCCTCGACGGCGTCCACGAGCTTGGCGCTAAAGATGAGCTCCTTGGCACGTGCTGGTCCCACGAGCCTCGTCATTCTGCTGGTACCACCGGCTCCGGGAATGATGCCGAGCTTGGTCTCTGTCAGGCCCAGCTTGGTTGCTGCGGGGCCAGCGATGCGCAGGTCGCATGTGAGCGCCAGTTCGAGACCACCGCCCATGGCCAGGCCGTCGAGACACGCGATGGTGGGCATGGGCAGCCGCGACACGTTGGTGAACACCTTGCGCAGGCCAAGCAGAAAAGCGTCGACCTCCGGCTTCGACATTCCCTTGCGCTCCTTGAGGTCCGCGCCGGCACAGAACGTGCCGGGTACCGAAGAGCGTATCAAGAGCGCGCGCGACGTGGGGTTGGTGAGAAGCGAGCTGATGTGCTGGTCCATCTCGGCGAGCAGCGCACGCGAGATGGCGTTCTTTGCAGGTGCCCGGTTCAGCGTGAGCACGGAAATGTGCTCATCGTACGGCGAGCTCGAACCGAGCTCAGACTTTGCGATGGCCGACAGAGGTGAGAGCGTCGCCAGCTGCGAAGGGTCCGTCGCCGTTGAGTAGCTGCGAAGCACACTTCGTTGGCAAAACGCCGAACGTCGCAGCGCCGTAGCTGCCACGCTCGCGTTGGAAAGCGCAGGTCGGAGGGTCAGCATTCTGAACGGGTGTGTATGAAGGATGGAAGGAGGAAGTGTCGGTTTTGGACTTTCGTCTGCTGGAAGACACCCCAGGCTGCGGGGAGGGGGTTTTTTACCCCGCAAGCGTTGGTCCGAGCCACCACCGGCTCAGGCGTCCGACGTCTCAGCCGGTACGTCCGAATCCAACACGATCCAGATCGGGAATCACGCGTCGAGCCCGATGCAAGACCAGCCCGGCCAATTTGAAATTGTGCTCCACAAAAGGCCAGGTTCTCGACATGCGCCGTACCCGTTGATGCTTCCGACCCTTCAACTGCCATCCATCACCATGTCGCAAGCAGAAGAACACCCCATCAACCAGAGCGAGTGGTGGAAGGTGTACGGCGAGCCCGCTGTCAAGCCGGGCGCCGTCAGCGTCGACGAGCTCACCGCCTGGTACGAGACCAAGACGCCTGGGCGCGACTTTGTTGTTGTCGACGTGCGCCGTTCTGACTGCGAAGTAAGTGTACCCAGTCCGGGCTCGCTCTGTCCCCCTAGACACATCGCTGATAGCTATCGTTGTGATGAATGATGATGACTTTGTAGTACATCATGCCGGGGGCCATCAACCTTCCAGCTCACTCTCTGCCAGCGACACTGCCGACGCTCGTGCAGATGCTGGCGACAGTGCCCAAGTTGGTCTTCCACTGCAACTCGAGCAAAGGTCGAGGAACACGCGCATCGGGCTGGGTAGCGGACAGCTTCTTTAAGATGCACACCGCGGCTGGTGCGTCGCAGGAACAGGCACAGACGCGCGTCGAGCAGCAGGTGCTCATCCTCACCGGCGGCATCAATGCCTGGACCGAAAAGCACGGCAAGCGAGCCCTGGACACCAGGGGCCAGCCGTGGGACGGCAAGTCGCTCTCCACCATCCCGCTCTAGAGCAGTACATGTCGACGTTTGAATGTTGTGTACATTGATTCTACTGCGTGGTGGGTCGGGTGGAAGTACATTTTGATGGTAGATGCTGAGACGGAGCAGGAAGTTAGGATGTGCGATTAGAACTTGCCGATGAGGAGGTTTCCGATCATCTCGCGCGCGGTGATCCAGACGGTGATGCCGAACGTAGGCAGGTCGAGGGTCGAGCTGAGCACGTCGGCCAGACCAAACGGCAGCATGGGTGGGATCCAGCCCTGAGCGAGCTCAAGGGCCCAGCATCCGTCCTCGGGCATCATGTACTGCTTGACCGTGCCGCGGCGCAGGTGGTGCACCGAGCCGGCAGGGTAGTGCTCCGCCTTGAGCGCGCCCGCAGGGAACGCGTACTGGTTGCCCGTGAGGATGTTGAAGTAGTCGTCCGCCTGCGATTCCACCAAACAACAAGCACGTCAGCAATCGTAGGAAGCAGTCAGTCGGTGAAAAGTGTTGGACTTACAGTGTGACGACCGGTGTGGCCTTCAGTGCCGACGGGAGTGCCGAAGAAGATGAGGTACTCGGTGATGGAGGCGTGGATGATGTACATGCTGCCCATCGCACCGCCGGCGTTGTTGAACATCCACTCGGACTCGACGCTAAAGTGGTTCTTGTTGATGTACGGCGCGGTCTTGGGGTCGGCACGCAGGTTGTCGAGAATGTCGTCAAAGATGGCCGTAGCATTGCCAGGGTGCTTGGCGACGGCACCGGATGCGATCTTGTACACCTCCTTGTGGTCGAAGATGTAGAAGCTGGAACGAATCGAGTCGAGAGCGGCCATGATGGCGCAGAAGCCGACCAGCAGCGCGGAGAGCATCACCCATGAGCGTTTGGACGAAGCAGGGGCGCCGTTGGCTGCAGGCTTGTTGGATCGGGGTCGGTGGGTAGCCATGGTGACGAGTAGATCCAGATAGAGAAGGTAGCTCTAAGATGAGAGTAGCAATGTGCAATGGCAGACAGGAGACAAGTAAGGACAGTTGATCGTTGGTAGAGGCAGACGATGGAGGCAATGCGCAAGAAGAAAGAAGCTCGAGAGTGCGTGTGTTGCTCTCGGTTTTGACAGCGAATCGGCCCACTTGTCGGCATTCTTCGCGTTCACCGTGAACCAATCGCCCGATATCTGCAATTCCAACCGCGTCCAATCCTGCGCCTCGAGGCCAAAATCAGACCATGTCGTCGCTGCCAAGCTTTGTTGCTGGCAGCCACCTTCGCTCTTGCCGCGGAGCACGGAGCGGGTATCCGAATCATGCTTTGTATGAAAGCGCCTCTAGGATAGGAGCATGCAGATGGACGGGCCATCTACAGCCAATGTGCAAGTCAGAGGCGGAAGAAGGGAGGAGCAGTTGCGCGAAAGTTGAGCATGTTACGGCGCGACAAGCAAACAAACGTACCGCGAGCGCGCCTTATCTGGGGCTTGGTGATAACGCGCTCAAACAGAGGGAGGTCTATTCAGTCAGCCGCGCAGTCTACGCTACGCCTTGTTTTGGCTCGTGAAATCGAGAGCGGCGCTCCTGGGCGCTTTTGACACCTGCACCAGCACGTAAACGGAAGAGCCCTCTGCAGCAACCAAGCTGAGCCGCTGCTCACCCGACTCCAGCCGTGCCTCTGTATCAGCCACGATCCCAGCTGCGAACTGCATCAGACGAGCATGGCACGATCCGTCAGCCCAGCCTTCTCCACACGCATCCCGCCATTCTGCGCTTTGCCGACCACCACCATCATCCCCCATCAAAAGCCGATCCGGCAATTTCGGTGACTACGACAACGATGACGCTCACCCTACCGCGCAACGCTGTCCTCACCACGGGCTCAATCTCGGACGACCAGGTGTTGGATCCACGCAAGTCCATGCCCGACTACCGGCGCGAGATCTACGACCTGCTTCAGTACCTCGACGAGGAGCAGGACAAGATCGAGAAGGAGCTCGCCAAGTTTACATCGCAGCCACGTCGGCCGCCAACCCAGGCGGAGGATGTCGAGTCGGAGGACGAGGACGACTTTGTCGTGGTCGAGGACGTGAATGCGGCGAGCCGCAAGAAGCAGCTTCTGAACCAGCTGCGTCAGCTCTGGAGGACGCGCGATGCGCTCCGCAAACGCGCCCAGCAGCTCAACATTCGCATCGACAGCCTCTCGTACGCCAAAGGCGCCGGTCTCATGCCCATGGACGACCTCCCGCACGGCACGCAAGGCCTCGACCTCGCCGAAGATGGCGAAGATCTCTGAGCACACATACCCCACGAGCCTCGCCGCATACCCCTCCTGCCTCGCAGTATAGAGTGTTACCGATCCCGCAACTCGCAGCGCATCCACCCCATACCCAGTCACACGAGCATGTCTTTGCGTAAGACAAGCGTCTAATGCAATGTGATGTCGTTCATTCAAAGCTTCCCTGGATCTCGGTCCAGTCCGGCTCGTCGTCCTTGCAGGCTTGGGGTTTCATGTCGGCGAGTGTTTGGAGGCATGCCAAGTGTCGCATCGTCGGTCTGCCATGTGGGCAGTTCCAGGGCTGCTCGATTGTGCCCATATTGGCGAGAATCGAACCCATGCGTGCCTTATTGAGCGCAGTTCCGATCATGACCGACTTCCTGCACGCCCTGCTGGCGAACATGCTCCTCGCCTTACTGCACCTTACCGCTCGCGTTGCCTCGGTTCCTGCAGACATGTCTCGTAGCAGATACAGCAATTCTTCCAAATCCTTGACGCCGAAAACGGTCGTCTTGCTGATTGGTTGTGCGACGAGCTTTATCCTCGTTCCGGGTAGCCCTGATTCGGAGACAGCGATTTCGAACCCATTCGCGAGGAGCGTGGATTGGTGTTCGATGGCCACGAGCTCGTCGGATGCAGACAGCTCTAGCGCGCGGGGGCAGATGAGTTTCTGCGACCGGATCTGCGTCGTCAGCTGCAACGTCTCGAAATTGTACTTCTCGTCCGAAGCGTGCTGGTCGACGATAAAGAGGTCGTCCATCTCGTCTGCACTGCCGACCGCGTTTGTGCGTCGACGTGCAATGATGAACCCGAGGTTGAATTGGCCAATCACGTCCATAGACGCAAAGTCTTGCTTGTGGATCACGCGCGAGAGCGTGCGTTCCACCTGCTCCTCGTCTGCGTTCTCGACTCCAGCGCCTTGCAGCAGCTGCTCTTCCCCCGACAGTGTCGTTGTACGGGCTGGCAGAGTTGATGCTCTCTTGTGCTCGCGCCATTGGCGTGCGCGAGGCCTTAGACGGGCCAAGTCGACAGAAACAGTCTCTCCGCCCTCGACCTCGTTCGTATCCGCGCCAGCTTCGGCGAGAACAGGCTGGCTGGGTGGCAAGACAAAGGCGTGCGAGTGTTCCGGCGACGGAACATCGCTCGCCTCCTCGTGAAGGGCGCCCACTGTCAGATCGTCGTCGTCCATGCTTTCGGCCTCGTCCTGCTCGCTGTGCATTTCGGCTGCACTGGGCATGGGTGAGAGCGCATCGTCCTGGCTGCCGGCAAGCGCAAAATCGCGCAAGTTCCTCCGGATTTCCTTGCTTGTTCTGCGCGATGAGTCGACCGCAGACAAGGCCTCCTCTATCTCTGGTTCCGGCGACGACTGGCTGTTGCGCTGTCTCTTCATTGGCGGCTCTGTCGTTGTCGGGTCTTTGCGCTTTTCTCCCATTGAGAGAAGTGCGTGAGCTTCCGGCGCGTGCGGCAGAGGAGCCTCGGGCTCGCTTTCGTCCGCCTCCACAGCCGCGGAAGCCTCAATCGGAGCAGCCGAGTCGGATGCGATCCCGATGTCTTCGCGATACTCGAGATCTTGCACCGAGGCTATCGATCTTTGAGATGGCACGAGTTCGTCTTCTTCCTCCTCGCTCCGATCCCCATCGACCGCCTGCGTCGGAACTGCCGCGACTGTCCTGCTGTAGTGGCCGAGTTTCGCTTGTGTGGCGGCGCTGCTTCCGCCACTGCGCAGGGAATGACTGGCTCCATTCACGAGAAAGGTGGCTCTGCTGGGCGCAAAAAGCTCCTCGAGCGCCTGCTTGAGCTTCTCGATAAGCCGGCTCTCCTCGTGCAGGAAGATGGTGCGCTTGTCGGGACTGACGTTGACGTCGTACGAGTCGGTCGGAAGTCGAAAGTCCGCGATGATGAAGGGAAAGTGGTTCGAGTTGAACGACTTGTACACCTCGTTGAACGCGCGGCTGACGCGACCCGCTTCCCACGGTCGTCCGTTGATGTAAAAGAACTGACGGTCAGACGAGGTGCGGCCTGAGCCGTACACGGGCTTGCTGATGAGGCCAACCACAGTGACAGTTGACGCATCGTTCGCGGTCTCTTCCTCGTCGCCTTCGTCATCGTCCTGCTCACCTCGTTTCTGTGCGGCACTGAGGCCTTTGCGAGCAGTGGAGAAGGTAAGCTCGAGGCTGAGGGGCATCAGTGTCGGAGCCACCTTGGCTCCAAAGAGCGCAGACACATTGGCAGCGAGGTAGTTGTCGGCGCTGGACGAGTTGACGCTGAATTGCGGCGTCTTGCGTCCTCCTGACGGCTGGTTGGTGGTGGTCCAACGGACACCCTTCGTGATGAGGGCGTACGCCTGCAGCAGGTTCTGCGTCTTGGCGTACTCTCTCTTGAGATTCTTCTCAAACTCCTTCCGGCGGACAGGAAGCGACTTGAAGAGATCTTCGATGGTGATTGTGGTTCCTCTCTGCCTCGCTGCGCGACCCGAGTCGTCTGCTACGCGGCCGGATCGGTCGAGGCGGAGCACCGCGCCCATGGGCGCCTGCTGTGAGGTGGCAGTATGAATGGTGACGCTTGCCAGTGCGCAAAGCGATGAGAGCGCCTCGCCTCGGAAGCCGAAAGTGCGCACGTGCGCAAGGTCCGAGAATGATGCCAGCTTGCTCGTGTAGTGCTTGAGCGCGACCGAGGCGTAGTTGGACGGGTCGATGCCGGAGCCATTGTCGACGACCTCGAACGAGTCTGCGCCATAGTCGCGAAAGTTGATGGCGATGTTGGAGGCCGAGGCGTCGAGTGCGTTCTCGACGAGTTCCTTGACAGCCGTCTGCAAGTCCAGGACGACCTGACCACTTGTGATCCTGTGCACGTCCGAGGTCGGGATTGCACGGATGGCTGAGCCCGCTGCCTGCGGATCAGTACTGGCCGAGGCCATAGCCGATGCTTCTTGACATGCGCAAGGATGCGGAATCAAGGAGTCAAGAATCTCGCGGGCGGATGGAACGGCCTTTGTGGGGAGTCATGTTGGCTGAGTCGAGCGTCGAACCGACGCAGACTAGTATGAAGCGTCCCACCTGCGGTTTGCGGCTCGAAGGAGTGGAGAAGGGACCGTCGCGTAAAAGACCAACACGCGCCGCGATCTCCAACCTAACAGTTTTGAAAGAAGGCGAACCCGCCTCCACTTCATGCGGGCTGCTGAGCATTCTGTGGACCCTGGCGAACGGCGTTGTGCTTTGCAGTCACAGGCTTGCATCAGACCCACCATCCCGCAGCACATCAGCACGGTACTCGCCACGTCCAATACGGTCATCACGACCCATCCTAGTGCGTAATGTTCTCGGCAGGGGAGATACGTCGCCATCTGCTCCCATGACACAGTTTCCATCATCGAGCGTCGGGCCATCATTACGACCGCCATGGACAGCGATGGCGCTCGTCCGAACGGGGACCAGGCTCGACCGGCTCCTCAGCGCACGGAGCATGCCCCCAGCCACTCAGCCGATCCTTTTTTCCGTGCCCGCCTCATCAACATAGATCACGTCCTCACGCTCCCTGGCCCGCTCGACCGCACCCAATGCGCCTTCAACGCCGAAGGACAGCTGCTACGCAAGGTCCCCATCCTGCGAATCTTTGGCGCCACGCCGGCGGGCCAGCGAGTATGCATCCACGTACACAACGTCTTTCCGTACTGCTACATCCAATACAAAGGATCGCTAGATCCAGACGATGTGCTCAGATACATCCATCGCCTCGGCAGAGAGCTCAACGCAGCCATGGCCGCCTCACTCCGCCGCAACGCTGCCGACCCGGAAGCAAACCAATTCATCGCCGCCATCCACCTCTGCAAAGGCATCAACTTTTATGGCTACCATGTGGGCTACTCGTACTTTCTCAAGATCTCCTTTGTCGATCCTTCGCACAGCTACCGCATCGCAACCATCCTCGAGTCCGGGGGCGTGATGAAGACCATTTTTCAACCATTCGAGATTCACATTCGCTACCAGCTCCAGTTCATGCTCGACTACAACATCTTTGGCTGCGACTACCTCGATCTCGACGATGTGCGCTTCCGGCTGCCCGTTCCGGAAGGCAGCATGGTCGCTTCGGACGAACCTTCACCATCCGACCCTCGAAGCAAGGTCTGGAATCGCAACACCATTCCCTACGCGCATCTGCAGTCCGAGGACGTGCACCGTGCGACGTACTGCGAGATTGAGGCAGATATCAGCGCGCCATGGATCATCAATAGGCGCAGACTCAGACAACGCCCTCTCCACCAAGACTTTGACGAGCCGATGCGCGTGTCGCCGGATCAGAACATCCTCGTACCGAGCCTATCCGGGCTCTGGGAGGGTGAAAAAGCGCGTAGGAGCGCTGCAGGACTTCCAGCCTCCATACCGACCGAGGATCCTGCGCGCGATCCGCGTGCATACGCAGAAGGGGAGTCGCCAGCGTGGAACGCCGAGGACCGCATGCGTCTGCTGCTCGAGAAGCGCCTCCTCGATGAAAAGCAGAAGACGCTGCCACGCGAGCGTGTTCCGAATCACTTCACCGACCGATCTGGCTTGGACCAGTACATCATGACCACCTTCGATGCAGTCGAAGTCTTTCACCCCTATCAAGACCAGATCCACGCGGCCGACCCGTACTCTCAGCGCACGGGGCCCTCGGCTTCCTTCAAGCTGTACGATCTCGAGCACATGCTCTCCCAGACTCAGCGCGGAGAGAACGGTACGTCCAGCCAAGATGACGAGGAGACGGCAGATCATTTCGACACCAAGCTCTTCAAAAGTCAAGAGTTCAACCACCGCCTGATGCAGGCCGAGAAAGAGGATGTCGCCGGAATCCATGACCCGCCCTCGGACCATGATGAAGACCCCAATGATATCGACGCGTCCGACCCAGCCGAGGGGCAAGCGGAAGATCAGGGCCAGTCTCGCGCGTGGAAAAGAAGTGACAGCACCAACTCTGCCACCAGCACGTCGAATGGCAGCACCTTTGGGAGGAGTCCGTCTTCGACACCCAAGAAACGTCGCCTTGGCAATCTGCTGGATGGAGATGCGACCCCAAAATCTTCAAACTCTGCAACCGGCCCCAACGAGCTGTTCGCCGAAGATGTGCGCAGGTTCAAGCTGGCGAAACGGGAAAGATCGACCAGCAAAACCAATGACACCTACTCTACTGCGTCGCATGCAGGCGAACGCTCTCGTGTGCGCTTCGCAGACCCAGGGACCGCGCTGCCACCGAGCCAGGAACCTGACTCTGCCAATTCTCAACAGCAAACGAACGGCTCCTCACTTGCGATCACGAACAAATCGTCGCCTCAGTCGAACTCTCGCAAGCGCCTCTTCGCTTTCCACGAGCCAAGTCCTTCGACTCGCACAGTCGTCGAGACTTTCTCGCTGTTTTCAGTCTCAAGGACAATCCACCTCGAACCTTTCTTCAGCGACCCGCAGGACTTGCCCGCACGACCACGCGAATATGCCGACCGCATGTTTCAATTCCAGTCACGGACGCTACCGTTCCTGCGACCATTCGAGCACTGGCACAAGTCGTCCAAAGACGATGCTCCAGAACAGGCCATCCCGCGAAGGCGGTTCTGGCAATTCGGTCCGCCACCGCCGACCATGCTCGAGGCACGTGCGTGGCGGCAGAAGGAAAAGATCGTCGAAAAGCAGCGCTCAAAGAACCGACGCGCCAGGCTGCTCTCTCAGATTGAGCGAAACACACAGTCGAGCGACTACGGTTTCAAGATCTCGCAGCACAAGGCGACAACGCTGGTGGTGCGCGACAAGCAGCACATGACGACGCTCGCCGTCGAGGTGCTCACCATCACGCGTGCCGGTCTCTTTCCCGACCCGGCTTTCGACGCGATTCAAGCGGTCATCTACTCGTTTCAGAACGAGGACGAAAATCTGCAGGATACAGGCAGTCGACCGGACCTCCGGACGGGGCTCATTCTGGTTGCCAACGAGGGGTTCCGTGCTGAGCGCCTCGGGCTGTCGCATCTGGCGGTCGAGGTGGTCGAGGACGAGCTGGACCTATTCAATGCGCTGATCGATCTGATGCGTGCATTCGATCCCGAACTTCTCGTCGGATGGGAGATCCATTCTTCATCGTGGGGATACATCATCGAGCGAGCGAGCAAGGAGTTCGAGTTTGACCTCGTGCCGCAGTTCGGGCGCTCCATCGTTCACAACACAGGCCGCGCAGGCGGCAAATCGGACAGTTACGCCTACACCCAGTCGTCGGCACTGCGCATCACCGGCCGCCACACGCTCAATCTATGGCGGCTCATGAAGGGCGAGCTTACGCTCAACCTGTACACGCTCGAGAACGTGTGCTACCACCTACTGCATCGGCGGGTGCCCAAGTTTTCGCACCAGACGCTCACCGAGTGGTACACGTCCGGTCGCGCCGAACTCGTGCGCAGGGCACTGCTGTACTACGTCGAGATGGTCGAGCTGGAACTTGAGATCATCGCCGAGTCCGAGTTCGTGCTGCGCACCGCCGAGTTCGCCCGAATCTACGGCATCGATTTCTTCTCGGTCATCTCGCGCGGCAGTCAGTTCAAGGTGGAGAGCATCATGCTGCGCATTGCCAAGCCGGAGAACTTTGTGCTCATCTCGCCCAGCCGGGCGCAGGTGGGCAAGCAGAATGCCGCCGAATGTCTGCCGCTCATCATGGAGCCGCAGTCGGCGTTCTACAAGGGCCCGCTCATCGTGCTCGATTTTCAGTCGCTCTACCCGTCCATCATGATCGCCTACAATCTGTGCTACTCCACCTGCCTCGGCCGCGTTGCGGGATTCAAAGGCACAAGCAAGCTGGGCGTCACCGAGTATGCGCCCCCCAAGGGACTGCTCAGTTTGTTACAGGACGACGTGAACATCTCGAGCAATGGGCTGCTGTTCGTCAAGCCGCGCGTGCGCAGGTCGCTGCTGGCCAAGATGCTCTCCGAGATCCTCGACACGCGCGTGATGGTCAAGGCGTCCATGAAGGGGACGAAAGCCGACAAATCCTTCCAGCGCATTCAAAATGCGAGGCAGCTGTCGCTCAAGCTGCTCGCCAACGTCACCTACGGCTATACCTCTGCGAGCTTCTCGGGTCGCATGCCGTGCGTGGAAATCGCCGACGCCATCGTCCAGACTGGCCGCGAGACGCTGGAAAAAGCGATGGACCTCATCAACGGCACCGAAGAGTGGGGTGCACAGGTAGTGTATGGCGACACGGACTCGCTGTTCGTCTACCTGCCCGGGCGCACCAAAGAAGAGGCGTTTCGACTGGGTCACCTGATCGCGGACAAAGTTACGAGTCTCAACCCGCGGCCGGTGAAGCTCAAGTTTGAAAAGGTGTACCTGCCGTCGGTGCTCCTGGCAAAGAAGCGGTACGTGGGGTTCAAGTACGAGACGCTGGATGAGCGCGAGCCCGGCTTCGACGCCAAGGGTATCGAGACAGTGCGGCGAGATTTTCATCCCGCGATCCAGCGCATGCTCGAGGCGTGCATCCGTCTGCTCTTCCGCACGCGCGATCTGTCGCGCGTCAAGAGCTACCTGCAGCGTCAGTGGCGCAAGATCCTCGAGGGCCGCGTGAGTCCGCAGGACTTCATCTTTGCCAAGGAGGTCCGGCTTGGGTCGTATAGCGACAAGGTGGCTCCGCCCCCTGGAGCGGCCGTGTCGTCGCGCCGCATGCTGGCCGATCCGCGATCCGAGCCACAGTACGGCGAACGGGTACCGTACATCATCTCGCAAGGCGAGCCACGGGCCAAGTTGAACCAGCAGGCTGTATCTCCCGAGGCGTTTCTGAAGAATCCGCAGTTGCAGATCAATGCGCTCTACTACATTACACGCACCATCATTCCGCCGCTCGCGCGCGTGTTCAACCTGCTCGGTGCCGACGTCGAGGCGTGGTTCCACGAGATGCCCAAACCCACCAACGCCTACTGGAACAAACGACCCACCGCGGCCCTCCTTGCTGCTATCACATCCTCCGACTCCGCCCCGACCGATACAGCCGGACCAAGTACGGTGGGCAATGCCACGCTCAACTCGCACTATGCGACGGAAACCTGTCTGCTCTGCTCGACACGCACCGAGGCATTGATCTGCGCCGACTGCCGCCAAACCCCCACCGCCTCGCTGCATGCCGTCGCCACCAAGCTGCACAATCTCCAGGCCCAAACACGCGCCGTGGACCGCATCTGCTCCACATGTGCCCACTTCGAACGCTCCACCTCCGTCGAATGCGTCTCCCTAGACTGCCCCTACACGTATCAAAAGACCAAGCTCAACAAGAACCTCGAGGATACCGCGCTCATCCACACCTACCTCGGCCGCTTGTTCGACTCGGACCCGCAACGACAGGCTCAAGTCCAGGACGCCTGGAGATGCGACCCCGATCCCGACGCCACCATCTGATACCCTCTCCACACACCCACGCCACAAACCGAAAACGATTGCATTGGATGCGAAAAACTTGCACAAATGTTGCATTTCACTACCTACTTTACACTCAAGCCGGGCTGATGGCCGCGGGCATCTTTTCTTTGGAGCCGGGCCCGAACGCGGGTGCGTGGCTCTTGGCCTTCCTGTTGATGGGCGAGTCGCCACCGGTGTAGCACATGACGTCGTACACAAGGCAGCCCATGAGCGCGCCTGCGATGGTGGCAATGATGGGCGTCCAGAGCCAGTACCACGCATTGAAGGTCCAGAGCAGATCGGGCGAGTAGCCGACAATATAGAGCATGAGTCTCGGACCCAGGTCTCGCGCCGGGTTAACGGCATAGGCAGTCTGCCAGCCGAGACAGGCGCCAAGTCCCCAAATCAACCAGAGCAGCACCATGGGAGCCATGCCGTCGGGAGGAGGCGTATTGCTCGAGTCACCAATCGCGAGGATGACGATGAGCAGAATAGTGGAAGCAAAGAATTCGTTGTAGAACGAGCTCATCCGTGTCGACGGCTGACGCAGGAACTCGGCGGGATAAGTGGTGAAGAGCGCCGCGGTCTTTTCTGTCTGGTCCGGGTCGACGAGGCGGATCGGGTTGACGTAGAGGCCGTAGATGCAGAGCGAGCCCACCAGACAACCGAGGATCTGGGCGACAATGTAGACGGGCACCTTCTTCCAGGGGAACTTGCGGAAGCAGGCGAGCGCAATGGTGACGGCTGGGTTGATCATACCACCCGAAATACCACCTGCGACCCAGACACCCATGGCGACACCGACGCCCCAGCCAAACGAGATGGAGAGGTAGTCGCCCTTGGGAGCGCTCGGGTCGTAAAGCGACGATACGGTGACCTGGCAGTTGATGCCGTTGCCGAAGACCATGAGCATGAAGCATCCGAGGAACTCTGCGAACGGCTCGCGGAGCTTGTAGCGCATGGCAGCCCACTTGTTGGGGAATTCGTACTCATCGACGCTGCTGTCGTCTTCTTCGTCGCGGTAGCCCCTCTCTGCGGGCTCGGGGTCCTTGACGATGGTGGTTTCGCTGCCCTTGGAGTCCGAGTCGCTCAGCTTTGCGTCGTCGACGGTGTTGACGGCGGTCTCTGTGGTGGCTTCGAGCTCCTTCTTCTTGAGCACGGTGTCCTCGGTGGCGGCGCCCTCGTCTGCCTGGGGAAGGTCGGAGATGACCTCCTTGACATCCTCGATGTGGTCCTCAAAGTGCTGGCGCTGCTCGAGGTGTGCCTGCTGCACGTGCTTCCTGAGCTCCTCGGTCTGGCCGCGGTTGGCGCGCTCGAACTCCTGGTGGATCAAGTCGCGGAGCTGCGAGAAGAGCTGTGCGCGGCCCTCCAAGGTGTTGACGTCCATGGATGTGCGGTGGCCGGAGGCGCTGCCACCTGCGACGGAAGGCGACCTGGTGCCCGAACCGTTGTTGGACTTGCGTATTGCTTTATCGGCCTTGTACTGCCTGTTCTGCTCCTCGGTGGGGAAGGCATGGCCGAGGCCGATGCGGCCGGTGGTGCGCACGCCAGCGCCGCTGGTGGTGGGAGCGCCGTCGGTGTGACCTAAGGAGTAGGCTGGCTTTGTGACGGGCCTCTTCTTGTAGTGTTTGCCGGTCTTGACGTCCTTGACGATCTCTCCAGGCATGGCGGCTTCGCCAGGGGCGATGGCTCGCAGCTCGTACATGGCGCCGCTGGGCGACGTAGAGCCGGACTGCGAGTTGGCAGCGAGATAGATTTGCTGACCGGTGAGATCGACCTGGCTGCTGTTGGCGCTGCTGCTGGCAGTGGCGCGGCCAGGCAGGTTGACCTGGATGGGCACAGCGACATCGGCTGCGGTGGTCGACTCAGGCGCCGCCACACTGGAGCGTCGAGACCTCATGGTTTTGAAGGGCTGTTGTAGAAGACCAAGCTATGCGGGAGATGTGTTTCGTGATTGGGCGAGACCTCGGGCAGGCGGGGCGGGGTGGAGGAAACGAAGCCTCAAAGGGGCGCAGCTATAAATGCGAGGCGACGAGGACCCACGCTTGGCTCTGTTGATGGAGGATGGCAAGGACGAAAGGATTCAGGAGAGCGTCGGAAGCCGTCCCGCCGGTGTGGTGAGCGGGCAGAGGCGCGAGTGCAGTAGCGGACAACCGCTCGCCAGCGAGGTCAAGTGGGCCAGTTGGAAAGATTGACGAGCGAGGCGGATGACCCAGGACTGCACGAGCAAGGCGAAAGCGCCGAAGTGGGGCGAAGCACGACGGATGACGGGGTTGGCGAAGGTAGGAAGTGAAAACAGAGTTGGGGCGTTGGATGGACGAATGAGGTGGGGCGTTGCCAAGTGAAGCGGAGAAGACGTGGGGCAGTAGACGAGAGCCTATTCTGGGGTACGGTGGGCGCACTGCTGCTCTTGCTGCTGCTGTTTCCTTGCTGCTGCTGCTGCTGGTCGGAGGTTTGTGCCTGTGTGGCGGCAGGTCCAGCGATGGTGGACAGAGGAAGAGGAGCGGACGGCTGAGCCGATGTGGCCATGCAGCGAGGATGTAGGCAGGTGCGCATGGACGGGAGCGATGCTACCGGTCGCTTGGCAGGCCGGTGACCAATCGAGGGCCGAACGCTGTGCCTTCCAACCACGAGCCACTTTACGCTTTCGGAGTGTGAGCCGAAGAAGCCTTGCTCGCCTTGGCTTGGCTTTGCCAGGGGGCTTTGACGCAATCCTTCCTGGTGCGCTCGGAACCTCATTCCGAAAAATCGGCCAGCTGGTCTCAGAGTTGCGCCGTTGCGCGGTTGCACGTCAGCCCCACAACTCGCGCACTCAGGATGGGTTTGTGCCCTGCGCATCTGATGAAGTTCATCAGTCGTCTGCCTTGGCGGAGCAGCTTGTGTGGCAACATGACGCGCAAGCTCTTTGTCTCGTGGCTGCAACTCGGCCAACGGACCTCTCAGAGTACAGTATGGACGAAGCGCAGACTCGAGTTTTCGCCGTGGTCGCGCGCAGTCTCTAGATTTCGTGGCTGGTTTGACCCTGGCCGCATCGGCAGCGTGGGAAGGTCCAATCATGCGTTTGTCCAAAGCAGCAGCCAATCGAGAATGATTCTTCAGCGCATCCGGATGAGCCGGCTGGGCTGCAGGGCCCGCTTGCCAGGGTCAGCTGTCCGGGTGATTGCCGAGGCGTGACTGTTTTGCAGGCGAGGGCACGCCTCGTCCTCAGCACAGGCTTCCGCGCAGAGCTGCAGCGCCAAAATTCATCCTTCTTGGGTAAATTTCCGATCCTGCGCAGCTGCAGGCACGGCGCGAGTCTGGGCTCAAATTGAGCGGAAGAATCGGAAACGAATAATGAAGTCACTGCGCTCACTCTGCGCTCTCGTCTGGACCCGCGATCCTGGTGGATGGCCTGGGCCGTGCGACCCAAAGCTAGCCTGCATCGGCTCAACCGCTAAAGCCAAGCCAGACACGCTGAGAAAAATTTCGACTTCCAAGTGCTGTCCAACCCGAGCCCAGCAAGCGTTTCCGACGGCCCTATGTTTGCCACCCCAGCTCGAGCTCGTGTGGTCAAGAGATGATAGCCCCGCACAACGCCATGCTCGGGGTTGACGTGGTGGCAAAGCGGCAGTCGTCTGCTGGAATTGCACGCGGCTCTTGGCGCTCCAACGGAGGCGAGGACGGCCCATGCTGTTCCGTGCCGGTGAGATTTCGCTTGGCGAGTAGGCGCGCGACTTGGCAACGCGGGCTCTGCTGGGATCCAAAGCCGCTGCCAGCTCCTTCGGAAAGCTCTACACAACGGACCTGACCCGCTGCTGACTGCTTTGCTGTCACCCATCGGGCCGACCCAGCGACATTGTCCGGGTCCAACCGCTCGCTTGCCCGATAGCGTTGACCAGCCGCCGCCACGATTGGCTCGCAGTTCTCCCGAGCTTCGTCCGATGGTGTGGCCCTGCATTGTGGGCGGGCTGAAAACTCGCTCCGGCTCTCGACTGCCGTGCCGAGTCGCTGCCGGTGCACGTGCGTATTGAAGCATGCCCGTCCGTCCGAGCATCAGTGGACACCGACAGAAGCCGGGCGCTACTGACCACGTGTCCGCGCCCTTTGCCTACCGGACCAAAAGCAACCGGAGACGCAGTGAGTGGACCAAAAGAGGAAGCAGCCAACGTAGGCCACCGTCTGCCACCATGACTTTCGCTGGCGCCTGCACACTGCGATCAAAGGAGCTTGAAGCATAGGATGGCACTCTCCCGAGCCTGCCTATCGAGCACACAAGTATTATAAAGGGTCCTGCTCCGGATTCGAGGCGGCTGGCGCATGCAAGCCATCAATACCTTGCAGCAGGCGAAAAATTCTCCGGGCTCCGTCGTCGGAAGCGTCGGCAGTGTTCGGCCGCGCATTTCTTTTTTTTTCTGTCTGTGTGACGTGCAGGGCCTAACGTTCGTGCGAAGAAAAAGGAAGTCGGAAATGAGGACTCCGACTTCCGAACTTCTTCCATCCGAATGCACGGACGATGGTGGTCGTGACTTTTTGGGAGTATTGAATGCCAACCATCGCTTCGTGTGGTCAGCACCGTCTCAACACACGATAGAGTTCTGCGGGGACACATGGTCGAGTCTTTGGCGTGATCGAGGCGCAAGACATGCAGTAGAAAGCCAGGCGGAACGGGTTAAGCTCGCCGAACGACAGTCGTGGCCATGTCGGACCTTGGGCCTCTTGCGCCGGACCACAACCCCTTTGCCGACGATCACGAGCAATCAGATACGCAACCAGCTTCTCCAAAGCCTCAAGCATCAAACCAGTCGAAGGACGTAGCAAGATCGGCCGCGAACGACGCTACGAACGAGGATCTTGCAGGGCTGCAGCAGCAACAATGGCAGGAGCAAGATACGCATCTCGATGCTCTCTCGGCGTCGCTCAACCGCCAGCACGAGCTGAGTTTGCAGATGAACGAAGAGCTCGACCTGCATCACGAGCTGCTGGACGAGTTTGATCGCGACGTCGACAGGACGGGCTTGCGGCTAGGTGGTGCAGCGGGTCAACTCGACCGGCTCAGAAGCAGTCTCAAAGACCACAGTGAGTCTCATACATCACTGGGCAGACGTGAAGAGCAAAAGTAGCTGACTTTGAGCTACTTGCGTCGGAATGACTGCCAACAGCAAGCATGTGGATCTTGGGAGCTTTGATAGTGGGTCTGATAGTGTTGATCGCTCTGTTCAAGTAGAGTAGCTCCCACGCCAAGAAGCCCCACCGTAGATCTCATTTGACGAATGTCGTGATCTACATTGGTGATCTGCCCGCGCGAAGAGCTCATTTGCATTGTTGGAAGGTGTGGTGGAAGCTGAGCAAACTCGGGGACAGTCCTGGCATGATGAGGTTGCGGGACGTTCCCGCCGCGTGGTGGGGCGTCCCATCGGGAATTCATCCAAGATGAGCGGGATCGACCTGCAGGCACCCACCCCACTAACGCCACGCGCTCCTCATCCGTGCCACTCCGACCATCGATTCCTCACGAGGGTCTGTACTCCATATCGACGATGGCAAGGCGACGATGGAGCCAAACGTGGAAGGTGCCGGACTTGCACGTCTATACGGGGCTGGGCATTTCGTCATTAGGCATAGCCTTTGGGCTGGCTGTGTTCGGATGCCCGTCGTCGATGCCCCGCAGACTGACAAATTCCAAACGGGCAGCTGGCCGGAAATTCGCAGCCGCGAAAGGCAAGAGCTCTACGCGTCTACTTTTGGCGCGCTCTTTCCAGTCCTGCTGGAGCACATGCACAGCCCGCTAAGAGCCTTTTCTCTCTTTAGCGAGGCTCAGCGCATGCCGAGGCCAAAATGTGACCAACACACAGCGCGCAACCCCGGCAACCCTTGGACCGCCTCTTGTCTGCTCTGCTGATTTTTAGTCGAGACTCACGTCGACTCTTCCCTTGCAGCACAGTGCAGATGCATGACCCCACTCTCTCCAATTCCCCGCCAGTCTCCATGCACTCGCTGCAACCGTGTTTGTTCTTTCGACCCCCGACTGTGCACATTCCTGCAGCTCGTCCACTGGTGGCTGGGAACACGCTGCGGCTGGAATGAAGCAACCTGAGCATGTGTGCAGGGTGCAGTGCAGGGTGCGGCTTCAGGCTTGCAACGCAAATGAAGTTGATGGCGCGCGCGCGCGTTTTAGCGTCACAGCGACCTCCTAAACCAGCAGATCCAAGCGTAGCAAAGCAACCATGTTGCACCCGGCTTCGCTTGTGGAGCGGCGAAAAGCCTCGCGATGCTCCCTCGCTCCCCACACTCGAGGCGGCTCGGCTGTGCTTGTCACCCACGCAGGCTTCCCACAAGCAATCCCCTTGCACTCGCTTGCTCTTGACGAGGCCTCATCATGCCGCTCTAGGTCGCCGTCGCTCCGTACTCGAATCCTCCGATGCGTCCCCACCGGCCATTCAACCCCTGTACCAACCCCCACCCACCACCCAGCCGTCTTCCTTCTCGTCAAGTCGCACACGGAAGTCCGCACCGCCTTCGGAAGGCCTACCTCTAACCCAAAGCTACAACAGGTTCGCTTTGTCCCACCGCTATACATGCTAGCTTAATTGCCCAGCTTCATTCATCTTCGTCGATCACCATCACCGCCACCCTCACTCTCTTATATAGCTCCTCTGTACCGCCGGCGGCAGGCGACTCCTGCCTACATACCGTTCCGCTCTCTGCGCGCTTCTCAATAGACATGCAGTCTCCACGCCTGTCCGAATCCCTCACGAGGGAGGCCCAAGCCAACATCTGGCAAGGCCCAGCATCACCTCCGAGTCGCGCAAGCAAGTCGACCACACCCTCCACTCGGGCCATCAAGAGAAAGCCAGCTCCCAAGGTCCCATTAGAGCTCCTGCAGGAGGAGCCAACCACGCCCGTTCCCGCTCAGCAAATGACCGTGCTCCAGGAAAGGTCGCTCAATCTGCCGACTCACGAAACCGACGCAGCGCCGAAGTCAGCGAGTCCGATCCCAGCCTCGCCCGCTCGGTCGCAGCAGCAGCCACAGAAGCAGTACATTCTCGACATTGATGCGCCGGCGGACGACAGGAGGGCCTCCACCTCGGCCGACGCTTCTGTCCAGGAGCTTCTGCGCTCAGCCACCCTCGCTCCAAGCTCGGCTGCCGCTCGCTCTCGCAAGGGCCCTCTTCGGTGGATGCACGACAAGGACGAGCATGCTCCGTCCACGTCGACATCATCATTGCAACCCCGCCAGCCCGCACTCAGTCGCAAGACCAGCATTTCGGCGCAGCTCAAGCTTTCGCTCCGCAGGAACAAGGTCGAGAACCAGCCTGCCGGGCTTGTCATCTCGGCACCCACCAACTTTGTCCACCTGAGCACGGGGACAGAGGGAGCGTACGGGAGCGTGGGTGCGTCGTCGCTCCGACGATCGTCCACCACTTCGGCTGCATCTCGCGACTCGTCCTTGCGTTCGTCGGTCGCTTCCATCAGCAGCGCATCGTCCTTCGGTAGCGAGGCTGAATTGGCCACAGCGTCCAAGCACGTGGATCAGGACAAGGCGCTCTACTCGCCAAGCGAGAAGAAGCACCCTCTGCGTCCACTCAAATCGATCCGAAGACCGTCCAAGCTCACGCTACAAGATACCAGCCTTCCGCCCATTCCCGCGGGGACTACGAGTCCCAAAGATAAGCGCAAGGCGATCTATGCAGCGCCCGGATCGGTACCTGCGATTCTCGAGCCCACCACCGACGATATGCCGACTCCAACTGCCACTGCCAGTGCAATCGTTGCAGGGTCGCCGGGTACTTCTCCTGCCGGAGCATACTTTGCTGCCACACTCGACCGTACATTGGGTCGTGCACGTCTAGAGGCAGAGAACGGCAGTCCCGAACCAGAGCTGAGTCGAAGCCCAAGTTCGGCATACGACTCGTCGGCTCCCACGAGCAAGCGCTCAAGCTTAGCGTCGTTGCATCAGTTTAGTTCGTTCCTCGACTTTCCCGATATGCCTGCGCTCTCGAGGACCAACTCGGGCGAGAGAGTCAAGCATGACGATCCTTGGTCCGCTCTCCAACCCCATGATACCGTCACTGCTGTTTAAAGACATCGTGCCTGCTGCGTTTGGGTACATACCCCCCGCGCGCTAGCGTCGCAATACCATAAATTAGATTCAGCAAAGCGAAAAGGCCTGCGAGCGTTGAGTGCTGGACTTCGTGGTGACTGCGAATGCGGCGATGCCTCGCAACGAGCGGCGTGCAGGCCTTTGGTGGGCAAGATCTCGCTGCTGGTCCCTTGACGCTTGTTGCTCTCAACTCTCTTCCCTGTGCTCCATGCCAACTCCCCCTTTCTTTCTGACATCACCTCGCGCTGATGCACGCTGCGGGTGACTTCTATTAGAGTGATGCTCCTAAAATACAAATGTGACGATCAGAGAAAGCTGGGATCAAAGAGCGCGCCAGGGGCTGTCGTCTTCATCCAGAGGTTGCTGTTGCTGCTGCCTAGAGAAGGAGTTTGCGCGCGAGGCGTCCGACACGGACTGGTTGCGCGAGAACTGGCGTGGCGAGAGCAGCGTGGCTGGGTACGGGCTTTCGGGCGTCTGCGGGATCCACGGACTGCCCGCCTCGACCGCCGGCGCAAGGTGCGGCGGGTAGGCATGGTTGCCGCCCGTCGGTCGGCGCGCCAGCGTCGGCACCTGCACAGGCTCAAACCCAACACCGTCCGGGTCCACCTTTTCGCTCGAGCTGTGGCCCTCGGACGACCTGTGTGCCGCCTCGGATCCCGGGTTCGGGCTCTTGATCGCAAGCCTCGGCCACTGGCGCTGCATCTCGAGCGTGTCCGGGTCCGGGTTGTCGGACGAGTAGCGCGGCGAGCCGCCATCCCACTGCTCGTCGACCTCCTCGGAGCGCGAGACGGTGCCGATGGTGACGAGGATACCGTTGTCGACCTCGGTGAGATCGTTGCGCGAGCGCGTAAAGTTGCGGCGACCTCCCCACGAGATGCGCGTCGTCTTTTCCGGCTGCGCGCTGCCGTTGCCCGGGTTCGACCTAGCTTGCAGCACAAACGAGTTGACACCCACTGCCGAAGGGTCCACCGCCGATTCCGCGCCGTGGTTCGCACCGCTGATGGCCGCCGCTGAGCCCCGCAGGCCACGCGTGCCACGAGCGGCTGCCGAGTTGTCGCCCGAGGGCGAGCCAGTCGAGTTCATGATCTCGTTGACCTTGGATCCGTTGCGCTGCGTGATGAGCGAGGCCTTCTTGCCCATCTCTCTGAACGCAGCGGCAGCAGCAATCGGCGGCACGCAGAAGACGAGCGCCGTGCCCAGCACCTGGTACGACGGCTCGGTGAGCGAAAAGTAGGTGGACACGAAAAAGATGTCGGTGCCGAGCTGGAGCACGTAAAAGTGGAAACCTTGGCGGATGAGGAAGCTTGACAGACTGCGGTCGTTGAGGCCCGAGTAGAGCTGCTGCGGCTTCTTGTTGAGGATCGCCTTGAGACCGCCGTCGAGCAGCCTGTGGAGGGTGAGCAAGAGCATGATGACGTCGAGGCCCATGCTGAGCGACTTGTACACGACGTTGGCCACGAGCGTGCGGGTGAGATGCCTGCGCGTGTCGTAGGCGCAGAACTCTGTGCCCGGAATGCGGTAACCGACGCCGTAAAAGGGGATGCACACTGCTGCGGCAGCCAGCACGACGCAGTAGTATAGGGTGAGGGGTGTGACGATCTTTGCCTTCCAGCTGTACAGAGCCATGGTCCTCTGTACAAAGACGAGCGAGACCGAGTCGAGGAGGATCATGCCGAGGATGTTGAACGCCTCGGGCATGGCCTTGCAGTTGTCGAACTTGAGCGAGAGGAAGAGGACGACGAGGGTAAGGCAGACGACCGAAAGGTAGCGGCAGGAGAGGTAGGCGAGGCGCGAGACGAGCTTGGCGGGCTGCGACCAGCCCGACTTGCGGATGAGGTTGATGTCGAAGCGGATGTGGTTGAAGAGCTCCATGACGACGGCGCCGAGGCAGAGGCACATGATGATGAGCAGCACCATGAACGACTTGCCCGCCGATGGCGGCAGCACGTTGAAGATGATCTCTGCCTGCATAGCGGATGCGCTTGGGGTGGTGGCGTGCAGCGTATCGCTCTGGAGCATGGCGAGCTCTGGCGACGCAATGATCGCCATGTTTTCGGTGATGATGTGAGATGCGGCGCTCAGACGAGAAAATAGATGGAGGAGAGTTGGCGGGCCGAACGAATGAAAGACGAAGAGCGAGGGAGGCGGGGCGAAACGAAAGAACGTAGCAAGTGGACGGGGGTATCAGAGGTGGTCGAGACAACGGGACGGCTGCCGGAAGGGGGACGATGGTGCTGTGACTATATACTGGGCGTCACCTTCGAGGGAGGGCGGCAGGATGATGGCTGTCAAAGTGAGCGGCTGCAGCTGCACATGCCGTCTAAGAGAGCCGCGACTGCAGAAGCGTACGTGCGTCTGCATCTGCTTTGGTCACAACGAATGCCGTGCCGTTGCAGTTGCAGTTGCAGGAGCAGGTGCGGCCCTTCTGGGGCCATGCTGGGCTCAAATTTTCGGGGTGCGAATAGCTGTCAGAGAACGAGAATGCCGTCGGAGTGCATCGAAGAGGCCATTTCGCCGGATCACCCCAACGTGAGTGAATGGGTGTGGCAAGCAAACGAAAAGTTGCTCAAGCTCCGGCCGGTCTCCGATCCGAAGAGACCGGAGGTTGAGCGAGGAGCAGAAAAGGGAAGAGAAGAGTGGGGATTAATTGGTCGAAGTGGTGCAGATGGGGTCGAAGCGAAGTGCAGCTGCTGCATGCACGCACGCACGCAGAAGCGAGCTGACAGCTTGCAGCTCAAATTGAACTGCACCGAACTCCATCGGCCCCGCCGACGAGAAAGTCGGTTGAAAGCACCTGCAGCGCCCTGCCATATCGATCAAAGCCTTGTCTCGTTCGGCTCGTCTCCACCGCCCTCGCCCAAGGCTGCTTTCGGTCACAGCGAGGTCGGTGGATTGCACCGATGATGGCAGCCAGATTGGCGCAGTAGGCACGGGGTGGGTTGTCATACTGAAACTTCCGAACGGTCCAAGCGTGACAGGCCGGCCATCGGCGGCCCCACCATATTCCGCGGGGTGACGGCTCAAAAAGCTTCGGAGCCAGGGAGGAGTTGGAGCGAGCCTGGGAAAAAAAACGGCGGACCGAGGGGCGAGGGCGCAGGGCGGAGTCAAGTGTACCGCATGTGGTGAGAATGGGCAGAGAGAGCAACGCTGCGTTTGCTCGGCGCATGGTTGGTACCAGCCGAAATTCATGCATCCGAGACAAAGAGACAGCTGGGATCTGCAGTTCATGAAAAGTAGTGGTGAGCCGACTTGCCAGGCAGAGTTTGACTTGCCTCTTCGGTTCAGTGCAGCGGTCCAGCAGTCCAGCAGTCCAGCAGTCCAACGCTGGGCTTCTTTCGAATCTGCAAAAATCAGATGTCCATGTCTCAGATGGAGCTGCACCCTGGTCGCAGGAAGCAAAGCCTCCGACCCGACCAGCGCACAGGCGAGCTGCCATCTTCATTTTCATTTTGCGCTCCGCCACATTGTCTGCACTGGGGCCCAGTCCGGCGCAGGTCACTCGACAGCAGCAGCAAAAGCGGGGTTGGTTGAGGCATCGAAGCCTGCTTGCCGCTTGCTCGCCTGATCGAGTCGCAAGTCAAGTTGGCTTCGTCGTAGCGAAGCATGCTCTTCAGGGGGTAGCGGTGGACCACCCGTCGGAACGCGTCTCACTACCAATGCAGCTAAAGTTGCGCGGACGTGACGGCGACAGGACGTCACGACGATTGGTGGATGGTGACTAGCTTGTCGCGCAAGGTCGGAGGGGCCGGCGCCTTTCTGGCTCTGGCCCTGGCTCTGGCTCTGGCTCTGGCTCTGGCTCTGGCTCTGGCTCTGGCTCTGGCTCTGGCTCTGGCTCTGGCTCTGGCTCCGAGCATTGCAGGGAAGCACGTCCACGAGGGTCCAGCCAGCTCGCTTGTTCCGTTCGTTTGCACACGCGCGGCGCCATGGCTCAGCTACATTCCTGGCGCTGTGCAGTGCTGTGCTCCAGACGGGCTTGGCGCCGAGCTGCCCTCCGATGCGAACTGGTCGCGAAACGAGGCTGGTCCCCTCTTCGGCCAACCCCGAACTCTCGCCGCTCGTGAGCAGAGCCAGTTCAATCCACGCAGCCCACCAAATAAGCACACGATCCGCATCCGAGCTGCTCGACATACTCGGCTGCGTCCAAGCGAGTCTTTTGGGTCCGAGCCAGAGGCGTCTATTCGCCACTCTCTCTTCATCTTTCCAACACCTCGCTTCGGACCATGGCAAGGAGCAACGTAGCATGCATGTCAGCTCACTGCGTGTCGAAAGGCTGGCGTGGACGAATCGACCGATGGCCCGCTGTGGATGCACAGCGTCGGCTTTCGGGCGTGAGATGGCGGCCATTCTCGTCGGCAGGCGTGCAGCACCATTCCTGCACTTTATGCATCGAGTGCGCGCCCATTTGCAGCGTTGCTTTCCAAAAATCCGAGAGCGCCTTTTGGGGTTTTTTTTCTCATCTTCTGCGGGCATGCATCCCGCTGCTCACGACCACACCAGGCCCAGCAGGCAGACTTGCTCTCCAAGCAAGGCCAGGCGAAAGCAGGTATGGCGCTGTCGGTTGCGTAGGGCAACGACCACGGCTCTAGGTCTACCGAGTCCCGTGCTGCATCCTGCACAACGCAGCAAAGAGTGCAGGCTTGGATTCCCGAAGTTCCCAGCTGCCTCTGCCTGCGAGGTCTCTCCATCTGCTCCGGCACCACATTGCAGACCCGATCCTGCACAGACGCCACCCGCCCTCTCCCGGCATCGGATGGTGCGTGCATTGGCTGTGCGCCTCTCTGGACGTGTCTGTCTGAAGCGATGGGAAACGACGATGCTGTGAGCTAGCAGCGCCTACGGCCAAGCGAGCGCGCTAATGCCAGCCATCGTCTCCGTCCAGCGCGGGGCAAACAAAAGCCGCACCGGCAACAGTCGCCCTCCAAAGCCCGGCAATCCACCCGGAGGTGAACAGTCTAACACGTTGCACTTTTTCTTCATCCGCACCGTGCACAGGCCCGTCTTCCGTCTCCCGTGAGTGATGCTCTGGGTCGACGGCCGCCTTCCGTATCCCGACCCGCACGTTGTCCTGTTCGCGTTGGAAGGCGGGCAAAGATGGGCAAAAGTGGCAGTCGGGCCTCTCGATCTCGTTCCTGCCGGTGTTTTATGCATGCGGGGCAATGCGGCGCGCTCGATTGTGAAATCAAGCTGCCCGAACTGCCAAGTGGAAGAGGCCGATAAAAGATCGACAGATGGACCCGTGTGGAGGCTGAGGCTTGCATCCACCTGTCCTTCCCCGTCATCCCCCCTGCACGGCGCTTCCAGCTCCAACGTTCTCACAACCAGCTGCTCCCGCCGTTGGACACATAGATCTTTTCCATCGGACACCATAGACTGCGTCACTGGCGCACACAAGGGAGCCCGACACCATGTCCTTACCTCAGCCCGCCTCGGATGCTCGGTACGCCGTGTCCACCGTCACCCTAGAGATCCCGCTTGCCGCACCCATCACGCAGGAATCACCATCACCGTATACGTATCAAGATGGCGCCACAACCAAGCCGGTAATCTCGGCAGATACGATCCTTCTCACAATCTACTATCCCACCGAGCATGCCAACAACGGCGAGACTGGCTCAAAACTCGACTGGCTCGAGGCGCCCAAGATGCGCAGCATTGGCGGCCTGCTCAAGTATGCCGGCATCCCCAAATATCTGGCCCTTCCTATCCTCGTCCCCGCATACAACGTCGTATCTCAGAAGCTTCCAGCATCCGTCGACCAATCGCTTGCCTCCACCAAGGACTCGGCCGATTTCCCCGTGGCCGTCTTCAGCCACGGCATGGGCGGCACGCGTACAGCCTACTCCGCCTACTGCACTTCACTTGCAGGGTCGGGCATCATCGTAGCTGCTGTCGAGCACCGCGATGGATCTGGCGCCTCGACCACCATCTATCACCCTGATGCCAAGGATGGCAAACCCTCGGCATCCCCTGGCTTCTTCAAATGGCTCACTGGCGGATCCAACGCCAAGATCGAAAACAAGATCTACGTCCGTCCCGCAGAGGTCGATGGCAAGCCGGAACCGCTCGACCTGCGTCGTGCCCAGGTCGAGATGCGCCGTCGCGAGGTGCTTGCCGTCTTTGACGTGCTCTCGGACATTCAGGCTGGCAAGGCCGCCTCGCTCGTCGAGTCGTGCACCCGCACGCAGAAAGACGACGCCAAGACGCGCAAGACGCGCTCCCAGCTCCTCGCGGCCTTCGCAGGCAAGCTTCGTATGGACGACGCCTGGCTCATTGGGCACAGCTTTGGTGGTGCCACCGCCATCCAAGCGTTACGCCACACCGACTGCCCATTCGCACAGGCTCTTGTGCTGGATCCTTGGGTCGAGCCCGTCCCCATCAGCGGAGAAGGGGTGGTGCCAGTGAGCAAACCGCTCTACACCATCAACAGCGAGGACTTCACCCAGTGGAAGACGCACATGGACGATGTCGCCGTCATCTCGCGCGCGTCCAAGGCGAGCACAGGAGGTAAAGGGTGGCTTCTCACTATCGGCGCCGAGGGCACCGAAAAGGTGGATGCGGCCGCGCCAGTGGCTGCTGGACCGCCTTCGCGACTGGTCATCGTTCATGACATGTTTGGCACTCTCTTTGGGCTCACCGCCTGCATCGACGCGCTCGTTTCGCTGTTCCCGGAGCAACTGCAGGCGTCGGACAAGCTCCCTCCCATCGTACCCGAGCTGATCGTCATGGACTGGTTCCATGCGACCCAACGCGACTTTACCTACTCGAGCGCCTGCGGCCAGTACAAGCCCATCGGCGAGATCTTCAAGGGCACTCTGCCGCGCGTGTTGCTGCAGGCAGGCATCTTGCCGAAGAAGAACGCGGCACATCAGGCGCTTGCCAAGGCAGGCTCGTTTGCAGACGGAGGAGCCGCAGAAGAAGCGCTCGAGAATCCCTTTGACCCTAGCGTGGTCGAGACGATGATGGGCGCGCTCAAGAAGCTTCAGCCGAGGCCGGGCATGGTGGACGCACTCACGCGCATCTACCGCGACCGCGATGGCAAGGGACGGCTACCCGCCTCCGTCAGCAAGGTCGACGTGTGGGCGGCGACCAACGGCTCGCTCGAGCTCGGGCGCGGCTCGTTCCTGCGTGTCCTGGGCGATAGTGATGGTGCCGACCTGGACAGTGACGCAGCACAATCCGGCCGGAGCGCCCAGCACAACGCAGTGGGTTCAGGCATCGGTCTGTTTAGCTGTGACGAGATCGGCGTAGCCAAGCCGGATCCCAAGGTGTATGCCGAGGTGCTGCGTCGCATCCAGGCCGAGCCCATCGACCCAAATGCGGCCAAGAAGGAGTATCAGGGCATCTGGTTCGTAGCCTCGCACACGTGGGATACGTTTGCGGCCAAGCAGGCCGGCTTCCGCACGGCCTGGGTCACGTACGAAGAGTTCTACTCGTGCCCGTCCGTGTACGGCACTCCGGACGTTGTCGGCAGAAACTTGGAGGAAGTAGCCGAGAAGATCCTGGCGTTCGAGCGCGACCTGTGCAGCAAGAACGGCAACGCTCCCGCTCAGGGCTGGACGTACCACAAGGAGCAGCAGGAGCAGACGATGCCGGGGAGCCAGCACACGTCGTTCTCCGACTTTCCCTTCCTGCTGCCGTCCATGTCCAAGTTCATCGGCAGCGTCGCGGTCCAGTCGATCCTCGAGGTCAATGCCCAGATCACGCAGCGCATGGCGCTCCAGAACAAACGCGAGGAATCCGACGGCGTGTTTGCCGGCTTGAAGGGCAAAGACGACGCAAAAGAGTGGCGCATCTGGAAGGAGGGCAAGGCACGACCCACCGAGCTTCCCACCGAGGCCATCGGCGGCGACAAGAACCGCCAAGGCCGGCTCATCGTGCACGCTCTGTAACTCTCTCAGTCGCAGACTGTATACCATTATCTCCACTGTCTATGGCTCTTGTACTTGCTAGAGATTGATCTGTCTATTCCACCGCCAAGAGGTCCAGCATGAAGGAAGTGGGAGGATCGGGAGTAGATCGGGTGTTGAGAAGAACGGCGCGGGTGAGTTTCCGGCAGCCGAACAGAAGGCCGAGCCCAGTCGGGAAATCGCGTGCGGCTGGCCCTTGCACACGCTATTCGGACATGCCCGAAGGCAGCACAAGAGCAGCACTCTTGGTTTGGCTCGGCGCATTTCCGGGTAGAGATTGGGCAAAGGGACCCTCCTCCTCAATCACTCCGCAAGACGAGCCTCCCGGTCCTCTCCTGCGATTGCTCAAAAGCGATTGTCTGCTCATCGACTCAACCTGCTTCCCCACTGTTCTTCTCCCCTTTGGCATTTCCACGCTCCCCCTTTCCTCCGTTTCATCTCCGTTCCCTTATCGCAATCAGCATGACCGCCATCCCGCTCGACCAGTTCGACGCCGTGCTTGGCTCCACCTCGACCGAGATCTCGTCGGTGGCTCTGGGCGGCCGCGTGCTCAGCACGTCGGACGAGTGGTTCGCTCCCGCCTCGTCGCTGCTCAAGGTCGGTCCTGCGCCTTCGCTCAAGGGCCAGTTCGGTCCCAAGGGTGCGCTCTTCGACGGCTGGGAGACGCGCCGTCACAACCCGACCTACGACTGGGTCATCCTGCGCCTCGGCCCCAACGCCGGCGGCCGTTTCATCGGCTTCGACGTGGACACGGCCAACTTTATCGGCAACGAGGCACCCGAGATTTCGATTCATGCGCTCACACTGACCCCCGAGGAGGAGGCCAGCACGGGTAACGCACTCGCCGAGAACGACGCGCGATGGGAGACTCTTGTGCCCGTCTCGCCATGCGGACCGTCGCAGAGGCACCTCTTCAAGCTCGAGGCGGACAAGCAGCAAAAGGTGTACACGCACGTCAAGCTGCACATGATCCCCGATGGTGGCATTGCGCGTTTCCGCGTTTACGGCGTGATCCCTCCACCGCCCGTCGGACAGGGTGACGGCGAGCAGATCGACGCTACCAACAGCGCACTCAACGTGCTCGACCTCGCGCACTGCCTCAACGGCGGCCGCATCGTCTTCACGGACGACCAGCACTTTGGCGCGGGAAGCAACATCCTCCTCCCCGGCAGGGGCAAGGACATGGGTGATGGATGGGAGACGCGCCGCTCGCGCGGCAAGGGCCACTTTAACTGGGCCATCATCAAGCTGTGAGTCCCGTCTTGCTCCTGATAGAACATGTCTCTTGAGCATACACTGACTTGTTTTCTATCTTGCTCGCATTGTCGATAGTGGAGAGCCAGGTCTGCTTTCGTACGCCGAGGTGGACACGGCGCACTTCCTGGGCAACTTCCCCGAGTCGACTGAGCTGCTCGGCACTGTGCACGAGGCGGACTCGGTTCCCTCTCCCGATGCCAAGTGGGTGACGCTGCTGCCACGCACCAAGCTCGGCCCTGGTCGTCGCCACTTCTTTGCGCTCACCGACGGTGCTGCGGCGGCGTACACGCACGTCATGGTCAAGATGCACCCGGACGGCGGCATCAAGCGTGTGCGCATCCACGGTCGTCGTGCGGCGCCGCTGGCTGCCGCCAAGATTGCGGCGGAGTCGCTGCCTGCCGTACCTGTGCCGCAGGACATCCAGGACCCTCTGCCGTCGGCTACTTCGGACCCCTTTGCTCCCGTAAGTGCCGCCACCTCCCTCGCGCCTTCTTCAACCTCCTCGACCTCCTCGGCGGCTGCGGGTATTGTGATCCACGGCAAGTTTGTGCCAGCGGTGCCGCTGACGACGGCGGCGTTTGCTGCGTATGGCGCGGTGATCGACGGTCCGTCCGGTACCAACCCTGATGCCGGCAAGCCGTTCAAGGTGGTGAACCAGGGCACGGCGAGGAAGTACCTCGACTTGGCGGCGATTGTCAACAACTACTCCGCCGAGGCACAGGCGCGCACCAACGTGCACGTGTACCGCTGCGACCCTGCGGCCGCGCTGCCGTTTGAGGTGAAGCTGCTCGAGCGACACCGCTTCACCACGCAGGCGTTCATCCCTATGGTGCCCGTGGCGGGTAAACAGCAGGGCTTCCTCGTCGTCGTCGCGCTCAACGGTCAAGGTACTTTGCGCCAAATGCCCCCGTGACGTTTGATACGTATACTGACCTGGACATTTGCGTTTTTTGTTGTGTGCGTGGGAACAGATGACCGCCCAGAGTTGAGTTCGCTCGGTGTGTTTATGGCGACGACCGAACAGGCGATCCAGTACCATCCGGGTATCTGGCACCATCCCATGATCGCGCTCGGCCAACAGCCGACCGACTTTGCATGCATCGTCAACGAGTCCGCCTCCCACCCGCAACTCGACTGCGACGAGGTCGAGGTATAGTCTCCACACTGCCAATTCTACTCTATGTTGTCAAGCGATGCGAGGGGGGTTTACAGTGTGATGTGCAGCGTGGGGCCGGATGAAGTCGTGTCGCGCTCGGGATTGTAGAGTGGATGATTGGACGCTAGACGGGTTGTCATCTCGAACGTCTTGCTTGCGTTTGGCTGTCGGATGTAGACATCGTGTCTTCTGGACGTGCTTGCGATCTTGGCCCACTCGCCATCCACCGAAAAGCCCGCTAATGGGATGCTGTCTTTGGCGACTTCTGGCTCAAAGGTGAAGGTGATTGGATCTTGTGTGGTAGCCATGGCGATGCAGGCGATGCAGATGGTAACATTCATCGCTGCCGCCCACCATCCTAGTGGCGCTGTGACTTGCATCAAGCTCGATTGGGGTGCGAGACGGACATGCACGAGTGGCAGGTGTGAGACTAGCGATGTGACAAGCAGCAGCGTCGAGATCGTAGTCATCCCCGAAGCGGTCAGAACCACCGCGCGAGATGTAGCGACGGTATACGCCTCGTGCATGCGTGAAAGACGCAACGCACACGCTCGCTGTAACGTCATATACCGCTGTTGCAGCAACCCAAATGTCCCGCCGCTGAGCACCGAGACGACGAGGGTGCGGATGAGTATCAGACGCGTGTCATCGTGCGGACGTGCAAGGATCGCACTCAACACCCCCGTTTGCACCGCAAGAAGCAGCAGAGTTTGAGAGAGGTACGAAGGATCCGATGGCGTGATGGAGGCGCCTCGTGGTGGCGTCATTGTGCAATGCGAAGAGAAGTCGCAGATGATGGTGGTGCATCAAGAAGAAGTGTCGTGTCCGTGCGCAGCCTCCACCTCGAAATTGTCGCCCAGGAAGCTCGCGACCGACAGGAGCCCAAAAATGCCACGCCAAAATGCGGCCCCAAAAATGCTTCATGCAGATCTTCATCTTCACCGCGACACCATCGCAACACCGACAGCAGAAAGACACAACACACACACGAAAGGATGCACACAAGATGATGATAATAGTGATACATTTTGGCGCTCCACCGGCGATCTAGCTCGCTCGCTTTTAGGTGCGCTGCATGGCCATGACTCCGAGTATATGTGGCATGAGCATGCGCTCACGAAAGGATGGGCAGGAACTGTCGTACGCAATCAATCATCCGTGTCAGCATCGCTTCTAGCTCGGCTTCGTTCGCAGCACCGTACTTACGTTTCCAACGACCAGACTCGGGAGGTCAAAGATGTCGCGCTTGATGGTAAAGCTCCAAGCGCAGGGCACGAGCTTTCCGTCGGGCTTGACGAGCGTGCACGTAGTCATGACGCTCTGCGTGGTATTCTCAAACGCATGCAGAGCGAACTTCTCCCAGTAGTCGAGCGTAGAGTTCTTGTCCATAAACTCAAAGATCCTCCTGCCCATCAGCTGGTCCTTGCTCCACTGTGTGAGCATGCAGAACTCGGCGCCCACGACGCAGATCTCGCACGTGCGGCGCCACACCACCGTGGGCGTGCCACTGAACGAGATGAGCTTCTCGAACTCGAGCATGGTGCGCTGGAAGGAACGCTCGACAAAAATCTCGTCCTCCTCCGTCAGCGGCATCTGCAGCGCAATCAGCGACGGCCGAAAGATCGCCAGTGCACGCACGATGCGCAGCACGTCCTGCTTCTCGAACTTGGACGTGACGTACTTGATGAGGAAATGGTAGCCTTCCGGATACGGGAATGGCGCCGTGTTGTCGCGGTACGTCTTGGCAATGCGCGCGCGCCAGATGGTGTCCTGCTGCTGCCGCGCCACGCGCCGCGACGCGATCGCCTTGTTGATGTCCGCCACCGGCTCGTTCGACGTCGACCGCTGCGAGGACGAGCCGAGGTCCACCTGCGTCGACGCGCCCGCGTTGGTGTCGCTGCCTGCCTGCTGTGCCTGCGCATCGTTGAGCCCGGCCGGCTCGTCGAGCATCATCGGCTTGGGACTCGGCACCTCGAGTGCGTTGAAGCCATCTCCGCCCACCTCCTGCAGACCCATGACCGGCTGCTGGGCCTCGGCGTAGGCACCCATGCCGGCAGAGTCGCTGTAGGTGGCCGCGGCGGTGTCGAGCCCTCCTGCGCCGGGCGCCTGGCCCACGTCGCCAGCGACGGTGTTGAGGATGGCGTCGAGGCCGCCACTCGCAATGTTCCAGCCATCCATGACGCCGACGGCGGGCGAGGTCTGCAAGTCCGGACTGGCGCCCGACGGGCCGAGCAGGTGCAGGTCGGTGCCGTTGAGCATGGACGAGAGGATCGAGTACTCGAGGCTGGTAGCTTCGCTGCCAAAGTTGTGCGTCGACGGGTCGAAGGAGAGGTCGAGCGGGAGCCCGGCACTGCCTGAAGGCGGCGCATCGCCAGTGGACGAGTCGAGCGTGTTGCTGGAGAGGTAGTCGTGCTGGTGCGGCGACGGACCGTGCCCGGACGAGCTCGGTGTTGGGACGCTGCCGACGGTGACCTGGTCGAGGATGCTGCTGACAGCCGATGCCTTTTCGGAAGGTGGAGCAGCAGCGGGTTGCTGAGCTGGTTCTTGTTTGGGTTGATTCGGTCGCGCGCCCGCGGCGTTTCGTTGCTGCTGCTGTGCCTGCTTGGCGGCCTTCTTGGCCTCCTTTTGTCGCTTGAGCTCCTCGAGCTCATCGTCGTCCAGCAGGTACTTGGCCTTCTTGCGGTGCCCATCCATGCACGACTCGGCCAAGCCCTTCTTGACGCAGCGTTGGCACGGCCTCGAGTCGTCGCAAGTGAGATGAGCCTTTTGGCAGTGAAGACAGGCTCGATTCGCCTTCTTTCGTTTGCTCGCGGCGGACTCTTTGGCTGCACTGGCGCTGCTTGCTGCTCCGGCGGAGTCGGACCTGCTGAGCGCCGGTGATGCGGTCTTGCTGTGCGCGGTGGCGGGCGAGGCAGTCTGCTGTTTTGTCGAGAGGTCGACCTCCTTCTTTAACGGCGAGCCCGAGGGCGAGCGACCCGCTGTGGCCGCTGACGACTTGGATGCAGAAGACGCCGAGTTCGAGTAGAGGCTCTGGTTGAGTATGGACGAGGAGGCGGAGCGCTGGTTGGAGGACGAGGAAGCTGCGCCGCCGGACGCATTGGAAGGTCGGTAGCTCGAAGTGCTCGAGCTGGCGGGTGGGCTGGAGGCGAGGGCAGCGAGTGTAGAGGCTGCGGCATGCGAGGCAGGACTCTGCTGGCGTTGGGAGTTGGTGGTGGATGGATGTGGTGGGAGCGTGTAGTTGGTTGGAGCTGCGGAGCCGGAGGACGGCGGGCGCGGAGCCGACTTGCTGCCGTTTGCACTCGACATGGCGAGTCAGCTATGCGTGCTATGTGCACATTCGAGGCGTGCGGTGCCGTGTCTGGAGCGGTTTGATGGGACGCAGCGCGGCTCGAGTGTTGACGAGCTGTGCGAAGGTCGCTTCGGTGAAACGCCGAGCGTGTGATGAGGTGCAAGTTGGCGACGGATGGATTGGTTGTTGGCCAGAGAGGACGCGTCTAGCAGCTTTCGTTTGGCGGCGGGAGCTTCGTGTCTGCAGTCTGCATGTGACGACCGAAAGGGTGCGTGGCCGAGATGCGATCGCGGAAGTGTGACGGGACAAAGGTCGAGGCTTGTGGATGGAGAGAGAGCGACAACCGACGGCAGACGGACCGATGTGACGCGCCTCTGAAAGAAGCCACCGCGGCTGCAGGGCCGAGCGAGCTTCTCTTTGCCGCCTCTGCTCGCCTCTGCTCGCCTGCTGCGAGCGAACCCTGCGTCCCTTTTTGAATTTAAAATGTTAGTAAGACAGCCTAACAGACGTAAAATTTCTCAACCGTGCTTCAAGTCGGCCTTGGATCAGGCTTCATCGTATGCATGTGTGGGTTTCTCCCTCTTCGAAGAGGGAGGTGTTCGTACGATTGCAGGGATGCACTTTGTCAGAGCTGGACCCCGAGGAAGAAGAAAGCGCGAGAAGATCTCAATTTAACGACTACAGATACAGTTGGCAGGAGAGTACGGGTGAATCCTGGAGGTGACGACGGAGGGTGCACAACAAGTGCATGCGAAGGACGAAGAGGTCGCGAGAAGACGGCTCAGAAGAGCCTGGAGAACATGCGCTTGATAAAGTCGATGCACCATGGGATGTACGAGAGCGAGTAGAGTAGGAAGGCGACACTGCGAGGCAAACAGAATCCAACGAACAAGAGGTGAGCAACCATGCAAAGTCGGAGGCGGAGAGCGAAAGAGACGACTTACTATAGGACGATGACAAAGATGATGGCGAGTACGGTGCTGCCGATGGCAAATACGGATACCCAGACCATGATGAAGGCGACGATCATGACGAGCGTAAAGGTGATGCGCACGGGCTTGAACATCTGCTTGAACTGCTTCATGAATCCGATGAGGAAGCCGGTGCCTGTCAGCGATACGAGCACTCCCACCGAGTAGAGCACGACAAAGATGGCCCAAGATCCTGTGACAAGCAGGACGGTGCCGAGGAGCGAGATGACGAAGCCGCCGAGCATGCAAGCTGCAAAGCCGATCAGACGCTGCTGACGCGTGAGCTCGATGCCAAACGTCTTGGAGAAGGCATCGCTCTCGCCGGTGAGTTCACCGCCCATGTTCTTGATCTGGTTCGTGTCCATGTTGATCCATCGAGATGGTCCGGTGCCTGCGAACGCCGACGTGGAACCACCGCCCGAAGCGCTGCCGCCTTTCGAGAACCACGACATGGGTGCAGATGCAGGGTTGTGACGAGTCGGAGTAGTCCTTCTGCGTGATCGGGAAGTTTGTGTGAGCGTGGCAGAATGCTGGGTTCTGCGTGAATACTGGGCGTGAAGAGGTCGTTAGGTTCGTGCTGGATGGCGTAGCTGGTGGTCACGTCGAACGATGCCGAGCGCGTGTGGCAGGCGGCTGTGCTGCAATTTCCGAGGTGTTGGTCGCAGCCCTTCGCGACTCCGCTGAGCTGCACAGCTGCCGGACCCTGACTGCGAGGGCTCAAAAAAAAAGTAGAAATCACTCCCTGCGCACAGCTCGCTACGCCTAGCTTGCCTTCTCGGCCCCTTTGGCTCCTATTCACATCAGGTCTCACGGTTAGCCGGCACCGCTCGGCACTTGTCTTCTTTGCTACAGCAAGCGCAATCGCATTCATATGCATTCTCATCTGACGAGTCTATGGCCCAATGGATCCAGCCTTGCGAAGCTCGGCGACCTCGGCTTCGGACATGCCCAGCTCCTGGGTCAGCACCTCGTCCGTGTGCTGTCCGAGCACGGGTGGTGGTCGTGTGATCTTCATCTTGCCGCCGCCGTATCGCACTGCCGGTGCGACGATCTTGATCTTGCCCGCCCTAGGATGCTCCACCTCGGCGACCACCTTTCTGTCTTTGCTCTGCGGATGCTCGTCGAACGTGCCGCGGATGTTGCGGATGGGCGCAGCGGGGATCTTGCCGTTGATCAGGTCGCACCACTCCTGCACCGTCTTGGCCTGCAGCAGCTCGTCGAGCAGCGGGATGAGCGTATCGCGGTGCTCGACGCGTGCCGCATTGGTGGCATAGCGCTCGTCCGTTGCGAGCTCGGGTCGTCCGAGCAGCTTGCTCAGGAACCGGAACTGGCCATCGTTGCCCGCGCCCAGCATGATCCGCCCGTCCTTCGCCTGGAAGGTCTGGTACGGCACGATCGACGGATGCTTGTCGCCATGACGCCCAGCCTCCTGCCCGGCGATGAGGTAGTTGGACGCAATGTTGGCCAGGCTCGCAATCTGCGATTCGAACAGGCTGGCATCAATGTGCACGCCCTTGCCCGTCTGCGCGCGTCCCAGCAGCGCAGCCATGATGGCTCCGTGCACGTACAAGCCCGTAGTTAGATCGGTCATCGCCACGCCGATCTTGACGGGCGGCCGATCCGCCTCGCCCGTGATGTGCATCATGCCGGCATCCGCAGCGATGATCACGTCGTAGCCAGCCTTGTCACGATACGAGCCCGTCTGTCCGTATCCGGTGAGGCTGGCATAGATGATGTCGGGCTTGATCTTTTTGAGGTCTTCGTATCCGAGGCCCATGCTCGCCAGTTTGCCAGGCAGGTAGTTCTCCACCACCACATCAGCGTTGGCCACGAGGTCGTAAATGATCTTCTTGCCCGCCGGCGACTTGAGATCCACGGTGATCGAGCGCTTGGAGCGGTTGACGCTCAGAAAGTACGCCGACTCGGGCGGCAACGACGCCCAGTAGTCTTCCTTCCCAACTGGAGGCTGCAGCGCATCCTTGCCTGTCGGGGGCTTGGCGAACGGAGGCAGCCATGCGCGCGTATCGTCGCCACCACGAGGATGCTCCACCTTGATCACATCCGCGCCCAGGTCTGCCAGCAGCATCGTGCAGTATGGACCGGCAAGCACGCGCGTCAGATCGACGATGCGGATGCCCTTGAGAGGCGGCGGTATGGACGGCTCCTCAGCCTCTGCTGTGGCCGATGCGCTCGACAGCCTTGATGTGCTGGTAACGAACGTTCTTCGTTCGATCGCAGATGCGAATGTCTGTGGTGTAGTGTAGGACTGGCGAGCCGCAATTACTGTTGCTGCGATGGTGAGCCCTCTCGAGGGTGCAGGTGCTGCCATGCGCATCGAGTGCACACGCAGTGCGGGCCGCACCCAGCTAGAGGCGCGAGTCGTCATCTTGAAGGGGCGTGCTGTTGTTGTCGACGGCATGGTGGTGGAAGGGTTGGTCGCGTGCCGCTAGCCTTTTCTAGGTGCGAAGATGTCGCTGAGCCGCCTCCGGTTGTGGCAGCTGCGTTGGTAGCCGAAGATGCCGATGCAAGCGCTGCTGCCGCGTTGGCTCTGGTCTGTGCGATTGGCATCGGCCCCATCGGCCGGCGTGCGTGGAGCCCGATGCGCCTTGGCTGCGGGCGAAGCGGGATTTAGGCGGCAGAGCCAGGCTTCCCCGCACTTTCTCGGCGTTTTCGACCGACGCCTCCACTCGTATTGCCGCTGCCACTGCTCAGCTCGACTTCAGGTCCACCAACTTCCCACAGCACCTCCGACACGTCAGACACCAACATGTCGGCTCGCAAGATCATCACGCCGCTCTCACGCGTGCTGCCCTCGGTCAAGACGCCGGTCGTCCTTGGAGCCATGGCCGGCGCTTCGGGCGGCCAACTCGCAGGCGCCGTCTCGTCGGCAGGTGGATTCGGCTTCATCGGCGCAGGCTACCTCACACCGTCGGTGCTGCAGAGCGAAGTGGAAAAGGCTTACCAGCAGCTCTCCGTCTCGCACGTCGATCTGACTGCTGAGCGTAAACGAGCCGACTTCGGCATCGGCATCCTCGTCTGGAAACTCACCGAGCTCAACGACGGCAAGCGACCCGACCAGGCTTCACCCAACAAGAGCGTATCGGACTTTCTCGATGTCATCGTGCGCGCCCGTCCACGCGCGGTATGGCTGAGCTTTGGCGACGAGCACGAACTCACCGGGTGGCAGAAGGTCATCGCCAAGCTCGACGAGCAGCGCAACAACGACTTGCAGGCCAGTGAAGCTGAGGCGCTCAAGTGGTTCGTCATGATCGGCCGCGAGCAAGAGCTACAAGCAGCGGTGGAGAAATGTCGCTGCGATGTGCTCATCGTTCAGGGCTGCGAGGCGGGCGGTCACGGACACTCGCAAGCTCCTCCACTGTCGGCCTTGCTTGCCGACACACTCAAGCGCCTGCCCGCGCTCAAGCCCAACAACGCAACCCACTCCACACCGCCCGTTCTCGGCGCGGGCGGACTTGCGGATGGACGCTCTCTGGCCGCCCTCCTCGCATCCGGATGTGCAGGTGGAGTGTATGGCACGCGGTTTGTGCTCACGCCCGAGTCCACCTACTCGCAGGTGCAGAAGGAGCAGCTGGTCAAAGCCAAGGGCTCGGCCACTCTGCGCACCTTCGCGTTTGACGATGCGCGTGGCACACTGGGATGGCCACAGGGCACCGACGGTCGTGGTCTGCGCAACAAGACGGTGGAAGAGTACGAGCGAGACGTGCAGCAAGAGGTCAAGGCAGGCACCCAGGATCCCGAGGGCGCCAAACGCCGCATGGAGCGGTACAAGCAGGCCGCCAGCGAGAACGACACGGATCGCATCGTCATCTGGGCCGGCACAGGTATCGGTGCCATTGACGCCATCGTGCCTGCCAAGCAGGTCGTGCACGACATCACACACGAGGCGCTCGAAGCACTTTCACGCGTACAGGGCTATGTGCAGTAGAAGCTTCTATAATTCATTACTCGTGATCGGTGAAACGCCCTAGGCCTGCTTCTGGCTGCGCTCTTCGAGGGTCTTCCAGTCATGCACGATGTCCGTGTAGATCTGCGTCCTACCGTCGCGCGGACGGCAGATTACCTGCACCCCTCCCTCGACCTTGTCCTGACCCTGCGCGGTCAATCCAGCCTTGGCGGCCTGACGCGACTTGGTGGCGTGTACAAAGTCGTCGAACTCCGGCGATGCCTCGCCCTGGGGCAGCTGGGTGCGGCTCCATCCCCACACTGCCTTGTACGCCGCGCCGACGGAGCAAAAATTGTAGTTGGCAGCGGTCCAGCTCTTGCCGTCGTCGCTGGGCTGGACAGGCTTGACGATGTCGCAGCCGAACACATCTGCCATGGTTTGGGTGATGGTGGTGTTGGACGATGCTCCGCCCACGGCGTAGATCGAGGCGAGTGGCAACTTGGACGTGTCGGGCGACGACGATGTGCCTGCAACGATCGACGATGAGCGGTAGCGGTAGTTGAGGAACTGCGTCTCGAGGATCGCACTCGCATTCATACCGGCCTCGTCAAAGTCGTCCACCTGGTTCCAATCGGACTGCGACGAGGCTGTGGTGTAGCGATGCACGCCCGACGCACCGGCAGGGATGATCTCGGGTCGCAGCCAGTAGAATCCGACACGCTTGTTGCCGTGCGACTCAACGCGGTGTTTCTCGACGTCGGCATTGAAAGTGTCCCAGTCGGCGCTGCAGTACTGGTCGCGCACCCATTCTCGCGCCAGACTGCCCGACTTGTAAACCAGCATGTTGAAGAAGCGCTGTCCACCCTCGGGGCTCTGCGCAGGATGGAAGAAGGCGTGGAAGTCTGGATCGGGCACGTACTGGTCGGTAGCCACCATGACGGTGTCCGAGGTGCCCAGGCTGATGATCGCCTGCCTCTGCGCAAGACTAAAGGCGAGGAAGGTGGCCGGGTTGTCGCCGGTTCCGGGGAAGATGTGGCAGTCGTCGCTGAATCCGTAGCGCTGCTTCCACCAGCTGCCGATCTTGCCCACCGAAGCGCCGGCGTCTCGGTAGACGACGCCGAGCTTGCGCTCAAGCTCTTCAGCTCCGCCGAGCGAATCGTCTCCATCCGTTTCGCCCGAAGCAAGCGCTAGCAGCTTCTGGCACCAGCCTGGCTCGATCTTCCCGACGCGCTCGTCGGCCGATCGGGCAGAAGCCGGTCGCATGTCGAGCAAGTTCATGCCGCACGCATCCGACTCATCGATGCCCTTGATCACCGACTCTGCATCCTCGCCCTCGCCGACGCAGAGCATGGTGGTGACGAAGCTCGAGACGAGGCCGATGCGTTCGGTGTCCTTGTACGCCTCGGGATGCTGCTTGCGGAACTTGTAGATCTGCGGTCCTGTGAATCGCGTGTGCGCCTTGGAGCCGGTGACCTTGGCCAGCGCCTCTGCACCACCCATGGCGTCTTCAAACGCGCGACACGCATCGACAGTGGACGAATCTTGCCAGTTGGGCACGACCTTGCGGCTGAACGCACGCTCCACCTGCGCCGTCAGCGTCTTGTCCGACGCGAGCGTGGTGAGGATGTGCGGTGCGGCGCGCGAAAAGTACACCGAGGCGTGCTGCTGTCCTGCGGCAGAGATAGCACGGATGCGCGCAAGCGGCCACGCGGCCTCGCGCATCTTGTCTCCGAGCATGTCGAGCGCTTCGACGTACAGCATGACGGGCGCCACCACGGTGCCCTGATCATCGTCGGCGGTGGGTGCGGACACACCGCCGTTGGTGCCATAGTGCGGAAGGTCGCGGTCGAAGCGCACCTCGATCTCAGCGAGCACGGTGAGGTGGGCATCGAGCAGCGAAGCCTTGAGCGCCTGCGTGCTCGCGTCAAGGCCGAGGAAGAGCGCTTCGTTGCTTTGCATCTTGGGATCTCGGTTGCTGGGAGGAGGTTGAAGCGGGTCGGTAGTAGCGATTACGAACGCAGTCAAGGCTTATATGGCCAGGCCTCGAAAGTAGTTGCTACCCAAACACCCGAAGCAAAATGGGCCCCGCAGGAAGGGGAGGGAAAGCCGTGCATGGCACAGGTCACCGGTGTCGGTCTTCTTGCCAACTTGCACCGACGGCGCGGCGTCAGAGATTGCCGACGAGGAGCAGCTCAGATTGCCGGGCTCCACATTTGAAAATGTTAGACTCCCTCCCGACTTGTCATACTTGTTAGACCGGCTTTGAATCTGGCCTTCCCCGTGCGGCGACGGCTCTCAGGCACGCTTTGTTTGCTCGCCCGAAAGCCAAAAATGAAGCCAAAATGCCGCACAAATTTGGAGACAGCGAACGGCACTTTCTGATGCAATCAACGCGCCGGAGACAGGCTGCTGGGCCCGCTCGTCCTCACCCTCCTTCCGAACCACGTCCTACTCCACCATTGCCAGTCTCTCTTGTGCTGTCGCTCATCTTCTGAACTTTGTCGACTCTTCGCGATCTTGGATCCAAGCCAAGATCAAGCCCGTACCCAACCACTGAAGTTCTGCTCGCTACCTTAGCTGAGCTGACGTCCCATGCAGCCCGGCTCGCAGCTCATCTCCTCCAACGCCCTCATGATCAACACTCACGGCCCCAACTCCGTCTTCTCCGCTCAATAACACAGGCTTCTCGTCCCGAGGGACAACTCTTCTTGACTTCTACTCATCCCCAACAACTCCTGGCTCCACGCTGATTCAGCATCGATCAGCCCGGTAGCCCATCAACCAACATGCCCGCTCACGTCGTGGAGGTGGACATCACCGAGGTGTCCAAGTCGCTCGCCGTGCTCGGCGGCTTCATCATCATCTACGGCCTCCTCTCGTACGTCGTCAAGGAACGCCTCTACCTTTCAGAGCCCCTCCTCGCCGTCACCGTCGGCATCCTCGTCGGTCCCTACGTGCTCAACTGGGTCGATCCGCTCAGCTGGGGCACCACCGAGGAGACCAACTATGTCACCTACCAATTCACCCGCATCGTCGTCGGCATCCAGGTCCTCTTCTGCGGCATATCGCTGCCCAAGGCGTACTTGTGGAAGGAGAAGTTCTCGCTCATCATTCTTCTCTTTGGCATCATGACTACCGCTTGGTTCGCCACGGCGCTGCTGATCTGGGGGCTCATCCCCAACCTCACCTTCCTCGAGAGCTTGTGCATAGCCGCTGCCGTGACGCCCACCGACCCCGTTCTGGCCAACTCGATCACCACCGGCCGTTATGCCGAAAAGCACGTTCCTGCCAACGTGCGCAACATCATCGTGGCCGAATCAGGCGCCAACGACGGCTTGGGCTTCCCCTTCCTCTACCTCGCCATCTACCTCTTGGCACGTACGGGCGAGGATGTAGGATCGAGCGTCGGCACCGAGGTCGGCCGCTGGGTCTACGCTGTCGTCATTTACCAGATCCTCCTCTCCATCGCCTTTGGCTCGCTCATCGGCTACCTGGCTCGCAAGACGCTCAAGTGGGCCGAATCGCGCTCGTACATCGACAAGGCCAACTTCTTCGCCTACGGTCTCGGCCTCGCCTTCTTCACGCTCGGCACCACGGGTCTCTTCGGCTCCGACGACATCCTCGCCTGCTTCATTGCCGGCAACTCGTTCACCTGGGACGACTGGTTCCGCGTGCGCACCGAGGACAACGACTTTCAGGAAATCATCGACACCGTGCTCAACATGACCGTCTTTGTCTACATCGGCGCCATTATCCCCTGGGCTGCCTACTCGGACCCGGAGCTGCAGATCACCGGCTGGAGGGTCGTCGTCCTCGCCATCCTTGTGCTTCTCTTGCGCCGACCGCCCTGGGTCATCGCAGCCACCAAGGCGATTCCGGCATTCCGCGACTTCAAGGAGTCCGCCTTTGCGGGCTGGTTTGGCCCTATCGGCGTTGGTGCGGTGTTCTACATCCAGGTCGCCCTCAAGCAGCTTCCCGATGATGGCACCCGCGACCGGCTCCAGGCGATCTACGCGCCGCTGGTGCTCTTCATGGTTTTCGCGTCGGTGCTCACGCACGGCGTCACGATCCCCGTCTCAAAGCTCGGGCCGGGCGTCGTGCGTCGTACGGCGACGCTGACCAAGACGCGTTCGATCACCTTTTCGCGTCCCATGAGTCGCAGCAACACCATCCAGGCCAATACCTTGCAGAACGGACGACAAGGATCGCCCGAAGGGTCGGACGAGCACGGTGCAGGTCGCGGCACCAACTCGTCGGGCACCTCGACTCACGGACACGTGGGATACAACGAAGAGGGCAAGCCGCTGTGGAACCCGCTGGTTGCCACCGTCGACTTTGGCGTGCATGTGCTGGCGTTCTGGAGAAAGGACAGCTTCTGGCGAAAGGACGTCTCGCCAGGCAAGCACAATGCGCTCGGTGGACATGGTCAGGGTCATGGTCATCCTGTTCGTAAGACGGACATTTCAGCTCCTAGCCGCCCCATCAAGCAGCGCAGTGTGGAGGAGGACGCCATTGCCAGGGTGATCAATGAGAGCAACGGTCAAGACATTGGGCTGGCGGAGATCGACGCGAATGAAGAACAGCGCAAGTCGCGATTGCCGCCTCCTACGCTCGAGCTGCCGACGTCGTCGAAAGGTATGCCGAGCCCGATCCTGCAGAGTCCTTCGACGTTTGGCTCGCGTCCCAACTCGGCTGGCGAGGGCAAGGCGGTCGAGAAGCCCGAGAAGCCCGAGATGCCCGCTCTGACGCGCACCGTGTCTCCGCGTCGATTTGCGATCCTGCGCGCACTCGGCAAGGAGATGCGTGACGAGCGCGACGAAGCCGACTCCGAGGCGGCCAAGGGCTGGGAGCGCGGCGAGGAGCGAGAACGCAAACGCCTGCGCGAGATGCTCATGCGCAGCGGCTCCCAGCCCAAGCCGTCCGAGGCAGCAACCGATGCAGATGATGCCCAGGAAGCGCGCGATGCTCAAGAGGCGCTTGTCGACAACGCTCCCAGGAGCGAACCCGAGGCAGACGCCCAGTCCACCCATTCGTCCCAGCGCAGAACGCTGCGCTTCGTCTAAAGTCAAGCCCTTACCCTTGCCCTTTTTTCCTCGATAAATATAAACTCCCTCGCCCATCACCTCCCGTCGATCTTTCCCTACCTTTTCTTCCTTTGACGCCTGTCTCACTTCTCTAAAGCCTTTTGCCCATCCGGCATCATACAGTACTCTCTTTGGAGTACGTATGCGGCATTGTACGAAGTCGCATGCTTCCCTTTACGTTTGGATGTGGAATGGCACCAGTTCAAACCTCGTATGCGCAATGTATCGTAGTCGTTGCAAGATGATGGCGACACAGGCGGCATCAAAGCGCGCAGACCGGATGTTGACACGACGAGGTTGAGTCAAAGCATCGCCCGGGTCGAGTTGCAGCAGTGCAAGCTGAGTTCCACACATGAATGGATGCAGACGATTCAGCGTCACGACTCCTACTCACTCGAAAGGGGGTAGTAGACTGTTGTGCTTCACGACAATGATGCTCATGAGTCGTCGATTCGAATGGACATGGCCGAGTCGGAGATGAGCTGCGTCGCCATGCAGACATCGACAACGGGTGTCACTGGATGTTGTTGGAAGGTTACGACAGTGACAGATGACATGTGGGGCTCGGGTGTCGCTGATTGAGCTTGCCCCGCCAGTGAGTGGACGCCAAAGTGCGGGGCCGGGTCGTCGCTTGTACAGCCCCACCTGCGAAAAGCGCTACGGTGGCGTACAGTATGGGTGGACCGCTCTCCGATGAGATTGTGAGCACTTGGTGGTCCAAGTGAAGGCGTCCACTTTTGCTATATCTCCGTCTGTGACTGAAACCTTTGCAGACCACTCAAAGACATTGCTTTTCGTGTGTATATAAGCAGCCTGTAGTGTGCACGTCGCTGTCTAGGCCGTCACCATCGCACCGACGACTTTCCGACAAGATGTTCCGCACTGCCCCTCTGATTGCCTTTGCCCTGATCTGCCTGGCGCAGACTGGAAGATGCCAAGTTGACGGCCCGCCCAGCAATTGGCAGCCGACTGGTCCAGCCTCGACCGCTGGTCTTCAGGTCGACGCCAACCAGGTCCAAGCCTTTTGCACGGACAACAAGCCGACGGCGAATGTTCCGTTTGCCTGTTTTCACGCTCAAAGGCGACATTCGCACGCGCATGCACAGCCCTCAGAATCTCAAGGGCTTCATCTCCGCCAGCGGCGACAGTAAGTCCCTCCAGCCGCATCATTTGGCAAGGAGCAGATCCACAGGCTGACGACTGTTGTCTATTAATGGCAGCATTCGTTGTGTTGGCCCAGGACGGCCAGCAGACGTTCACCACCGAAGTCAACAGGGTCGCCATTTCAGCTTCCGACCAGGTCAACTGCCGCCACGTTGAGGTGGATGACCTGCCTCAAGGTCCCCCCAACGGAGAGCCTGGCGAGACCGCCTACCACGTTCGCGCTCGCGATGTCTGCCCCGGAACTCCCATGCAGCTCGACGACGCTCCTTGAGCAAACAGCTGTGGGCCGGTGCGGCATCTTCATAGCCCGTCTTTCGAAGCCTGTCTTTCGAGTCTCGACTCATGCCCCGAGCAGACACTGTTGTAGTTCACAACATGAATGTTCACCACTCATTTCCTCGAATGCGCGCTGAGGGGTTGAAAAAAATTAGCTACATTGCGACCGAGAGACATCGACAACGAGTGGCACTGCAGATGAAAGAGTGCCACCTGGACTGCGGCGTTGCTTGCTGGAGCTTGCCCCACCAGTGAGTGGGTGCTAAAGTGTGGGGCCGCGCTGCGTCGCCGCAGCCCCACCTGCGGATTGCGCGATCACGAGGTGGCGTCTCAGTGGGTTGCGCGCTCTTATGAAGTTACCCATGCGTCCCCCCACTTGCTCCCGGGTGGGGTTTCAAGAAGAGAAGTTGCCACACACATCCCTATCTCGGGGCCAGTGTCGTTGCACACTGTTCTCGTGTCTATATAAGGCAGCCTGCAACCTACCCGTCCCTATCTCGTCACCGCACACAGTCGACTTTTTTTCACCATGTTGTTCCGCACCGCCTCTCTTGTTGCTTTTACCGTATTCTGCCTTGCCCGAACGGGAAGCTGCGATTCTGACACCGACGACGGCTTCCAGAAGCCGTCGGATGAGGTCTCAACTGAAGGTCTCAAAGTCGACAGTAACCAGGTAATGGCGTACTGCTTCTGGAACAAGCCGACGGAGAATGTTCCCTTCGCCTGTTTTACGCTCAAGGGAGATATTCGCCAGCGCATGCGCAGTCCGCAGAATCTCAAGGGCTACATTTCCCCCGGTGGCGAAAGTAAGTTTCAACCCCATCCCTCGACAAAGGCACTCATGCTGACGAAGGTCGGTTTGCGCGAATAGCGTTCGTGGTGTTGGCCCAGGCGGGTGGACAGTCGTTCACCACCGAGGTCAACAGGGTCACCATACAATCTTACGATGCTCAGCCCAACTGTCTCCTCATTGGGGTCGAAGAGCAGCCTCAAGGGGGCGATGGGGAGTTTGGCTTGACCCGCCATTCCGGTCGCGATCGCGTGGTCTGCCCCGGCCAATCGGCCACTCACCTTGACGACGCCCCCTGAACTCACAGCTGTACGCGGGCCTTGCATCCCTCCCAACCCTGTCTTTCGAGTCTCGATTCATGCCGCGCATTCAATCATCCACCGTCCTCAGTTGATCATCTTCTGTCGTCCACCGTTCTACATCCCTCGTCTTCGAGTCAAGCTAGGCCACTACCTCTCCCTCTCACACGCACCAGCCTTGCGTGTTTCAATGTTGCAATTGCACAAGGTAGCTCTCACTCAAACGCAGGAATGGCTGCCCGCTGGCCGGCACTCGCGCTCTTGCCCTTGACCGTCTTGAGGCTAAAACCCTTCTTGAACGTCGAGCTCCTGTACGTTGTAGCCTGTGCGCCATCCTCGGCTGGTTGCTGTTCTGCGCTGGGTGCTGGATGGGGGCGCGCAGGGAGGGGAGGCAGGCTGATGGGTTTGCGCACCTTGACGCAGCACAGCAAAAAGAACGCCACGAGGTACATCCCTGCGCCCACGATAAAGATCGCCGGGGGAAACGTCTTTGTGGTTCGTCGGAAGACCTCTGCGAACAAGATGGGACCTACAACGGTACCTGATATGGCGGAGGTGATGCTCCATGCGCCAAATAGCTTGCCTGCATCGGCGGGCGACTTGAGCAACGCCAGGGCAAGCGACGACATGGCTGCACCGCCTCCTCCACCCAGCGCCGTAATGGCCGTCGAAAGGAAGAATGTCTCGGGCGTACCCGAGAAGACGAGCAGCACGTACGAGAGCGTGTTGACCGTCACCGAGATCTTGGCGAGCTTGAGGTCGAACTTGCTGTCGTGGATAAGACGCAGGTGTTTGGCACGCAGCGTCCACAACTCCTCGACCGACTTTTTGGTGGCATCCCACTCTGCCTCCTCGCCTTGCTCGCTGGTCGAGCGAGAATCATCTATGGCGCCGTACCCACTGGTGCCACGGTGCAGACGACCTTCGTCGTCGAGCATCGACTGTCGACGCGAGTCGGGCGCGAGTGTCTGCTCCTCCTCGACGGCAGGCCCGTCCTGGGGCAGCCGCAGTGCCTTGACGGGTCGATGCAGGAACTTGATCGCAACGGGCAGGATGAAGGTGAGCGCGAGGACGCGCGTGATGCTGAGGAAGGTGAGATACATGCCAAGCTCGGCGGAGCCCCAGATGAAACGCTCCTGTGCGTACTGCATCTTGAATGACATGATGCCAAACACGGCGGTCTCGGTGAAGTAGGTGAGCGAGAGGAAGGAGAGGTTGTAGTCGTAGCGCGTCGTGGGCGGGACGCGCGAGACCGAGATGTGCGACGCAGACGCTTCGGGTGGCGCGAGACCTCTTGGCGTAGCTGCACCGCTGGCCTGCGCAGCCTCGTCTTCTTCATCTGCCACCACCACCTTTTTGGGCAGGAGGAAGCTGAGCGGCTCGAGTGGTGCATAGAGGACGCTGCCCATGAAAGCGACCTTGACGCGCTTCCAGATGCGCCTGTTGAAGGGGCGGTGGTCGCCCTCCCAGTTGCGCGAGTTGAGCAGTGGCTGCAGCTCGGCGGTCTTGCGCGCCTCGGCCTTGCGTTTGATCTCTGCGCGAGACTCGATGTACTCTTTGCGCGCCTTTTCGCGGAACTCCTTGTTGGTACTTTCGGGGATGAAGGTAAAGATGCCGAGGACGTAGAGCAGATGCATGGCAAGTGCGAACCAGAAAGGCGCGAGGATGTTGTTCGTATGCTTGACGATGAGGCCGCCCAGCGTGGGACCCACGGCAAGACCGAGATAGACGATGCCCATAAAGTGAGCAAAGATGTGTGCGCGTGTGCCGCTCGGGGTGACGTCCGAGATGTACGACTGGTGTACGGCGATAGCGGCGCTGTATCCGCCGAGCAAGCCTTCGACGGTGGTACCGAGGACGAGGAAGCTGTAGCCAAAGGGGAGTTGGGAGCGTGGGACGAGAGCGGCGGTGAGGATGACGAGGTCGGTGAAGACGATGCCGGCCATCGAGATGCGAAGCACGGGGAGGCGACCAATTCGCGACGAGAGGTTGGACCAGAAGCCCGTGGTGAGGGCGGCGAGGATGCCCATGGAGAGGGTCATGCGGAGCTGGAGCGTGGCGAGCGAGGACTGCACCTCTGGGCTGGCGAAGCACGCCTTGCTTGGGCGGCGTGGAACGGGGATGACGGTCGAGTTTGGGGAGGAGTTTGGACGGTCGAGACTGGCCATGTAATGCTTCACGGCGTCGTTGTCGGCGGCGGCGTCGACGTCGACGGAGGCATCGAGCGACCAGGGCTGGAAATGTGCCATGTGTGCAGCCGAGTGAGCTGACGGCTGCGTGAGGGACGAGTGTAGCGCAGTGGCATTCGTGGGTGGTTGGGGCGCAATGATGTCTCCGCCACCGACGTAGCTGTCGCCGAGGACGGTTTCGCAGACAAACATGTTGAGCAGCTCGAGTTTGGGGCCCATGCACATGCCGCCAGCCATGGAGATGACGAGGGCAAAGGGACGGAGCCATTTCTCGGACGGCCTGCGATACCAGGGCTCGTGCTTGAACCACAGCAGATGGTCATCGACCGGAGCCTCTTGGGAGTCTGCGCCGGCTGCGGAGGAATCAGGGTCGCGCTGTTGCTCTTGCGCTTCATCGTCGAGGCGGTAGATCATGTCGGCAACGACAGGATTGGTGGAGTCGATCTCGAGTTCGCCTCCCAAGGGACGTGAGATGGGGAAGGACTCGGGCGGAGCAGATGAACCGGCGCTTACGGATCGCTTCATGGCTGGGGGCTGGAGGGAGGCTTGGGCGCGTTTGGCGGCGCGCGAGCGGCGTTCTTGTTCCATGACGTGGCGCGGAATGGAGGGCGAAGAGACGCTGGACGAAGACGAAGCAAGGTAAGAGTCACTCATGGCGCGCACGTCGCTTTCGGTGAGCCGAGAGCCATTGAGCGTGACGTTGAGTCCGGGAGCTGGAGCAGCAATGCAGAGAAGTCCGCGGACGTCGTTGGCATCGCTTGTGGAAAACGGTGCAGAGTAGGACCAGATGGCAGCGGTGAGCCTCTCTACTGGCTGTCCAGAGAGCAGCACATCAAAGTACTGTGCAAAGCCCTTGTAGGGGCAGAAAGTTTCGTCGCGCTCGCTTGGGACGAGCGAGAATGGAGGCTGAACGGCTTCGGGCGGAAAGTAGAAACGGAGTGGGTAGTTGCTCTCGGCCAGCTCGACAGCTTGGTTGGTATAGACGAGGGTGTGCACCTGTCCGTTTATGCTTGTGGTGATCTTGAGCGTGCTGTTGGAGGGGGTGGTGACGATGCGATGGGGAGGCTTTGAGCCCGAGGCCGGCTGCGACTTGGACGCCATGGTCAGATTCGAAGCGTATGAACGATCAAGCAAGAGGCGCCATGCGGGAGTTGGTGATGGCAGCGAATGGCAAGGGTGAAGCAAGAGGTCGACGAGTAAGATAGGGTCTGTTGTGGTACCCTGCAGGCCGCGTGGCTCGGACGGCGCAGCGCCGATTGCTGCTTGATAGAGAAGTGCAGCTCGCAACCAACGAAGTGGAGAAATTGCCGCGCAGGCGTCGGCTACAAAATCGGCTTAGCCGCGCTCCCCTCCTCTTTTTCGCGCCCATCGAACGCCGCGGTGGCTTTGCATTTTTTCCCATTTCAGCAGAAGCGTAGAGACTGGCAGGCATGTGCTCAAGGCGATCCGTACAGCGCTCCTCAGACGGACATGTGACCGCAGTCAGCATCGCTACTATTCGGGCCTCCTTCGTGGGAAGGAATGGTCCGCGGACGGAAGTTCCGACTTGCAAAGGACGAGCGAGAAAGTCGCGGAGATTAGCGCGCTGACACATCCCCGATGTTGGCATGCGTGCGCGCCCAAATATGGCCGCTGTCAACCAGATTTGATTGCTATCGGGACATGCAAGATCGGGCTGCGAGTGTTGGACGCGCGGATGCTCGGAAAGACGCCGAAACAACAGCAGCAAGCAAGCAAAACGCTCAGGGCAGCTTGGCGGCCGCAAACGAGACTCTGTGGCTTTGGGGGATGTCTTGTGACCTTGATAAAGGGGGCTCCTGTTGCTTGACGTTCTCCTCCAACGAACATCCGACCTATCCACTCGGACATCGCTAGCATCGTCGACACCATGGACCAGCAAGATCTTGAGCTGCTGGCGACCAAGAAGCACGAGCTGCTTCACGCCGCTCAAGAGGCGAGGAAGCTCTCCTACTCTCCTTACAGCAAGTTTCGCGTGGGAGCGGCGCTGCTCACCAAGTGGGGCGAGATCATCCTCGGCGCCAACTACGAGAATGCATCATATGGCGGCACCGTGTGCGCCGAGCGTACGGCGCTCGCCAAGGCGCTCATTCGCAGCGATGCGCTCGACGTGCCCGAAACCGGCTCGGGCCGCAAGGTGTCGCGCGGCGATATCATCGGCGTGGCTGTGGCGAGCGATCTCGAGGGCAGCTGTAGCCCGTGCGGAATCTGCCGCCAGGTCATCCGCGAACACTGCAGCCTCAACGCACGCATCCTCATGGTCGGCTGCAACTGGTCCAAGGCCAACGCGCAGCAGCCCTCGCCAGACGCCGTCACGGACCAGGGCGGAAAGGAACTCAACGAGCCCAATGTTGAGGTCGTCACTCTCGACTACCTCTTGCCCATGAGCTTTGGCCCCGAAGACCTCGACAAGCCCAGGCAGTCCTCATGACAGCAGTGCAATTGAAACAACGTGGCGCCAGAATACACTGCGATCCGATTCGAGCTTGAGCGTGTCAGCGTTTCTTGTTCTTCTTGCCTGCGGGACTGCGTCCAGCCTGCGGAAGCCAGTCCTGGTCGACGTTCGGATTGCGCACCGCGCTCGAGCTCGCCTGGCTTTGCGATTGGGCTCGCGCAATCGACGCTTCGATCTCTTCCGCCGACACCTGCTCGCCCGCGCGCATCCTCGCCGCGATCTCGGGCGTCACCGCCACGCGCTTCACTCCAGTTTCTGCAGTCGCAATCCATCGTAGTGAAGTAGAAGTCAGTACCACAGCTCTAAACGCCAAGTCCACGGAGAAAGAAAGACTTACGGAATCCGGGAGCACCACGACCAAGGCCTGTCTTGGGATCGTACTTGCCCGTGTAGCCGCGCTTGTTGCCTGCGCCCAAGAAGCGCGATGCCACCGCGCCCACGATGATGAGCGGTACCAGCACCGACGGTATGCTGTGTTTCACAGAACGGAGCGCAGAATCAGCGCGTGCCGAAAGAACACGCACGGCGAAAGGATGATGATGACTCACAGGAACCAGCTTGACATAGTGGCAGAAGAGAGGAGGGCGATAAGTGGATGGGGTGTTGGTGTGGAAGAGCAAGGGTGCGGTTGCAATCGAGCTTTGCAAGGTCAAAAGCGCGTTTCCGGCGAAATGGGCGCCAACACTTGTTCGCGCCTCCACAGCCAATCCAACTCGGCTCCGCATCCTGCTTCCAACACCTGCCACCACCTGCATCTCTTGAGCGCACCTCACACCATGTCGGCACCCACGCTGCCAGGCGCACAAGCAGGCCCCTCTTCGCAGCCTGCTGTCGCTTCCGTACCAGCAGTGCCTGCCTCCCAGCGCGCACGCGAGATCCAAGATGCGCTCAAAGCCATCGTCCTCCAGACCGCCTCCACGCTGCGCGCACGCAATCAGCAAGCTCGCCTGCCCACCTCGGTCGCCTCCTCCTCGGTGCCCGCAGCTACAACCATCAGCGAGTCGTCGGTGAACCTCGAGCAGCTCACGGGCGAGTGCACGCGCTACCTCTCGCTCGTGCACGGTCTGCGCGACTATCTGCTTCACGCTCAGGCTGCGCTCGAGATCGAGCTCGAGGCGGCAACCCAGCGCGAGGCACAGGAAGCAAAGATCGCCGCAGAGGCGGCAGCTGAGGCACTCAAGCGTCAACAGGAAGCCGTGGCAGAGGCGGAAAAGAAGGCGAAAGAAGAGGCACAGACCAAGGCGGAACAGGATGCTCAGGCCGGTGCAGATGCAAGCGAAGACGCAAAGATCGAAGAGGCCGGGGAAGATGCAGACAAGAAGGACGGGGATGCGGATGACTCGATGGTAGCAACGCCGCCGTTGCCGCCAGCGAAGGGGACGGATGCGGCTGCAGATACGGCAATAACAGGAAAGACGGGAGAGGCGGCAAAGGATGCGATCGTGATCGACAGCGATGGGGACGATGACGAAGACGATGTGCCGCTCGCATTCGCTCCCAAGCCAGGCGCCGCCATTGACCTTACCGACTCGCCCGCCCTGGCCAATGCCCCAAAACCTTCCACATCCGCACCCGACGCTGCTTCCACCTCGACCGCGCCTGCAGAAGCCGCCACGGCGTCCGCACCAGCCGACGCGGCAACCCTTCCGGCTACTGTACCCAACACCGTAGCAGGCATCGACCTATCCGCGCTGGGCATCAACCTATCCTCCCTCAACAGCCTTCCCGACCTATCATCGCTGGGCATTCCTGCTCTTGGCGCTTCCTCCTCGGGTGATGCGGCCGCGCTCGCGCCCGCAACCGACTTTTCCGAGCTGGAAAAGATGATGGGCATGGGGTTTTCCACCACCACTTCTTCGGCGCAAGACGCCTCGACTACCGCACCGGATCTCTCCTCGCTGGGCAACTTCAACCTCGGCAGCACCGGGTTCGGCGAAGACACCGACATGTTTGGCGCGGGCACTGGTGGGATCGATCTGAGCAACTTTGACTTTTCCAGCCTCACCGCCGGCACCACCGACGCTGCAGCAGGAGACGCCGGTGTAGACCTCAGCTCGTTCCTCACCAACTTCAACCCCGCCCAGCTGGATGGCGCAGCGAATCAGCACGATTCGGGGACGTAATGGACTTATACTGATTGTGCTACGCTGCCGTGAGTGTGTGGATATGTGCGGGTGTAAAGAGAGTGACGCCAATCGCTGCTGCCCAGTGTGGGATTATGAACAGCTGCAAGAGGGAGGTGGATATCTGCGGCCATAGAACCTTGAAAGCACCGCATCCCGTCCGATCTGCGAAGTTAAGCAGGGTATCGCCTAGTCAGTACTGCGGTGGGGGACCACGCGGGAATCCTAGGTGCCGCAGTTCCTTTTTTTCTTTTTGGCTGCCCACTCCCTTGCACCTCGCTCTGATGATGATCTGCCGTTCGAGCGGGAGCTTTTGGTGGAACAGCCACTTCAATGCCGGTGTTCGAGGATGGTGTTGGAAGTTCGGGATGCGGATACGCAAAAAAGTACGTCTTGGACCCTGAACCGCTTCGGATCACTTCTTCCTGCGCATCTGCAACACCCTCCCGGATACAATGGCTGCTGGCAGCTCCTCGCAACGGTCCGCAAAGGGTGCGGGAGGGGCGTTATCGTACCACACATCGTCATACTGGAACTCTCGCTTCGCCACGGATCCACGCGAAGCATCGGGGTTCGAGTGGCTCTCATCCTCCTCCTCTCTACTCTCCTGCATCCCATCATGCATCCTAACCTCACCCTCTCCCAGGATCCTACACATCGGAGTTGGGACGTCGTCGCTATCCCTCGACATTGCACGATACTTCCACGCCCAAGATGGCGATTGCTCGAGAGCGGCGGGAGTGATGAATGTCGACTTTGCACCGCGAAGCATCGAGTTCCAACGCAGCGCGGAACGACAGTGGCTCCAATCCATCGCTCACTCAGTCGATGAGGTCATGCCGTACAAAGTGCTCGATTTGTTGGATTGGAGTCAAGTTTGCGAGATGCAGGGCGGATTCGATGTGGTGCTGGATAAGAGTACCGCCGATTCGATATCAACCGGTCAAGACCTACATCTCGACGACTTGCCGACGAATGCACACCCGGCGCTACGCAAAATCGCTCAGCATACCAAGGCGATACCGACGATTCAGGTCTTGGGCATCCATCTAGCTGCGCTGGTTAAGAAGGGAGGTGTCTGGCTGTGCCACAGCTACAGTTCGGATCGATGGGCGGATGTGGTCGTTCCACCCGACGCTCAGCAAGTTTGGCCCTGGAGGCTCGGCGAGGTTGTAGACATACCCGTCGAGTCGGATATCCCGAATGCACCTCAGATCCAGCATCACATCTACACACTCCATCGAATCTAACCGCATACGCATCAGACCGAGTCGAGGTTCAACCGAGGTTCGTCTAATGGTCGTGAGTTGGAAGTCGAGACTATGGCGAGCGCGAGCGCGATCTCGCTCGCCTTGTGGGGGCTGCTTTTTTGGCCTTGCGCTCGCGGATCGCAGCGCGGTAGTCGGGAGTCACGGAGCGCGAGCGCGATCGGGACCGCGGTGGTGATCGTCGACGCTCATCTCGCGGCGCTGGTGAAGGCGATCGTCTTCGTGGTGGCGAGGGACACCTTCGCGAAGGACGCCATGAATCGGCGGGTCGTGTGGCATCCGTTCCGCGCGCGCCCCAGCCCGAATCGCGACTGCGCTCCGTCGTGTTTCCGCTGCGGTCACGGAAGCTGCGTCCAGCATCCGGTCTTCTGTACGGCTCGCTACCCCTCGGAGGAGCATACGCCGGTGGTCGTGAATCCCACTGTCCCCTAGACGATTCCGACGGCGCTCCTGCATCCCATCTTGACCTTCTCTTGGCAGATTGCGCATCGTTGTTCGATCCTGCTGCCTGGGCTGCACGCTGAGCCCTCTCCCTCGCCTCGCGCACGACCCTCTCTCCCTCCTCCCTCTTGCTCCTCAACTCCTGCTTCTTCTCCTCCACAAACCTCTGCGGTACACCCCCGGGACTCGCTTGTGCCGAGACGAGCAACTCCCACAACTCGGCCATGAACTCCTGCGTACTCGCCTCCAAAAACCCCGTGAGCTGAATCTGCATCTTCTTCGCGTCGGGATAGCGTCCCTCCTCGAGCATGCCCACGGCGTACTCGAGCACCACCTCGTCTTCGAAGCCCAGCAACTCGGTGATGCGACGCGCGATCCAGGGCTTCATCACCGAAAGCTCCACCTTGTGCATGTCGACCTTGGTGTCGAAATGGCGTGGGAACTTGAGCTTGCGCAGCAACGACGCCTCTTTGTCCGTGAACCGGCTGTCCTGCGAGGCCGAGACGCCCTTGTACGATGAATCGCCCATCCGTGCGAAAGTGTCCCCTCCCGCAAGGCCGCAAATATGTGGTGGTGACGAGACGAGAGTGGGCGCGGTTGCAAGGAGCAGACGCGGAGGAATTTCGCGCGTGCGTTGGGAGAGGGTCCTTGGCGCATGTGGAGCAACACCTCATCGGATCCCACACTCACCACCCCCCGCATGCTCAAAGTCCCACCACATTGCAAACGCACACCACTAAACACTGGGACAGGAAGCATGAGAACCGGCCAATAGCGATCGTATTGCTGTGCGCATTTGGCGAATTTTTCACAGCTTGGAGAACTTGGGCGTCTGTTTCTGCATGACGGCAAGCATGGCGACGGGCATGTCGTCCGACTGCAGCAGCGCCGAGTTGAGCGCCGTGACGTACTTGAGGCCCTCTTCCACGCTGCCAAAAGCGCGAGAGCAAGGTGATTGGGCGTCAGCGTTGGTGCAACACGGTGTGAGAGCGCGACCGAAACTTACCTGTGGTCGCGGCTGTGGAGCAGGTAGATCTTGGTGCCGCGCACGGCTACGGGTGCCTTGGAAGCAATGAGCGCAGCCGTCTTGACCGCCTCGGCTGTTGCATTCGCGCACAGAAGCAAGAGTCAGTCGGAGATGCGCAGGTGATTTAGCCTCGGCGCTGGATGGTGGGACTTACCGACGACCTGATCCCTGCCGCCGTCGACGACCTTGCTGAGGAATCCGATCTCGCGCGCCTCTTTGGCGTCAAACTCCCTGGCGGTGTAGCACAGCTCTCTCGCGAGCGAGTCGTTGCCCACGATCTTGGGGAAGCGCTGCAGCGTTCCAATATCCGCAGCCAGACCGGCGTCGACCTCCTTGATGCTAAATCGCGTATCCTTTGTCGCATAGCGGATATCGCACGCAGACATGATATCAATCGCCAAACCAAAGGCGACGCCGTGCGCAGCGGCAATCACAGGCTTCTCGACGTGCTCGAACCACGAGATGGCCTCCTGGAAGTCGGCGATGTGTCGGCGCATCGCAATCGCCTTGCGCGCGCCATCCGGCAGCTCGGCAATCACCGAGCCCAGACTCTGCTCATTCAGATCGAGTCCTGCAGTGAAGCATCGTCCTTCGCCGGCAACGACGATCGATGCCACCTCCGGATCGTCGCGCACCGTGCGCAGGATCGCCGCGAGCTCGCGCCACTTGGGATCGATCCACGCGTTGACGGGTGGGCGGTTGAACGAGAGCAGAAGCACCCCCTCGGCAGCGAGCGTGAGCTTGTGGTACTTGGCCTCGGCGAAGCCGCGGTATGGCTGTGGGAACGACATTGTGAGGTAAAGGGTGGTGGGATGGAGGAAGGATGCGGTGGTGAGAGGATTGCGAGAAAGGATGTGTGGGGTCAAGCGAGTCCGGCACGGCTCCCTTCGCTTGCCGGCTAACGGTGGCGTGAAATTCCCGGCCTCACCGCGGCTTGTTTCCGAATCGGCATTCGCATCGGCGATCCCGCTCGTCTCTCTTCACCCTCGCATCTTGTCCCGCTGCACCTCGGTCCATCGTGCTCACAGTGTCTCCTGGCCCTTTCGGTCCCCGTCACGACGCAGGGATCCGCACAAACGCAGTAGCGCAAGTGGTGACGCACAACAACGGCCGTTTACGAGGCACCTGCTGTGGAATACATCGCATTCATTCTTGGCTTGACGAGTCGGTGTTGCGCGAACGCTGCGTTGTCTGGCGATTGAACGCAGCAGTGAGACTCTGAAGCGGAGACTGTGCGTACTTTTCCTGCTTGCTCGACGACATGACTATCGAACACGAACAATACCCCCGAGAGGGAAAGGCGATTAGCGACCTCATCGTACACCTTGATCTTCCGGCACGGCGTGCGCAAATGCTACTTACGGACTGGCATGGACGAGGCAGCAGCGTCGTCGCCCTGTTCCGCTCCTCTCCTTTGCTGAAGCTCTTGGCCCTGCTTGATCATAAACTCGCGCTTCTTGGCCGTGTTGTTCGACTTGACTGTGAAGTAGCCGAATCCAGCGACCACTACGAGGGCAGCCCACCTGTCCATTGCAGAGCCCCGAAAGAGCAAGAGTCAGTAGCGTACTTTGGTGGATGAGTGTAGCTCCGGTTTTGGTCTTACCCCCAGAAGATGGCCTTGGGCTGGTTGAGGCCTTGTCCTTTTGATGGCTGGCCTGATCGAGAGGTTGCGGGAGAGGCAGACGATGTCGAGTTGAGTCGGGACGTTGACAGAACCCCCCTCTGCGGAAGGACCCGCAGGCTGGATCGGTAGACTGATCTTGATTTCATCGTTGTTGCTGCTCTGTCAATTCGAAGCGATGTGTCGCGGTCGATGATGACTTCCGCAAGATGTGCGTGAAGAAGCTTTTCGATACGGAGCTCCAGGTGGAGGAAGGCGAAGGCATTTTTTCGAATTTGTGTTAGACCGTTTAGCACGCTGTTCCGCGGTGATGAAGGCGTGGGAAGCGGGTGTGTGGAGGAGGCGGAGGGCTGTGCATGTGAGGCACAGCTTTGAGCGTTGGACCCTGGCTGAGTGTCTCGTTGCCGAGCGTTCCCGCCTTCCGTTCAAAGAGACCTCCCTGACCAGCTACCATCATCTCCCATCACCAACAAAAGGATGGCCCTCGACGCAGCGCTGTTCACGCTCCAGTTCGTGCGCAGGAGGAACGAGCCAAGCATCGTCGATATCTACCCGAGCTCGGCCGGGTCCAGTGCAAGCACAGCTCCTCCCGTGCCTTCCAAGGACACTGACGATGACCCTAGCAAGCCAGCGAGCTCGAAGCCGACACCCTTCACGGGAACAATACCAGATGTTGCTGCTCAGCGCGCCCTGGCGCTCGAATACATCGACTACTCCAAGCTCACGCCGAGCTACACCCGCGTCAGGGCGACCAACTACACGCAGTACAGCTCCATCTTGCTCGACGGCTTGATCCAAGACTGCCTGCTCGCCTCCATATCGCAACCCTACACCGGCACAAAGAAGAAGCACATCCAGCTCTACAATCCCGATGCCCAAGTCGAGCTAGAAAAGCGCTCCATGACCTTCCAGCAATCGTGGCGCTTCCACTTTGGCGACGTGCACTCGCAGCAGCTCGAGGAGTTTTCGTGGAAGCGCGAAGGGAGCCCGTCCAGAGGCTCGTCTACACAGTCGGCGTACGTGTGCGAGGTGATCCGCAAGCCCGATCCGAGCGTGCTCGCGGCGCAGTATCGACCACCCGTCGCAAAGGGCAAGCCGGGCACGCTGCAGCTCATGGACTACAACTTGAACCGGCTCGACGTTCAGGATAAGAAGGGACTCGAAGTGGCTCTCGTCATGACGCTCAGTGCACTGCTCGATCAGGAGTACGACGACAAGATCGCCGCGCGTGGCGAGCACAATCTGTACATGTGCACCAGCGGTATTCCCACCGACCTCAGCATGCAGGGCTACAGTGCAGCCTGGCGCGAGATGGAGGCTCGACATCAGCCTCACGCCTCTTCTAGCGTGGGCAACTCCGGACCGAGGCCGAGTACGCCTGGTGGTCGGCAGCCGTCTCTCAGACGAAATACAAGTCAAGAGTATGACGCGGCGATGGTGGACCGAATCGCCAGCCTCGAGCCCAACGAGATGCTCGTCTCCAAGTGGGGTGCGATCGACGGGTATGTCGAGCACGCACTCTCGCTGCTGCGGTGCGACGCCGGTGGCCAGTCGATGTACCTCATCGCACTCCACTCGGACTCGCCCGAGACCGCGCCCAAGCTGGTGCAGATCGCGGCGGCGATCAAGGCGGCCTACTACCGGCTGCCGGACGACGCCAAGGGCACGGTGTACGGTCGACCCGCCAGCACGAGCGGCATCGAAGATGAGCTGTACCAGTACGTGCAGACGCTCGACGCCGAGGCTGCGGCACCTTCGACCCCGACACCAGAGACGGCTTCGCGCAGACGTGTGATTCGGCTCGATCCACCATCGCCGAACGAAGCGCCTTCGTCGCCAGGAAGCTCTGCGCGTCAAGGTGCGGCGTCGTACAAGCCGCCGAGCAAGCTCAAGCTCATTTTGTCCAAAGAGAGGATTCAGGAGCTCGAGCCCAAACGCCTCGATGAGGCACAGCCCACGCCTCTGCATCCCACACAGCCGTCGTCGAGTCCAGCGAGAGTCCAGGCCAACGCGGGTCTCAATGTGCCCCCGCAACCGCCTCGACCCAGCCGGCCCACTTCGCCAGCAGCCCCGCCCGAGCCGCAACCCGAGCGTGGGGGCAAAGGCAAGGCCCTCCTGTCCAAGCTCGGCCTGCATCACTAGGACCCCACCGCCAAACCAAGCTGAAATACATACTTTGAAGTGATATTACATGCGGACTATGTGGACGAAGAGTGCTTCTCGATCGCCTGGATGACTGCGAGGGCCTGGATCCAGTCATCGACGCGAACGAGCACTCCGCGCTTGTCGGCGTCGATGGTTGCGATCTGGTCTAGGAACTCTGTATGGTCGGTGTAGAGTTTGGAGATCGGCGGACGGGTGGTCTGGATGCACATGTTGATGGACGACGCTTCAAAGTCGGTCTCGCTCTTCATGATGATGCCGTAATGTGCGCTGAGCATGCTAGGCAAGTCGGTTGTCGAGTCGCCGATAAACACGGTGGTGGCAGTAGCGCGCCCGTTCATGACGCGCATCTTGTCGTGTGCTGTTCGAATGTGCGTCGCTGCTGCCTTGGAGAGTGAACCCGTGGCAACACCATGGTCCATCTCGACTTCGTTCGCCCAAATTTCTCTAATCACCCGGGAGGTGGACGAGTGAGACTCGATGGCGTGTCGGATAAACGCCGCGCTCCAGCCGACACTGATGATCTCGGCAACCACACCACGATGCTCGCTAAGCCAGGCGTAGAAGTCTTCCCACCCCGTGCGGAATTCGACACTCTCCGCACGGTCGAGAAGCGACGCTCGCGTCATGCCTTTGAATAGGCCGCCGTCCTGGACGCGCGTCACCGACTCCACCTCGACGCTGTCCATCTCGTCCAGGAACTCGAGCTGACGGTCCCACGTGCTCCGCTCGCCAAACGACGTCTCGTACGCTTTCAGGTCCGACAGGTACGCCTCGGTGTAGTGCGAAAACGCCGGACCATGCTCCTGCTCGCCCTCCGGCGGTGCAATGAGCGAAAGCGTATCCGAAGCCGTAATCGTCTCGTCCCAGTCGATGAAGATCTGCAGCGCTGCACTTTCCGCCTGGTTTGCTGGATCAGCAGATGCCGACGCAGCCGCCGCCCGTGCTGCACGTCGTGGTGGCCGCGACGGCCGCGAAAGCGAACTCGACCTCGACATCGATTCCTCTCCAAACTCCTTGGCCAGCGACGGCTTGATTGGCGACGACGGCGTCTGTTCTGTATCCAGCGGCATCGACGCTTCCCCGGCCTCGTATGCGGGCACGTCGTCCTGAAGATCCGTGGCCTCTAGCTCGTCTGCGAGGCTCTCGACGGCTTTGGCGTTGCGCGGCGGCAGTGGTGGCTTCTCCTGCTCGCCCAGATCGACCGTCTCTGAGTCACCCTCTCCTAGCGCTTGGACGCGACCGCCAACGACAGCCTCGGTATGCAGCGGCGAAGGCGGTGGAGCGACACGCCTCTTTCCGCCCGGCACTGTGCCCCTCGACTCCCAGTATCGATCTACCTGCTTATGGCGCGGCGGAGGCGGGAGGGCAAAGATCTCTCTGCGCTCCTGCTCTGCCCTGATCCTCGCCTCTTCCGCCTCCCTCTTCTCGAGTGCAATGTCAAAGTCATCCGGGATGCCCGCCTCCTCCATGGCCTCGAGCTCCTCGGGCGTGGGGGGCAGCTTGAGCCTCTCGCCGTCCTGGAGGAGCTCGGCGGACTCCTGCTGCTGTAGCTGGCGCACCGCGATGTTGGGCGGCGCATGCACGGGCTCGTACACCCAGCGCTCGAGCGAGTCGCCCTGTGCCACACCCGTCTCGGCATCGCGCAGCGCACGGTAGAGCGGATCGACCATCGGCGGCTTGCGCACCTTGCCCTCAAAGATATCCGCCGCCGTGATGCCGGGCCAGTAGTAGATGCGCTCGTTCTCGTCGAACCGATGCAAGAACGCCTGCGCCATCGCTTCCACGCCGCCGTACAGACCGCGCGAACGCACGTACGAAAAGACAGGGCTGCGATCGATACCCATCTCCCCACTGATGCCCGTGCCGAACGGTCCGGCAGCAACAGCGGTTTCAGCACCCAGCGTCACCTTGTGCGATTTGAACGACTCCATGGCCCGCTCGGTGTTGACCACGAGGATCACGTCAAAGATGTCAAAGCCGAGCAGCAGGCCGACGGCGAGGTTGTTAGGGCTGATGGACGAGGGTGCGCTCCAGCTTCCATCGGGCATGCGCGCGAGCATGAGACCGGCGCCTCCTGCACCACCAAACGGCGCAATACCGCTGCGCATGGCGGTGTAGATGACGATACCCTTGGCGCGCTTGATGACAGCAGGCGGGATCTTGCGAAGCACCTTGCGCTTCTTGTGCATGAAGCCCTCCTTCTTCTTGGCCTCCGCGTCGGCCTCTGCCTCTGCATCGCAGGTAGGATCCGAGGCGTCCTTCCTTTCAGCGGGCTTGGTCTCGATGCCTTCCACGGTGAAGGCACGCAGGATGCGCTCGCACTTGGCAATCTCTTCGGGGAAGTCGTTACTCTTGGGCCAGAAGCGCTCGCCGCCCATCTTGGCCGATGCCGAGTTGGCGTAACCGGATGCCCAGTCCGACACGACGATCGACTTGTCGAACGCCGTCTTGCCCCACTTCTTCCAGCGGCTTTCGTCGGAAGATGCGGCAGCGGAAGAAGACGCCGCCGAAGCCGAGTTGGCTGGATTGCTCGACATGGTGGCGAGCCTGATCGCCAGCAGCGAGTGAGTGCGACACTGTAGGCGGTTCGAGGTAGGGCGTAGAGTAGGGTGTATGTATGTGGCTGCGCGAATGGTGGTGGTGGCGGCGTAAGTTAGCTGACAGACGTCGGTAGCTGTGCGTTGATGAACTGTAATTCAATCAAGGCCTGCATGCACGGGCAGTCTTGGTCTTCGGCAACTCGACGCCGCTCAGCCTGACTCTTGTGTGACTGCAGCTGCGAGCCGAAGTCGGAAGGTCGAAATCTCCGCCGCTCCTTTTCCTCCACAACGCCGCGGATGTGCATCTCCGATATCCGACCGGAGCGGCCTCCCGTACGAAATTGGATCTTGTAAGATCGACAGATCGGCAATACATTGAAGGCATCCTGGCAAGTTCGTCGGGACTCGGACGGAGCGGACCACTTGGGCCGTGTGTCGAACCGTGTGTCATCGAGCAGCTGCACCTCTGCAGACCTTTTTTTTGGTGCGACTCGGCTTCGGCCCAAGCCAGCCAAAGATCTGCCGGCGCCGGTTCAGCCAGGCGAGCCGGTCGTCTTCCTCGCCCTTCCTCGGCCCTTTCCCTGCAGGCCAACTCGGCTTCCATGACGCCAACAGCCTGGCCGCGTGGCAGCACAAGCGGCAAAGCTCGCCACGCCGTTCATGCACGATCCATCGTGGCGCGGCCTGCGCTCGGACTTTAGCTGTGCGTGATGGATGCCTGAGTCCATAGCCGAATCGTAATTGCCACGGCCCCGTCGTACAACCGTATATAGAGCTCCGATCGTCTAGTCTCAGGTTTGTGTCTTCTAACCACATCCATACCCCCCTCCGACTCGCATCAAAAATGGTCACCAACCACCAGGTCCTCTTCAACAAGGAGCAGCCCACCGGCCTGCCCAAGCCCGGCGTCACCACCAAGCCCAGCTCGGTCGAGCTCGACATCGACAATGTCCCCCTCAACGGCGGCGTGCTCACACGCAACATCGCCGTCTCGCTCGACCCCACCATGCGCAACCGCATGAAGGGCGACATCGGCTACTTCACCCCCGCCTACGAGGTTGGCAAGCCCGTCACGGCCATTGGCATCGCCGAGGTCGTGCGCTCCGAGGTGGACAGCCTCGCTGCCGGCGACGTCGTCTTTGTCTGGTCGCTCGGCATCGAGGAGTACACGATCCACTCGGCCGACGCCGCCAAGATGTTCCGCAAGTTCGACGCCGCCCACCTCAACAACGGCCTCTCCATCACCACCTACCTCGGCGCCGCCGGTATGGCGGGCATGACCGCCTACATGTCCATCAAGGAGATCATCGGCGACCTCAAGCCGGGCAACAAGATGTTCGTCTCGGGTGCCGCCGGTGCCGTCGGACAGCTCGTCACACAGATCGCCCACCAGGCCGGCGTCAAGGTCATCGCCTCGGCGGGCTCGGACGAAAAGTGCGACTTCGTCCGCTCGCTCGGTGCCGACGAGACGATCAACTACAAGACCGAAGACCTCCCCGCCAAGCTCAAGGCCTTTGCTGCCGATACGGGCATCCACTACTACTATGACAACGTCGGTGGCGACCAGCTCGAGGCGTACATCAACGTCGCCGCTCGCTACGGCATCATCGTCGCCTGCGGCTACATCTCGGGCTACAACGTGGACAAGCCCGAAGACGTCGTCTACCCCAAGAACCTGTTCAACATTGTCACCAAGGAGCTCAAGTACCAGGGCTTCATTGTCAGCTCCTTTATTCCCAAGTGGCTCGGCCAGTTCATGAAGGAGATCCCCCAGATGCTCGCAGAGGGCAAGATCAAGAACCGCGAAGACGTCACCTTCGGCGTCTACGGCGCAGAGGACGCCTTCCTCCGCCTCTTTACTGGCGACAACAACGGCAAAGTCGCTGTTCTTATCGACACCGAGCGCGCCGAAAAGTGGAACCTCGGCAAGCAGAAGCAGTCGGCCAAGATCTGGAACTAAACCCCCCGCACATTCCGTTCGTAGCATCGTATCTTGTAACTTAGCAATCAACATTTCTTTGAAAACGCATGATCTAGCAGAACGGTCCGAGCCCCAAACGCTGCTCTTTTCTAGTGTGGTGTGGTCTCTTCACTTTTGGGGTGTGGCCTTGATGATGAGCGGGATGAGTGCGCCGGTGCTGGGCTTGATGGGGTAGTGGTGCGTCACGCGGAAGAGGCTCTGCATGACGCCCGAGTGCGAGGTGAGCGAGATGACTTGATCCTGCTGCGCCTCGTTCCAGACTTGGGTGAGGGCCTGCTGGATGCGCGCGTCCAGGTGCGCATCCTGCTCGCGCGTCGTCGTCCACAGCTGGTCCTCCTCGCTGAATCCCGCCTCGAAGCGCACGTTCGGATAGTCGCGGGCGATCTGAGACCTGGTCCGGCGCTGGTCGCACGTATGTTCGCCGTACTCTTCGCGGAAGAGCTCCTTGATCTCGGGCTTGACGTACCTCGCCTCGCCGAGCTTTCCCAAAATGCCACCGAGGATCGAGTCGATCGTGTTACCCGCCGCAGGGGTTTCGATGGTGGCATTGGGGTTGTTGAGCAGGATGTGGTCGTACGAGATCTCCATAGTCGAGAGTGCGCGGCTAAGCGGGCTCGAGTAGAGCTTGGTGGGAAGAGGAGCCGAGTCACGCTGCTTGAGCACGGCCACCCAACCATCGTGCACCGCCTGCGCCTGCTGAATACCCAGAGGCGTCAAGCGAGCATCCGGTCCCCATGTCAAGTTACCGTCCGTGGTGAGCTCCGACCAGTACGAATCCCACAGCGCCGTGCCGTACTTGGACTCGGCCACGTTGTGGTAGCCCTGACCGTGTCGTCCGGCAAAGACGAGCTTGTACGACGAGCCGTCGTGCGCGGCACCGTCGATGTTGAGCTGCAGCAGCGTACGCGCCAGGCCGTCCCAGGTGACATTGTCGCGCAGGCCAAAGTTGGGCGCCACCGCCGCGAGCGACGTGCCCTCCTGCGTGTCGTACTTGAAGAAGCCCGTGTAGGTCTGAAAAGGCCCGCTAGGTGCGGGTTCGAGTCAGCCTTTGCAACGCAGGGCCTTGGTGAGCAGCGAGACACTTACACTGAACGAATAGCTCTTGGCCTGCATCGCGAACGGGTTCCAGAACGGCACCACCCAAGCAGGAGCAGCCTGAGCACCGCATGCGAGCGCCAGCAGCGCAACCAAGTGGGACGAAGAAACCATCGCGTATGCCAAAAAGCGAGTCAGTCCCAATCAGAGAGGCCTAATGAAAGCAGAAGAAAGGATGAAACTTACACTCGAGGACAAGAGGAGGCAGATGCGCCTATTTATGCTACGCTGCCTAAGCGAAGACCGGCGTGCGACGGAGCAGGACGAGGATGAGGAGCGTGTGCAACGCTCGTCGGATCGGAATTCGCCGGTTGGGGCGGTGCGCACGTTTCGCTTGGACGCCTGCATGGAACGTGCCCACCAAACGTCAAAAAGCGACGCTTTCAACGCCGACACTTGGCCGCCGTCCCTTCTTCGCCGGCGGGTGGACTCATCTCTGCCCATTGCAAACCCTGATCTGCCCCCTCTCTCTAAGCAACCGCATCACCGGCGAATCAGGAACGGAACAGACGTGTGGCTGCCTTCACTGCATCGGCCAACTCGGCGCAACGCCCACGTTTCGTCTGCACAGCCAACCCCGCCACTCGCACGCTGTCAGAAAAGCATATGCAAAGTCACTGCTATTTACATCGCGAACGTGTGCCGGCCAAGTGCATGCTCGTCCGAGTGTATAGGTATACGGCGGCGCACCATGCCTTGCGAAAAGGTCCAACTCTTTGAACTCTACTGCTTGAAGAATCCAACGATCGCCTGAATGCCTGCGGGCGACAAGCCGTGGCGAGGGTAGCAAATGTAGACCCTGTCTTCGACCGCGCCGAGCTTCTGGCGGAACTCGCCCTTGTTGGTGAGACGGTTGTGCTCGGCGATCGACGAATACGCCTTGGTGAGCGCCTTGACGGTCATCTTGCTCAGGCCGTGCTTGGCGACGAGCGTCGAGGTGGCCGACGCGCCAAAGGTCATCTTGGAGCCTGCGTTGTTCTCGAGCGCATGGAGGATGACATGCTCGATGGTGCCGTTGGGTGCACCGGGGAAGTCGAGGGCCCACTTGATGTGCCATCCGTGCTGCGTCGAGAGCTGGTGCAGCACCACCATGGCGCACACCTTGCCGCCGGCATCGCGCGCAATGTAGTAGACGCGGTGCGACATGTCGCGCCACGGATGCACGTCGGTCATGTGCACCTGCTCTCCCTTGCGGTTGTTGCGCCAGTCGTTGATGCGCTCGTCCGTCTCGCGCACCACCTCCTCGGGCACCTCCTCCTTGAGCGCGTAGTCCTGGATGCGCACACCCTCCTTGCGCGCGTGTCGCACCTTCTTCTGGATCTCGGTATCGTGGCGCGCCGGATTCTTGGCCGGATCCTCCACACGCTCCTCGGCAGCACACGAGAGCGTACACCAGTTCAACCGACCCCCAAGGATCTCCTCGACATCCTCGCTCACCATCATCCAGATGGGCTTCAGCTTGGCCTCCTTCTTGATGAAGTGCAGGAACGCCGACACCACCTGCGTCAGCTGCGTCCTGTCGCACAGCGGGTCGCCGATGATCATCGCATACCCCTTGAACGGCGAGTACCCCACCGCCGCTCCCGTATCCGGGTGTCTCCAGGTCTTGTATCGGTCGTCGAGCCAGGCCGTGTTGGAGGCATCGCCGTAGTTGGCGATGAGCTTCTCCAGCGGCTGCATGTCGCGCAGCTCGCTCTCGGCGTCCGCCTTGAGCGCCACGCGCGGATGCTTCCACGGCGGCGGGTTGGTGCTGGCCTCCGGATGTCGCAGCTCGTCCTCGACTTTCTTCTGCAGCGGCAGACTGCGCGGGTCGCGGTGGAAGAGCGTGCCCATCCGCACATCACCCAGATTGAGGTAGAGCATCACCAGCCTCTCCAGACCGATACCGCATCCGGCATGCGGAGGCGCACCCAGCCGGAAGCCTTCTAGGTACTCGGACATGCCCTTGGCCGGAATAGAGAGGCGGTGCATTTTGGCCTCGAGCTCGTCAATGTCGTGGATGCGCTGGCCGCCCGTGCAGATCTCCTGGCCACGGATGAAGATGTCAAACGAGTTGGTCACCTTGGGATTCTCCTTGTCCTCCATGGCGTAGAAGGGACGAACGGACGAGGGGAACTTGTCCAGAATGTAGTAGTCGGTGTTGTACTTTTCCTTGATCAGCTCGCCCAGCCGGATCTCGGCACGCGTGTTCAGATCCTCGTCCTCCTTGGGCAAGCTTCCGTCCTCTTCGACGAAGCCGGAATCGCGCAGGATGCGCACGCCCTGCGCGAACGGAAGGATGAGCGTGTCTTCGGGATAGACAAGGTCCTCGTGCGGGAAGTGGCGCTTTATCAGCTCGCGCTCCGCCTTGAAGTTGTCGCGCAGCACCGTGAAAATGTTCTTGAGCATGCCGTCGATGACGCGGATGGCGTCGTAGTAGTGCACGATCTCCATCTCGATGTCGAGGCCCGTGTATTCGGTCAGGTGGCGCGCCGTGTTGGAGTTTTCGGCACGGAAGACCGGTCCGATCTCGTACACGCGCCTAAAGTCGGCGGCGATGCACATCTGCTTGTACAGCTGCGGACTCTGTGCCAGGAACGCCGGACGGCCAAAGTAGTCGAGCATGAACACGCTCGATCCAGACTCGGAGGCGCCTCCCTGGAGCTTGGGCGTGTGGATCTCGATAAAGTCGCTCTTGTCGAGATGGGAGCGGAAGGCGTTGCAGATGGCCGCGTTGACGCGGAAGATGGCCTGGGCGGTGGGCGTGCGCAGGTCGAGGATGCGGTTGGTGAGGCGGACGCGCTGGGTGATGACGGGACCCTCGTGCCTCTCGACCGAGTGGTTCTCGTCTTGGGGCAGGCCGTCGTGCTCGGTATCGGTGTTGTTGCCGCTGGCATCGGCGCTGCTGGGGCTGTCGTGGTCGTCGCTCTTCTTGATGACAAGGTCGGCGTCGTACACGTTGAAAGGGAGAGCCTCCTTAGTGGGAGCGACGAGGTAGAGCTCGTGCACCTTGATCTCTGCATGCTGCGTCGTAGCACCGGTGATGGGCTCACGCGGCTTTTGGAGGACACCGCGGACCATGACGATGGATTCGAGCGGGAGACGCTTTGCCCAACGCACCATGTGACCGGTGATGATGTCGGACTCCTCGGCGAGCACAGCCTGGATGGTGGCGATCTGCTGGCGCAGCACGATAAAGACGAGATGCGAGCTGACGTCGCGGATGGTGTGGATGCGCGCCCGGACCGTGACGGTGTCTCCGGTCTCGGCATCGTCGGCGATGGATGCGATGCTGGCCCAGCGATCGTGATCCTTGTTCCACTCGACGGGGTAGTGGTCACCGTAGCGCGCTCGCTGTTCGGGAGTCTCGATCTTGGCAGCGCGCAGGTCGGACTGACGACGGGCAAAGGCGATCTTTTCGCGGATCTTTTCCTGCTCGATGGCCTTGCGCTCCTTCTCCTCGATGCGCTGCGCCTTTTTGATGGCGCTGGGACGTGGTTCGTCCATGCTGCTGGCACGCGAGGAGGATCGACGGCCGGACAGCGAGTGGCCGGAGAAAATGTGCGAGAGACGGAACTTCTTGTCGGTGCTCTCGCTCATGGTCGAGTCGAGCGTCGACTTGGCTGAAGGGGGCTGGATGGGCGTGGTGTGACCGCTGCCAGTGCCGTTGGCGGAGGCGGTGACAGGCGAACTGCTACCCTTGGCATGGCCATTCTCGCCGGAGGACGAGTCCTTGGTGAGGGATTGCACGGCGCGCTTGAGCATGGCTGCTGCTGAAATTCAGGCTGGCGGTGGAGTTGGTTGGTTGGAACGATGGCAGCCCACACGGTCGAGACTGGACGTGGAGGTGCTATCGGGGCAAAGAGCTGGCAGATGGCGGTCGCTAGGGGTAGCAACGAGGTGGATGACGACTCGGCAGCTCGTGAAATAGATGGAGTAGGACGGACAGACAGGAGAGGAAGGAGGATTGGGGTGGAGGGGAGGGGAGGACCGGGGGCAGGTGACACATCGGCTCGGCGGGACTGATATGGGCGCGAGGCTATCGACCCGCTGGAATACTTGGCTCCAGACAGAACCCTCGCAGTGTGGTCTCGCGAGTGCTGAGCGAGGCATGCTGGAGCGCCGAGGCCGACGAGCAGGGTGACGCCAAGCACTGCCGCTCTCTGTCGTAGCCACGAGGACACGGGAAGGCAGCCGCCCAAACTGGCAGTGGAGCACTGACATCGTGTGGAGCCGAACACAGTGCAGTCAACAAGGATCAGTCACTTTTTCTCTTTACCAAAAAAAAAAACCTGCGCTATCAAGCGTCGCCATCGTCACTGCGCTTCCAGGCCGCACCGCTGATTGTGCCTTGAGCCGGCTGTGCCTGCTTCCGTCTGCTCATTCACGTCCAACCGAGCTTTCCCTCTCCGTAGACAACACTTGCCCCTGCCGGCGACGAGGAGGGCCATGACAGCGAGCAATCGCAAGCCTGCTCTAGGCTCCGTGAGGACCGTCACGACGAGCCAGACGGAGAATTCTGGACGAGAAAGCGAGCTAGTTAGCGAGCGAGCTAGTTCGACACGCTGGGATCTGCATATCCCGGCTTTCCGGGCCTGGAGTTTGCGCGGAAGCCAAATCCGAGGAGGTGAGCCCTATGCGCCTTGGTTCGGAAGCCAGGTGCCGCGGATCGGAGCTTGCTCAGCTCTCGAACCAGTCATCACACTGGGAGCTGAGCGCAAGGTTGACTCCATCATCCGCCACGTTGCATGCTTCTGGAAGGCAGCAGCAGCATCATCCCTGGCCATGCGTGATTGGACTGGAAAGCTTTTGCGCAGGTTCGTGGGCAGGTTTCCGATCCGGCTAGAACACCCGACGTCAACTTGTCTTACCGCTGCGTTTCGTTGGCAGCAAAGCACGAATACGTCACGCCGCGTTCCGCATTCACTCCCGACCGGTTGCATTTACCGCGGGCACTCTTCGGATGTGAGGGTCCGGAGGCTCGAACAAAAAAGCGAACAAATGATAGCGGTCTAACACTTATCCTTAAGAACACAGGCTGCAGCTCTACTATCTGATAGTCGATCGCGCCTCGGAAGTCGGGACTGACTGAAAAATTCCACACCAAAAGTTTGCGGCGGCGGTTTTTTATGTGCTCAGCTGGAAGCGACATGAGAGCATGCATGCCCTGCTGCCGCTCGCCCGATCCTCGCCCAGGGTCTTGATCACCACCATCCTTCTTTGCATCCAGCAGTCTAACTACGCTCGCGCCACATCGACCGTGCTCCATCAGCTCAAGTCCGAGTCGCATCGCATCACCACACGCTCGGATCGCTCCCCGCACTTCCGCGAGCGCCAGGTGGATCGAATCTTGCTCGTCTTGCACGACGACCCGCCATGTCCGCCAAGAAACGCTCCCGCGCATCATCCATAGCCTCCAGCGAGATGCACTCGAACCACCACTCGCCAAGCTCGAGCCACATGGGTGCCAGCGGCGGAGTGGGTGCCTCGTCCAGCCGCGGGGCCAGCGCTCTCCCGGCGTCCGGCCCGTTGGTGCACGCATCGCAAGACCTCGACGACTTCCAGGCTTCCTTCTGGCGCTACCAGATGGACCTTGTCGAGCAGGGTGGTGATGCAGATGGCAACGTCGTCGACTTCAAGTCTGGCTTGCCTACGCAGGGCCAGCTGCCTCTGGCGCGCATCAAAAAGGTCATGAAGGCCGACGACCAGGTCAAGATGATCTCGGCCGAGGCACCTATCCTCTTTGCACGCGCCTGCGAGATCTTCATCTCGGACCTCACCTGCCGCGCCTTTCTGATCGCAGAGGAGCACAAGCGACGCACCATCCAGCGTTCGGATATTGCTGGTGCCATCGGTCGTTCGGATCTGTTCGACTTTCTGATTGACATCGTGCCAAGGCACGAGAGCGTGCCCAGCAGCAGGCTGCCGGGTGGAGGTGCTGCCAAGCGTGAAAAGACGGGCGAAGGCAAAGGCGTGGGTCGAGCCAGCGCCAACAGGCGGCCGCAACAGCATCAACCACCGTCGCAGCCGCAACACCCGCAGGATGCCAGCTCATACGACGACTCGGTGCTGCGTGCCGTCTCGGGCGCCTATGCAGACGCAGAAGGCGCAGCTGCCGACTCGCTCAACATCCCGCACACGGGCGGCGCAAGTGCACCGCTGGACGCGGCGGCTAGCAGCAGCAGCATGGCACACTGGATCCACGACACGTCATCCGCCGACGAGCACTCGTCGCAGCCCGACATCGGCTCGCATGCGCATCATTCGCATCACTCGCACCACCACGCCTCGGCACAGTCGCATTCGCAACACGGCACCCATAGCCCGCACGAGCTGCACCACCACCCCCATCCGCACCATCCTGCACTTTCACACGCCGGCCATCACTCGCACCACCACCACTCGCCGCTCGACTACGTCGCCTCCAACGCCGGCACGCCCAACAGCATCGGTGCCGGCAGCGCAAACGGAAGTGCCTGGTCACACTCGTTTTCCGGATTCTCCTGATTGCGCCCTCCCTGTTTCGCCTCTTGCCTCCTCTCCTGTCTCGTTTGTACAACATCTCGGGCTGCATAGCCCGGGCGTGTAACACCACCCTGAATGCCGAATCGAGGAAATGCATTCTCCTTCTGGATTCTGGACCGGCTGACTTGAGCGCATCATTGCGGAAGGAGGATATTAGCTTGTATGACGGGCTCATGAATTTCGCAACCCTTTTTGGCGGTCACATTTTTGCAGCTATTATTTTCCTTCGTCCCACTTGGGGCGGTGCTCGATTTCATCGATTCGGAAGCACCAATACCACGGTACGTAGGGAAGCAGGGTTCTTGATCTGCAGGGATGCCTCACAGTCCCACCGAGACCTTCATGTCAACGTGTTCGATGATGCGGCGATAAGGCAGGTGCGGGAATACGCCCCCGATGATTCGGCAGCTGCAGCCAGGGACCAGCGGTAACCTTGACGCCCTGCGTGGCTGGAGAATGCGGGGAAAATCTGCACGCATTAGGCTCGAGCCCCCGCAAGCTTGGCAGCCTGTTCGACGTGTCTTGCAAGGCAAACAATCTCATGCGCCAGCGTCTCGGGCTGGCGGTACAGCAAGGACGCAAAGCCCACGGAAAGCAGCACCTCTTTTCGGATGCAGTTCTCCGGGGCGTATTGTGGGGTATCACATGCCTGACAGAAGCAGTCCAACGCACCTTCCACCTCGTCGACTTCCGCGGTGAACATCCGAGGCTGCATTCCTCTGCTGGTCTTCCCGACTCCGGGAGGCCGCATCCGAAATTAAGGCTCCCACGCCATCTCCAGAGTGACGTGGAGACATCCGAAGGGGGACGGCAGAGGAGGCCGTATGGCGAGTGGGTTACGGCAAAGCAAGCCGAGTGGTCAACGTCGCGCACTGGCATGGCAGGGTCTGGCTCGGCTAGCTGGGGCAAGCCCCCCTCGCACGGTGCAAATCCTGCACACCGTCCGTGCATAAAACTGGCACCAACTTGGGCTCGTCCCGTCCTCATCGTCTCTCCATCCCTTCCATCCAACACGGCCGGCGTTGAGGGACTGACTCAAACACAATGCAAGCGTGGCTCATTGCCTTTGGTGTCCTCACCGTCTATTACTGGACCGTCCAGCTGCTGCGCTACAAGCACTACCGCCATATCCATCAGCGCTATGGCGGACGCTACGCCATCGACGGCGAGCCCGCTAGCAAGGGAAAGCCGCGCATGATCGATTCGTATCGCGGCGTGCGCGATGCGCAGCGAATCGTGCGACTCGCCGCAAGCATGGATCATCCCTTCGTCTTTACAAAGTCGCTCGAGTTTGCGCTCTTCCGCACGTACGGCATCCCGACCATCTCGTCACTCCTCCTGCATACGGGCCAGCTGGGCAAGGCCGACAATGCCGGTCGCCGATACGTCGATACCTCGGGCCTCATCCAGTCCTTCATGACCTTCCCCGTCCCCAAGCTCGATCTTCCGGACGGCGGCGAGTCGAGTGCATCCGCAGCTGACCGCCAGGGTTGGGAGCACTTTGGCGAGGACCCGGACGATCCAAGGTCGTCAATCGCGTTGGCGCGCGTCAATTTTCTACACGGCCGATGGAAGAGCAAGATCTCCAACGACGATCTGCTGTATACGCTGAGCGTGTTCATCATCGAGCCGGCCAAGTGGATCGACCGGTACGAGTGGCGCAAGACGAGCGCGCTCGAAAAGGAGGCGCTGTTTGCGCTCTTCTACCACATCGGACGCTGCATGGGCATCCAAAACATCCCCGAGACGCGAGAGGAGCTCATAGAATGGAGTCTCGCCTACGAGCGGAACTACATGAAGTTCGAGCAGTGCAACCACGAGGTGGCGCAGCACACCACCGCGCTGCTCATGTATGCGCTGCCCAGCTTGCTGCACGGCTTTGCGACGCATCTCGTCGTCTCGCTCATGGACGAGCGTCTGCGGGAGGCTATGGGATACCCCTCGGCGCCCGGATGGGTGATGAGCTTCAAAGACACATTCTTCCGCCTGCGCGCTTTGGTGGTGGGCTCGCTCATGCTCCCGCGATCCAAGCCGCTCGCCAACATCCCCATCGGCTCCGACGAGGCTGGCAAGGTCTTCTCCGTCGAAACCCTGCTCAGCGAAGGCATCCCCGGCGTCTGTCCTGCCTCGGGCATCCGTGCTGACCAGGGCAAGACCTGCCCTGTTGGCGGCCACTCCCACGCCGAGAAACCCGCAGAGGGAGGCTTCAAGCCCGCTGCATGGCGCATGGAGCTGAAGTGGTACGAAAACGAGCCAGCCTACGCACGTCCCTTTGAGCCCTGGTCGGCCGGCTGGGTCGTCGAGGAGGCCAAGATTGCACTCGGCCTGCTAAGAAGCGAGGACCGACGCGGCGCGCAAAAGTGGATGCCCGTCACCCTCCCCGTGCCCAAGACGCTGCAGCAAGGCAAAGACGCCGGCAAGCCGATCGCTGGATTTGGCGGATTCAGGCTCGAGGAGATGGGTCCCAAGGGCCTCGAGCTCAAGGGCAGGAACGAGGTGCTTGCCAACGCGGAGAAGCTCCACGGAACCAAGCTGCAGGGCAAGTGGGCCTTCGAGCCTTGAGATGTCGCAGCGCGGCTTGTTTATGCGGAATCGAACGGAATCGCATTGTCGCACACAACAGAAGAGTCGGTGTGGGGATACAAGTACATTGACGATTGCGATCTGAGCGATTGAAGCTGCGATCTCGAGAGAGAGAGGGAACGAGTGAGCCGAGACATGTGACAGGTTGGGTATATGGCGACGCGTGGTCGTCGGAACTGTTTCTAGCTCTAACTATGGATCTTGCGCCTCCGCTGGCTTGCTGGCAGTCGCCAGCTCGGGGAATGCCTGATCGAGTGCTGCGTCGAGGGCGTCCTTGTAGCTGCTGACTGCGTTGTGCTGGCCGTAGCTGTACTGGTTTTCGCTCGCGAGACGGCTGACAAAGTTCCGCGTGTGCGTGTCGGGGTTCTTGCCCGCATCGAGCATCTCGAGCACCTCCTGGGGCACCATCAGGTGCGCACGGTGCAGCTCGTCCTTGGTGGCGTCCAGCTCGGCGAGCGCCTTGATGCACTCGTTCACCTTGTTCGCCACCAGGTGCTGCGAACCCTCTTGCACGTCCGCCGAGCACACCGCCAGCTGGTACAGCAGATCGACGACAGCGCGCACGCGGGTTTCAAGCGTCGCACGCACGGACTCGGTCGGGTCGGCGGGCTCTATCGCCGCGCTTGCCTCGGCTTGCGCCGGTGGGAGCGCTGTTGCTGGTTGGGAGGTCTTGGCGGACCCAGCACCATTAGCGCCCGTGTGGGATTGCGGCTCGGGAGAGGGAGAAGGTGAGGTGGGTGTGATTTGACGCGGCCGCCGCGCTCCTGCTGATGACATGGCGAACAACTAAGGCCAGTGTGGTAGTTTCCATTTACGCCTCTCGTCGATGTCGTCAAGATGGATGTCCGGCACCTTCGAGGGTCCCATGTCCCTAGCGTCCGCAAGGCCGAGTCCCGAGCTTGCGGCAGCAACTGAACGATGTAACATTTCATAAAATTCTGACCTCCACCTCGTCCTGCCGCCGCACAGACATCTTCGCACCCAGCCCAGCCGCTTCTCTGCCGCCTTCCTCTCGGCCATCACTACCACTTTCTGTCTCCCTCCTTCTTGACACTTCATCGCCATGTCCGATCAGGCTGCAGCCGCCGCTCCCCAGAAGCGCGTCATGTGGGTGCCGCTCGAATCCAATCCGGAGCTCTTCACCAGCTGGTGCTCGTCGATGGGCCTGGACACGTCCAAGTTTGCCTTCCACGACATCTACGGCACCGACCCGGACCTGCTTGCCATGGTGCCCCAGCCGGTATCTGCCGTCCTCCTCCTCTTTCCGCTCACCGAAGAGATGGCGAAGCTGCGACACGACGAAAACGCGTCGGCGTCGCCCGACGATCCGAGCTCGGGCATCCTGTGGTTCAAGCAGACCATCGGCAATGCGTGCGGCACCATCGGCCTGCTGCATGCGCTAGCCAACTCGGATGCAGCGAACAGCATCAAGCCAGGCTCGCCGCTGGATACACTCTTTCAGAAGGCGCGCGCGACTTCGGATGCAAACGAGCGTGCAGACGTGCTGGTCAACTCCAAGGAGCTCCAGACGGTGCACGAGGCTACGGCGAGCCAGGGACAGAGCCAGGCACCAGAAGACCTGGACAACGTGCTGCTCCACTTTATCTGCTTTGTCCGCAGCAAGGATGGCGAGCTGGTCGAGCTCGATGGGTCCAGCGGCAGGAAGGGCCCCATGCCGAGGGGGAAGAAGGTGAACACGCAGGAGGACCTTCTCCCCGTGGCTGTCGAGTTTGTCAAGGACCACTACGTAAGTACCCTTACGCAACGCCCGCCCCACACATGTATGCATAGGCTGACAATATTGGCTTGTGCATGCTCACGGGATCCGACAACAGATGGCGCTGAACCCGAACGAAGTCAACTTCAACCTCATCGCGCTCGGACCTTCGTTTGACTGAACACCTCCATTTGCCATGCCCGCCTCTTAACCCTGTCGTGCCCGCTCTGTCATAATGGAAGACTTTAGCCGATTATGTTCCTGGAATGCTGGACTTCCTCACAGATGACCTTGGTTGGCAGCCTTGACGACGTGCGCAGCAGCGGCGTTAAAGTCGTCGTGAAAGGCGAATTCGAGCCCGGACGCTTGCAACTAACGTGGGCAACGAGAGCGTCAGTACGATATTCTCGGCTCACGACTCGAGTGGATGCGGGAAAGTACTCACGACCTTGGCGGCGTCTTCGGAGCCGGTGCCCTTCATGCGCACGACGATGGGTTTGGTGATCTTGTCGTCCTTGACCGCATCGATGATGCCCTGCGACACAATGCTGCGCCGTCGACCAATTGCCGCACGAATCATTCGAAAAGTCAGTATTGCCTTCGAGAATATCTCTGCGGAGGGTGTTGCATACGTACTCTGTCCTGGTGATGCCCCCGAAGGTGTTGACAAAGATCGCCTTGACCGCTGGGTCTCTGTTGAGCGTCTCGACGGCGAGTTTGGCGTTGACCCTATTTGCGCCTCCACCGCCGTCGAGGAAGTTGGCTGGTCTTCCACCTGCCTTGTTGAGGCCATCCATGGTCGCCATTGCATTACCAGCGCCGTAGCCAAAGCATCCGACGTTGCCCTCGGGCAGATCGCTGCTGCCGTGTTGCGTCGGTGTAGGCGCATCGACGTCTGCGAGCTTGACGTAGAACAGTCCGCCGTCTTCGGCGCGCGCCGTGTTGGCGTTGCGCGGGCGCGACTCGAAGTACGGCTTGAGCTGTGGCTGACGTCGCACTGCAAAGTCGTCGAACTCCAGATAGGGCTTGACAACTCGGATACCGTCCGAGGCCGGAACGAGCGTGAAGGAGAACCAGAGCCCTTCTTGCTGGTCAAACACCTTCCACATCTGCTCGATCACCGTACCTGCATCGCCACCCAGCCCGTGCGAAAGAGCCTCCAGCTGCCGGGAGTCGAGTGAGGAGGCGCCGGATCGAACTCCAGCTTGTGCCACTGATTCGGGAGCCTCGCGTCGAAGCTTGAGCAGGCCAAGCCCGCCTTTGCCAAAGAACGTCGAGTCGAGCGAAGAAAGCGACTTGAGGGGGGCGGAGACGATGCTAGGGCCGTAGAACTTGGCGCCGGACTTGGCCTGGGAGCCAGGCCAGCTTGATTGCGGGTCACGGTCAGCAGAGATGAGCACCGCTACGCCTTGGTCCGCATTTGAGGCTTCACCGACCTCGATTGACACTGAGCGTGGAAGTGTCGCGCCGACTTCGCTGAGAAAGGTGGGGATCTCTTTGGCTTGAAGATGGAAGTCTCGAATCGAGGATGGACCGCGGACAACGCCAAACTGCGGTGACCCACGCACGGCTCTGCGCATCGCCCACCTGGTTGTTAGCGCAGAGCTGGCTGCCGATCTCGATAGCATCGTGTTCCTGTACACGACTCGAAGGTGATGTGAGCTGCGGAGTCGTTTCGAGAAAACCGTTGGTGGCAGTGACGAAAGCAGTGATGGAGCCTGACTGAGTCGCACAACCACCAAGACAAGATGCACCCTTTTCAAGGACAGGCCTGGTCAAGTAGTGAGTGCCAGGATGGAGTGCCGTTAGCGAGGGCGGATGACGGCGGGGGTGTGGAGCAAGACACCGCTCTATGCATGGTCGATGCTCTGTGCGAGGCAGAGTGCGGCGATAAATCGGCGTCGGCAAACTGCGAATTTACGACATCGCTTTCGGTCGCCGAAACGACCACTTCCCCGCACCGCCCACGGCCAAGGTGCGGCCCTAATGTACTGCGTTGGACGTGGGCGCCAAACAGCCAAACTCTTGTCCCACGTCCTCCCTCCACACAGCCGTGTACGATGAGCCAGCACAGACCCGGTGTCGAGCTGCAGCTCCGCTTCCTCCGCAGGTCAGCATACCCGCTCATCCTGCCACCATAGACCGCCGATGCAAGACCCACTTGGACTCGCCACACAACCTTGACCTCCCCTACAGACACAAAGCGGAACGGAACGACTCGTCGCACATCGCTCCCGGAACGCTCACTGAACAGTGCCCTTCACTTGCTCTTCGACGATGCTAGCTAGCCACTCGATACGAACGACGCGGCCACATTGCTTGCGCATGGGTCTGCTCAAGAGCTTCGCTGCTGCCTCGCGCCGTGGACTCGCCACCAGTGCAACTCGCAGCAGCTACGCAGATACGATTGGCAACCTCGCCGCCGGCCCCCACTCCAACGTGATCGTGCAGGGCTTCACGGGCAAAGCATCGACCGTGCACACGCAAATCTCGCTCGACATGGGCACCAACGTCGTTGCCGGCGTCTCTCCCGGCAAGGGTGGCACCAAGCACCTCGGTGGTCGACCCGTGTTCAATTCGGTCCAAGAGGTGCTCGATGCGGGCATCAAGGTGGATGCCACCTCGGTCTTTGTGCCACCCGCTCTGGCGGCGGATGCGATCATCGAGGCGATTCGAGCCGAGATCCCGCTCATTGTCAGCGTTGCAGAGGGCGTTCCGGTCAAGGATCAATTCCGCGTGATGGAGGCGCTGCATTCACAGAGCAAGTCGCGGCTGGTGGGTGCCAACTCGCCCGGATACTGCAATCCGCGCGGATGCAGGATGGGTATCTCGCCCATGATCACGGCTGCGCCCGGGCCGGTAGGAATTGCCTCGCGCTCGGGAACGCTATCGTACGAAGCTGCCTATGCCACCAAACCGCTCGGACAGAGCTACATCCTCGGGCTTGGAGGCGACTTTTATCCCGGCACACGAACCGTCGAGGCACTCGAGTTCCTCATGAACGACCCAGAAACTCACGCCATCGTCCTGGCGGGCGAGATCGGCGGAACGATGGAAGAGGAGGTATACACGCTGCTCAGCGATCCCAACTCCAAGTATAGGCAGCCCAAAGGCGGTAAGGGCACGTTTACCAAGCCGATCGTCGGGTTCATCGCGGGCCTCAACACGCCCCCCGGCCAGATGTTCGGTCATGCCGGCGCCATTTGGAGGGACGATACTAGCTCGGCACTCGAGAAACGCCAAATGTGGATCGAAGTTGGCATCCGCATGGCAGACGCGATCGCCGACGTCGGCAAGCTCGTCCAGGAGGAAATGGCCTCCTACGGCCTCGACATCCCCAAATCCACCGCCTAAATTATCTACCACACCTCATGCAATGGAACAAGCTGGAGGAAATAATGTTGCTTTCACTATGATAATCCGTGATATACACAAAGACACAAGACGTTCGCTTCAGTTGACCACGCTGTTGGTGTTGGAGCCCTGGCGCGAGTTGTTGGCCGCGGTGCCGGTCTTGGAGTTGGCCGAGGTACGTGCGGTGGGGTTCCACTTTTCGAACTTGATAAACTCGCGGAAGTGGCAGAAGATGGCCATGAGCGAGGTGACCGAGTACCAGATGGGGGTGCAAGCTGCGAAGAGCAAAATACCACCCATGCGCGTAAAGTGGGACCTGTTCCTGGCCTGGATGCAAATCGTCAGGCCGAGGCAGATGAGGTTGACGGCGAGGGCGAACATCGAGAGCGCGTATCCGCCAAAGTCTTCAAAGTAGCGCTTGAGGCCCTGGGTGGGGATGTTGTAGCAGATGCCCGAGGCGAGCATAAAGACGAGCTGCGAGTTGATGTAGAAGTAGATCTCGCGGTAGAGGAGGAGTTGGAAGAGACCCACGCGCGAGCGCCAGCTGTTGTTGTCCGAGTACGCACCGCGACGCATGGAAGGCATGGCGTGTCGGAAGGCCACCTGCGTCCAACCCTGCGCCCATCGCAGACGCTGCTTGACCAGCGCAGGAAGCGTCTCGGGCGCCAGCTCGTAAGACAGCACCTTGAGATCGTACTCGATACGTGCACCCGAGATGATGGCTCGCATCGACGAGTCGATATCCTCGGTGAGCATGTGCTTCTGCATACCCAGCGTTCGCAGCAGCGACGCGTTCCAGTGTCCGTTGGAGCCACCAAAGAATCCGTAGCCCTGGATCTCGGCACGACCCGAGTGCATGACGCCGTAGATCAGGTCAAACTCCGAGGCGATGAGCTTGGTCATGAACGTCTCGCTGTAGTTGTAGATGCAGCATCGGCCCTGGATGATATCCACACCGCCCTGCATGAAGCGCTTAGCCACCCAGCGGAGCGCATCCGGCTCCGGGTAGTGGTCGGTGTCGTAGAGCGTGATGATCTCGCCCTTGGACTCGAGCGTGAGGAAGTGGTTGATGTTCTCCGCCTTGGACGTCGACTTGGGCACCTTGACGATACGCAGGTTGGATCGCTCCTTGGCCAGGTTGCGCAGCTCGGTCTCGACGGGCTCGATGGGATAAGGCGTGTTGTAGCAGACGTTGATCGTCATGCGGTTGGCTGGGTAGTTGAGCTCGCGCAGCGCATACTTGACCTGGCGCATGATGATCTCCTGCTCGTTGGGCAGGTAGGCGACGAGCACCACGTCGATCATCGGCCACTCCTGTCCGTCCTCGAGCTTGAAGCCGTGTACCTTGGCGTGGCGCCACGCCTTGCGCGCGTTGATCGAGGGTCGGATGCTCTGCATCGCCTCGGTCGACACCGAGAGCGCTGTGAACGTCTGCAGCGCGACAAAGGTGTACCACAGCGCTCGGTGCAGACCGGCGGGAATGAGCAGGTAGAAGAAGAAGGAGAGCATGCAGTAGCATACGAGCATGATCATCGGCGTCCACGAGTAGTACCATGCCGACGTCTGGCCGAAGAGCCGTGTGAAAATGGAGCCTGCCATCTTGGAGAGCCAGCGGTCGTTTCCTTGGCAAAGATGCAGTGGATGCAGTCGCGCCTTGCGATGCTTTCGTGGGTATGCAAATGAGAGAAGTTGACTACAGGGGGCAGGTAGGTTGGATGATGTGTTGGGTCCGCTGGGTATATGTGGATAGACGAAGGGAGGTAGAGTCGCGAAGACTTGAAAGGAGATGGCCAGCTGAAAGGCTGGAGGGCTGGGTTGACGCGGACGCTCTGATTCACCCTCTGGCTATCGAGGGATATATGGAAGCCGACTCTGCAAGTGGCTTGTGTCCACGCAAAGCTTGTAAGCGGCACTTGGCTTGTTCGAGCCTGGACCCGTGAGCCGCGTTGCCGTTGACGGTGGCAGCATGCGGATCAGTGAGGCGACGCCAGTGTGCCGGGTGGACGGGCCGAAAGAGGCAGGAACGTATTTGCAAACCACGGACAACGTGAAACAGCGGCCGTGCGGGCTGGAGAACGAGGCTTTCGAACGCCGAAGAGGCGGCAGCGATGCCAGGTGGCTGCTTCTTACCAAGTGCAGTACCACGGCGGCAAGGACGGATCGCCGCCACACATGAGCAAGGGCGGCTGAGCGCTTAATCAGGCAGGGGAGACACGAGATGCGGTCGGTGGACAGCGCCGTATGCGGTTGGGCGGGGCTCCCCACCCGACAGAAAGGGCTTGGACAGAAGCCAAGGCGACGCATGCATGAGGCGTCCGGATGGGTGTCACGTCGATCTAGGCCTACTTTGCACTCCGCCCGCAGCGCCCAAAGGCTGTTTGTGCACGAGTGGCGCGTAAATTGATCCGACGGGCTTCGATTTCAACGCTCGCCTATCTCGGTTGGATTCTCTGTCGACCCCAGCGGGAACGCTCATCTCCGCAAGTCGTCGTGCTCAACCTAGACCGTCGAGTCAATTATTTACATTGCTTACTGAGATTCGGTGCCAACGTGCAACTGCGGTTGTACATTGTCGACATTGCACAGCTCGAGGAAGTATCGCGGCTGGCAAATGGTGGTGCTACAGGCGAGACAGGGCTGACGCGGAGTCCGAAGCTTGGGCACGCCCAGTCTGAGGGCCTGGGAAAAGCTGGAGGGAACGAGGAGCCACACAAAACGGCGGCGAGGGATGGTTGGCACGACGGCATCTGAGCTCAGGCTAGTGGCATCGCAAGTGAGACATCGGTGGGCCAAATGCTAGTCGCAACGGCTCACCGTCGTGGACCTGATGTTTCGGATGCGGACACGACTCCGGGGCTAAAATAAATATTAATGAAAAAAAATAAAATGATTTCGTCCCCGATCCTTTGTGGCTGACCATCAACCGCGCGACGACTCTGATGTCTAACAGGGCCGAGATGTTGGGCCGGGAACGTGTTGAATAGATGTCCAGAAGCATGTGCTCAGCCGCCGAATCGGGAAGATCGAGTCGAAGGTTGGCGAGCATACAGGGAGGCGAAAAGCCTAAAAACGCAATGTGCAGGTGTGTGTGGTGCCTGAAGGCCGCGGTGGAAGCTCGATCGACTCCGCACTGCATGGTGCGAGATGAGATAGGCGCGCGAGCGAGATGCCCTGGGCAGCTGTCAGAAATGTCTCGCTAGCCGCTCCGAGTGGCCGCGCGGGATGCAGGGACGAGGCCAGCCACTCGTAAAGCCCGAAACATGGCGCGGTCTTGGACGTCGGCCTCGTTTCACCGCGACAATTCAAGTTTGCCATTTCGCCTTTTTCTGAATTGATCCGCATTTGTCCATTTCTCCATCTCAGACAGCCGCAAGCCGCATGCCTCGGCGTCGCCTTCATTGCGGGCGCTTCTAGGCTTGGCCTCGACTTTCCCTCTCTTCTGCCCTGGGGTGCAGCTTCCATGTCAAGTCCTTGTGTGACTTGGATCTAACCATGCCACCTGCTCCTTCTTGTTTTGAAGGCTTATGAAGCCCCTGTATTCCAACAGAACCCACAGCTCATCTTGGACCGGACGAGCGTGCTGTGCTTTGACGATCAATCCTCGCTGAGCTTGAACTTTTTCTGAGCCATCAAGGCCTTGGAGCAAATGTAGATCGTCAGACGGGCAATGATCTGAGGGCGTACCGTATCCTAACTCCGCCTTCCGCCCGCCATGTCTCACCTCTGCATGCCTTGGCCTTCAGCCGGACACTGCTCCCCTCCCTCTTATCCAGTGGACAGCGATGTCGACGCGCCGCTTTTTCTCATACCTCAATCAACTCAACGCCCAGCTGCGGTAATGACATTATTCACCTTGGTGGAAAATTGGCTGTCCTCTTCACTCATTGATCGACGTAGTACTCCAGTTGTTAGCAGGATGAACTCTTCACCCTAATTCCATTGGCCCTGAAGAAGAACAAGCCGCGCGAGAGCGGCCAAAGAAGCATGTGATTGTATGTGTGTATGCAGGCGATTGCGGACTCGGCCTCGACCTCTGATCAAAATGAGGAGGGGAAAAGAAAGTACAAAGTCCGCTCGCCAGCGCACTTCGGCAGTCAAAAGGCACGAGTATTTCTTTAAAAAATAATAAAAAACAAACCGATGCGGATCCCTCGTGCTTGCAACCGCCTTCCGGTTCCGTAAAACAAAGCCTGTCAGTCGCCTAGAGGCCGTACGCCTGTGCCTGCAGCCGGCTCGCAGCCACCAAAGGACTTCAGTCGCCTCCTTCCAGGCCATGGAAGCCGCATTCTAGCCCAAGCGCCGCCCTCGGCTGTCACAGATCCCACCCGCAGTGGCCGTCACCCAGCCACCCGCATCTGTTTCACCAAGGCCCCATCATCCAGACCCACCACTCAGCACGCATCCAAGTCCCGGCTGCCGCCCCGCTGCGGATCAGCCAAGACTGCAACAATAGCTTTGTCCAGCCGCCGTCACCACTGCAGGTGGCGCCCAGGCCATTGAACCGCCGCTGCTCTGCATATGGCTGCTATCCCGCTTCCGGATCCCCTTTGCCGCCCGGTTGGCCTCCCAGCTTCTCTCGCCCGCCGCACGGTCTCCACTGATTCACCCAGACGCCGATGGCGCTGACTTGGAGTTCGCACGCCTTGATGGCTCGATCCCCTCTGCTCTTCGCGTATCTTTTGGTGGCCGCCTAGCCACTTCCCATATATTCAAGACGTCCCGCCTCGACATCACTTTGGAATTATCCTCATCATCTATCCCCGCCCGCCCCCAAGCTCGCCCTCATCGCCAAAGCCATTCTTTGCTTCCTGTCCGCAGCGCGCACAGCAGGCTGCGGCTTAAGCAAGTGGCACACAAACGCTTCGAGCGTTCCTCAATACCGAGTATCTTCATCTGCGTGCTGATCATACCCTAAGAATCGGCATCGGTCGTTTCCAGTCGTCTACAAGCAGAAATCACCTTTCGGCGTAGATCTGCATCTCTCGCTGGACGAGGCTCTGCGTCGACTCGAAATCTTCATCCTCTTCCTACAACCACCTCAAGCAGTGTCACGATGGTCAAGGCAATCGCTCTCCTGGCGTCTGCCGTTCTGGCGCTTTCCAGCGCCACTCTCCGCGCCAACGCAGCGTGCGAGTGCGGCTACCTAGACCCCTCCACCAACCATCTCTGGACCGATGCCTCCTTCAGCTACTTCAACGAGACTGGACTCGAGGACATCGTCATGGATCCCACCAAGTCCCCCAAGGTTGACGGCGCAGAAACGGCCGGTGAGACAGGTGACGGCCAACAGACCTGGTCTGCGGTCGGAAATCACATCAACCCGTACGAGGAGTCGTTCGGCGCAACCTACCTCAGCGCTGTCAGCTACAACAACACCTACATTGACAACCGCACCGACGGTCTTGCCATGCAGGTTTCCACCGCCAACCAAAAAACGCACGTGGTCAACGGCTCCAGCATCGTCACTCGCCGTCGTGACATTCTCTACGGCTCCTTCCGCGCCAGTGTCAAGCCCCCATTCATCAAGCCCATTCCCGGCTCCGACCGCGGTTACGGTTCTGGCTTCCAGTTTGCTCTGTCGTACAACGCCTCGGAGCGCATGCACGTCAACATCCTCACCAACGACTACATGCCCAACTCGACGCTCGGCTGGTCCTTTGCAGCCACCCGATGGGACGACGACCCGGTCAAGACCAACCTCACTTACCTCCAGAACTTCACCATCGCCAACGAGACCGCCTTCCTCGAGCACCGAATGGAGTGGCTCAACCAGACCGTCATCCAGTACAAGAACGATGCCGAGAACAAGTCGGTCAGCTTCTTCCAGTACAAGAAGGGCAGGAACACCGTCAACCTTCCTACCACTCCAGCTCCCGTCTCGCTGCAGGCCTGGGCCAACGGCGAGCCTTCGTCTTCGCAGGGTCCCCCTGCCTATGAGCCCAACGTGGTGCGCGTCATGTACACGCGCTTCTTCTTCAACTCTTCGCGCGTCGAGCGTCACGACCAGTTCACTGCGCAGTGTGCTGCTGCTGCCAGCTCCGCCAACGCCGTCTGCAGCACCGAAGACTACACGCTGCGAGCCAGCACTCCCTTTGATCTCGTTGCTGCTCAGCAGTTCAAGCCCAAGAAGACCAAGTTCTCGGTGCCCATCTGGGCTGCTGCTATCGAGCTCTTCTTCCTGCTTATCCTGATCGTCACGGTGGTGCATGGTCTGTACATCCGAAAGATCAAGGAGCAGCAGAAGAAGCGCAAGGCAGCCGCACTCGCACTCGCCGAGGAAGAGGAGAAGCAGGCGCAGCTGCTCGAGTATGATGACATCAACGACAAGACCGACTCGCCCCGCTCGCGCGCCGCTGCCGACTTTGAGAAGCCGTACAAGCAGATCTGGGCCGTCCCCGAGCTCATGGATGACTGGGGCTCGGACGACGAGAGCGACATTGACGAGGACGACGAGCGCTTCTGGGAATCGGCCGATGTGTTGCGCAGCACCAACTACCAGGAGGACCGCGAGGCCACTCGACCCGGTCTGCCTCAGTTCGATGAAGCGGCCGCCATGAAGCCCTCGATGAGCGCCGAGAGCATCGAGAGCCTCAGGTTGCCCGCCGACAACAGACCATCTTCGCCTCCGCGCAACATGGGCTCGCCGCGAATCGGCGAGCAGGCCGACGCGGCCTGGGGATCGCACAGCCGCTCCAACAGCGCCAACCGCATCCCCGCCGCCAACCAGTTCCAGCTGGTCAACCGACCCAACTTCCCGCGTGAGAACTCGAACCTCCGTCAACAGATGGCTGGCCGCATGAACCGCAACAATCCGTACAACACGGGCGCCGGCAACATAGGTCCCACCACTGGAGGCGTTGGCAGCAGCCCTCGCTTTGACGATGTCGAGGAGGAGGAGACGCTTGCCGCCGGAGACCGCAGCAGCTCGGGAAGCAGCACGTACCCGCCCAACCGACCCGGACTGAACCGCTTCGATTCGTACGAGTCGGACATCCAGGTGCCCACCAACACGCACGATTCGGCGCGCACGCAGCGATACCTCCAGGACAGCAGCAGCAACGTCAGTCTGCCCTACATTGCTCCCAAGTACGCCGCATCGGGCGGCCTCAACTCTGCGGCCAACTCGACCGCCTCGCTGCTCAACTACAGCGGCTCGGGCGGTGGCAACGGCAACGGCGTTGGTGCAAGCCACGGATACTCGTCGTCGATCAACATCAACTGGGACACGGAGCCCAAGATCATCCAGTGGAACAAGCGTAAGAGCATGGGTGTGGACCTGACCATTGGTCAGCTCGCCCAGCCCGCCATGGGTGACAAGAATGCTGCGCGTCGTCTGTCGACGGTGGTGAATGCGGCGCCAAACAACGCGCACTCGTTCCTGACGATCGTCTACAGGCGCGTATACAACTTCTTCTTCATCTCGGGTGACGGCATGAAGACGGCCTCGGGTGATGCGCGTATCGACTACCTCGACGGCATGCGTGGATTCGCCTGTCTCTTTGTATCGCTCGGTCACTTTATCCTCATGTTCTACAACGCCATGGCCAACTTCTACGGACCTCACCACTACTACGGCTTCGAGTACTGGATCCGCGTCATCTTTGGGCCCATCGTCATCAACGCTGGTCTGGTGCTGGGTATCTTCTTCCTGCTCCCCTCGCGTACGATGGGTTCGAGGTACCTCGTCAAGGGAGGTGTGCAGTCGCTCGCCGACAACTCGGTTCGTCGTATGCCGCGTCTGATCATCCCCGCTGCGGGTGCGTGCTTGGCCAACTACATGATGATCGACGTGGGTGCGTACAAGTGGGTGGCACGCATGAACTCGCTCACCTGGTCCACGTGGTCGTACTACCAGAACTACGACAATGCGCTCGACTTCCTCGACTCGTTCATCGCGCTCTGGTGGGCCGGCCCTCCCGACCAGCCCGCTCTGGTCACCCGCTACGCCACCGGTGTGCTTTGGACGATCCCTGTCATTGTTCAGGGTGCCTGGACGTGTATGCTGTGCGCCGTGTTTGCGCACGAGATCAAGACCACGTGGAAGCGCTTCTTCTTCTACTTTATCTGCATCCTGCTCTCGTGGTACGCGCAGACGTGGGATCTGTTCTTCATGGCGGGTCTCGTGATTGCCGATCTGGACATCAACCTCAAGTACCGCAAGTGGGGCGAGATGGGTATTCCTCTGCTGCCCAAGGGCTACGCCAAGCTGCTGCGCATCCCGGAACGCATCCGCCAGAAGTTTGCGCTCAAGGGCAAGATTGTTCCCTGGGCCTTCTTCCTCGCCTGCTGTGTGCAGGAGTGGCTGACGTACATCCCCGGCGCGCCTGCCGAGAACTTTGACGTGTGGGATGTGGGTGTGCACCCGAACTTCTACAACTCGAGGCCGAACAAGTGGAACGAGGACGTCGGCTACAAGTACCAGCGTCCCAGGACCTCGGCGTGGTTCTTTGTGATGAGCATCTTCATTCTCGCCGACCACTCGAGCGCCTTCCGCCAGGTGTTCAAGCTGCGCATCTGGAGCTTCCTCGGCAAGCACTCGATGGCCTACTTCCTGCTGCACGGTATCATCTTCTGGACCTGGGGCTCTTGGCTCTGCGTCACGATGCTCACCCGGGGCATCAGCTACTTTGCCACCATCATGGTCGTGTTCGTCACGAGCTACTTCTGGCTCACCATCTTCTGCGTCTGCTTCACCTACACCTTCGAGTACTGGGGCATCATCGCATCCAAGGCCTTCTGGCGTGCCACCTCGGGCAACCTTGGTCGTCGTGCCGGCGCCTAGTCCTTTACCTTTTTATCTTGTATACCCTTGGGGACCTGTCTAAACATTTTTTTTTCAATGCTACGCATCTGTCTATCTCGCTCTCTATCCGTTTGTCTTGAGTGTCGCGCAAAGGGTGATATGAGCTGCTGGCAGGTTGAGCGGGGGTCCTGCTGACAGACGCAGCGGTAGCAGTGCGGTCGGTAAACGTGAGGAAAAAAATCAAAAAGGAACTGCAGCACCTAGGATTCCCGCGTGGTCCCCCACCGCAGTACTGACTAGGCGATACCTTGCTTAACTTCGCAGATCGGACGGGATGCGGTGCTTTCAAGGTTCTATGGCCGCAGATGTCAGGATTTACTTAGAAGGTTGATAAGAGTCGTCGGTCGGTGCTGGTTCAGCCGTGAGTTTGAGCGTCGAGGGCCTGATGATCTCGCGCCGATTTGGCTCTGTTAGATGTCTCGCTCGCACATGATTGCACACGGAATAATTTTCGGCAAGACCGGCATTCGGCTCAGCCCGTGCGGTCCGGCCCAGACAAGAGGTTGGTCCTCCCGGACGCCCACCGGTTGGTCTGCAACACAAAGGACGGCAATGTCTTTGTGCGACATGTGTCCCACCATCGAGCGCTCGATAGGGAAGACTTCGGATAGATCACGTCGATACGGCCGGCAGCCCTCAGGAAGCTCAGGTCGACCCGGCCGTGCCGGAAGTGTAGCAGCTTCACAAACGAGTTTTCAAATCGAACCCGAAAAAACTCGCAACATTTTGCCGACGCAGGTTAGCCGGCAGAAGCATGTGCTCAGGCATGCACAAGAGTGAACTTCCGATAGTGCCGCACAGAGGAGCTATCACATAACGGCGGGATCGTGGATAGCCGCCCTGGAAATTTTGAGTGATGTGACTGCGTCCTCCTGCATGACGCACATGCTCCGGCCTCTGTTGGCACCACCGCCGGCTGCAGCTATGGAGTCACCTTCGTGATCTGCACTTCGTAAGTGACACAGCTAGACCCTGCGCCCAGGCGATCTATCGGATCACAGCCACCTTAGAGCCGAACGCCTGGCGCTGCCCTTGCCGGGTTGGTTGAAGCTTTTGACCTTTCTACCTGCTTCACTGCGGTACATGTCTTGGCCCTATGAACCCGTGAACCTTGTTCCTTGCCACAACCAATCCCTCCCTCTTTACCATTCACCCACCTTCTCTTCCCGCCCTCGACATCTTCTTCACCTGTCTGGCCACTAGTGACGAGCATGGCGCATACAGAGCCACATTGGTCGTCTTCACAAACATCAGACATGCCAAGAGCATCGACTTCCGGGTCCATAGCGGCGTCGTCCCAAGGCTGTGCGGATCCATACGACTCGGGCGCGCTCTCGACGGCCTGCCAGTCGACTGCAGTCGCGACACCACAGCATCACTCCGAGGCACCCACTCGTGTCAACTCGTTCGACATCTCGGCGGCCCACGACATGCTGCATAAGCTTCACTCGAAGGTGGAGCAGGGCGACTCGACCGCCATCGCCGAAGACGAACACCTCGCCCATCTGCATCAGCTGCCACCATCCAAGCAGCACCTCTTTCATCTGCACCACAAGCACGAGCGCCCTTCCCGCGCATCGGAGGAGGATGAAGGACCACATCCGAGCGACACCCCTCGCCGGGCGGGAGACCTCGAGAAGGGCAGCGCGAATGCGGAAAGCGAAGAGCCAATGCCTGCCGTCTTGCTGTCGGAAGACGAAGACCCGATGAACTGGAGCGACCGCCGCAAGTGGATCACCACCGCGCTCGTATCCTGTCTCTACTTTAACGCGACCATCACCTCGTCTGTAGGCACGGGCGCCACGGCGCAGTACATCCAGCAGTTCTCCATCTCGCACGAGGTCTCTGCTCTCGTGCTGTCCATCTACATGGTCGGATTCTGCGTGGGGCCTCCAATGTGGGCACCGCTCTCGGAGCTGTACGGACGCCTGCTGGTCAACTACATCTCTGTGCCGGGCTACTTTTTCTTCAACATCGGGTGTGCGCTTGCGCCCAATGTGCAGACGCTCCTCGTGTGCCGGTTCTTCGTTGGCCTTTTCGCTGCAGCACCGCAAGCCAACAGTGGAGGGACCATCTCGGATATCTGGGCGCCCAAGGTGCGGCTGTGGCCCATGTTCACCTACTCGCTCTCGGCGTTCATGGGTCCGACGCTGGGTCCGCTTGTGGGTGGCTTCATTGCCGGTACGGATGTGGACTCGGAGCGATGGCGATGGATCTACTGGCTGCTGTGTCTCATCTCGGTGGTTTCCATGGCACTGGTGGTGGTCATCCAGAAGGAAACGTATGCACCTGTGCTTCTGAAGCGCAAGGCGAGGGAGATGCGCGCAGAGACTGGACGCAACGAGCCGTTGGCACCGGGAGAGGCGCTCGCCGAGGACGGCACGGTGGCGCCTGTGTCGTGGTCCGAGATCATGCGCGTTTATGTGGGTCGACCGTTCCACATGCTGTTCACCGAGCTGCCGCTCATGTACGCCACGCTGTGGACGTCATTCTGCTACGCCATCATCTTTATCTTCTTCGAGGCGTACCCCGTGGTGTTTTCGGGCACGTACGGGTTCAATGCCGGCGAGGTTGGACTCACCTTCCTTGCTATCGGTGCGGGTATCGCGCTGTCGGCGCCAATTCTTGGCTGGTTCAACAGGCGGTCTCTTGCGGCTCGGATTGCAGCGGGTGGTAGGCCTGTGCCCGAATCGCGTCTTCCGCAGGTGGCTCTTTCGGCACCGCTGTTTGCGATCGGCTTCTTTTGGTTCGGTTGGACCGCACGCGCTTCAATCCACTGGATCGTTCCTGTTCTTGCAGGGTTGCCCATTGGCATCTCGCTTATGCTGGCGTTTAACTCGTTGGCGACGTACGCGGCCGAGTGCTACCACATCTACACCGCCTCGGCACTCGCAGCCATGGCATTCTCGAGGTGTTTGTTCGCCGTCTTTGTGCCGCTGTTCGGCAGACAGATGTTCGAGAACCTTGGTCCCGGCTGGGCCTCGAGCATCCTGGCGTTCTTCAGCATTGCTGCGATTCCGGTTCCGTTCGTCTTCTTGAAGTACGGCAAGGCCATCCGACAGCGCAGCAAGATGTGCATCAACGCCTAGTTTTGAACGCAATTCGCATCATATAGACGTCTCCTTTTCATTGCATCTTTTGTATACTACGCATGCGGTGTGGACCTGCATCATCTAATCAACCCAAGTGATCAGCTGTTCGTATTTTGTAACCACGCGGAGTCTACCTTTTGGTGGCTGTTCTTCCGCGTCAGCCCCAACACTGTAGGGGGTGATTCATATACACAGCCAGCTGAAGGACCAACATCTGCGGCCATAGAACCTTGAAAGCACCGCATCCCGTCCGATCTGCGAAGTTAAGCAAGGTATCGCCTAGTCAGTACTGCGGTGGGGGACCACGCGGGAATCCTAGGTGCTGCAGTTTTGCTTTTTTGCTTTTGCCTCATCTTGGTTGCACCAACGCTGGGTCCGACTTTTAGAGAATTCCACAAGGATTCTAATGTACAGATGATGCTCTAGGGGATCTATAGAAGTAGCGCTATTGACAAGACCGTCGCTAGGATGCAGCCGACCAAGTTTAGGTGGATTGAGGATGCGGAGTTGTCGTAGATGCGGAGGAAGTCGATTTCCCAGCGCGCGTCGCTGAAGGCAGCGGGGTTGTTTCGCACAAACGTCTCACACGAGACATTGCCGTACCTCGCCGCACAACCGCTGTACCCGAAGGTCTCGCCTGCCCAATCACCGCACAGCGAGAGGTTGATGATGATCTCGTGCTCGTCAAAGTAGTTTTCCATCTGACACACCGAGCCTTGCCCTGTCGCCAAGGCAGCTTGCGAAGCGGTGGCGTTGGGCGTGTTTGCGAAGAACGCCGCAGGAGTGCCCCATTTCCTAAGCTCGGTCCGATCGTTCCCAGTGGCGTTGGAGTTGGTCACGACGTACTTTGGTGCCGAGGTACCGTCTGCAGCTGCAGCGACAGCGGCGGGAAGGGAGGAGGTGGCCGTAGTGATCGGCCAAAAGTACACGCCAATGCCCGGATCGCCAGGTCGCGTTTCCCTCCGCACCGCAAAGTATCCCCCACCGTTGGCATTGAATCCCGGACCGTAGGATTGATCTGCGTTGAACGAGGCCGAGCATCCGGGCTGGTACGAGCAATCTGCCTGTCCAGTAAAACCGGTCTGATCCGACCTTGACCCACCGGGGATGTGACAGCCGTACAGCGTATGCAAGCTGGCGAGGTTGCGCGGTCCCTGGTCGTTGGCGCCTTCGACGATATCGATTTCACCTCCCCTCGGCCATCGCTCTGTGGTGCACGTCCAAAACGCAGGCCAGGTGGCACATCCCTGTGGCATGTGGCTGAACTTGCCCACGATGATCCCGTCGGCCACTTTGCGTTTGCTGTGAATGCGGACGCTCGGTCGACCTTTGCCCGAGGGAATGAGCGTGGTGTTGTCGGCACGCATGACGAAGCGTCCATTCGGATCGACGTACGCGAGACGGTTTGCCACCGCGGTGAGCTCGTCGACATACTCGACCGTGCCGTTGGTCGGGTCGTTGTACGCCCAAAAGTAGAAGGCGTCGAGGAACTTGCGCCCGGTAATCTCGTCGCGCAGCGTGTAGTTCCGAGCTGCAACGGCTGTCGTCCAGCACAGCAGGACCAGCACGGCGCCGATGCCGCGAACCATCCTGCGAAAGATTTACACCTGTACTTGCGCTGTTTAACGGAGCGGCGAACTTGACGGCATGGTTAGACGGAGCGATTGTCGGGACCGAAGGTCAATGGTGGTAGAGACGGTATAGCCATCGTGGAATTGGGAGGAGGCGATAAGGACGAGGACTGCGGGCCAAGGGTCTTGGCAGCGGAGAGGCGGAAGAAACGAGGCTATGCACTTCTTCGCTTGCGGTAAGCAGTCAGCGCGCGATGATGAGCGGCTGCATTCGCCATTCGCCGCGTCGAAAAGTCGAACCGCTCGGCGCGCAACGGCGAATTTTCTGACACGAACCCTGCCCAGCACGTTTTCCCAACACCGGCCATCCAGATGGAGCGCGATCCCAGGGTCTGCCTCTCGCTTGCACGTTGCCGCGGCGGCCGTCATGCTCGTGCCGCGAGACTGTCCAACATGGCGCTCGTTACGAGCATTGCTATGCGACGTCTCGAAGCCCGACTGTTGTAGAAAGCCGTATGGGCAGTCGAGCAAGCCGCTCATCGGCGGTGGAGTGGTGCCCGCGCACCTCGCGACCGAGATGGGTCGGTAGCGACGACACAATCATTACACCTGTCCGCTGTAGACGTGTCTGCTGGTCATGACTGGTCGTGGGGTCCGATTGTGCACCGGTGCCTCGACGTCTCCGGAGCAGAGAGAGAGACTTGCAAATCCGAGATGCAGCAGTCTTGAGCAAGATCGCTATGACGGAGGAATCTGCGGCGTTGTCCGGTTGCCATCGTGGCGGTTTGTGTCGTACGTGAAGGGACGCTCGCATCTTGCACCAGTCTCGACTTGTCCCGTGCCCCTTCGTTGCCTCTTGGACGCTTGACCCAGGGTGGCGAGCTGCATCATCCTCGCTGGCGCAGTCTGAGTTAAGGTTCGGCGCAGAAATCGCGGAACTGAAGATACGCTCGCAGGGGTTGGAGTCAGACTTGTCACTTTGTTCTTCCTTGGTGCGCATAATGTCGTTGTGGAACGTCGTTGGGAGGCGTAGCGCCTGTTGCCGGACACTTCATTTGCGCATGCACCTGCGTCGAGCTTAAGCCCACCGTCTGCAGGAGTACCGAGCCACAACGCTTCCACACCTTCTGCTCGTCGTTCCAGCATGCTTGTCACCGCACCACTACCAGCAGCAGCTCTCACAAGCAGGCACCATGGTGTCACAAGCACTCCTACCAGCAGCTCTAGCCGTGATGGCTGGCGCGTTGCTACTTTGCGATGCGGCGGTGGCGGGGCGCAGCACCCACCGTATGCTGAGCAAGCGCCAGTTGCAGTACCAGTACATCGCCGACGAGCCGGACCCAATCAAAGCGGCGGAAGGCATCCAGCAGATGCAGTACGTGCCGAACAACAGCTCGGCGCCCAATCCGGACTGGCTGATCATCAAGGACGATGGCGGAACCTCGAACCCGCCGTGGCTTTCGCAGGTGCCCTTTGTAGCTACGCCGAATGCCGACAGCCAGCCTGCGCCCAACGGCTCACCCGTGTGGAAGTCCGTGCCGGACTTGGAGGGTTTTACGCTGAACCGAACATTTAACGTAGTGCCGGGTCTGGTGATGCCGATGTACATCTCGGCGAACTATCGACCGGGCGAGGACAATAGCCGTATCCAGCGCGCGATCATCACGATGCCAGGCAAGCCGCGCGACTCGTGGAAGTACGCCAACCTCTTCCGCAACGCACTCAACGTCGCAGCGTCCAACCCTGCCAACGGCATTGCTGCGGACCAGGTGATGATTGTCGGCCCCGTCTTTCTGAACTCGGACGACAAGGATGCAGGCGCGGTCAGGGAGGGCGAGATGTTCTGGCATGGATCGCAGTGGCAATCAGGTCACCGGGCGCGCAACGAACAGCCCCATACCAACCTCAGCTCTTACCACGTGCTGGACAATATCACCGACTGGATCTTTACCTCGGGTGAGTTCCCCGCCATCAAGCAGGTGGTGTTTGGCGGACACTCGATGGGCGGTCAGGCGGTACAGAGGTACTCGGTGCTGAAAAAGACCAAGGCGTACGATCCGAATGTGCACTTTTGGATCGGCAACCCGGGTTCGTGGGTGTGGCTCGACGACCAACGGCCCTACCCCAACGAGACGTGTGTCGGGTGGGACAAGTGGGGTTATGGTTTGGGCAACGTGTCTGCTGTTGTGCGGTATGCGCGGCGCGATGTTAATGCAAGCCGCGAGGCGGTGGTGGAACGCTTCCGCTCGCGCAATGTCCACTACGCCGTGGGTCTCGCCGATACCGGACCCGGTGACACGCACTGCCAAGCCAAGACGCAGGGCGGAAGCCATCTGGACCGCGGCTCGCAGTTCGTCCTCTCGCTGGGACGCATGGGCGGGTTTCCGCCGAGTCATACGTTTGACGTGATCGCAGGCACGTCGCACCAGGACTACCCCATGATCCGAGCCGACAAGTCGGTCAACCGCATCTTCCTTAGCGATTTCAACACGAGCGCACCGCTGCTGGCCAACACGACGAATCCGGGAGACCATCGACCGCACGATCCAAACAAGCCGCCCAAACCCGAACCGCCCAAGCTCAAGATGTTCGCCACACCCAAGCACCGCATCATCGCATCGGGCCTGCTGGGCGGCTCGTTGGCGGGCATCATTGCGTTCTTCACAATCATGCCGTACGTGTTTACCGATAACTACGACGAGCGGCGCTACGAGACCGAGATGTCGAGCCGTCGCAGGCTGCTGGCGTGAGCCTTATCCTTGGACGAGGTCGCAGAAGTGCAATTCAAGTATCGTTCCATGTAATGTGTGTCAAGATGTCTGTGTTGGATGAAGTGAAGAGGAAGGAAAGGGGAAGGTGGGCGCGGAGCCTTTTTTGGTGCGGCGCGGCGATGGTTGCGGTGGAGGAAGAAAGTTGCATTTTCTCCACTTTGGACGATTTGCAGATGCACCGCCTCGAATGCGACGTTGACATCCTTCCGTATCCTCTGCACCATCCACAGCACCCGCTCGCACGACAAGCACGATGGTTGGATCTGTAAGTCCACCTCTCTGCCGCACCTTCCCTGAACCTAGACCCTAAAACCTAGATGGCTGACGATTCACATGCTCCACCTGCCGTTTTGGTAGTGTCTGTACATCCGCAACGACCTGGCGGACTGCGTGACCAAGTCGGACTGCTATCTCAAGGAGGGCAAGAGCGCACAGGAGTGCATTACGTCGCACATGGCCGAGCTGCCGCTCGAGTGCCAGCAGCTGTACAAGTCGTTTGTCGAGTGTCGACGCGGCATGGTGAGTCCGCAATCCCTCGCTGCGACGATCACAAGGTTCATATTCTGACTCACGTTGATGACCGCGGATGATAGCTCGATATGCGCAAGAGGTTTAGAGGCAACGCACCGCCTGCTGCGGGTGGCAACAATGCCCCCGGTGGAACGACTCAGGTGGACTCCAACACCCCAGCATCCTCATGATCAGCAGCCGCACGAATGACAACGCTCGCGTGCAGCAACAGCCCACCACCACTTCGACTTGTACTTGTACCCGACTCAATACCAACCACTCGCACCACCATTGCGTTTCAAACAAGGCTCCCAGTGGGAGAAAAAAGGAGCGTTCCGTATCGTTGCAAAAAATAGCGTATCCAAAGCAAAGAGCGACAAGCAACAACAGGGGGGAGAGGTGCCTTAGGCCTAAGTGGGGGATGGGAATGTAAACGGAGCCCAGGAGGGGAGAAGTGATGGATGCCAAGCGACTCAAGAGTGCGGCAGGTCCTCGGAGTTAAAAAGAAAGTGACAGTACTAGAGCAAAACGACGACAACAGCCGCGGCGGCGACTGTGAAGAAGACGGCCTTTGCCGCAGCCAAGTTGAACGAATCCGCTGCGTTGGTAGCGATCTGAAGGAGGTTCGGGTCGGGAGCGAGGCCCTTTGCGTCGCTTGCGGTGTTCAACAGTCCCGCCGACGCCAAGCTCTGATAAACACCGCTTGGGTAGATGGCGGGGACGGTGGAGGTGGGTACGGTGTAGGTGAAGCTATACGAGCCTGTGGCGGGCGAGGGACCTGGACCTCCAATCACCGTCGGGTTGCCACCCTGCGCAGACGGGAACGTCGTAACCGGCGTGAAGGTTTGGCTTGCACTGTAGGCAGAGAGTGGGAACGAGGTGCCGGCAAACGCACTCGCGACTTGCGCAGACGTGTGCGACGCAAGAATCAAAACCGTCGCTGCAACCAGCAGTGCCGCCGCTCTTGTTGTCGAGGCAGCCATCGTGAGTGTCTCTATTTGAGAGGTTTAGGTGGGTCGAGAAAAGGCGAGATGCACGGATCGAAACGGTCCAAATGGGTAAGGACGGAGCAGCGGCGATGTCTGGATGCAGTCGCGGTGTGGTGGATGGAAGAGTTTGTCGACTGTCGATTTCGCTGTCAGGTGGGATGCCAACAAGAACGTCGAGCGAGAGGGTATCGCGTAGCCGTGCAGTAGAGACGGATCAAGGGAGCGTGCGTAGGGACGATGACGAAGAGGAGGTGGGAGTAAGGCAGGTGATGGCGACGACGGCGGGGGATGGTGCGGGGAAGCCCCAGCAGGCTACGTTGCGTCTGCTCTCTGCTAGCCAAAAAGGGCTGCTCGCGATCTGAGCGTGGAGCGCAAAGTTGCTGTTTGGCTGGGCTGGGCTGAAGCGGCTCGACTGCAGGCACATCCAAACCCCGCCTCACAAGCCAGAGAGCCGCTTTGGCGCAGCGACGATCCCTCCTTTGCGGCAGCAGCGGCGGTTTTGGCATTTTCCCGCATTTTTTGGACTCGCTCGCACCTCTCTCTCTCTCACTATTCCCCGCTGCCGTTCGAGCCGTCGAGCCGTGCAGTCGAATTTTCGTTGTCCCCATTTGGCATCGCCCGACAGGCCTCGCTTAGCCGCTTTCAGGGCACAGAGCCGCGCAGTCGAGCCTCGAAATCTGCCTTTGAAGCTCGAATTGATTTCAGGCCCCGACGGCGCCCAAGCTCGATTTCACAGGCTTCCGTCATCCGCTGTGCGTCGAATTCGTCCGTGTTAGACCGCCTTCAATCAGGGGCCAGAAGCACGCACCCCTCTGCTCCATCGGAGCGCAAGGACCGCACAAGATGCGCACACACACACACGCAGGGCGACGCTTTGCTACAGGGGTATGGCCTTTGAGCTATTACAGAGACTATGCGAAAGATCACACCGCATCAGCGGCCTTGATGTCTTTGCTAAAGTAGTCGGCCTGGAAGCGCCAGCTCGCGACGCCGTCGGTCTCGCTCCATTCCGGCTGCACCGCACCGGCAAGCGAAGCCTTGGACGGGTCGTAGAACGCAGGCACCCGCACGCGCGTATCCGCCTTGTACGGCACAGGTGCAATCTTGGCATGCTCGACGTCAAACACAAACTGCGTCAGAGTGTCACCCGTCGCCCAACCGTACCACGGCCTACCCGCCCACTTGATCGCACCGTTCCCCGCCACCGATCCCTGCTCTCCGTTCTTGCTAAAGACAACCTCGATGTAGTCCTTGACGTTGTACAAGATGGTCGCCTCGTCCACACTGTAGATCGAGGGCGATTTGGACGGTGTGATGGTGACGAGCTTGCTGCGCAGACCCGCGATGAGGTTCGACGAAGTCGCGAGCAGCACATTCGAGAAAAGGATGAGCTGCTTGTACACGAACCCCTGATCCGCTGACGACGGCTGCTTGCCATTCAGCGACGGATGTCGCATGCCGAGCACCTCCAGCTTGGCCTCGTCAAAGCTCGGTCGGAACAAGCGTGGTCCAGGCCCAGTGTGGTCCTGGTAGCCCAGCTCGAGCATCACCGGATGGTTGGTGCCCGCATTGTACTGATCCGCACTCAGCCCCAGCGCCGTGATCTCGTCGTGCGTAAAGGGGATCAGCGGCGAAGGATCGATGGAGCGCACCTTGGGCGGAAGAAAGTTGAGGATGTCCGCAATGGGCATCAGCATGGGCACCAGCATCACATCGTACGTTCCGTTGATCGCCACCATCGTGTGTTCTGCCTGAGTGACTAGCTGAGGGTAAGGGGAGGGTGCAGGTGTGAAGCAAGTAGAAGGAAGGCGAGGCAGCTCAAAGCCAAGCCTTTTAGAGGCCCCAGGCCCCCGGCTCGCTGACAGGTCCGTCGGAATACCACGCTCGAGGCAACCTCCACCCTTCCTTTTTGCCCACGCAAAATGGCAGTGGCGCTACCGCCCGCCCTCGGCTACCTCGTTCGGCTCGGCCCCTCATGCATCCTTCAACACATGGGAACCCTCTGTTTGCATTGTCCCTCTAGCTTTCACGCTTGCTGCCATCTCGGCCCTGCACAGCACCCTCAAAGACCTTCGCTGCGACAGCGCCAACATCCAAAGTGCACGTCTCTATGCATTGAGTCCATGCGGAATTCGGAATCGCAGACCGGAATCTATGCCTATCATCTATGTCTATCCGAACAATGGGTATCAAAGGTGCCGACAAATGCTCATGCGGCAAGCATGGGAGAAGTCCAGCCGATCTCGAACCAGAGGTACTCTTGCTCGTCGTTGCGGCCTACGTTGGCGCGCTTGTCGAGCCTGCGTCGAGTCACGATAGCAAGTTCGGGAGAGGCTTGCGAGAATCCAGCCTGGTGAGAGAGGGCACCCATACGCGAGCGCAGAAGGTCGCTGTGCTTCGAGTTGGTCTTGTGCACATCCACAGCGCTCGTCTCGGACACCAGGGCTGGCGTACCTGGCAGCGTATCCAACGGCGTTGCACTGCTCGAACCACTCAGCGAAGGCACACTGCCGAAGCCGGAGCGCGGCTGGAATGCTTCATCCACCGTCTTGAACAGCCCTTCGAACTTGCCGGATGCACGAACCGCCATTATGATGTGTGCGCGCGCACTCGCTTCGTCCGGACGGTCGGGTGAGGGCTTGCGGAGTAGCTTCTCGATCGTCGAGCGGATCCAGTGCGCGTGCTCGGGTGCGTAAATCACATCGGCCAGCAGCAGCRGATCGTACTTGTCTGCATCGGCATCGTCTACTTGAGCATGACCTTGCTGCATGCTGCGATGCACCTCAAGCCAGTCCAGATGCTCCACGTCGACCGAAACACCGCCATTTGCATCGGAGGACAAGCTAAAGTTCTCTTGAACATTGTGTTCGAGGTTCTTAAGCACTTGCAGGTGGTAGTCCGTCAGCACCACCTCAGCTGGCGTGCCGCGTTGTTGGAGCAATCTTGCCGCCACCATGCCGAGCAGTCCCGTGCCTGCACCAAGCTCAGCGATTCGCAGCGGTGTCTCGGTAGGCGTTCCGAGAGCGGAGTGAAACAAGGTGGGATATCGAACGAGCACATCGCTCACGACGATGGCCGCGCCCCACGTCTGGACGCCCACAGCTGCAGCCGCATCCTGACTAGCGCCCGCGCCCGAGGTCGTACTCGCTTCCGAATGCTTGTCTGAAGGTGGCAGTGGATCGTCCCGAAGCGTAATCGTGATGGGGTCGGAAGCGCTTGCGCCTTGATGTGCCGATGCATCGATGTCGGGCACACGCACTGGTGCTGCCAACGGAAAGATGAACTCGCGCGTGATGGCGCCGGCTTCTTCGATGCTCGCATGACCACCCAGAATGCGCCCGGCCAGATCCACCAGCTCGTCGGCCGTCACCCCTTCCGCCTCGGCGTCCACCCAGTAGAGCCCAGAGCCGATGAGGCGCGTGAGCCAGCTCATCGCATACCGCTTCTCGTTCTCGTCGACGCGCACCGAGTCGAGCGCATCGGAGTACTGCGCGGTATCGATGGCATCTGGATATCGTTCTTCGACGGAGACAATCCATGTCTTTTCTCTCGTGGTCAGCGAGCGCGGCGAGTAAAGGTCGGCGAGGTGCGCCAATGCACGCATGAGGTCGTCTGCGGTCGGCTCTTGATTGATGCGCGGCAGGCAGCTGGTCGGGTTGACCTGCCTCATCATATCTTCCAACGCAGTCATTCCGAGCGAGGGTAGCGCCGGAACTGTGCACCAAGTCTTGTCGAGTGCAAGGTCAAACCGGGGGGGGGGGGGGGGTGGTCCGAGGAACTCTACGCGTCCGGGGATTGCGTCAAATCATCTTAAAGAGGTCGAGACTTGTCACAGCACTGGTGTTGAGAGGGTAGTCCCCAGTCTGAGCGCAGCTGCCGCCCTCTCCTGTGGGGTCGAGATGGTGGTAGAGCAATACCACCGGCAAGTTGCTGCTCAGACGTATGGAGAAAGATGAAACGTTTGCATCACTTTCCGAACCGCCGAAAAAAATCGTGGAAATGCGGAATTGGTCCGCTCAACACGCCGAGACGCGTCTGCGAACCCCGCAGTCACCTCCCGGCCGAGAGTAAATTTACACCTTGGTCGAATAACCGCACAGCGCCGGTGGAACAGAGGAGCGGCACTTGCGGGGAAGACGGCTGAACCGCGCTTTCAGAAGAGTCCGTGAGCCGGTTGGTGTCGGCTTAGCCCCGAGCTCAGAGCTGCTGCCGCTCGCTTGGACCGACCGGCCCCACAGAATCGCTTTCTTCGCATTCACATTTGCTCAAGTCCGACCGACTGCGCCGACGCATATCCATCTCAGTTATCCACCCTCGCTCCTTGCTTGGCAACCACCACCATCCTCCAGCATCGCAGCTGGAATACTTCGGCTCAAATCACCATGTCTTCTCGCTTCGTCGCCGCTCGTCTCGCGCGCGTCAACGCTGCCCGACTTCGGTCCACCGCAGCTCCTTCACACAGCGTCGCCCGCCTCAGCATCTGCTCGCGAGCCAGCCGTCCATCCCTCGCGTTCAGCGCACCCTCGTCTTTCGCAGGCGCTGTCAGGATGAATTCGACCAATGCCACATCGCTCAACCCACCCCCAGCCCCGCTTCGTTTGCAAGCACCCACCGCCGAGCAGGAGCAGGCCGACTACGACGCCGCAGTCAAGCAGGTCCAGGAATGGTTCGACAGCCCCCGCTTCAAGGGCATCAAGCGCCCCTATGGCCCGGAAGCCGTCGTCTCAAAGCGCGGATCCATGCCCGTACAACCTCCGGCCTCTTCGCTCATGGCCGACAAGCTCTTCAACCTCCTCTCCGAGCACTTTGCCAAAGGCACCCCAGCCCACACCATGGGTGCTATCGATCCCATCCAGCAGTCCCAGATGGCCCACAACCAGGAGGTCGTCTACGTCTCTGGCTGGGCTTGCAGTTCGGTGCTCACCACCTGCAACAACGAGGTTGGCCCGGATCTTGCCGACTACCCCTACACAACCGTGCCCAACCAGGTGCAGCGTCTCTTCAAGGCGCAACAGCACCACGACCGAAAGCACTGGGATGAGCGATGCCAGCTCACACCCGAGCAGAAGGCCAAGACGCCCTGGGTCGAGTATCTCCGCCCCATCATCGCCGACGCTGACACCGGACACGGCGGTCTGAGCACCGTCTTCAAGCTCGCCAAGCTCTTTGCCGAGCAAGGTGCGGCGGGCATTCACCTCGAGGACCAGCTGCACGGCGGCAAGAAGTGCGGACACCAGGCCGGCAAGGTGCTCGTCCCCACCTCGGAGCACGTCAACCGCCTCACTTCCACCCGATACGCCTGGGACATTCTCGGCTCGTCCAACATCCTGATCGCGCGTACCGACTCGGAGTCCGCCAAGCTCATCTCGTCCAGCATCGATGCACGCGACCACGAGTACATCAAGGGCGCCTTCAACCTGCCCGAGGGCACCAGCAGCCTTGCCGACACCCTCGCCGCCTTGGAGGCCAGGGGTGCTTCGGGCCCGGAAGTCGACGCGGCAGAGAAGGCGTGGATGGAGAAGTGCGAGCTGCTCACCTTCAACGAGGCCGTGGCCAAGCACAACGCTGCCAACAAGCAGGGCGTTGAAGCCTACAACGCCAAGGTCGCCGGCGGCGTGTCCAACGGCGAGGCACGTGCCATCGCCAAGGAGGTCTTTGGCGCCGAGGGTGTTCCCACATGGTGCTGGGATGCTCCGCGCACCAAGGAGGGCTACTACCACTTCAAGGGTGGTGTGGCCGCCGCGACGAAGCGCGTCAAGATCTTTGGCCAGTATGCCGACATGCTGTGGCTCGAGACCAAGACGCCGGATCTCAAGCAGGCACAGGGCTTTGCTGCCGACATCCACCGCGACCTGCCGGGCAAGTGGCTGGTGTACAACCTCAGTCCCAGCTTCAACTGGAGCGCACACGGATTCTCCGACCAGGACCTCAAGAACTTTGTCTGGGACCTCGCCAAGTCCGGCTTTGTCTTCCAGCTCATCTCGCTCGCCGGTCTCCACTCGACGGGCGCCATGACCTGCGAGCTTTCGCAGCGATTCAAGACCGACGGCATGCTCGCGTACGTCGAGCTCGTGCAACGCAAGGAGAAGGAGATCGGCTGCGACGTGCTCACCCATCAGAAGTGGTCGGGCGCTGCGTATGTCGACCGCATGCTCCAGGCCGTCAGCTCCGGCAGCTCCGCAACCCAGGCTATGGGCGCAGACAGCACCGAGCGCTCCTTCTAGACTCGCCTCAACTCAGCTCCATTTGCAATCAGATTTCGCTCTTGTTCTTGTCTTCTTGTCTGTTCGGTGTGTGTGTGAGGTGCGGAACGGAAGAGTGCGGGTGCGGGTGGCGGGGAGAGTGTCAGAAGTCCGATTCCCGAGATACCGACTCTCGCGAAGGTCTTCCGAGAATTTTAGGACTTCATGCTCGCTCCACTTTTGGATGCACTCCGCCAAACACACGCACGTCATTGCAAACGACGGTGGAGACTGCTGGAACTCGGTAGCGGAGCCATGTTGCGATCAGCATGTCGGAGAGCTGGGCCGTCCGTCGCGGGAAGATTAAGCGTCTCAATAGCAGGGCCCTCGGCGCGGCCTAGCGCGCGAGTCACGGATGCCTCGGGGTCCTCACAGCCATCCTCCTTGCACCTTCGCCGTCTTCCCATTGCAAGGATATCGGCACAGGATCGCAGCATCACTACCTCAATACCAAGGACAAGCGCATCGTCCAGCTCCGGCTCTGCCCCCAAGCCGAGTGCGCGAGACTTCTCCAAGTTCGACCGGCTGGAGACACGAACGTTCTCCATCATCAGCCACGTGGATCACGGCAAGTCGACGCTGGCGGATCGACTGCTCGAGCTGACCGGCACCATCCCGCAGGACGGCTCGAACCAGCAAGTGCTTGACAAGCTCAAGGTCGAACGAGAGAGGGGCATCACGGTCAAGTCGCAAGCGGTCACCATGGTGTACGACTACGACGGGCCACGCCCAGACTTTATCTCGGCCTTCGGCGATGGCTTTGCACCCAAGCCAGGACGCTACTTGCTCAACCTCATCGACTGTCCGGGCCACGTCGACTTTTCGTACGAGGTGAGCCGCTCGCTCTCGGCGTGCCAGAGCGCTCTGCTCGTCGTCGACGCAACACAAGGCGTACAGGCCCAGTCAATCACCGTGTTCGAGCTCGCCAAGCAGAAAGACCTCGCCATCGTACCCGTTCTCAACAAGAGCGACCTGCCCGCTGCGGATGCAGATCGCTGTGCGCTACAGATGGAGGAGATTCTCGGCATCGACACCACGCTGCCGGGTCAGGAGCCGCTGCTCATCTCGGCCAAGACCGGTCAAGGTGTAGACAGCGTCCTGCGTGCGCTGGTGGAGCGGACCAAACCACCACCCGGTGTGGAGGACGGCAAGCTTGAGGGCAGGGAAGGACCGGGTTTCCGCGCGCTGGTGTTCGACAGTTGGTACGACCAGTACAAGGGCGTGGTCTCGCTCGTTTCCATCGCCGACGGCGCAGTGAAGAAGGGCGACCGCATCACCTCGTGCCATACGGGTAAGCGGTACGAAGTGCTCAGTCTCGGCGTCAACTCGCCCGAGATGATCGCCACGGATGTGCTGCGCAAGGGCCAGGTGGGCTGGATCATCGCCAACATGAAGGACATGAGCGAGGCGCAGATCGGAGACACCTTCCACCTCTCGTCCGAAAAGGTGGAGCCGTTGGAAGGATTCGCGCCCACAGTGCCCATGGTCTACGCCGGCATCTTCCCCATCGAAACGACCGACTTTCTCAAGCTCGAAGAGGCGATCCAGCGACTGGCGCTCAACGACCGTTCGGTCACCGTGCAGCGCGAGTCGTCCATGGCGCTCGGCCAGGGCTGCCGTCTGGGCTTCCTGGGTCTGCTCCACCTCGATGTCTTCCGACAGAGGCTCGAAGACGAATATGGCCATGCGATCCTTGTGACCGCGCCGTCGGTGCCGTACAAGGTTACGTGGCGCGACGGGCGCGAAGAGATCGTGTCGAATCCAATCCACTTTCCCGACGACTCGGAGCGCAAGGGCAAAGTGACGCTGCTCGAGGAGCCGATGGTGCGCGGCGTGGTGCGGTGTCCCGAGGAGTACACGGGCGAGATCATGCAGCTGTGCGCCGAGCACCGCGGCGAACAACTCGACGTCTCGTTCCCACCCACCGCCTCTGCGATCCGCTCGGTGCAAATGACGTACCGACTGCCGCTATCCGAGATCGTGACGGATTTCTTCGACAAGCTCAAGTCGTGCTCATCCGGTTTTGCGTCGTTCGAGTACTCCGAGGATGGCTACCAGGCAAGCGACCTTGTGAAGCTCAACTTTCTCATTTCAAACACGGTGCTCGACTCGCTCTCGATCATCATGCACCGATCCAAAGTGCTGTACAACGCACGCGCGTGGACTAAGAAGCTCAAGGACATCATCCCGCGTCAGCAGTTTGAGGTCTCCATCCAGGCCACCACGGGCAGCAAGGTGATTGCTAGGGAGACGCTCTCGGCGTACCGCAAGGACGTCACCGCCGGCCTGTACGGCGGACACTACGAACGCAAGCTCAAGCATCTCAACAAGCAGAAGGAGGGCAAGAAACGCCTCAAGGCGCTCGGCGTTGGCAGGGTGCAAATCCCCACAGAAAAGTAAGTACCCCCCGCTCCTCTAGCATCGTTGAACTGTCCACTGACTTTGCCTTGCTTTATATGCTGCTTTCCACAGGTTCCTAGAGGTGTTGGATACCCGGTCCAAAGCAAAGTAATGCAGGCATTGCGCTCGGCGCAACATTCAATGATACTGGCGAGGAGTGTTGCGTTGAGCTAGCGAAGCCGAGTCTGGCCCTCGGAAAGATGCGCACTGAGCGGTTCGAGCCGGAAGCGGAGCGGCATGCAAGGTGGGAGGGGAAGCGATGTGGGAGAGAGTGTGGGAGGTGTATGCGAGGGCCAACAGCGACCGGAGGGCATTCGATCGACGTGGGGACGCGGGGAGGAAAGCGGACCGGTCAAGCTGAGACAAAAATCGGCCGAACCGCCGACGCGGCGGCGAGCAAAGCGGCGGCAGAACCGTTGGCCTGCCGTGCCGCGGTCCAGACGCCCAACTCCGATCAACTTGACATGCTCGCCCGGCCGTGCTGCACCCTGCACCCTGCAACCCTGCTCCTCCACCCTGCAACCCTGCTCCTCGGGTTCAATTTGACCGACACCGGTGCAAGACCCAACCAAAGCACGCCGCCGCTCGATACGGCGCTTGCCCGGCGTACTCCTCCCGCGCTTCCTGAGATTCCACGTCGAGACTTCGAGCAGCGATGCCGGATCATTCCGGGTGTGCGTATCCCTTTGCGCTTCGAAACATGGTTTGCGAGAGTGCGTCCATCGGAAATACAGCGAAGCGTGGAGCTTGAACGATAATAACTTCTGATCTCCAAGCCAACATTGGCCTTGCAGAACGCCGATCTCGCCGAACCACTCACCGCCATACAGCACCTAGCAGTGCAAAGTGTTGTTGGTTTGCACTCGACTGGATGTGATTGGTCCAAGCACGATGGCTTGCCTTTTGATTGCAGAGTTTCGGAGGTGACCGGTGACGACGCGGGCAGATGCAGATGCAGATGCAATGCGGAGTACTGCGCTGCATATGCGTTTGCACGGAGACAGCCTTCTCGAATGCATGTCCATCAGCCTGGGCCAAACAGCCGTTTGTGGACGCGTCGAGCTCTTGCGTCTCGGCAGCGACGGTTCTATGAATGCACGGATGTCTCCGCAGATCCAAACTCGTGGCGCTTTCTGCTCGGTGAATTTGAGCGACTGGACAGCTCCGCTCAAGTTTCCTGCGGCTCACATCCTCGCCGCTCCAACCAACGGTATCCCAACGGAATCTGGCCTCCGCGGTCCAACGTGTGCTTCCATCTGGTCCTTGGCACCTCGCCTACGACGCTCGCTTGAGCCGTCCACATCGATGCTCTGGCCCTTTGGACCGGTGCTTTTTCGCCGTCGTCCCTCTCGGTGCTAGTGAAGATCGGATTTGAGACGTCAGGCACACGCATCCCTACCCCGCACCCGCACCAGACCACAAGCAGATGTACACAAGTGTCGACGCAATTGCAGGGCGATTCCACAGGATCTTTCTGTTTCTGGGGTCCTCTTCGACCCCGCACAAGATGAGTGTTGAGTGCTTGCGCATGGCCGAGGGCGAACAGATGCAGCCCCGCTTCGCATCTCCGACCGCATGGTCTGCACTGTCTCCTTCAAGCAGCGGTGCCATGCACGAGAGCAAAGCCACTCGGTTTTCGCCGGTAGCCACCCCCCACAATGCTCGCTACTCAACAAATCCTTCATCGATCCTGCTCTCGACCAGTCAGGAGCCAGCTGCGGGGGGTCGCAAAGGGGGGCCCCGTCTTTTGCAAACCTTTTCTCCCCGCCATGCTCCCGCACCACTTCAGCTAAAGACATATAAGATCTGGTCGTTCGCGGTCCTCCCCTTTGCTGTATCCCAGTCCACTTCCTCTCCTTTTTCTTTGCCCTCTTTCGTCGCATTACCTCCCGTCTTGACCTCCGCGCCCCATCCTACCTAGACTCGGCCGCGACCGTCCACCAATCCTCTCCCCCGTCCATTCGCCCAGCGCTTGTTCGCAAACATGTACGTGCCGTCCAAGTTCGCGCACCTGGCCGAGACGCCCAAGTCGGCGCTCAACTGGCGTCTTGCCTTTGCCGTGATCGGCATGGGTCTTCTCGGAGCCTCGCGTGGTATCGACGAAGGCCTGATCGGCGGCATGATCTCGCAAAAGACGTTCGAAAAGGACTTCAACATCCCGGCCAAGTCCAACAAGGAGTCCAACGTCACCGCCATGGTCCAGCTCTTTTCGGTGCTCGGCGCGATCATCGGATACCCCATCGCCGAGCGTCTCGGTCGTGTCCGCGGCGCACAGATCGCCTGCATGCTCGTTCTGCTCGGCAGCGCTCTCTGGATCAGCAGCAAGGGCAACTACGCCATGCTTTTGGCCGCTCGTGCCATCGCAGGAACCGGTGTCGGCCTTACTCCGGTCGTCGCCCCGGTCTTCTTGGTGGAAACCGCGCCTAGACAGATCCGTGGTCTCTGCACATCGGTTTACTCGTTCAACGTCTACCTGGGTAAGTTTGCTCTTGGGCCACTGCACAAATCTGGGAGTAAAGTCTGATACCAACGCCAAAACACCTACCTAAATTTAGGTTTGCTCTTGGGCTACTGCACAAATCTGGGAGTCAAGTCACATATCAACGCCAAGACCGACGCCATTTGGAGGGTGCCGCTGTCACTCAACTTTGCTCTGCACGGCGTCGTGCTCGTATGCTTGCTGTTCCTCAAGGAATCGCCCCGTTGGCTGATGAAGCGCGGTCGTGTCGAGGAGGCGTCGCAGTCGCTTGGCTGGTACCGTGGAATGGAGCCTCGCGACCAGGCGTTTGTCGAGGAGTACGAGCTCATTGCAGACTCTGTAAGGCAGGAGCAGGAGGCCACCGAGGGCCTTGGCTTTATGGGCAAGGTGCGCGAGCTCTTCTGCACCAAGAACAACCAGTTCAAGCTCGTACTTTGCGTGCTTATCCAGATTCTTGGCCAGTGGCAGGGTCCCGGTGCACTCTCGACCTACGCCAACCGTATCCTTACCCTGATCGGCGTGCACGACACCCGGGGCTACGTCATGTCGGCTGGCTTCGGTGCGGTCAAGCTTGGAGCGGGTATCCTTTCGTCGTTCTTCTTGATCGATCTGTTTGGACGTCGCCGTACGCTGTGGGTGTCGACTCTCTTCCAGGGTCTTGCGATGCTGTACGTTGCCATCTACCTTGGCGTCTTCATCGACCACAAGCACGCGCCCAACAAGGCTGCCTCGGAGGCGGCCATTGCGGGTATCTTCATCGCCGGTGCCTCGTGGTCGGCGGGTGGTAACCTTGCGCAGTACCTGATTAACTCGGAGATCTTCAGCCTCGACGTGCGAGCGTTGTCGGCGTCGTTCGTGATGGCGCTGCACTTCCTCTTCCAGTACAGCACGACGCGTGCGCTGCAGCCCATGCTCAACTCGAACCTCAAGGGTGCCGGTACCTTTGCGGTGTTCGCAGCCATGTCGCTCGTAGTGGCGCTGCCCGTCTACCTCTTCTTCCTGCCAGAGACGTCGGGTATGAGCCTCGAGAAGATCGACGAGCTCTTCGATCTGCCCTGGTACAAGATCGGCCGCGCCAGCCGTCGACCGGTGCGCGACGAGGTGCCGTCGCACTCGATGCCCGCCGCACTCGAGTCGCAGTGGCAGCAGACCGGCGTCAGCGCCGCCGCTGTCGACGACAAGGACAAGGACAAGGACGGCACCTACGCCGACTCCCAGCCTGCCTTTGGCGTGCGCGACGCCAAGTAGATGGTCCGAGATGGCGGCATCCCAAGCTTTCTTCGAACCCGTGTATACTACCAGCATCAGAAACTCATTGTGATTTCATTACCGCCTTGATCTCGCTCCATAGCTGGATGAGCTCCAAGATGCACATCGTGATCTAGCGACCGAAGCCGAGGGAATCACCCCAGCCGTAGTAGTGGCAACTGCTTCTGCCTTTGAGATCAGAAAGCTCACCAGCGCACTGTTCGACATCAGGCAGCCATGCGCCGTGTCATGATCTGCAGCCGATAAAGCCCACCATCGCGCTGATCGATGCTGGATCGGCCGACCGATCTTTGGGCATGTATCGGGCAAACCGACGCCTCGAGCGGAACGCCAATACAGGTGGCGCGGCCCTCAGAATTCCGACGGACGATGTCTGCAGCTAAGCTTGGCTGACAAGTGCGCCGACGGGGGCGTGGGGGGTGGGGGGGGG